GGCCTATTATCGAACGAGCCAAAGACGGTTGCGACGGACTAATCAATTGCCTACGTCGCGTCTTCACCACCTTTGGGATCCCAGACGAATGCGCTACTGACGGCGGACCAGAATTCACCGCCGTCAAAACACGGCAGTTCCTCAAACAATGGGGAGTACACCACCGCCTCGCCTGTTGCATTCCCGCACTCAAATTGCCGCGCGGAGGTTGCCGTTAAAACTGTGAAACGCCTCATCACGAACAATACCGGCCCCACTGGTAGCCTCAACACAAACGCCTTACAAATTGCTGTTCTACAATATCGTAACACGCCTGATACCGACACGAAATTATCACCGGCCCAATGCGTCTTCGGTAGACCCATTAAGGATTTCATACCAATTTTCCCCGGCCGTTACAGGCCACACGTCACCTGGAGGGAAACACTCGATGCTCGCGAGGAGGCTTTACGAAACCGGCACATGAGAGCGGCGGAACGTTGGTCAGAACACACAAGAAGATTACCACCTCTGTCCATTGGACATCACGTAAGAATACAGAACCAAACAGGACCGTACCCTACGAAATGGGACAAGACTGGAACAGTCATCGAAGTCCTTCAACACGATCAATACCGCGTCAAAGTCGACGGGTCCAACAGAATTACACTAAGAAACAGAAAATTTCTGCGGCAATTCACACCTGTACAAGAGCAGTCACCCAAAAATACTATTGATACGGACCTGCTGCTGATACCAAAAGTCTCAACGGAGAACCTTACTCCCAACAAAACGACAGCCAGCAGAAAACAAACACCGTCATTACCATGTCTAAGACCGGCGACACAGACTGACACCCCGGAGCCAGCACCACTACCGAGCACAGATACCTCAGATGGAACTTCACCAAACGCAACCAAAATACCTGAAGATGCCAGTGAACCTACACCAGCGACCACAAAGCCAAGCAAGAAAGCACCACTAGCTCTACGCAGATTACTCGATTTCAACAAGAAAGGGCTGTTAGAAAATTGAGAGGATGAACAAATATCATAGAACAACTTTATACTACGCTTTCCTATACTAGTAAAGACTTAGGGGGGGATAGAGCATAATGGGATAATCGTTGAGTAATAAGGGGCCTGGACCCAACCGTTATTGTTGTTTGTCATTCGTAAACGAATGACCTTTGTATTTTGTCTCTCAATATATATTTTACAAGATCCTCATTTCGTGAAATAGACTAAGTCTTATCTAATGTTCTGCACTTTTCATTTTTTTAAATTCAATATAAGTCAGAAAAATGTAAAATATTAATTGTCAAGGTTTTTTTTAATTTTTTGTAGCTCAGAACCTTATTTGATAATTGTCTTTATTCTTTAGATTTTGGCTTTGCCGATGACTTCAAGACAGTGCAAAAATGATCCAAGCAAATTCTGCTACATATGTGGCGAATTAACATTTGCTAAAGAAAGGCGCAGCATTACCAGCAATATCAAGAAATTGCACAAGGCGTACTTTCATTGTGATATGGGAGACCAAGACAAGCCATGGGCTCCTCATGCCTGTTGCCTTACATGTGTGAAAACATTGAGCGCATGGTATGCAAAAAAGAATGTTCACATGAGTTTGGTGTGCCAATGATTTGGCGAGAGCAGAAAGATCATTCTAATGATTGCTATTTTTGTCAGCAAGATTATACGGGCTGTACAACAGCGAAAAAGAAACACATTGTTTACCCAAATTTGCAATCAGCAATACGCCCAGTTGAGCACTCAAAAGAATTACCTGTACCAAAACCCTGATCAGGAAATGTGGAGTTCAAGCAGTGGGGATGAACATTACAGTGATGAATCAGTAGAATTTTCTAATTCAGAAAGCAATAATAAACCAATACTATTTTCTCAAGACGCTCTAAATGACTTATGCAGAGATCTTTATTTAACCAAAGACAAAAGTGAACTTCTTGCATCAAGGCTTAAAGAACGAAATCTTCTTAGAAAAGGTGTGAAAATAACATTATACAGAAAACGCACAAAACTTGCATTTTTGTTCACTTTGAAAGATGATTTATGTTTCTGCAATGACATTATTGAACTTTTTGAACAACTGGAAATACCATATGATAACACCAACTGGCGACTTTTCTTAGATGCATCCAAGGATAGTATAAAAGCTGTTTTGCTTCACAATGGGAACACCCTGCCACCTGTTCCTATAGCTTACAGCACAACCATGAAAGAATCATATGAAAATTTAAAAACTATTTTAACAAGCATAAAGTATGAAGTCCATAAATGGCATGTTTGTGCAGATTTCAAGGTTATAGCCATGCTCACTGGCCTTCAGCCAGGCTATACTAAATTTTGTTGCTTCTTGTGCTTGTGGGACTCTAGAGCAAGAGCTGAACACTATGTACGCAAACACTGGCCCGCTAGAGATGAAATTGAGCAGGGAAAACATAACATCAAACACAAACCACTTCTGCAAAGTGATAGAATCCATTTACCACCTTTGCATATTAAGCTCGGTTTGTTCAAGCAGTTTAGAAAGCACTAGACAAGGATTCCTTGGCATTTGCATATCTTGCAGAAAAGTTTCCTTCATTAAGTCAAGCTAAAATAAAAGAAGGTATCTTCGTAGGTCCCCAAATTCGAAAATTGTTCTTGATGAAATTTTGACACACATCTCACGAGAAAAGAAAATGTGCCTTTGAGTCATTCAAGAAAGTTTGTGATAACTTCCTGGGAAAACATCGTTCAGAAGACTATGTGCAAGTTGTGAATGATCTACTGCGTCATTTTCATGATATGGGATGTAACATGTCTCTAAAAGTTCATGTGCTCCACTCTCATTTGGATTTTTGTTGAGAATCTTGGCCATGTGAGTGATGAACATGGCGAAAGGTTCCATCAAGATATTTCATTAATAGAAAAACGTTTTAAAGGAAAATGGAACACTGGTATGTTGGCAGACTACTGCTGGAATTTAAAAAAGGATGATGACACTCTACACAAGAGAGTTAAGAGGACAAATGTTGTTTAAACTGGTGATTTCGTTGTTTTATATATATATGTGTTTTTTTAATATATAATATTACAGTACATGAAAATGGCACCTAATCCAGAGAAATAAATGTCAGATTTGGAATCAGCATACTTTTCTTACACCGAAACAGGTCTTATATGTCTTGTACTTTTTTTTCACTTCAATTTTGTTGCACAGTGTAATTTATAGTAATTTTGTTGACGTTTCCCCTCCAGGTCTTATAGAACTCAATGCTTACTAGATAATTACTTTACTTTATTGTCTTATAATTAGAAATCGGCTATTATTTTCCACATTATTTTTCTTTCTATCGCATTTTTTTACGTTGTTGACACGATCAGAATATCGATTAATAATTTCAATTTTTCTGAAAATCTTCCTTTTGCATTCTGAACTTGTATGAAGTTACTTTTCTTCGACGATTAATAGAGAATTAAACGTGATTTTTGGCAGATTTTAGTTACTACGCTCTTGCCCGTTTCCGCTTTCTTAACACGTCACTTGTAGCTAAATAGAAATGCAGTTATTCATAGATGATTTAGTATTCTCAATGTATTCTCACAGGTTTATAATGCTTTAGTATATTTTTTTACAATTACAAATCAACACTTACAGTTCATCAGAACAAGTCCTCATTTTTGTCTTCCACAGTATGTTTTTGTTGATTTTGAAGAATTTAATTGTGTTAACAACGGTTACAATTGGAATATACATGGAGAGATTTTTTTCTGAAAATGTTAAATATGCAAGATTATATTACGCGCATTCGTGTCATCCGACTTTGTCGATGATTTTCTACAATTCATTTTTTTGTGCCACCTCCAGATTTTGGATATGTTATAGACAATAAGAATATCTACATTATGGCCAAGTTTAAAAAAATTCTACCGTGTAGTTTTTTAGCTATAGAGCTGTTTGTCGAATGTGGTGCCAACTTCACGGTTAATACCAGAGTACATTCTCAAGGAATATTATGTTATAGACAATACGAATATCTACAATATGGCCAAGTTTAAAAAAATCCTACCGTGTAGTTTTTTATTTACAAGCCTTTGTTTAGCAATGACTTGAAATTCTCAACCTAATTATATAAGATTATATTACGCGCATTCGTGTCATCCGACTTTGTCGATAATTTTCTACAACCTATTTTTTTGTGCCACCTCCAGATTTTGGATATATTTTAGACAATATAATTATCTATATTCTGGCCAAGTTTAAAAAATTTCTACCGTGTAGTTTTTAAATTATTGGCTAATTAAGAGAAATGGAAAGTACACTGTAATATAAATCTTAGTGTTTTCTTCAATTTCTTGACTTTTATACATTTTTTGTGATGGTTAAGGACTGTAAAATAGTAATAAACAGTTAAGAATTGTTTTTTACTGTTGTATTTGATGGAAAACGTGTTTTAAAGACGACTTTTCGATTTATCATTTTGAATGATAAATTTTAGTTGAATGTGGTGATGAATGTTGTGTTGAATGTGGTGCCCAAATGTGGTGCCAATTTCACGGTAGTTTTCGAACGGATATTGTTCATCTTTGTCGTTACAATCGCCTTTGTTATTTCTACTGTTTCGTGAGGAAAATCTTTGTCATTCTCTTCAGCTTTATCTTTAGTAGGAAATTGCTCTTGTAATAAATTCAATATGTCAGAGTATTTTGATTGCACTGATTGCCAGTCGACGTTTTCGCCTGTTTTAGACGTTTTGTAATCGTTAATAACATTTAATAATAGTTCTGTTTCATCATCACTCCATAGGAACTCTTTTCGTTTTGATTTTCCCCCTTTTCTACAAAAATTCGACATGATAGCACAACCTTTGTAATCTTGCACGCGCTTTTGTTATGTTTACAATAGACAGAATCGATGTCGCAATTGAATTCGTGTGGACGGAAATACTTTAGTGTGGTTTTACAGTTAAGTATGCGGTTTCAAATGTATCCAGATTCGTGTGGACGTGGCCTCAGAATATTCTAGATTCAGCAGAAACTTCAATGTTAACATTAATCCATATCTTTTTGAAATGACTCACGGCAGAAGAAATCGTGTTTTTATAGGTTTGTTTTGTGATCTCGATGGCAATTCCCCATTTCGTATGGATGGCAACGTTCAAAGAAAAATGGAAAATAAAGCTGAAATAATAAATATTCCCAAAAGTTATGACAAAAATGGCTTGAATAAACAGTTTGGGGAAAGCGAACAAATACTTCAGAAACCAGAAAGGAGAATTACTGAGCGTTTGAGAGGTATCTCTTGTTATTTTCATTCTGATCTCACAAATCAAAAATAGTTTCCATTACATGTTCTTGAGTTAATGTTTATTAAAGTACTTATAATGAATTAGACAACAGGGTAAGAGTATATTTAATTTGGAGTAAAATCAGGAAGAAAATTTAGAATTCTGTAAGTAAATGGTAAATGTGTACAAAACATAATGATGATGTGCTGTTTCCATGATTTGCCAATATTACATTTTCCAAATTATTGTTGTAGATTTCAGTCGTAGTGAAGATCAAGAATCAACTCATGAAAATAAGACTCAGCAAACAGATAAAGGTACAGAACTATCGCCAGATACTGTCAACAATGTTGAAGATCAAGCTTCGCCTGACGAAGAGAAGAATCAACAAACAAATAAAGGTACAAAAAATTCGCAAGATAATGTAAACAATGGTGAACATCAAAAATCACCTCATGAAAATCAGAATCAGCAAACAGATAAAGGTACAGAACTATCGCCAGATACTGTCAACAATGTTGAAGATCAAGCTTCGCCTGACGAAGAGAAGAATCAACAAACAAATAAAGGTACAAAAAATTCGCAAGACAATGTAAACAATGGTGAACATCAAAAATCACCACATGAAAATAAGAATCAGCAAACAGATAAAGGTACAGAACTGTCGCCAGTTAATGTCAACATTGGTGAAGATCTAAAATCCCTTCACGAAAATAATAATCAGCAAACAGATGAAGGTACAGAACTGTCGCAAGATAATGTCAACAATGGTGAAGATCAAGAATCAACTGGTGAAAAGTTTACTGCGTTCTCACAATTCCGAAAAATAAAGAAAACAAAGAAGTCAAAAGATATTCATTCAAATGGGACCAAGGTTAAAAAACAAAAGAAAGATAAGAAAGAGAAAAAATCACTTGGTAAAAGTAAGAATCATCTAAGAAGAAAAGGTGTAAAAAGTTCGCCAGATGATATTGACGATCGTGAAGTTCAAAAATCGCCTAATAAGGATAAGAATCAGGAAACAGACAAAGACATAGAAAGTTTACCAAGTGATGTCAAATATGGTGAAGATCAAGAATCATCAAAAAGGAGAAAGATAAAAAGGGTTAACTTCTTTCCACGCTTCCAAAAAAGAAAGAAACAGCGAAAAGATAAAGGTACAGAACTTTCGCCAGTTAATTTCAACATTGTTGAAGATCAAAAATCACTTCACGAAAATCAGAATCAGCAAACAGATAAAGGTACAGAATTGTCGCAAGATAATGTCAACATTGGTGAAGATCAAAAATTAGCTGATGAAAATAAGAATCAGCTAACAAATAAAAGCACAGAACGGTGGCAAGATAATGTCAACAATGGTAAAGATCAGGAATTACCTCATGAAAATAAGAATCAGCAAACAGATGAAGCTAAAGAACGGTCTCAAGATAATGTCAACAAAGGTGAAGATCAAAAATTAGCTCATGAAAATAAGAATCAACAAACAGATGAAGCTAAAGAACGGTCTCAAGATAATGTCAACAAAGGTGAAGATCAAGAGTCAACTCACGAAAATAAGAATCAACAAACAGATGAAGCTAAAGAACGGTCTCAAGATAATGTCAACATTGGTGAAGATCAAAAATTAGCTGATGAAAATAAGAATCAGCTAACAAATAAAAGCACAGAACGGTGGCAAGATAATGTCAACAATGGTAAAGATCAGGAATTACCTCATGAAAATAAGAATCAGCAAACAGATAATGTTATAGAACGGTCTCAAGATAATGTCAACAAAGGTGAAGATCAAAAATTAGCTCATGAAAATAAGAATCAACAAACAGATGAAGCTAAAGAACGGTCTCAAGATAATGTCAACAAAGGTGAAGATCAAAATTAGCTCATGAAAATAAGAATCAACAAACAGATGAAGCTAAAGAACGGTCTCAAGATAATGTCAACAAAGGTGAAGATCAAAAATTAGCTCATGAAAATAAGAATCAACAAACAGATGAAGGTAAAGAACGGTCTCAAGATAATGTCAACAAAGGTGAAGATCAAAAATTAGCTCATGAAAATAAGAATCAACAAACAGATGAAGCTAAAGAACGGTCTCAAGATAATGTCAACAAAGGTGAAGATCAAGAGTCAACTCACGAAAATAAGAATCAACAAACAGATGAAGCTAAAGAACGGTCTCAAGATAATGTCAACATTGGTGAAGATCAAAAATTAGCTGATGAAAATAAGAATCAGCTAACAAATAAAAGCACAGAACGGTGGCAAGATAATGTCAACAATGGTAAAGATCAGGAATTACCTCATGAAAATAAGAATCAGCAAACAGATAATGTTATAGAACGGTCTCAAGATAATGTCAACAAAGGTGAAGATCAAAATTAGCTCATGAAAATAAGAATCAACAAACAGATGAAGCTAAAGAACGGTCTCAAGATAATGTCAACAAAGGTGAAGATCAAAATTAGCTCATGAAAATAAGAATCAACAAACAGATGAAGCTAAAGAACGGTCTCAAGATAATGTCAACAAAGGTGAAGATCAAAATTAGCTCATGAAAATAAGAATCAACAAACAGATGAAGCTAAAGAACGGTCTCAAGATAATGTCAACATTGGTGAAGATCAAAAATTAGCTGATGAAAATAAGAATCAGCTAACAAATAAAAGCACAGAACGGTGGCAAGATAATGTCAACAATGGTAAAGATCAGGAATTACCTCATGAAAATAAGAATCAGCAAACAGATAAAGTTACAGAACTGTCGCAAGATAATGGCAGCAAAGGTGAAATTCAAGAATCATCTCATGAAAATAAGAATCAGCAAACAGATAAAGTTACAGAACTTTCGCCAGAATATGTCAACAAAGGTGAAGATCAAGAATCACCTCATGAAAATAAGAATCAGCAAACAGATAAAGTTACAGAACTGTCGCAAGATAATGGCAACAAAGGTGAAGATCAAGAATCACCTCATGAAAATAAGAATCAGCAAACAGATAAAGTTACAGAACTGTCGCAAGATAATGGCAACAAAGGTGAAGATCAAGAATCACCTCATGAATATAAGAATCAGCAAACAGATAAAGTTACTGAACTGTCGCAAGATAATGGCAACAAAGATGAAGATCAAAAATCACCTCATGAATATAAGAATCAGCAAACAGATAAAGTTACTGAACTGTCGCAAGATAATGGCAACAAAGATGAAGATCAAAAATCACCTCATGAATATAAGAATCAGCAAACAGATAAAGTTACTGAACTGTCGCAAGATAATGGCAACAAAGATGAAGATCAAAAATCACCTCATGAATATAAGAATCAGCAAACAGATAAAGTTACTGAACTGTCGCAAGATAATGGCAACAAAGATGAAGATCAAAATTCACCTCATGAATATAAGAATCAGCAAACAGATAAAGTTACAGAACTGTCGCAAGATAATGGCAACAATGGCGAAGATCAGGAATCACCTCATGAAAATAAGAATCAGCAAACAGATAAAGTTACAGAACTGTCGCAAGATAATGGCAACAAAGGTGAAATTCAAGAATCATCTCATGAAAATAAGAATCAGCAAACAGATAAAGTTACTGAACTTTCGCCAGAATATGTCAACAAAGGTGAAGATCAAGAATCACCTCATGAAAATAAGAATCAGCAAACAGATAAAGTTACAGAACTGTCGCAAGATAATGGCAACAAAGGTGAAGATCAAGAATCACCTCATGAATATAAGAATCAGCAAACAGATAAAGTTACTGAACTGTCGCAAGATAATGGCAACAAAGATGAAGATCAAAAATCACCTCATGAATATAAGAATCAGCAAACAGATAAAGTTACTGAACTGTCGCAAGATAATGGCAACAAAGATGAAGATCAAAAATCACCTCATGAATACAAGAATCAGCAAACAGATAAAGTTACTGAACTGTCGCAAGATAATGGCAACAAAGATGAAGATCAAAAATCACCTCATGAATATAAGAATCAGCAAACAGATAAAGTTACTGAACTGTCTCAAGATAATGTCAACATTGGTGAAGATCAAAAATTAGCTGATGAAAATAAGAATCAGCTAACAAATAAAAGCACAGAACGGTGGCAAGATAATGTCAACAATGGTAAAGATCAGGAATTACCTCATGAAAATAAGAATCAGCAAACAGATAATGTTATAGAACGGTCTCAAGATAATGTCAACAAAGGTGAAGATCAAAAATTAGCTCATGAAAATAAGAATCAACAAACAGATGAAGCTAAAGAACGGTCTCAAGATAATGTCAACAAAGGTGAAGATCAAAATTAGCTCATGAAAATAAGAATCAACAAACAGATGAAGGTAAAGAACGGTCTCAAGATAATGTCAACAAAGGTGAAGATCAAAAATTAGCTCATGAAAATAAGAATCAACAAACAGATGAAGCTAAAGAACGGTCTCAAGATAATGTCAACAAAGGTGAAGATCAAAAATTAGCTCATGAAAATAAGAATCAACAAACAGATGAAGCTAAAGAACGGTCTCAAGATAATGTCAACATTGGTGAAGATCAAAAATTAGCTGATGAAAATAAGAATCAGCTAACAAATAAAAGCACAGAACGGTGGCAAGATAATGTCAACAATGGTAAAGATCAGGAATTACCTCATGAAAATAAGAATCAGCAAACAGATAAAGTTACAGAACTGTCGCAAGATAATGGCAGCAAAGGTGAAATTCAAGAATCATCTCATGAAAATAAGAATCAGCAAACAGATAAAGTTACAGAACTTTCGCCAGAATATGTCAACAAAGGTGAAGATCAAGAATCACCTCATGAAAATAAGAATCAGCAAACAGATAAAGTTACAGAACTGTCGCAAGATAATGGCAACAAAGGTGAAGATCAAGAATCACCTCATGAAAATAAGAATCAGCAAACAGATAAAGTTACAGAACTGTCGCAAGATAATGGCAACAAAGGTGAAGATCAAGAATCACCTCATGAATATAAGAATCAGCAAACAGATAAAGTTACTGAACTGTCGCAAGATAATGGCAACAAAGATGAAGATCAAAAATCACCTCATGAATATAAGAATCAGCAAACAGATAAAGTTACTGAACTGTCGCAAGATAATGGCAACAAAGATGAAGATCAAAAATCACCTCATGAATATAAGAATCAGCAAACAGATAAAGTTACTGAACTGTCGCAAGATAATGGCAACAAAGATGAAGATCAAAAATCACCTCATGAATATAAGAATCAGCAAACAGATAAAGTTACTGAACTGTCGCAAGATAATGGCAACAAAGATGAAGATCAAAATTCACCTCATGAATATAAGAATCAGCAAACAGATAAAGTTACAGAACTGTCGCAAGATAATGGCAACAATGGCGAAGATCAGGAATCACCTCATGAAAATAAGAATCAGCAAACAGATAAAGTTACAGAACTGTCGCAAGATAATGGCAACAAAGGTGAAATTCAAGAATCATCTCATGAAAATAAGAATCAGCAAACAGATAAAGTTACTGAACTTTCGCCAGAATATGTCAACAAAGGTGAAGATCAAGAATCACCTCATGAAAATAAGAATCAGCAAACAGATAAAGTTACAGAACTGTCGCAAGATAATGGCAACAAAGGTGAAGATCAAGAATCACCTCATGAATATAAGAATCAGCAAACAGATAAAGTTACTGAACTGTCGCAAGATAATGGCAACAAAGATGAAGATCAAAAATCACCTCATGAATATAAGAATCAGCAAACAGATAAAGTTACTGAACTGTCGCAAGATAATGGCAACAAAGATGAAGATCAAAAATCACCTCATGAATACAAGAATCAGCAAACAGATAAAGTTACTGAACTGTCGCAAGATAATGGCAACAAAGATGAAGATCAAAAATCACCTCATGAATATAAGAATCAGCAAACAGATAAAGTTACTGAACTGTCTCAAGATAATGTCAACATTGGTGAAGATCAAAAATTAGCTGATGAAAATAAGAATCAGCTAACAAATAAAAGCACAGAACGGTGGCAAGATAATGTCAACAATGGTAAAGATCATTAATTACCTCATGAAAATAAGAATCAGCAAACAGATAATGTTATAGAACGGTCTCAAGATAATGTCAACAAAGGTGAAGATCAAAATTAGCTCATGAAAATAAGAATCAACAAACAGATGAAGCTAAAGAACGGTCTCAAGATAATGTCAACAAAGGTGAAGATCAAAAATTAGCATGAAAATAAGAATCAACAAACAGATGAAGGTAAAGAACGGTCTCAAGATAATGTCAACAAAGGTGAAGATCAAAATTAGCTCATGAAAATAAGAATCAACAAACAGATGAAGCTAAAGAACGGTCTCAAGATAATGTCAACAAAGGTGAAGATCAAAATTAGCTCATGAAAATAAGAATCAACAAACAGATGAAGCTAAAGAACGGTCTCAAGATAATGTCAACATTGGTGAAGATCAAAATTAGCTGATGAAAATAAGAATCAGCTAACAAATAAAAGCACAGAACGGTGGCAAGATAATGTCAACAATGGTAAAGATCAGGAATTACCTCATGAAAATAAGAATCAGCAAACAGATAAAGTTACAGAACTGTCGCAAGATAATGGCACAAAGGTGAAATTCAAGAATCATCTCATGAAAATAAGAATCAGCAAACAGATAAAGTTACAGAACTTTCGCCAGAATATGTCAACAAAGGTGAAGATCAAGAATCACCTCATGAAAATAAGAATCAGCAAACAGATAAAGTTACAGAACTGTCGCAAGATAATGGCAACAAAGGTGAAGATCAAGAATCACCTCATGAAAATAAGAATCAGCAAACAGATAAAGTTACAGAACTGTCGCAAGATAATGGCAACAAAGGTGAAGATCAAGAATCACCTCATGAATATAAGAATCAGCAAACAGATAAAGTTACTGAACTGTCGCAAGATAATGGCAACAAAGATGAAGATCAAAAATCACCTCATGAATATAAGAATCAGCAAACAGATAAAGTTACTGAACTGTCGCAAGATAATGGCAACAAAGATGAAGATCAAAAATCACCTCATGAATATAAGAATCAGCAAACAGATAAAGTTACTGAACTGTCGCAAGATAATGGCAACAAAGATGAAGATCAAAAATCACCTCATGAATATAAGAATCAGCAAACAGATAAAGTTACTGAACTGTCGCAAGATAATGGCAACAAAGATGAAGATCAAAATTCACCTCATGAATATAAGAATCAGCAAACAGATAAAGTTACAGAACTGTCGCAAGATAATGGCAACAATGGCGAAGATCAGGAATCACCTCATGAAAATAAGAATCAGCAAACAGATAAAGTTACAGAACTGTCGCAAGATAATGGCAACAAAGGTGAAATTCAAGAATCATCTCATGAAAATAAGAATCAGCAAACAGATAAAGTTACTGAACTTTCGCCAGAATATGTCAACAAAGGTGAAGATCAAGAATCACCTCATGAAAATAAGAATCAGCAAACAGATAAAGTTACAGAACTGTCGCAAGATAATGGCAACAAAGGTGAAGATCAAGAATCACCTCATGAATATAAGAATCAGCAAACAGATAAAGTTACTGAACTGTCGCAAGATAATGGCAACAAAGATGAAGATCAAAAATCACCTCATGAATATAAGAATCAGCAAACAGATAAAGTTACTGAACTGTCGCAAGATAATGGCAACAAAGATGAAGATCAAAAATCACCTCATGAATACAAGAATCAGCAAACAGATAAAGTTACTGAACTGTCGCAAGATAATGGCAACAAAGATGAAGATCAAAAATCACCTCATGAATATAAGAATCAGCAAACAGATAAAGTTACTGAACTGTCGCAAGATAATGGCAACAAAGATGAAGATCAAAAATCACCTCATGAATATAAGAATCAGCAAACAGATAAAGTTACTGAACTGTCGCAAGATAATGGCAACAAAGATGAAGATCAAAAATCACCTCATGAATATAAGAATCAGCAAACAGATAAAGTTACTGAACTGTCGCAAGATAATGGCAACAAAGATGAAGATCAAAAATCACCTCATGAATATAAGAATCAGCAAACAGATAAAGTTACTGAACTGTCGCAAGATAATGGCAACAAAGATGAAGATCAAAATTCACCTCATGAATATAAGAATCAGCAAACAGATAAAGTTACAGAACTGTCGCAAGATAATGGCAACAATGGCGAAGATCAGAATCACCTCATGAAAATAAGAATCAGCAAACAGATAAAGTTACAGAACTGTCGCAAGATAATGGCAACAAAGGTGAAATTCAAGAATCATCTCATGAAAATAAGAATCAGCAAACAGATAAAGTTACTGAACTTTCGCCAGAATATGTCAACAAAGGTGAAGATCAAGAATCACCTCATGAAAATAAGAATCAGCAAACAGATAAAGTTACAGAACTGTCGCAAGATAATGGCAACAAAGGTGAAGATCAAGAATCACCTCATGAATATAAGAATCAGCAAACAGATAAAGTTACTGAACTGTCGCAAGATAATGGCAACAAAGATGAAGATCAAAAATCACCTCATGAATATAAGAATCAGCAAACAGATAAAGTTACTGAACTGTCGCAAGATAATGGCAACAAAGATGAAGATCAAAATCACCTCATGAATACAAGAATCAGCAAACAGATAAAGTTACTGAACTGTCGCAAGATAATGGCAACAAAGATGAAGATCAAAAATCACCTCATGAATATAAGAATCAGCAAACAGATAAAGTTACTGAACTGTCGCAAGATAATGGCAACAAAGATGAAGATCAAAAATCACCTCATGAATATAAGAATCAGCAAACAGATAAAGTTACTGAACTGTCGCAAGATAATGGCAACAAAGATGAAGATCAAAATCACCTCATGAATATAAGAATCAGCAAACAGATAAAGTTACTGAACTGTCGCAAGATAATGGCAACAAAGAGGAAGATCAAAAATCACCTCATGAATATAAGAATCAGCAAACAGATAAAGTTACTGAACTGTCGCAAGATAATGGCAACAAAGATGAAGATCAAAAATCACCTCATGAATATAAGAATCAGCAAACAGATAAAGTTACTGAACTGTCGCAAGATAATGGCAACAAAGATGAAGATCAAAATTCACCTCATGAATATAAGAATCAGCAAACAGATAAAGTTACTGAACTGTCGCAAGATAATGGCAACAAAGATGAAGATCAAAAATCACCTCATGAATATAAGAATCAGCAAACAGATAAAGTTACTGAACTGTCGCAAGATAATGGCAACAAAGATGAAGATCAAAATTCACCTCATGAATATAAGAATCAGCAAACAGATAAAGTTACAGAACTGTCGCAAGATAATGGCAACAATGGCGAAGATCAGGAATCACCTCATGAAAATAAGAATCAGCAAACAGATAAAGTTACAGAACTGTCGCAAGATAATGGCAACAAAGGTGAAATTCAAGAATCATCTCATGAAAATAAGAATCAGCAAACAGATAAAGTTACTGAACTTTCGCCAGAATATGTCAACAAAGGTGAAGATCAAGAATCACCTCATGAAAATAAGAATCAGCAAACAGATAAAGTTACAGAACTGTCGCAAGATAATGGCAACAAAGGTGAAGATCAAGAATCACCTCATGAATATAAGAATCAGCAAACAGATAAAGTTACTGAACTGTCGCAAGATAATGGCAACAAAGATGAAGATCAAAAATCACCTCATGAATATAAGAATCAGCTAACAGATAAAGTTACTGAACTGTCGCAAGATAATGGCAACAAAGATGAAGATCAAAAATCACCTCATGAATACAAGAATCAGCAAACAGATAAAGTTACTGAACTGTCGCAAGATAATGGCAACAAAGATGAAGATCAAAAATCACCTCATGAATATAAGAATCAGCAAACAGATAAAGTTACTGAACTGTCGCAAGATAATGGCAACAAAGATGAAGATCAAAAATCACCTCATGAATATAAGAATCAGCAAACAGATAAAGTTACTGAACTGTCGCAAGATAATGGCAACAAAGATGAAGATCAAAAATCACCTCATGAATATAAGAATCAGCAAACAGATAAAGTTACTGAACTGTCGCAAGATAATGGCAACAAAGAGGAAGATCAAAATCACCTCATGAATATAAGAATCAGCAAACAGATAAAGTTACTGAACTGTCGCAAGATAATGGCAACAAAGATGAAGATCAAAAATCACCTCATGAATATAAGAATCAGCAAACAGATAAAGTTACTGAACTGTCGCAAGATAATGGCAACAAAGATGAAGATCAAAAATCACCTCATGAATATAAGAATCAGCAAACAGATAAAGTTACTGAACTGTCGCAAGATAATGTCAACAATGGTGAAGATCAAAAATCACTTCACGATAATAAGAATCAGCAAACAGATAAAGGTACAGAACTGTCGCAAGATAATGTCAACATTGGTGAAGATCAAAAATCACTTCACGAAAATAAGAATCAGCAAACAGATAAAGGTACAGAACCGCAAGATAATGTCAACATTGGTGAAGATCAAAAATCACTTCACGAAAATAAGAATCAGCAAACAGATAAAGGTACAGAACTGTCGCAAGATAATGTCAACATTGGTGAAGATCAAAAATCACTTCACGAAAATAAGAATCAGCAAACAGATAAAGGTACAGAACTGTCGCAAGATAATGTCAACATTGGTGAAGATCAAAATCACTTCACGAAAATAAGAATCAGCAAGCAGATAAAGGTACAGAACTGCCGCAAGATAATGTCAACAATGGTGAAGATCAAAAATCACCTCACGAAAATAAGAATCAGCAAACAGATAAAGGTACAGAACTGTCACAAGATAATGTCAACATTGGTGAAGATCAAAAATCACTTCACGAAAATAAGAATCAGCAAATAGATAAAGGTACAGATTTGTATCATAGATATGAATTTTAAATAATTCATATCTATGATGCAGTTTTAATTAGTTTAACTAGCTCCATAGTATAGTTAACTTTAACTACCTTTTATCTGCAGTTAGCGCTAACTACTTTTTTATACAACCGACTTAACCGCGTGGTTAAATTTAACTACTTTTTAACTGCAAAAAGTGTAGTTAAAAAGTAGTTAAGAGCTTTATACAACCGGCCTCAGTGGCATTCAAAAAATCAAACAAGGTATGTGTACTCTGTTTTGTCCGTTAAATATAGGCAAAACGAAGGCATTTCCCATGCAGTTCAAAATAATATAAAAAAAAACGTTGTCGTTGATCTTTTGAGAGGAATTAAAAAAAATTAATGCATCCAAGTTTTATATGATTTTTCTTGCGCCCAGCGACAAGGAAGCATTTTTATTAAACATAATAAAAAAATTATCAGCTAGCTTGTGAAATTTTGTATGATTTTATTTTCCTAGTTTTTTCATTTTTATTTAAAAATATATCTATTCGGTGGCCTATTCAATTTCTACGAGAAAAAGGGTAAAGTGTCACATGTTGTTTAAAATTATGATCTTTTTACAGGATTTTGCTCTTTTATCTTTTGTCATTTGGTAGCTCACTGTTGTCGAAATGAATTTTTTTTTGTTTTGTGTTTTATCTGAGCAGGCTGAAAACACTTGATAAAGTTAAGGACGAAAAATCCATAGGATTTATGTCAAATTAATTATGATTTAATAATGGACAGTTTTAAGTAAAGGTCAAAGTGAGATAAATGCCAAAAGAAGTTTTTTCTTTAAATGACAAGCTAAAGAATACGGAATAGAATTGCAAAACAAAAATTGGTCAATGTCTTGTGTTGAATTATGGCCTCCGGAAACAGCCAAGCAAATTGCACAAATAAATCATTAATTTACAGTTAAACGTGAAAGCTTAATAAAACCAAATAATTCCGTTGTTGCAAATAATCAATCAAATTCAGCAAGTTAAATTTTTTCTTAAAAAGGTGATTCACAGTTTGCCTTGACCAAAAATGAATGGTTATTTTGTTATATTATAGTTAGAATCATAGTCGTGGAAAGATCAATAATTTGAGGGTTCATATTCATAAAATTATGCATGTTATTATTTTTATATTATGCATTGTTTCTAAGCAGTATTTAAAGAGCCACAGACTTAATTAAACTAAAATAATAGAGGTATGATATAAGGTGATAAGAGGGTAAAAATCTATTGCTAAAGTAGAGCCATTCTGTTATCTTCCGTTATGAAATATATACTTTAAATATTAACAATAAGCTCCAGAAACTTTAATTTTTCTACGCTCAAAATATTTCAATAAACATTAGGTTGTATAGCAGTGGCCAGTTGCACGAAGCCTGGATAGTGTTATTCATTGGATAGCAATTTTTTTAAACGTAAACATAGGTTTTGCAAAAAAGCACTACATTTTAAATAAAGAACGCTTTTTTGTATCGGCTTACCCTCAATCTTAACAAATACATGTTTGCGTATTGAATAGATGCACGTCGTTGTCAGTAATTTATAAGATTTAAATCAATATATAAAGTGGTTATCCCATGTGTTAAGGGTGAATTCGATATACATATCCCTTGAATATATTTGTTTCACTCCCCTTTGTAAATGGTACTTTTTGATGTCTTTTCAAGAAATTCAGTTTCAAAAGTGGGAATATCTTGGTCATTCTGTCAAGCATGGAAAACTGTTGTCAGAATTGTGTTATCTTAAAGCAGATATTGAACAGAAGGGCAATTTACGTGTAATTTTCTCGGACAGATTTAGCCTTGGCAGAGGAAGCAATGAAACCGGTGTCTTTCTTGGACTGACAAAGGATGGTTACGGCAAAGCAGTAAAACGAATGCGTAGAAATGACTACCTACAGCCTGCACAGCACGAAAAAAAAATTTTAAATGAATTCAATGCAAGGGAGTCGAAATATGTTGTGAATTATTACTTCTTAGAGGAAGATACTGGAACGGACTATGTTTATTTAATATTAGACTTATGCGAAGAATCATTGCAGAATTTTGTGAAAGAATCCAAGAAAGAAGATCTTCAAAAAGCTCTTCCCGATATTCTTAGACAAATTTTAAATGGATTAGCTGATCTTCATACTGACCCAAATCCTATTCTTCATCGCGATTTGAAGCCTTCCAATGTTCTCCGAGACTCGCATGGCAAATTTTTGATCGCGGACTTTGGAATTAGTCGAATATTGAATGATGAAAATAGCACATATGAAAGCAAATCTAACACGGGAACTGAGTATTGGATTGCTCCTGAGTCATATCGGGAAGATGTAGACAGAGAAGATAAAGGACGTTACAAAAAAGAATCTGATGTATATGTAGGTGTAGGAAATACTAGCATTTGTAGAACATACATTTAAATTAAATTTTCAGACATTTTATTTTTGCTTTTACGTTTTTTATTATTTTAGAATGCCGGAATGGTGGCTTATTATGTTGCAACAAAAGGGCAACATCCTTTTGGAGTGAAACGCTACAGATTGGACAACATGTTGAAAGGAGACCCTGTTCGCTTGGATGAAATCAAGAATAAAACGCTGAAAGACCTTTTGATGTGGATGTTAAATCGTTTGCCAGAAGACAGGCCATCTGCCAACGAGGCGTTGAAACACCCATTTTTTATGTCAGATGACGAGAAATTTGAAATGCTATGTAAAGTTGGGAACCAACTGGCAATTAAGACAAATGATACCCAGTCAAGTGTGGTCTGTCAATTAAATAATGAATCTTCAGACTGGAGAAGTCAAATTGATAGTGATGTATATGCTTATTTTACAACAGATGAGGTGAATGGAAAAATTCGTAGGTACGGATCCGCTTGGACAGAATGCTTGAGACTTATTCGCAACTTTGGGCAGCACTGGAACGATCGACCTCGGCCTAGACCACAACCATTTTATAAGATTGGCGATCACAAGTTGTATTTTCTCAAAACTTTCCCTGATCTCCCTGTTCGGGTGCACGCAGCTATCAGGTCAAATAAAAAATTAAAAAACAATTGAGAACTTAAAGGCAAGCATTGAAATTTTCACCATAGACAGATTAATTATGTACTCGTTAAATAATACGTTAAATTAAGCAATATTGTTACATGACATTAACACCATGTGTTGGTTGATCATTTTTTAAGTTATAATTATTGATATTTCTATGATAATCTTTGATATTATCAGTCATTGTACGTTTTTCTCATTATTATTTCCACTCTTATTCTTTATTATTATATAGTTCGTAATCTAAAAATTAATACCAGCATTGTATATACACAGAATGTAATGTCAACATTGATGAAGATGTAAAATCACCTCACGATAATAAGAATCAGCGAAAAGATAAAGGTACAAAACTTTTGCCAGTTAATGTCAACATTGGTGAAGATCAAGAATCACCTCACGAAAATAAGAATCAGCAAACAGATAAAGGTACAGAACTTTCGCCAGATAATGTCAACATTGGGGAAGATGTAAAATCACCTCACGAAAATAAGAATCAGCAAACAGATAAAGGTACAGAACTTTCGCCAGATAATGTCAACATTGGGGAAGATGTAAAATCACCTCACGAAAATAAGAATCAGCAAACAGATAAAGTGAGTAACGTTGTTTCCAGGTAACCTTGAAGCTTGCCGTGACCTGTTTCAGTATCACACAGCTATAAAACAATGGCTTTGAAAAAGCTCATAATAAGAGGCTGTAACAAAACGTGAAATTGTCATAAACGTGAACACAAATATTATAAAGTTAGCTATTTTTGCGAAAAAATGCTAAAATCACTCAAAAATACAAGTTTATCAAATAGATAATAATATTAATAAATTAATGATTGTTAGTGAGTTTCTATGCCAGACTTTTCAAACTGACGATGTGCTGCACTGTATTTCTATAATGAACGTATTTTTTCCCAAAATATCATATCTTCATCTGATAGCTAAACTTTAGAGATGTTTGCTTCTACCCTCTCTACAGGAAATTAAAGGCACTATTGGCGACTCATTACATTTCGAATATTTTTCAATCATTTACTAAAAGTTGGTATTTTTTTAGTCGTTGACATTCATTTATAGTCACTTAAGAATAACTCATAAAGGTTGTGTGAGAAAAATGGAAATCTTGGGGATGGTATTTCAATTTTTAGTGAGTGATGATAGCAAAAGTGGAGGGTTTTGTTCATATTCAGTAGCAAACGATTGATTTCCAAGAAACGAAATATTGATGATTTTCTAGCTGGCTACGTCACTTCATCTTCTTCATTATTATTGTAACGACAAATAGAACTACAAAAAATGTCTTTTCTTTCATAAAAACATGCTATTGTTTATTTGCGAATATATCTGTGCATAACAAAAATGTACGTGCTGTAAAATATAAATGTTTGTACTTTTACGTTTATATTTTCCACTTTTTCCTTCTGTTCATACCCTCCATAAGAACAAATTCTTTTGTGGGGAAAAATGATCATCTAAATGAAAGCTGAAATATGAATAGCATTTCTATCTATGTTTTGCAATAACTAATTTAAATCTTTCAAAGTTATTTTGCACCATTTTCTATTCCTTATATTTCGAACTTCTCTCTGTCACACTCATTGAATTAAAATACATGGAGTGCTACCTGAAGCAAATAATTGAAGCTAAATCTTACACCATGACACGCGAGATTACACCCAGACACTTGTGTGCAGTGATGAAAATGCAAGTAGAAACCAATAAATGTTGAAATGGATAATTGTTAGATGTTTATGCATCAGATAATTATTAGCTAAATACCGAGAATTCATGATAAAGAAACTGTATATAGTGTATACTTTTGAATAAATAAAATACTTCTACTTTCAATTTTGGTTAATTATTTGGTTTGTGGAGCAAAACGAAGGTATGACGTGTTTGTACAATTTGTTATAGTTCCTGGTAGAAATTATTGTAGAGCCAAAAACTTTGTTCTTTCAAAACGTGGAATGTCTTTGTGATGTAGGAAAGTATGTCACAAATAACTGACATGGATTGTTCAACTTTGATTATGTCACTCCTTCACCATGAGCTGACCTTGGTTGACCTTGGTTGACTTTGAGATGAAAATACATCTGACAAAGGAGCCTTAAGTTTTCTATATTACCACAATCGTATGGATTGTGCGAAAAAAAATCTATACTGCTTTCTATTTGAAATCGAAAGCGATAGACAACTTTCAGTATTGCGTTGAAAACATGTTCTTCTCAACAAAAATAACTTGCTTTCCAGCTCGAGTGACAAATTTTATTGTGCTTGGAATGAAATTAAAATTAAATGACCACAGTAGATGACAATTTATAATTAACGTTTGATTTTTGAAGAATATAGAATCAAAATAAATGAGTCAAAATAGAGACAAAAGTTTATTATTAACTACCAATATACATTTTACGTTGTGGTAATTGTTATTAAAACTGTACGGATAAAAACGAAATTGAGGCATGTTACTCCAAAATGTTTTTCATCTCAACCACTCATATTCGTAATCAAATACAATGCAATCTTTTAGTCTGCATAAACTCTGATAGCAACAAATCTCCGAGGTCTGTTGGTTCATGAAATAGTTTTATATACTGTCCATTATATTTGAGAAAACATGATTTGTCGAACCAGATGACTAAACTTAAATTACATTCAACCTTAGCTGGCATCTTTACGTGTTGACCAACAATCAATGATGTAACTAATCAAAAGTACGCTGTAGCACAGCTATGTTGCAACAGAAAATATCTTTTTTTATATGTAGCATATAATACTTATAAATACTTTACTCTGCAATTTAAGAACAAACAAAAAAGACATTTATAGTCTTGTAGATAATACAGATTCACTCTTTCAAAATTCAGTTTTCACTTTTTATATCAAAACATTAGACAAATTCCAATATTACAAAATAATTAAAATGCTCCGCATGAATTAATGACATTATGAGAGTTCCAGGAAATCACTATGTGATTCCTAGGAAACTGAAAATTGCCCACTTGTCGTATAAGATAAAAATAAAACCAACAAACTCATTTTTGTTTTAACGCCATGACTTCGTCAATGTTAGGCAGCAAAAATTTTAAAATCTTTATCAACGATGGTGAGAGATACCAAATTGAGCAATGGGTGAAACAATATCCAAACATTGAAACTGGTGGAGATCTTTTTGGAGCTTGGATTGACGAACGAACAGCTGTCATTCAGTTTATCTTAGGCCCTGGTAAGAAATGCCGACGAACTACTGTATCGTTTTATCAAGACATTGACTATCTAAATGATGCTGGAAGCTACCTTACTCAAGCACATGGCTTATGTAACATTGGTCAATGGCATTCTCATCATCAACTAGGTCTTACCGTTCCAAGTGGTGGAAATGAAAATACAGTTTGGAAGAACATGCCTCGACTTGGTCTTAATCGCTACATTGTCATAATTGCTACAATTTCAGAAAACCCTGAATTCAGTAGAAACTTCGATGTTAACATTAATCCTTATCTTTTTGAAATGACTCAAGGACGAAGAAATGAGGATTTTCCAATTCCAGGTATGTTTTGTAATCTCGAAGGAAATTCTCCATTTCGATTGGATGGCAAAGTTGAAGAAAAGATGAAAGGGAGAGCTGAGAAAATAAACACTACAGAAAGTTATGGCTCGAATAAACGATCTAACAATAGTATAAATATACCTCAGATTCGAAAAAAGAAAGAGTCTTCGACAGGTATCTCTAATCAATTTTATAACTTTTTACACATTAAAAATAGTTTTGAACTTCCGTTCTTGGGCTCCTAGTTTCATAAATAAACTTTCACTAAATCAGCACAATAATTTTGAACTCAAAAATAAGAACTAAAAATTTGGATTTGACAAATAAATAGTGATTGTGTGAGGAATAGTACGTTGCTGAATTTTTTGCAAGTTTAACACTCTCTAATTTCAAACCATAGGTCTGGAAAATAATGGCAAACATGAAAATCCAGCGACAAATAAAAGTATAGATAGCACGTCACCTAATGTCAATAACAATGAAAATGAAATATCCCGTAAAGAAAATGAAATTCAGCAAGAAGTTGAAGATACACAAAGTTTGACAACTAATCCGAAGAATGATGAACGTCAAGAATTGTCTGACGAAAGTAACATTCAGCCAGAAGTTGAAGATACACAAAGTTTGACAACTAATGCGAAGAATGATGAACGTCAAGAATTGTTTGATGAAAGTAACATCCAGCCAAAAGTTGATTATACACAAAGTTTGACAACTAATACGAAGAATGATGAACGTCAAGAATTGTCTGATCAAAGTAACATCCAGCCAAATGTTGATTATACACAAAGTTTGACAACTAATACGAAGAATGATGAAAGTCAAGAATTGTCTGATCAAAGTAACATCCAGCCAAAAGTTGATTATACACAAAGTTTGACAACTAATACGAAGAATGATGAAAGTCAAGAATTGTCTGATGAAAGTAACATCCAGCCAAAAGTTGATTATACACAAATGTTGACAACTAATGCAAAGAATGATGAACTTCAAGAATTGTTTGATGAAAGTAACATTCAGCCACCAGTTGAAGATACACAAAGTTTGACAATTAATACGAAGAATGATGAACGTCAAGAATTGTCTGACGAAAGTAACATTCAGCCAGAAGTTGAAGATACACAAAGTTTGACAACTAATGCGAAGAATGATGAACGTCAAGAATTGTTTGATGAAAGTAACATCCAGCCAAAAGTTGATTATACACAAAGTTTGACAACTAATACGAAGAATGATGAACGTCAAGAATTGTCTGATCAAAGTAACATCCAGCCAAATGTTGATTATACACAAAGTTTGACAACTAATACGAAGAATGATGAAAGTCAAGAATTGTCTGATCAAAGTAACATCCAGCCAAAAGTTGATTATACACAAAGTTTGACAACTAATACGAAGAATGATGAAAGTCAAGAATTGTCTGATGAAAGTAACATCCAGCCAAAAGTTGATTATACACAAATGTTGACAACTAATGCAAAGAATGATGAACTTCAAGAATTGTTTGATGAAAGTAACATTCAGCCACCAGTTGAAGATACACAAAGTTTGACAATTAATACGAAGAATGATGAACGTCAAGAATTGTCTGATGAAAGTAACATCCAGCCAGAAGTTGAAGATACACAAAGTTTGACAACTAATGCGAAGAATGATGAACGTCAAGAATTGTTTGATGAAAGTAACATCCAGCCAGAAGTTGAAGATACACAAAGTTTGACAGCTGATACGAACAATGATGAATCTCAAAAATCGTCTGATGAAAGTAACAGTAAGCCAAAAGTTGAAGATACACAAAGTTTGACAACTGATGCGAACAATGATGAACGTCAAGAATCGTCTGATGAAAATGAAATTCAGCCAAAAGTTGAAGATACACAAAGTTTGACAACTAATGCGAAGACTGATGAAGGTCAAGAATCGTCTGATGAAAGTAACAGTAAGCCAAAAGTTGAAGATACACAAAGTTTGACAACTGATGCGAACAATGATGAACGTCAAGAATCTAATCCGTAGCGTCTTTTTATTGTGCGTTGAATTTCCAAGCTTTGCTCAGGTGTAATGCAAATATGAAACAACTCGTCGTATAGTTGAGCAATTATGAACGTGTAGCCTGGATTGTTTTTGACAAATTGATTGAGAAATCCTTTCACTGATGTTCCCTTTTATTGTGACACTTGGAATGCGCTGTAGATCAATGCTCCGCTCAACTTTTGCCAGCTAACAAAACCTTCGCTGCAATGAATGAATAGCTTAAATAATGGCAACTTCAAATATACACGACAAATTTATTACCTATATAAGCCCAAAGCAGACTTCCTAAATTTTGTTGTTTGCCTTTTTAAATTCCGTAAGTCGTATCTACATGCAGAGACAAATTGCTAAAACTTTGACTATATTAATTGTGTTAAATTATTTCAGCTTGAAGGAACGAAACAATTTCCAGTCAATTACACGATATATTGATTAATGAATGGCGTGTTTATATATACATAAACAACCTATCGTTTTGAACTGAATTTGCCATCCTTCTCTTTCATTCAATGCTGAATGTCAACTGAAAGAACGATTTCAATAGGATATTTTGAGTTTTTAAAAAGACACTTCCGACTTCTTCAGGTGAACTCTATGAAATATTTATTTTTCATTCGCGTCATCAGCAACTTTGTTTCCAGGTAACCTTGAAGCTTGCCGTGACCTGTTTCAGTATCGCACAGCTATAAAACAATGGCTTTGGAAAAGTTCATAATAAGGGGCTGTAACAAAACGTGAAATTGTCATAAACATGAACACAAATAGTATAAAGTTAGCTATTTTTGCGAAAAAAAATGCTAAAAGCACTCAAAAATAAAGGTTTGTTAAAGGGATAATAATATTCATAAATTAATGAGTGTTGGTGAGTTTCTTCGCCAGACTTTTCAAACTGACGATGTGCTGCACTGTATTTCTATAATGAACGTATTTTTCCCCAAAATATATCTTCATCTGATAGCTAAACTTTAGACATGTTTGCTTCTACCCTCTCTACAGGAAATTAAAGGCACTATTGGCGACTCATTACATTTCGAATATTTTTCAATCATTTACTTAAAGTTGGTATTTTTTTAGTCGTTGACATTCATTTATAGTCACTTAAGAATAACTCGTAAAGTTTGTGTGGGAAAAATGGAAATCTTGGGGATGGTATTTCAATTTGTAGTGCGTGATAATGGCAAAGTGGAGGGTTTTGTTCATATTCAGTAGCAAACGATTGATTTCTAAGAAACGAAATATTGATGATTTTCTAGCTGGCTACGTCACTTCATCTTCTTCATTATTATTGTAACGACAAATAGAACTACAAGAAATGTCTTTTCTTTCATAAAAACATGCTATTGTTTATTTGCGAATATATCTGTGCATAACAAAATGTACGTGCTGTAAAATATAAATGTTTGTACTTTTACGTTTGTATTTTCCATTTTTTCTTTCTGTTCGTACCCTCCATAAGAACAAATTCTTTTGTGGGGAAAAATGTTTGTCTAAATGAAAGTTGAAATATGAATAGCAATTCTGTCTATGTTTTGCAAAAACTAATTTAAATGTTTCAAAGTTATTTTGCACTATTTTCTATTCCTTAAATTTCGAACTTCTCTCTGTCACACTCATTGAATTAAAATACATGGAGTGCTATCTGAAGCAAATAATTGAAGCTAAATCTTACACCATGACACGCGAGATTACACCCAGACACGCGTGTGCAGTGATGAAAATGCAAGTAGAAACCAATAAATGTTGAAATGGATAATTGTTGGATGTTTATGCATCAGATAATTACTAGCTAAATACCGAGAATTCATGATAAAGAAACTGTATATAGTGTATACTTTTGAATAAATAAAATACTTCTACTTTCAATTTTGGTTAATTATTTGGTTTGTGGAGCAAAACGAAAGTAGGACGTGTTTGTACAATTTGTTATAGTTCCTGGTAGAAATTATTGTAGAACCAAAAACTTTGTTCTTTCAAAACGCGGAATGTCTTTGTGATGTAGGAAAGTATGTCACAAATAACTGACAAGGATTGTGCAACTTTGATCATGGCACTCCTTCACCATGAACTGACCTTAGTTGACCTTAGTTGACTTTGAGATGAAAATACATCTGACAAAGGAACCTTAAGTTTTCTTTATTACCACAATCGTATGGATTATACGAAAATAAATCTATACTGCTTTCTATTTGAAATCGAAAGCGATAGACAACTTCCAGTATTGCTTTGAAAATATGTTCTTCTCCACAAAAAGTACTTGCTTTCCAGGTCAAGTGACAACTCCACCAATTTTATTGTGCTTGGAATGAAATTAAAATTAAATGACCACAGTAGATAACAATTTATAATTAACGTTTGATTTTTGAAGATTATAGAATCAAAATAAATGAGTCAAAATAGAGACAAAAGTTTATTGTTAACTACCAATATACACTTTACGTTGTGGTAATTATTATAAAAACTGTACGGATAAAAACCACTTGAGGCATGTTACTCCAAAATGTTTTTCATCCCAACCACTCATATTCGTAATCAAATACTATGCAATCATTTAGTCTGCACAAACTCAGATAGCAATAAATCTCTGAGGTCTGTTGGTTCATGAAATAGTTTTATATACTGTCCATTATATTTGAGAAAACATGATTTGTCGAACGAGATGACTAAACTTGAATTACATTTAAACCTCAGCTGGCATCTTTTCGTGTTGACCAACAATCAATGATGTAACTAATCGAAAGTACGCTGTAGCATAGCTATGTTACAACAGAAAATATCTTTTTTATATGTAACATATAATACTTATAAATACTTTACTCTGCGATTTAAGAACAAACAAAAAAGATGTTTATCGTCGTGTAGATAAAACAGATTGACTCTTAAAAAATTCAGTTTTCACTTTTTATATCAAAACATTAGCTAAATTCCAATTATTACAAAATAATTAAAATGCTCCGCATGAATTAATGACATTATGAGAGTTCCGGGAAACCAGTGTGTAATTCCTAGGAAACTGAAAATTACCCACTTGTCATATAAGATGAAAACAAAACCAACAAATTCATTTTTATTTCAACGCCATGACTTCGTCAATGTTAGACAGCAAAAAATTTAAAATCTTTATCAACGATGGGGAGAGATATCAAATTGAGCAATGGGTGAAACAATATCCAAACATTGAAACTGGTGGAGATCTTTTTGGAGCTTGGATTGACGAACGAACAGCTGTCATTCAATTTGTCTTAGGCCCTGGTAAGAAATGCCAACGAACTACTGTATCGTTTTATCAAGATATAAACTATCTAAATGACACTGGAAGCTATCTTACTCAAGCACATGGCTTATGTAACATTGGTCAATGGCATTCTCATCATCAACTAGGTCTTACCGTTCCAAGTGGTGGAGATAAAAACACAGTTTGGAATAACATGCCTCAACTTGGTCTTAATCGCTACATTGTCATAATTGCAACAATTTCAGAAAATCCTGAATTCAGTAGAAACTTCAATGTTAACATTAATCCTTATCTTTTTGAAATGACTCCCGGCAGAAGAAATGGGGTTTTTACAGGCTCGTTTTGTCATCTCGATGGCAATTCACCATTTCGTATGGATGGCAACGTTCGAAGAAAAATGGAAAAGAATGCTGAAATGATAAATACTCCCAAAAGTTATGACAAAAATGGCTTGAATAAACAGTTTGGGGAAAGCAAACAAATACTTCAGCGTTTAGGAGGTATCTCTTGTTAATATCATTTTTATCACACAAATCAAAAATAGTTTCCATTACATGTTCTTGAGTTAATGTTTATAAACGTACTTATAATGAATAAGCCAATAGGGTAAAAGTATATTTAATTTGGAGGAAAATCAGGAAGAAGATTTAGAATTCTGTAAGTAAATGGTAATTGTGTACAAAATATAATGTTGATGTGCTGTTTTCATGATTTGCCGATATTACATTTTCCAAATTGTTGTTGTAGATTTCAGTCGTAGTGAATATCCAGAATCACCTCATGAAAATAAGAATCAGCAAACAGATAAAGTTACAGAATTAACGCCAGATAATGGCAACAAAGGCGAAGATCAAGAATCACCTCATGAAAATAAAAATCAGCAAACAGATGAAGTTACAAACTCGCAAAGATAATGTTAACAGTGGTGAAGATCAAAATCACCTCATGAAAATAAGAATCAGCAAACAGATAAAGTTACAGAACTGTCGCAAGATAATGTCAACAAAGGTGAAGATCAAGAATCACCTCATGAAAATAAGAATCAGCAAACAGATAAAGTTACAAAACGGTCGCAAGATAATGTCAACAGTGGTGAAGATCAAAAATCACCTCAAGAAAATAAGAATCAGCCTACAGATAAAGTTACAGAACTGTCGCAAGATAATGGCAACAAAGGTGAGGATCAAGAATCACCTCATGAAAATGAGAATCAACAAACAGATAAAGTTACAGAACTGTCGCAAGATAATGGCAACAAAGATGAAGATCAAAAATCACCTCATGAAAATAAGAATCAGCAAACAGATAAAGTTACAGAACTGTCGCCAGATAATGGCAACAAAGGCGAAGATCAAGAATCATCTCATGAAAATAAAAATCAGCAAACAGATGAAGTTACAAAACGGTCGCAAGATAAAGTTAACAGTGGTGAAGATCAAAAATCACCTCATGAAAATAAGAATCAGCAAACAGATAAAGTTACAGAATTAACGCAAGATAATGGCAACAAAGATGAAGATCAAGAATCATCTCATGAAAATAAGAATCAGCAAACAGATAAAGTTACAGAACTAACTCAAGATAATGTCAACAAATGTGAAGATCAAGAATCATCTCATGAAAATAAAAATCAGCAAACAGATGAAGTTACAAAACGGTCGCAAGATAATGTCAACATTGGTGAAGATCAAAAATCACTTCACGAAAATAAGAATCAGCAAACAGATAAAGTTACAGAACTGTCGCAAGATAATGGCAACAAAGATGAAGATCAAGAATCACCTCATGAAAATAAGAATCAGCAAACAGATAAAGTTACTGAACTGTCGCCAGATAATGACAACAAAGGCGAAGATCAAGAATCACCTCATGAAAATAAAAATCAGCAAACAGATGAAGTTACAAAACGGTCGCAAGATAATGTTAACAGTGGTGAAGATCAAAAATCACCTCATGAAAATAAGAATCAGCAAACAGATAAAGTTACAGAACTTTTGTCAGTTAATGTCAACATTGGTGAAGATCAAAAATCACTTCACAAAAATAAGAATCATCAAACAGATGAAGTTACTGAACGGTCTCAAGATAATGTCAACAAAGATGAAGATCAAAAATCACCTAATGAAAATAGGAATCAGCAAACAGATAAAGTTACAGAACTGTTGCAAGATAATAGCAACAAAGATGAAGATCAAAAATCACCTCATGAAAATAAGAATCAGCAAACAGATAAAGTTACTGAACTGTCGCCAGATAATGGCAACAAAGGCGAAGATCAAGAATCCTCTCATGAAAATAAAAATCAGCAAACAGATGAAGTTACAAAACGGTCGCAAGATAATGTTAACAGTGGTGAAGATCAAAAATCACCTCATGAAAATAAGAATCAGCAAACAGATAAAGTTACAGAATTAACGCAAGATAATGGCAACAAAGATGAAGATCAAGAATCATCTCATGAAAATAAGAATCAGCAAACTGATGAAGTTACAGAACAGTCGCAAGATAATGTCAACAAAGGTGAAGATCAAGAATCACCTCATGAAAATAAGAATCAGCAAACAGATAAAGTTACAGAACTGTCGCCAGATAATGTCAACAAAGGTGAAGATCAAGAATCACCTCATGAAAATAAGAATCAGCAAACAGATAAAGTTACAAAACGGTCGCAAGATAATGTCAACAAATGTGAAGATCAAGAATCACCTCATGAAAATAAGAATCAGCAAACAGAAAAAGTTACAAAACGGTCGCCAGATAATGTCAACAAAGGTGAAGATCAAGAATCACCTCATGAAAATAAGAATCAGCAAACAGATAAAGTTACAAAACGGTCGCAAGATAATGTCAACAAATGTGAAGATCAAGAATCACCTCATGAAAATAATAATCAGCAAACAGATAAAGTTACAAAACGGTCGCCAGATAATGTCAACAAAGGTGAAGATCAAGAATCACCTCATGAACATAAGAATCAGCAAACAGATAAAGTTACAGAACTAACTCAAGATAATGTCAACAAATGTGAAGATCAAGAATCATCTCATGAAAATAAAAATCAGCAAACAGATAAAGTTACAGAACGGTCGCAAGATAATGTCAACAATGGTGAAGATCAAAAATCATCTCATGAAAATAAGAATCAGCAAACAGATAAAGTTACAGAACTTTTGTCAGTTAATGTCAACATTGGTGAAGATCAAAAATCACTTCACGAAAATAAGAATCATCAAACAGATGAAGTTACTGAACGGTCTCAAGATAATGTCAACAAAGATGAAGATCAAAAATCACCTAATGAAAATAAGAATCAGCAAACAGATAAAGTTACAGAACTGTCGCAAGATAATAGTAACAAAGATGAAGATCAAAAATCACCTCATGAAAATAAGAATCAGCAAACAGATAAAGTTACTGAACTGTCGCCAGATAATGGCAACAAAGGCGAAGATCAAGAATCACCTCATGAAAATAAAAATCAGCAAACAGATGAAGTTACAAAACGGTCGCAAGATAATGTTAACAGTGGTGAAGATCAAAAATCACCTCATGAAAATAAGAATCAGCAAACAGATAAAGTTACAGAACTGTCGCAAGATAATGTCAACAAAGGTGAAGATCAAGAATTATCTCATGAAAATAAGAATCAGCAAACAGATAAAGTTACAGAATTAACGCAAGATAATGGCAACAAAGATGAAGATCAAGAATCACCTCATGAAAATAAGAATCAGCAAACAGGTAAAGGTACAGAACTTTCACCAGGTATGGTCAACATTGGTGATGATGTAAAATCACCTCACGAAAAGGAGAAGCAGCAAACAAAAAAAGGTACAGAACTTTCGCCAGTTAATGTCAACATTGGTGAAGATCAAAAATCACCTGATCAAAATCAGAATCAGCAAACAGATAAAGATACAGAACTTTCGCCAGTTAATGTCAACATTGGGGAAGATCAAAAACCACCTCACGAAAATAAGAATCAGCAAACAGGTAAAGGTACAGAACTTTCGCCAGTTAATGTCAACATTAGTGAAGATCAAGAATCAACTGGAGAAAGGTTTACTTGCTTGTCACCTTTCCGAAAAATAAGGAAAACAAAGACGTCAAAAGATATTGATTCTAAAGGGGCCAAGTTTAAAAAACAAAAGGAAGATAAAAAGAAAGAGAAAAAGTCACTTATTAAAAATAAGTATTTTCTAACAAGAAAAAGTATAAAAAGTTCGCCAAATGATGTTAACGATTGTGAAATTCAAAAATCGCCTAATAAAGATAAGAATCAGCAAATAGACAAAGACATAGAAAGTTTACCAGTTGATGTCAACAATGGTGAAGATCAAAAATTGGCTCGTGAAAATAAGAATCAACAAACAGATAAATTTACAGAGCTGTCGCCAGATAATGTTAACAATGGTGAAAATAAAAAATCACGTCATCAAAATCAGAATCAGCAAACAGACAAAGACATAGAAAGTTTACCAATTGATGTCGAAAATGGTGAAGATCAAGAATCATCAAAGAAAAGAAAGATAAAAATGGTTACCTTCTTTTCACCCTTCAAAAAAAGAAAGAAAACAAAAAAGTAAATGGATATTGATTCAAAAGATGCCAAGGTTAAAAGAAAACAAAAGAAAGATAAAAACACACACAGAAAAATTGAAGCCATGGACCGAAACGCAAAAAAAGAAAAAACCTTGCACTAGAAAAATATTGTAACAGTATGATTGGTCAGACATAGGGATAGACATTCAAGACATTTTTTTACACACGTTTGCACTTCTATCAATAGACATGTCGCATTAGAAATATATTTACCATGACTTTTTTGTATACTATTGAAACTTCCATTCACTAAGCCTAAACAATAAATATATTGAACAAAATATGCGAAGATCATTTGTCATCAATTGCATTTTCTTCAATATTTTCGTTGTTAATAACAATCTAACAAATTGTCTTCATTTTCTGACGCTGCTGTCAATATGTCTCGTAAAAACGGTATTGGATCTTGCAAAAAAGTCGTTACAGTTTGGTAATGTTCGATATAATCTGAAAAATTTACCGTTAATAGTGTCTTTAAAAGGGACTTATTACAGTCTTTTTGAGCTTTGATAATGAAATTGTACAATTCATCTATAGAACTCTTATAAAGCAAAGTAGGTTGTCGAGCAATTTCATTTGTTCTTGTCTTTATAACATTGAGAAGTTCAAAACCTTTAGCTCTAACAGGTGCGTCACAATCGATTATTGCTGACAATATGTATTTGCCGACTTCATTAATGAAATTACTTTCAATATTTTCCAAGGGTACAACTTTCCATTTAATATCTTGTAACATAATCTTCCAAAAATCAAGGACAAGTACTTTGACTTCCCAGTCAAAATCTTGTGACGCCATTTCAAGCACTTCAGAAATTGGTGTAAGACGAAAAGATTTAACCAGTTCCAAATGCAGCAATATGATGTTGTGTTTTCTTTCCAACCAAAAACACAATGTTTCCACTGTGGCACGTCGAGCAAATGCCGACTCTTCATCTTTGAATTGCATCAAAATACAATTTAGCACCTCTTCCTGTCAGAGATAAAAATTTCATGTTTCGACAGTTTTATTATATTAGCCCCCCTTATTAAAAAGAGGGTTCGAAGTGTTTCTCCTTGCACACGAAAGAGTAGAACACGATGTAATGTAAAACATAAATTAAAACGATCCATCATCAAAGTAGATGTCAGACTGATGAAATATTTCACCTTTTTGATATATACCTCAGTTAATGTAAGAATTTCTTGGAAATGCTTCCATATACGATCGTGCATTGCGAGAAAGCCGATAGCAGAAATACAAGTCGCTCTGACGTAACTTTCGTTGTCATCCACTAATTTCCATAGAAAGGACAGTAGTTTTGAATCAAACAACGAATCCAAAAAATCATCTGGAAATGTAAATTGTAACATAATTTGCAGTATAATCGTAAAAAATATGCTAACTTATCATTAGATAAAAAAACTAAACAACTCATGTCACATGGAGGTTTTTTCATTATAAAATATCAAAACTAAACCAGCAGGTTTGTTGAGATTATCTACACATCGATTCACACAACAGACAGTAAGGTACTCACATTATTCAAACACGTATGCTGTTTAAGTTTAAAAAAGTGAACTTACACTGACAACGAAGAAGATGTTTGATAAAACCAAGTGTTGAATCTCTAATATCCCAACAAGCACTACATAAGTTTTTGGTAAGAAGACTGTTCAACCATTTCATGTTAACATTGGTTGGAAAATTGGTTGTAGACGTGGAAAATAAACACTGAAGACCTTGAAAACAGCAATTGAGTATCTACGTAATGAGAAAACACAAAAGGTTATAAACAATCATTGAAAGTTTCTCGTTTATGTAATTAAGGTTTGACTAAATACCTTAGTTTCCAAAGATAATGATAAAAGTTTTTCAAAAAGTTTGTAGTATTCATTTACTTCAGTGGCACTGACCTTTTCTAAATACAAAGAACTATCTGAATAAAAAATCACTAGCTACAATTAAGCTATCTCATACAACTTTAACAAAAATATTTTGGTAAGTGATGTATGTTTATTACACTAAGAACAATGCCACCATCAAAATTTGTTTCAGTTGATCCTATAACATATTGTACAGAGTAAACATCTACAGAAAAAAAGCATTCATACCATCACTTAAATCCTGCTCAAGACAAACGACTGCAAACTTCACGAAGTATTTCATTAAATAATTTCCATGAAAGTAATCATCAGATTGTTGGATTAAATATGTTATAATTTCTTTACACAGAACTTTAATATCTTCTATCGTCCTCGAATCATTGGGGAACTGTTTTAATCAAATCAAAAATTAATCAAATACTGAAGAACTTACGTGTAATTGAGTATTTGACAAGTAGAAGATAAAAAACAAGTACCTTTACATCAGAAATCAATTCAGTAGTGGCAGTCAATGAATATGCCACTGTTCTACTTGAAAGAAATTATTTTGAAGTTCCATGAAGCATTTGCTTCAAACGTCCATAGAATTCATCACGCTAAAATAAAGTCAAATATTGCAACATTCGGTAATTATTTCAAACATTTGTTGCTCATTAAAAATTTAAAACACACTTACTGAAATGGACTTTATTAACTGTTTAACAGTAAACTGAGAATCATACGATGAATTTTCGTTTTTGCTTTGTTGAGCATCGTGCAGTATTTTATGCATAGGATAGATGAGAAGCCTCAGCAAACATGAAGCATCAAGCTCGTCAATTTCTCTAATGAAACATGAAAATAAATATGAATTGAGGGAAAATAAATAGTCGAGGTTAATATAACGATCATAACGTTGATTTTGGTCATTTTTGGAGCAGATACCATCAAAAACTTGTTTAAAGGTTGATGCATAGACTCCATTTTCAACATGACAAATGAGCAAATGCATTGACAACTTGGTTATGAAATACGATCATTGAATGATAGAAAACTTTTTGCACAAATACTTACAAAGTCTGAGTAGCATGAAGCATGCCTTGGATGAGTTGAAATGCATGAAACATATAAAGTCTTTTGTACAAAACAAGTATTGATTTCACCATAATGCAGATTAGTTCTTGCTTGTCTTTTATATTTAAAATGAATGTCCACTCTATATTCCAAGAGCTGTTAATTAATATCAATAAAAGAAATTAAAACTATATATAACTGTCTTCCTAAATCGATCTACTTTTACCTTGTGTTCTTCAACATTGTAAATATGACATCAACAACCAATCCACAGTCTTCTTTGTTAACCTTATTCAATAATTTAAAACAAGAAGACATGATTTGTGAAAGAGAAATAATTTCTTGGGCTACAATAGAATTCTCTTCCATTAATGAGAGCAACAATTGCACGACTGAACATTGCCATATCATTTTCCTAGCCAACCCTGATGGCTGCTTATCTATGATGTATGCTAAATGACCAACAAAGCACTTGTGACATCCATTCAATTCTCTTGAATAAATGTCTCGTCTGGTCTCCGAACATTCATGGTGATCATCGTTTTCCTTTAATGAAGCCTTCAAAGTAAACAGTCGGATCAAATACTTAGCAATGAACTTTCTGCATGACTCTGCAACAAATATACTGGTATCAACCAAACTTTCCAAGCCATATTTTACCAAACCTAAAATAGAATAAAAACCTAGCTAGACCACAAATTATGAGAAATTTAAACTATTTGAAAGTTATCAGCCTTAGTGGGAGGAAAACTACTTTTTTCGAATATTGACCAAAATGGAAGCTTTTCTTGTTGCCTTTGCTACAAGTGTTCCCATCACCACACCAAACACCACAAACCACCCAATATTTCATAACCATGTCAAGTACTGTAAACAAATACTGAGAATCAAATACTGTATAACCATACATGAATTCTTTATCCATAGAAATCCATCATCATTCATTAATAAGTCACTTGCTGCTTTAAAATATGAATCCCTGACACCGGGATCGCTCCAAATTCTTTCATTCTTTATAAACTCTTCTGGCAGATGGTAAAAATTCCCACCAGAGCCATCACAATTAGAAAGTGTACTGGATTCTACCTTCTTTCTATAAACAATTCCAAATAAACGTACAGCAAAACTAATGGTTCCAATACACATTTCCCCTTGGCTTTGCTCTGCAGAAATGACTCCGGAGAGAAAATTGAAAATCTGAGTTTTAACAAATTGAGAAGACGCACTTGAATCATCGTATTTAAAATCCAGTAATTCCAGAAGTTTCTCTAAACTAGTATCGTCTACAACTCTGTCAATATCGACCAAAATTAGGTTGAATACATCAGATAATAAGCTTTGAAAACTCTCATCTGACATTTTTCTTCTACAAATGAACAAGTGTCAGTGTGAAGTGAAAAGGCCAACTACCGTTTACTGTCATTTAACTCATTGGTTTGTTTCCACACATTGTCTTGCAACAAAAACTTTCCAATTAATTAAAAAATTGACACAAATACATTGTTATTTGTAAATAAACATTTTTTGTTCTGCAAAAGTGAGAACTGAGACATAAGCTGCGCATGCGTGTTTACTCCCGCGAAGCAATTGAACATGAAATCAAAGTGAAAATAAAAATAAATGAAAATAAAATCATGCAAACATTTCTTATGGTGTTTTTTTCTGAATTTTCTTTCTAAATTCAAGATAATTTAGTCATTATTGTTGGAATGGTCTCAAAATTTCGCATTTTCAAATTTTTTACGGTATAATTTTTACGCAGCGAGCAAGCCTGAGACAAGCAAGCGAGCAACTAAAGCAGTAATTGTCTTGTGAACAGATGAGATTTCTAAATTAACTCTTTGTATATTTATTGTATCGCATTTTCAAATAATTTCACATCACTTTCAGTTTTTTACTTTTTTTTCTTTACTTTGATAAATAAAGTTGATAGCTATTGCTTTGTTTACATAATTCTTTTCATCAGCACGATATTCAACTTGTAAATAATTCCATCATCTATAGTAATTCGATACACTCTCACTTAAATAATATAAATATAATTGTTAGTAGATATCATAAACATTCCTTGTACTGAAGATGGCATAAGTATGCCGAAGCATGTTTACTTGTCTAACATGTTGTCGTACACTTGTACTGAAGATGGCTTAAGTATGCCGAAGCATGTTTACTTGTCTAACATGTTGTCGTACACTTGTACTGAAGATGGCATAAGTATGCCGAAGCATGTTTACTTGTCTAACATGTTGTCGTACACTTGTACTGAAGATGGCATAAGTATGCCGAAGCATGTTTACTTGTGTAACATGTTGTCGTACACTCGTACTGAAGATGGCATAAGTATGCCGAAGCATGTTTACTTGTCTAACATGTTGTCGTACACTTGTACTGAAGATGGCATAAGTTTGCCGAAGCATGTTTACTTGTCTAACATGTTGTCGTACACTTGTACTGAAGATGGCATAAGTTTGCCGAAGCATGTTTACTTGTCTAACATGTTGTCGTACACTTGTACTGAAGATGGCATAAGTATGCCGAAGCATGTTTACTTGTCTAACATGTTGTCGTACACTTGTACTGAAGATGGCATAAGTTTGCCGAAGCATGTTTACTTGTCTAACATGTTGTCGTACACTTGTACTGAAGATGGCATAAGCATGCCGAAGCATGTTTACTTGTCTAACATGTTGTCGTACACTTGTACTGAAGATGGCTTAAGTATGCCGAAGCATGTTTACTTGTCTAACATGTTGTCGTATACTTGAAATTCCCAACATTTCTTTGCATAATTTACAAAGCTTATTTTTTCTTTCTGTGTTAAGCGCTCGATGTCACAGATGTGTTGATGATTGTAATTGTACTTGTTAATATTGACCTTTGATTTGTCGACGCCAATTTGGTACTGGTAGTGCTGGTACCCCCACAGCACTACAGCGTAAAGCAATATTTTCACCACATGCAAAACAATTCATACCAAACAACGTGGATTTCACTCATTTCATGTTAAACTACGTCGAAATGATAAAAAAACTTTATTATCTGTAAGAAATTTAATTTGAAATTAAATTTCCATGCATACAGTGCAAATAACGTCTTTTTGTTGGTGTTTTTTTGTGTTTCTTTGTGTTGGTGTTTTTTTGGTGTTTTTTTTTGTGTGTCTTCATTAAGCAGAAATGCGAAATTCTGAAACATTTTAAATTTTCAGTTGTGTTGTAATACATGTGTTCCTTTTACTACAATACAAGCTTAGTAATTGAACGCTACTAAAACATAAAAACTTCCACATGAAGAGTGTGGTGACAAGTGATGAATACCAAAAATCTCAACTTAAAATTTTATTCTTGCATTTTTGCTAGATATAATTCATTTTGAAAAAATTTCAACGCTCCATAAATTTCGTTTTGAAAGGGGAAATAATTAGGAATTGCATTTAATGTATGGAAGATGAGATGTAATTTTTTGTACATTAAAAATGCGTCATTCATACATGTTGAAAAAAACACATGATCAATTTTGTAAAGAGCATATTACTGAGACTGCATTAGGCGCAAATTACCTCATATTGGTAGAAACCGTGAATATAAACGAATGGATGAATAATTTGTACCAATTGAAAAATGCGAAGAAAATGGATGGTTTATTTTTGTAATGATTTAAAACAGTACTTAATAAATCTGCATTTTATTATTTTCCAACAAACGAGAATACAGTCATTGTAAAGAGTTGGAATATACACATCATTGTTGTTTGTTTGTCTTGCTTTTTATTTCAATAACGCGTGGGCGTTCATCTGCTGTACCTTGGACGCAAAAGCAATTAAATTAACATCTCTTTCATCCTAACATCCCATAATGGTGAGATTTACAATATCCTGTCAGCATGCCTCTAAGGTCACAGCCAAGTCACAGAATAGATACATATGTATCTATTCTGTGGCCAAGTGGTATAAATCCTTGCTACTCTCATTTTTCTTCCATAAAGAAAACGGGCGACACTTGGTGTAGATCTCCTTAATATACAACAGTCTAGTGGAATAAGGTAAGCAGAGTATGGTTTGTGACAATACGTTATTTATTGAATCTATAGCGTACTTCGAGCTTTTGTAGGATGTGGGATGAAAGGTGTTGTGTTAAAGTATCATGTTCTTGACTAGTGGTGAGAAGCTCAAGCTTTGTCAATTTGCAAAGGAAATGCCGAGTTTGAGATGATCGAGTTTTGTAACGCGTGATTAAAACAAAAAGTAGAAAAGTGTAAAACTTTAAATCCCTTCTATATTTGCATGCACTCAAATCATATTTTTCGTATAGGTTGATTAGAAAACCAAACGGGAATTATGAATATTCGTTTTACAATCGTGACACTTGCTCTGCTTGTTCTGTTTACAGATGCAGGTACGACTCCTCTTGAAAATATGACTTTACAGATCAAATACATTTATAACAAAAAAATAATGTGCCGCAAAATTTTAATTTGCCATATAAGCACCTTTATGAGCTATAGCCAAGCGGACAGCTGTTTTCTTCCCACCAGCTGTCGTGAGAAATAAGCGGAGTTTCAAATCGTATTTTGAAAACTACCTCGATGAAATGGCGACAAGTGCTTGTGCTGGAATGGCAAAAAAAACAGGCGTTTATATGGGAGTGCGTAGAGCCTGTACGAGTGGAGCAACCTGCAAACGCATATGCCAATCTTTGAAACTCCTTGGAAGACTTCCAGGCGGGTAGGTTGATAAATCATAAACTAAGTTACAGATAAGTATTTACTCAGTACGTCAGAAGTAGATTGGTTGATCAATTAGTTGTAGGACGAGGTAACTTAGTTTTTTTTGTGTTATGACTAACTATAGTTGCAAACATTAAAGTTTTTCCATTAAAGTTTTTCTCTTTTTTTACTTGTTAGAACTCGCAATTCGGATTGCGTGGAATCATTTCATGTGTACGAACGTCAGCCATCTTTAGCTGACAGTAAGTTAAGTGACACAGACGTGAATAAAATTGGCCAGGCAATTTATCGTTACAAGTCATGTTATGCTAATGGTTGTGGACCAAATTACTGCTGTTGCCGGGGGTACTATTGATACATGAAGTTTAAAACTATAGAATGGATTCAAATAGTGATTGATTGCATATAATTTCGTTCATGGTGATGAATTAATAAATCTTGATCAAAAGTAGCGTCTCTCTATTTTTACTATCTTTTATACAATACACTTAAATTTTAGCTCCATCTGAAATAAAAAACTTCATGCAAATGAAATACAACCAACAAAATAAGACACTGGGGTCGGGTATTAACATGTGGGAATTTATATTACACGTTGTTGCGACAACAAGTATCTTCTCGTGATCTTTAGAAAATTTTATAAAGATTATTTTTCAAATGGAAACTCCCAAGTTCTCTTTACAGGTATAGATAACTTTTTTGTCTAACCTTGACGAAAGCAGTTAAATATCATGAACTCGAGTGAGACACTTGAAAGACAAGAAAAAACCCCCAGGGCAATTACGATCCTTTGAAAATCTTGTTGACAATTAGCTGATAAAGATAGACAATTAGACATAAAATTTGACTCAAAACAGTAAAGGCGAATTTATTTCTTAAGAACAAACTGTTCTTATACATAGAAAACCAATATGATGCTGCAAAAAGCAGTTTTTGCACCGAGTTGATTGCTAAAAAATACATTGTGTCTTCCACATAGTTCCAACAGTAGAAACTTGTCTGCGCTTTTTTTTGAATTCGTATGTTTAAATTGCTATATATTTTCAGGTTTTGTATGATCCACAGAGATTGTGTTTGATATTTGTGAAATAATTGTTACCATGCACGTGTATGGCATATTTTTTACATGTAAGGTCTCAGGGAGCGCATTTCATTTCGAGCCTAATATTATTGTTTGTTCTGTTTACGAGACTATAATTTTGGATCGTCTCAGTCTCATTAACGTATTGATTTTGAGAGAAAGAAAACATCCTTTCATACAAAATTTAAAGTTGAACATGTTCATGTATGTTGTCCCACTATGTCTCCAAATACGTTGTCGCTCGCGGTGCATTCAGCCTCGTGCGATTGGCTGTGAAGCTCTACTTTTTTGTGTTTCCTACATGTACCTATTCATTAATTCCGGCAATACCACGTGCCACATGTCCCGGAAAAATAGTGACACGGTAACACTGATCTCGAAATAAGACTGGATCAAGCATCTAGCACAAAAGTTGAAGACAAAAATTAAGCAGCGCCGCCATTGCTAAGGGACCAACTTTCGAAAATATGGAGCAAATATATTGTGCATTTACACGAGAATAATCAAGAATTTTCAACATGTAACAACATGAACACAACTAAGAGATAAATAAGTTTATAGAAGAGCTAAAAATACAGTGAAATATCATGAAATATGATGAAATATGATCATGCATTTTTGTTATCGGTAACTCTACTGTCGTATGGAAAAACAATGGAAAATAGCCCACAACTGCATGGAAATACCTAGAATTGTTGGAATCGTAGTTCAGAAGTAAAAACTCATTAAATGATCTCATTTACGATCATTAACTGATCAATCCTATAAAATTACAAGCCTTTTTTACGAGTGATTCGGAGTGAAACCTGTATGCGTTTTGTTTTATACGGCCGATTATTCTTTCTGACTCGCTTTACTATCGCCATAAAGGTTGTTTTTCATCTTCTGCGTTATCTTAAAGCATAATTTGGCCATGTGTTGCTATGTTTTCCATAGTTTTTAAAAAATCTTTCGATGTGTTGGTCCCTTAGTTATGGCGGCGGTGGCTTTAAAATTTGTTTACTAAAAATTATAGATTTGCTTGATCCAGTCTTTTTTTGAGACAGTGTACGATAATGATTACTGAAGAGGTGTGATAACCAGAGCCCTCTATAGTATAAGAGTTGGGACATGTATTGTTCTCTTATTTGTACACGCTGATTGGTCAGTTTTGGTCATCTGATCAAAACCCGCCATTTTGGTTCCTACTTTTGAAACTTGAGCTAGTGTTTACATAGCGATTATTGTTAGTGTTGACAGCTTTTAAGATAAATATGGTGTTTTGTTGCGCGTATGGGTGCAATAATCGTTCATCTGACGGATACAAAATGTACCGCATACCCTCAGGGTCGAGAAACAACGAAAAACGAAAGAAATGGCTTTGTGCAATAAAAAGAGAGAACTTTAACACGGCGTCGGCGAAACTGTGAGGCAATTATACTCTTGTTGCTCTTTAGATAATTAACAAGACAATGACAATGTAAATTTTAAAATTTTTAATAAAGATTTACAACAAATTTGCATTTGTGTGTTGTGATATTGTGGTACGGCTCCTTAAGGTTCACTTCGAAGCGAATCAATTCGAGCCTAAAATCCCCGGCAAACTTCGACCAAATGCAGTACCAACTCTGTTGACACATCGAAAGCCTGTGCTGCGAAGAAAGAGTCCAACTAAACGAGAATTAAAAGTAAACACTGGTCAGTACTCTAACGTTTTGGCATCTTCAGTACATTATAAATTATTGACCAATGGGAAATATACACATGTTTACCTTCTTGTTCACATAGTGTCACCACAACCTGTTGCCATTGAGAGTGCTAGTAGCGAAGATGATAATAATCTCGACTCTGTACACTCTACAATGACTGTGACTGAGTTGGACTTGAACAATCCTCAAAGTAGCACAAATAGTCAAAGTCACACAAAGCTGCGAGAAGAACTGGAAATGTTGAAGAAAGAGCTGAAAAAAGCAAAAGAAAATCATAACAACCTAGCAAACAACATATCAGCTTTATTTAATGAAGACCAAATAGCCTACCTTTCCAAGAAGCCTGGTTATGGAAAAGGTTAAGCAATACCATTTTTAAATTTATGAAGTATATTAATGAAATTTTGCACTTCCACACTAAAAAAACAAATATATTAAATAAGCTTAAAATTTACATTTGATTTTTCATTTTTAGTTTGGTGGTCAAATAACACAGTTGAAAGTGCTATAAAAATAAGATATTCATGTAGAGCAACTGGATACAGCACTTTACTTGGGATGAATTATCCATTACCTTCTATAAGAACACTTAATCAACGAATGGAGCACATTGAATTTTCCTCGGGTCTTACATATGAGGTTTTTGCAGCATTGCAATTGAAGGTAAACATACAAACTAATAGAAAACACAAAATCATTACTGTTGTGTTTTGACTTTCTAAAGTAGCTACATAAGAATACCTACATATTGTATACTGAAGGTTAATTTGCATTGAAAGGCTTCCTCCATGGGAGATCAAGAAAGAGACTGTGTTCTTTTGCTTGACGAAATGGCAATCATTCCATCATATGATTTTGACACAAGAACTGAGTCAGTCATTGGCCATTGCTCTATCTCTGGCAGCAATGAAAAAGACATGCAAGACACAATGGCAACACATGCCATGGTTTTCATGTTATGTGGTTTGACAGCAAGATGGAAACAAGTTGTTGCGTACTTCTTCACTGGAAATTCATTCTCAGCTAAAGAAGTGAAAGATATTATCATTGAGATAATTCAAAGGACAAGTGAATGCAATTTAACAGTTTATAATGTCACTATGGATATGGGAGGGGGCAACCAGGCTGTTCTTCGGGAATTTGGGATCTATTGTAAAGTAAAAAGAGAAAATGATGAATTGGGACAATGTAATGATACTGTGGAAATAGTCAATACCATTCAGCATCCTGTTATTGAGGGTCAGAGACTTACATTTATGCCTGATGTTCCACATGTTTTGAAGAATATCAGGAATCATCTGACTCGTGGACAAACATTTTTCATCCCACAGTATGCCATTGCTGAGTGCAATTTACCTACAAATGCAGTCACAATAAATCACATCAAAAAGCTGGTTAATTATGATTCTTTGCATAATCTAAAGATTGCACCACACCTGAATGAAAAATGCTGTGATCCTGTGCATTTTGAAAAAATGAAAGTGAGCATGGCTAAGAATCTACTATCCAGAAAAACTGGGGCAGCCATTCGCTTTCTTATTCAGGAAAAAGTCCTGCACAAGAATGCCACAACTACAGCATGGTTTTGTGATCAAGTTGGTCTGTGGTACGACCTGATGACATCACGTTCTCCAAAAATGGGTTTCAGTCTCTACACATATGAAAAACATACAGAAGTTGTATCTTTCCTTGAATCAATTATTAAACTTTTTACCCAATTGAAAATAGGATCAGAATCAAATGCCAAGTGGAGGCCTGCGCAAACAGGAACAATTCTAACTTCTTGACAATTCTTGAACTTCAGAACTGCTTCATTTTGGAAAAACAATACAAGTTCCTTCTGACCAGCCGCTTCACACAAGATGCTTTAGAAAATCTTTTTTCTACAATCAGATTCAAGAATCCAATACCAAGTGCATTGGAATTCAAAAATGCACTAAGAAACATCACAGTGTCACAGTGCATCTCTGGAAAATCTACTTCCTCATATGAGACAGATGAAGTATCAGAGACACACTGTTTCTTGGAGAAATCTTTTCCTACATCATAACATGAAGAAAGTCAATCGTTTTCTGTAGAACCGAGCGATTTTATTCTTGATCTCTCTACATCAGAATTGTCAAGCTTGGACCATCTTGGAGGGTATGCAGTCCACCAGTTCATCAAACTAAATGGTCACTGCCACGAATGTTTGAAAACCTTACTTGCAGATCCTCCTAAGCCAGAATTGCATGACTATATCATATCTATGCAAAGTCTTGTCCAGCTTCGCGACAACACCGGATCATCTCTTACATATATTTCGCAAGAGGTAAAGAAATTACTCCTTCTTGCAGAGAGCATATTCGTGGCTAGTGAGGCACAAGTAATGAAAGTGAATAGTATCCTGAGTGCTCTTGTTGACAAATGCCTTGCCATGGCTGACAGTAATATTCCCGATTGCCACCAAGCTAAGTCAAAGATTTTAAAAACCTATTTTCGTGTCAGGATTTACGCTCTTCTTCGAAAGAAAAAAACTGAAAACATGAAATCTTCTTCTGGCAATGGCTCACGATCTGTTGCAATGCGAGAATTAGTTAATCGCAAATGAAATAATGCCAACTCCAAAGTAGCAAGTAGCATCATTCAAATCTTGAACAGAAAACTGCATGATTACTATGATTCGAAGTTTCGAACAAAGTCTTGTCCAAGTATTTGATAACACTGATGCCAGGATAACATTGCCGCTTGCCACAAAGCTTAAAGATCTTGAAAACTTGTTACAGAGTCGGAACATAAGCCGAGAAAACACATTCACGTACGAAAAATACTTCTTACAATGGGTCACGATCAATTTGAAGCACGAACTAGTAAACCGCAAACGAAGCTCAAACCAATGAAATTAAATCAGGTCTGCCGCAAATCGTTAAAAAAACGCAAAGAGCTTGCTATTATTCCTAATATACTTGATACTACCATGGAATAAGCTTAAATGTCTTTCTTCTTTTGCATATGAACCCAATTTCCAATAGTATTATTAGAGTTTCACTTTGCAAGTAGGAACCAAAATGGCGGCTCCGCGCTCGCCCCAGACCGTTTGTCCCAACTCTTACTAATAGAGGGCTCTGGTGATAACTCCTTGAAAGTTGAAACTTGATAGGCTACCGAAACTAATTTACAAATTCTTTAATAACAATTTAAACTATATATATGTAATGATTTCCCAGAAAGGGTGTTGCTAGTGTTTGTGTTGCATTCGAAGAACAAACGGATATTTCTAGGTAATTTTTTTGTGTATTTGTTGTACAGTAAGTCATTGCGGAACTCGTTTGAAGAGATTTAACAGGTATGGTTTCTTCACTATTGTTTTATGAAAACCATTTACGCTATCATCAATTTAATGCTTCAGTTGAATGAAAGAAATTGTTGTTTTTATTGGTCTGAGAATAGATGAATCAATTATTTTATAGCCTGCTCAAAGACAATACTAAGAACGCATCTTTATCAACGATCGATCAATTCACAGGCAAAATGAGCTTCGGTAAAAATTTACGACTGTATTTGTAAGCAATGGTATGAGTACAGCATGTGCACGTGTTTATTTAGTTGTTCATACGTATAGAAACCATACGAAATGCAATTTGTTTTCACAAAATGTCTTTTAATTGTACTTAAGATTGGCATATATATTTTATGGAGATTGATCACCCCGAAGGTGTGAATATTTTCCCTAGTGTGACATTAATAGAATTGCAAATCACGTTTCGAATTTAGCTACTTTTTAAATTAAATTTATCAATATTGTAATCTGTGAAAGTAATTTCCAGCCGATATTTTGCAAATACACCCATTGCTGCTATATGTTTGTTGTACAATTTCTAAATTATTTTCATGATTCCATTGTAAATTTGTTGGCAAGTATTATAACAAGTTTTTTATTGGCTTCAATAATGAGAGTTTTCGTAGTTTTCAAAATGCTGCATTTAAACTTGTATAGATAGTGGACTTGAATCTCTTGGCTCATATCAGGTAAACAGTTCAAAGGGAGCATAATAAAGAGCAAATTATCTTACACATTGTCACACATGCATGTATATAATAAATGTACAATTTTATTATGTGTTCTAAACTTTAAGCACATTTTGCTTAGCTTAATTTTGGTGTAATTTTGGTGTTTTATTTACTAAAATACCGAGTAAATCCAAACCATCTTGGAATTTAATTACAAGCTCCTCTGATACTTTTTATCTTGCTACTAGTATTTTCTTAACTTGAATATCAAAATCAGATCAGTTATTGTCAGATCTGTTATGCAAATATTTTATATTGATTCACTGGTGAATCAATGATTAAAAATTATTTTCTGATGAAATGAATCATAATTTTGATGAAATATTTTCATAGCAGTCCTCAAAAAAAGTTCAGACTGGTATAGCTGTTGTTGTTTTTTCTAACATGCAAAGCAAAAAGAATATTTTTTCACATTCTTCAATGGATTTGATGTCATTTAGGAAAGTGAGATGACTTCAAAAAGTTTAAGGACATCGGATAAATGTTATGGCACGAAGAAGTATTTTATTACACTTTATTTATGAACTTTTGTTTTTCTATTGTTATTGAGAAATAGCTTATTAAAGTCATAATCATAATCACTGGGTATTTCTAGTCCACCTAAAGTGTTTGTGCCAGACCAAGGAAGTGATGCTCATCATCGTTTCATAAAATTTTGGTAATATTTTGTTTGATATACATGCACTTATTGAACTGAAGGATGTAAATTAGAGCTTTGTGTTATTTAATGTATTTGTGTTTATAAAACTATGTCTGAGGGAATAATTAGTAATGTATTCATTAAGAATAAATGTTGCTTTAATTTATGCATGGGCTGTGTAAACTATATGTGTCATTTAATATAGACAGGTGAAAACATCATCAGAAAAACTGTGTTTTTTGTTTTCTACCTTTTTAAGGTTGATCAACTGGGCCTTAGCTAGAACCTTGATCATGGGGGAGTGAATATTCATGTGCTCTGTCATACCTACTCACTTTCAAAAGTACTCAGTCAGGCACAATGAAATATATAAATACACACACCTCACAATTAATGTTTTAACTGCCAACGTCACCTGTAGATCAAATGCACTGTTTTGATTTTTTTGCTTTAAAGTGCAATTAATAGTCAATGCAAGTCCGATGATATTTTTGCTCTGAACATTTGCTAGAAAATTCAATGAATGTTTTTCTATATTTTGCAGAACAAAACACCGTCATCGCAAACCATTAGCGAGTTATCATATAAGATTAGAGAGGATGTTAAAGAAGCACTAAATGTCCAGAAAGAAAGCCTTCTTGATTGGCGAGGTGTTGCCGATAAATTTAAATTGAATCAAAAAATCATTAAGAAAATTGAAAAAAGAAGACGATCCAATGGAAAAGCTTTTGGATGAATTATCGCATAGAAATACTAAAGAATTTCTGCAAATTTTGTATCAGTTAGAAAGAAATGATGTGCTGAATATTTTTTACAAAGAACTTTGCAACAACAATTATGGTATGTTTATTTTATATAGAATTGTATTATAAAAATTTTACACTTTGTATGTAGTTTTGATTCTACAATTGAATAATTAATATGAAGTATTTTTTACGTTATCAAAATTTTAAATAATTCACATCTATGATGCAGTTTTTATTAGAGACCTTATTCCTCTTGAGCTGGATAAGTGTAAAATGATTTTTTCACTTTGAATAGCTGAGTTAAACGAGGATTTGTCAGCGGGCAATAAACGTGCTCATTATCAAGATTTAAGACTTCCAAGTGAAGAATCTACTCCCAATTCCACCAATAGGTATGTTTTTAGTCTACACTACATATTGTCAACTGCTGTATGATAATTATTTCTTTGGTCTACATCACGTGACGTCCAATTTTGCATGACTAATAATAGTTGATGACCTGTGACATAAAAAAGCTGTTAACGAATTTCTTATAAGTTTGTTCCAATGGTCATTTGTCATTACTTTGATACACAGTACGTTGAATTTCAACTTTATTTCCTTTCATTATTCAGTGATCTTTCGTCACCTTTTCGCAGCCCAAAAGGTACGTACGTATTTGAGAGGTACTTGAAGGAGGGCTATAACCTGATAATTTAGTGTGTTATCGTTGTTCTTTCCTCTGTTTCAGATGCTGGAATGCTGCCTGGTGGTGCAGAGGTATTTCCCGCACGTGCACAATCACGTGCACAATCATTTATTGTTGTTAGTCCAATCACTGTAGTGGCAAATTTGGTTTTCTATTTTAGAGTTTGGACGCGGCAGAAGGTACGAATGGACGGTCCAAAGATCGAAAGTAAATATTGAACTTGTTCCTTACGCATTTGAATCTTGTCTTTCATCTTTGAATTACATCAATAATTTTGCCTTTAGAACTTCACTTGCAAAACAAAATACTGATGTGAGAACTTCGCCAGCAAAACAAAATACTGATTTGAGTAAGTAAACTTTTGATCTTACCACACCCACACCCCACTGGGCATGTTACACGGAGGATATGCCTCGTTTTATCAACCCTGCGTTACCACCTGAAGTATAGTCATATGTAGAACTTAACCGTGGCCTATATTACCAGGTACCCTAACCGAGCATTTGTCCACGTTAAATTTTCACTCTGAAGAATCCAGGGAATTTTGGAACAAAATACGTCCACAGTCCCAATTAAAAGTGAAGGTACTAATGGTCGACCATAGCAATAGCATATTGAAAATCATCATTAGTGGTTGATTAGGTAGTTGAAAATGGCAAATTGAAGTATCTAGTGGGGGACACTATTTTGGGAAGGGGAGGGGGTACTTCCTCAAGGTATGAGATTTCTGGGATGTTTGGGGACATGCCGATTCATTGCTTTTTGCTCAATGAGTTAAACGTGATTAGTGATGCATAGTAAAGGCAAAAAGTAATAAGTTATTCCAGTCGTTTCTTGTTAAAATTGCACTGACTTGGTAAAACTTTTCTCGGTGTTATTTTACTCTTTTTCCTTGCGTGCGGTATTTTGATTTAGGAATGAGAGAGATGGAGGCACTTCTTGAAAGAGACTTTCCTAAGGTGTGCGCAAAGTCAGGTTTTGCGTTTTATATGTTACGTTTTAAAAATTGATCCTTTTGGTAAGTTCAATGAGGTTAATTTATTATGATGTATATGGTACGTAATGAATAATTGAAGATGATTTATGAATATATGAATTACACGTAAAAGATTGAAATTTACGATATCAGTAGCGAGGTTTATTTATGAATGTACAAAATGTATTTTGGCTTCAATATATGTATATCAAAACAGTATCATTAAGTGAATAGTACTAATTAATTTCTGCAATGTGTGCAGAATGTTGCAATTAAATGTTTCTCTAATAACGAGTATTCATAAATTAACAATTTTGTTTGCCTTGACAGTTAAATGTACTTTTTCGTCCATCATATTTTTACAGAGAGAGACAAAAAGTATGTCCACGATCAAGATTTTGCAAACCTCATTGCTTGGTTTGGTCCTGTTAAATCAGGAGAAGACGGTCTATTTGCTAAGGTAAAAGTATCGTGTCATTTTGTCATTATTCTTGACAGTTTGCATAGTTTTTAACTGCTCTTTTATGTAAATTTTTTGTCAGATTGCAAAATTGGCCAAAGGGTCCATAACGCCTAAAGAAAATCGACCACACAGGTATAAATTTATTTTACGTCTATTATTTTGTGTCGAGGCTGAGACTTGGTTAGAGATTAGTACCGTTCTTTTGATAGTAGCTACATACGTGCATGGCACACACGTCAATTCACGTCTTTAAACAATCAGACTTTTGATATGTATACGTATTAATGAAGCTACATTTGGATATCCATATAATATTTTCATTCTTTCCACTTTTAACATTCCTTGAGCGAGAATTAGCTGTGACCAATCTAACTTTATTCAAAATTCAAACTTTATGGTATTATATTATCATAGGCAAAGCAGAAACCGACTTTCAATAATCTCTGTGACGATAAAGTGCGTCTTACTCTCGTATAAATACATTTAGGCTCTGATTACTTTCCAAAGTTTCGATCAAACGTCCTTCCTAATCCCCACATTTTGATTTTGAATTTTTTTTAGTTTTTTTGCCGGATATATGAGTAAAGACAAAGCTGATGAAATAATCAATAAGCAAACCGAAGTCGGAACGTTTCTTATTCGATTTAGTTCAACGAACGCCAAAACGGGATCGTTCGTTGTTTGTTTGAAAACGGACGGCAATACAGAGCACATTGAATTGCAGGTAAGGGCTCGTTTAAAGTGATAATGAAAAAAATTAGGATTTACATGTATTTTCATTTAGCAGATTTTTTTAAAATGGTAGTTTCTTAAAATGTGCAGGCATACCTTTTTTGCGTACTCAAGACATTTCATTATTTTATTTTTTTCAATAACTTATTCACCCAACCAGTAACTTACAACTACATAATGAAAACATGAAGTATTAAATGTGATTGATGATATGTTACGTACTTCATTAACTCCTAATTGAAAAGTTAACCAATGGTATGAAATTCTGCTCAAACATTTTTTACAGGACATACCAGGAGACAAATAATTTTATTGACGACTATTACTCTTCAATTTCAATGTTCTGCTCGACAAATATATAAGTCAAATCTCATACATTTGAAAATAAAATGCTTATAAAGAAGACCTCTTATAGGGTAACCCTAAGTCGCGTAAAGTTAGTTTTAACGGAAGAGAGTACGACGATATTGTCTTATTGTGGAGACGCTACCTTAGTAAAGAAGGAGTATCCCAGGATGGTCGAACCGCCTGCTCAATTGTGTGTCCTGACCTTCCTTTAAACGCCATGTTTAAGGCGTACGGGGCAGGACCTAAGGCGTCCGGGGCAGGACCTATGGCGTCCGGGGCAGGACCTATGGCGTCCGGGGCAGGACCTGTGGCGTCCGTTAAAGGCCGAGGCAGAGGACGTGGAGCCCGTAGAGCACAATCAAATCAATAAAAAATATTCCTGTGCTATTAAAGCAGTGTTTGTCTCCCGCAGCTGTTGTAAAGTAGTCTCAAGCTGCATTTTCAAAGAAAGAAGAGAACTGACCAATCAGGGGTTTCGCCACAACGATACTAGCACATTTAAAGATGGCAAAAATGCACCAAGTGCGTAATAAGCCGATTATATTTGAATTAATATCATTCGCAATTAACTTAGACTTTCTAAATGAAATTTAGCACTGATAATTGTTCTAATATCTTTCGTAATTAACGTTAATTGTTTTTAGATTAGTTCACTGAAATTTAGCACTGATAATTGTTCTAATATCTTTCGTAATTAACGTCAATTGTTTTTAGATTAGTTCACTGAAATTTAGCACTGATAATTGTTCTAATATCTTTCGTAATTAACGTCAATTGTTTTTAGATTAGTTCACTGAAATTTAGCACTGATAATTGATTTAATTAATGTCATTCAAAATTAAAGTAAATTGCTTTTAGACAAATTGAATATTTGTGTTATGTTTCTTTTGGGAATGAAATGTTCACATCAGATTGGTGTATACAAACGAAAATATTATTGACATTTGATGACAAAACTAAACTTTTGATTGCATCATAAATGTTCATAAGAACTGATAAAAATACTATTTTAAAAATTTAATGATTTAGTTGCATGTGTAAAGCCACATCTGTTTATTGGAAAGGAGTTGGTATATTTGTTTCTTTAAACCAAAATCATTGACAATAAAATACATCCCCATTTTTAAAATTGATTGCAATATGAAGTCATTGAACAACCACTGTTCACTTAAACCTTGTCAATTGACTGAAAACATGCTAGAATTATGATGCCTATTTATTCATGTCCATCAGTTAATTTAGTTAATAGGTTATTTAACTGGTCATCACTAGCCAATCCAACTACTCGATCAACTATCTTTCCATCCCGCATCCCAAGAATAGTAGGCACAGCTGTTATCTAATAAACAACCATCAATTATTACGGTAAGTATACTTCAAATATCAAATGCAACAATTTTTTAAATCATACCGCGTATTCCATTGCCAAATCAGTATTTTCATCAATATCAACTTTAGCCAGCATTACTGCACCATTTTTAGAGTCAATCAGAGAATCTAACTTTGGAGCGAGTTGCTTGCATGGGCCACACCATCTGTAGAAAATGTATAATGTTGTATTAATAAAAACATGCTGTCTCTGCCAAACAGATATTGCACAATTTCATTATTGTATTTTCCCTGAAAAAAAACAATTAGTTGAATGACCTCCAATTATCCACACTGTCCCCAGTTGTCTCTCAACATGGAGAAAAACTTACGTTGCATGAAAGTCAACGACAACGGGTTTGTCAGACTTTAGGACCTTTTCACCAAAATCTTCATTATCTTTTACATCATAATTTAGTTTTACTGTGGAGGAAAAGAATCGAGAAACTCCAGCAAGCTGAGGTGGAGAGAAAAACCTCCGATGATATGATACTACACGGTATGCCATCTACGAAAAAATACAATAAAAATCTACAACACCTAATTTATTTCATCCTGAGACTCGACGTTTGAAAAAAATCTTTTCCAGTGGCATAAAATATTTTGTTTTTCTTACCTTGCCTTTTTGTGCAATAATCGGGAATACTTCATATAAATCTATACATTAGACAATTAACAGAGAAAATAGGTCCGCGTGCGAACACGTATGTGGGCATGAAATGCAACAATCAAGTGGAGAGGATTGCCCGAAGTTGAAATGTTGAAACACTCGCTAATTTCGTATTATTAAAAATTATTCACTTTCTTTTGAAAAACTTTCTTTTCTTGTTTCCTACTGTAGGAGTTGTAAATCATCTGGATTTATGGAAAGAACATGGCACGTGTTTGCTAAATAGTTTAGATTAGGAAATAAGGATTCATTTCGATACTAATGTATAATTGGAACCACATTTATAATACTATTTTAGCTCTAATAGATCGAAAGAAGAAATTGCAACGTACTGGCAGGAAATATGAAACAACAGTATTATAATATGGGTAAGTTTTAAAAGCACTGCATACCAATCAGCTCAAATCATTTTCAACTTTGTACTCCATTATTTGGACAAAGATTCAGGTAGTGTGAATAACTACATGTTGTATTTTATGCGTATAAACATGAACCATGCAGTTGCAACGTAAAACTTTTACTACAGAATGGCGCTTTCTATTTTTGTTCTGCAAGTTAAAGCATGGTGTAGCTAGCTCTTACAAAATCTTCTTCAAGCGCTTGTTTTTGCACGGCTATCAGTGCAAAAAAAACGAGTAATAAATGATAATGCGTGGAAAATCAGCAAAAAGCGAATGTGTGGTTGTAATTTGAGTGATGTGCAATAGGCTGTAGTCTATTTCTCAAATTTGCAAACACTTTTTTCCGCCAAATTTCATTCAAAAAATGCAGCCAGTGATTCATTTATGTTTAAATAAAAGTCTTTGGTGATCAACATTATTGCAAGCGCGAAAGAAAACTTTGAAAGTTGAAACGATCATGATATAAACTTAGTGTAGTCACGTGACTTTCTAAAGCTATAAATGAAAATAGTTTTAAAACTTTCCTATGGTATGAATTACTATAGTTATAAAACTTTCTAATGGTTCAAAATTAAAATGCTTATGAAACTTTTCAATGGTACAAGAGCTATATGATTCGTTATATTTGAGAAAATCACATTTTAAATTGTAATTGTGCTGAAATAGCAATTGATAATGTTACAGCTGGAATCAACCACGCTTAAAATTATTATTAATACGTCATTGAAAACACTAGAGTTAATTATTATTGTTGTATTCATGAACAATGAGCCCATTCTGGCAGATGGTAAAAATTCCCACCAGAGCCATCACAATTAGAAAGTGTACCGGATTGTACCTTCTTTCTGTAAACAATTCCAAATAAACGTACAGCAAAACTAATGGTTCCAATACACATTTCTCTTTGGCTTTGCTCTGCGGAAATGACTCCGGAGAGAAAATTGAAAATCTGAGTTTTAACAAATTGAGAAAACGCACTTGAATCATCGCATTTAAAATCCAGTAATTCCAGAAGTTTCTTTAAACTAGTATCGTCTACAACTCTGTCAATATCGACCAAAATTAGGTTGAATGCATCAGCTAATAAGCTTTGAAAACTCTCATCTGACATTTTTCTGCTACAAATGAACAACAAGTGTCAGTGTGAAGTGAAAAGGCCAACTGCCGTTGACTGTCATTTAACTCATTAGTTTGTTTCAACACATTGTCTTGCAACAAAAACTTTCCAATTAATTAAAAAATTGACACAAATACATTGCTATTTGTATATAAACATTTTTTGTTCCGTAAAAGTGAGAACTGAGACATAGAGCTGCGCATGCGTGTTTACTTTCGCAAAGCAATTGAAAATGAAATCATAGTGAAAATAAAAATAAATGAAAATGAAATCATGCAAACTTTTCTTATAGTGTTTTTTTCTGAATTTTTTTACTAAATTTAAGATAATTTAGTCATTATTGTTGGAATGGTCTCAAAATTTCTCATTTTCAAGTTTTTTACGGAAAAAATGTTTACGCAGCGAGCAAGCCTGAGGCAAGCAAGCGAGCAAACTAAAGCAGTAATTGTTTTGTGTACAGATGAGATTTCTAAATTAACTCTTTGTATATTTATTGTATCGCATTTTCAAATAATTTCACATCTCTTTCAGTTTTTTACTTTTTTTTTCTTTGATAAATAAAGTTGATAGCTATTGCTTTCTTTACACAATTCTTTTCATCAGCACGATATTCAACTTGTAAATAATTCCATCATCTATAGCAATTCGATACACTCTCACTTAAATAATATAAATATAATTGTAAGTAGATATCATAAACATTCCTTGTACTGAAGATGGCTTAAGTATGCCGAAGCATGTTTACTTGTCTAACATGTTGTAGCACACTTGAAATTCCCAACATTTCTTTGCCTAATTTAAAAAGCTTATTTTTTCTTTCTGTGTTAAGCGCTCGATGTCACAGATGTGTTGATCATTGTAATTGTACTTTTTAATATTGACCTTTGATTTGTCGACGCCTATTTGCTACTGGTAGTAGCACTACAGCACTGCAGCGTAAAGCAATATTCTCACCACATGCAAAACAATTCATACCAAACAACGTGGATTTCACTCATTTCATATTAAACTACGTCGAAATGATAAAAAAACTTTATTATCTGTAAGGAATTTAATTTGAAATTAAATTTCCATGCATACAGTGCGAATAACGTCTTTTTGTTGGTTTTTTTTGAGATTTTTCTAGTGATTTGATATGTCGTTATTGATTTTTATTGTTAGCTTTCACGTCATCCTGACAGTTGTTGATGTTGGGTTTGATGCAGTGGCCATGATAAATAATCAAACTGATGTCTGGAGGTTTTATCACATTTATTCCCACACATAGAAGAAAGACTAGCACACGACAACTGATGCACATAATGATACAGCTATTTACATACGTGACGCTAAACTATGATTGGTCAGTTTATTTCCTCAGCTCTCGTTACAAATAATATCGATTACCTTTACAATCATTTCTATAACACTGGTCAACAAAAAGAAACTTTTTAAAAGGTGTCTGATATTTTTTGACAGATTTACTATATTTTTGCTATGCTAAATCTAGAAATAACATTCATTTTGCTCTCGGAGGTCAAATTTTTTTGCAAATTTGAATTTAAAATTATGCGACTTTAGTTATATTTTTTTAAAACAATGTTTTCAAGATTTACATGTTTTCAAGATGTTTCAAAACAAAATGTCAGTTTTTATGATAAAATTGCAGTATTCCAAGAAAGAATCATGTACACTTCATGTACAGTACATGTAACTAAAAATGAAAACTTAATGTTTGCATTATTACGGTCTAAATTTTCGTTTTTTTTGATTGTCGCGAATGTTTTGGTGCTTGCACATCTCTTTTTAAATTCCAACAGTAGTCTGCCATCATCACCATGTCCCACCTTTCTCTTAAGTCATGGTGAAAGCGCTCTCCTTGCTCATCGCTTAAAGAGCCAAGATTTTCGGGATCAATACCAGCTTTTAATTTTTCAGTTGACAAATTGGGGAAGGTTTTACAACGAAACTGAAAACACCGTCCATCTTTATCCAAAGTTTTAGTGAATTGCCTTATCAAACCGAACTTTATGTGCAGTGGAGGAAATAAAATACGTCCCCTGTCAACTAGAGGCTTGTTTATCACATTTTTTGCTCTACAACTTGCAAGCTCTTCACGTACTGGCCATTCTTTTTTCACGTAATGATGAGTACGATCCCTACTATCCCAGAGGCATAAAAAGTATGGGTATTTGGCAAATCCAGACTGTTGACCAAGCAAGAAGTTGACCATTTTTAAGTCAACGCAAATCAGCCATTTATGTTGGTCATAAGAAATTTTTTCTAGGACGTACTTAATTGCTTCATGCTGTTCTTTTAATGTTGTCGAATGTGCCAATGGCACAGATGCAAATTGATTTCCATTGTGTAACAACACAAATTTCAAGGACCTTTTGCTGCTGTCGATAAAAAGTCGCCAGTCCTCTGATTTGTATTCAGGTACGCCGAGATGTTTCAGTAGCTCTACTATGTCATTGCGATAGACTAATTCTTTTTCTTGAGCAAAATATCTTAAAAATTCCTGGTGCGTGGTACGGAAGAAACTTACCTTAACTTTACCATTTAGCATGTTCTTGTCCTTTAAACGAGATGCAAGAAGTTCGGCAGAGTCTTTTGGCAAATTTAAATCGCGAACAAGATCGTTTAGTTCGTTTTGGGAAACAATTTTGCCATCGGGAAAACAATTTAGTCATGTGGAAAGGATGCATCAACGGTAGTGGCAATGCTTTGAGTTTCATCCTGGCTACTACTGCTTTCTTCAATACTTGTATCTTCAAATACAAGTACGGGAATTTCTTCACTATAAGGACTAGGGCGCATAGCTGACGGTAGATTGGGATACTCCAGTGTTGTGCGATTTTTTCTGTTAATTCCCATGACATTGATAGCACAAAAGTAGCAATCGGTTGCATGATTTAAGGCTCTCGCCAAATCATGAGGATGCCAAAGTTCATGGACTTTTGCGTGCCATCTTTTGCAAACCATGTGAGGTGCCCAACTTTTGTCTTGATCGCCGAGCTTCATGCCAAAATATGCATAGTAAACGCGCTTGATAAAGGTGGTGACAGTATTGCGATTTGGTGCAAGTGTGTATTCACCACAAACATAGCAAAAAACATCTGGCTTATTTTTCTTATTTCTACTTTTTATTATTTTTTTACGTACATTAATATGTTGGTGTGTTTTAACAAGTTTTACCATTGAATTTCAGTATGGGCTAAATAAAGCCTTATTTTATCTTTAAATATCCCATAATAATCGCAAAACCTAAACTCCCTAATTGAAATTCAATCAAAAATTGCTTATTCAAATGCTTTCTTCTTTGTATTGCTAGTGCTAAAAAATTTAAATTTGTTCAGATAATATAACTTTAAAAGGTAAATGGTTAGTACTTCTGTTGTACCTTTCTCGGGTATTTAAAAGTTAAAAAATAGAAAATTAACGATAGTTTAAAATCTCGACCTGACCCAGCAAAAATAGTGTTATTTTTGGACTCAGCACATCAAAATTATCCAAAATCAGTTTACAAAACTGAGACACCAAATTTGCTGTTGACCAGTGTAATTAAACATGTAGGAAGTTAACACACATTTTACAAGATACACAAATACACATCACATGAGAGCATAACCTAACAATTGACATAAGTTGTTGATCAGTAGGAATGTTTGTGCTTTGAAATTGAATTTCAAAATTGGTTTTGAGATCATTTCCACATTTACGGATGATCTTATCCATAATTCCGCGTGTATCTCGCGTGGACTTTTTATTTGCGTGACGGATTGTTTTGCAAAAACTGCTAACTTGAGAATAGAATGCTAGCCTAAATGTTTTATTTTTTTCAAAACCATTTGCAAAATTTGGTTATTAATGTGTTAAGATGCTTTGTGGACGTTTAAAGACATGTTTTATATACGTAACGCTGTATTATATAAAACATAAAAGGGAGAACTTGCTTCGAAATATGAATTTCTCATTTGTCGTCGAAAGACCAAAAATTTAAAACAAAACTGATAACAGGTAGTCTGTATCTTTGAATGCTGTGCAAAATACACACAATCCACTTAATATAACATGTTTCATAACAATTTTATTGCTTTCAAAGTTAGACTTACTTAGTAAGAATTTCACATGCTCTTTTTGTAATGTGTGAAAGTGATGATTTAAAATTTTGAATTGTGGGTGATTGTTTGTTCTTGTCATTTACTTCTCCCACTTCTTAAGAACTGGTGGAATATATTACATGCATCCATATTTGTGTATTGAGCATTTTATCTGCAAGTTCATGCTTATAAATAAATAGCCAAGTGTACAACATGACAAGTATTGCTAATATAACCTGCTCTACATAAATGCCAAAAAGCAACCCTCATCCTCAGTGGTTTGAACCAAGGTTTTAAAATGATTATAAAGCAAGCAAAGCTATATCATGTATCAAAATTTTATAGTATATCATATTGAATATAAAATTAGTTTTTTCTTGTAATACAGATGATGATAAATGTATATGTAATATATTAAATTTTTGGATGCATGTTTAAAATGTTTGGTCATATTTGTGAAAATATATGATGATTCTATAATATTAGGCTAATAATCTTTTTCATACTTGTATTACAGTACAATTTTTACTTAAGTGTTTCAAAAGTTATGAATATGGAGTGTCAATTGTGTTTTTGTCTTTTTTTAAGTGGGTATTGAACCTTTTGACTCTTTAATGGTGCAATCAATAGTAACACAATAATATGGCATAACAGTTTATTTAAAAAGAACTCAAAATATTTTTTTGCTAACTTTTTGAAATATTTTGCAAAGTGATTTTTTTTTTGCTTACGCTCTGAACTTTCAAAAAGGACTGGGGCGAGCTAATTTTGCTCGGAAACACAAAAATTAACGAAAAACAGCATTTTTTTGGCCTGACAGCTTCATTTTCAAAGATTCAAACAATATTATAAAGATAGACAAGTGTGTTTTACATCCTTTTAATGAAAAAAAACGAGGGGTGTCAGTTTTGTATTCAAGTTATAAGGCATGTTTTCACGTGCCAAAACAAAGTTCGCTTTTCATCCTTCTAAAAAGAAGTTAAAACATGTATAAATGTCGTTCAAACTTGTTTTATATTAAAGTCCAAACATTGTTTAAGGTTTTTAGACATTAAGCTGGCTCGAAGACCACTGTTATCACAGAATTTGACTGTTGATCATGGTCAAATTCTATGGATGGAGACTATGGATTCACTAAGGATGCCTTGAATGCTTTGAAGTTAAAGTTCATGAATCAAAGAAAGATGGCAAAAAGGTTGTGTGTGTTTTGATGCATAATGAAATGTCAATTCACAAACATGTAAAATGGAAGGCCATAAAGTTTGTGTCTATGTAAACATTTGTACTGAGATTGATGATGCTTTGATGCAGATGTGAAGCTTCAAACTGTATAAGCCATTGGGTTTTATACAACTTAATGTTTAAATCATGTCATATCTTTATCAAAATATTTTAGTTGAGTGTTGTTTAAATGTTACTAATATCTAATGCACTATACTGAAGCATTAAAGATTCAGTGATGAAACCTTTAAAGTTACTGTACTGCATATTTCTTATATATTTCTTATATTTCTTTAAGAAACAGTTTGAGTTTGTTTACCTATTAGAGTACAGAATGGAGATTTATCATATGCATTATTGCTGCTTTTTTAAAGAAAAGTTTTTCACTTTTCAAAGCTTTTCTACAAATTTTTTGCTTCTTATTTCTTTTCATGAGATTGATGATATAGAGGTAATATAATCCAATAACTTTCTAATTTCTAAAAAGCTTTTAAGCTTCTAGCATAAAAGTAGACTATAGGTATGTAATTCATTTGGTTTTATTGCCTTGCTATGACATATCTACTTGCACTTCATCATTCTTGTATGAACAAAACACTAGATGTGGATACTCAGAGAACAAAATGCACTACCAACTGCTTATGAAATTTATTATTGAGGTGAAAACTGTGTTAATCATTCAAATTATAGTGCACTTTTATTGCAAATATAGAAAAAACAAAACAAAATGAAAAAGAAGGGTAGAAGTATTAAAACTACAAATGAATTATAAACACCATTGGAAGCATAAGTGTTTTGATGATTATTTGCATTTTGCCCAATTCATATATCAATACAACAAAATCAAAATGTGCTACAATTTAACAAGTATTTGATGCAGTTGCACTTTAGAACATCACAAAAAGGTTACTTAAAGTAATTTCTATACAATATTGTTTGTTTTCATTTACCAAACCTATGCAGACTTAAGTCTTTTTGAAATATAATACGAAACTCAATTACAGAAAATCCGTAAATATCCAGAGATTTAATATTTACTTTTTTAAAGAAACAAGTAAAAATCCCACAATTGTGGCGAAAAAAGCCATTGCCCATTGCATGAAAAGAAGCAAAATAGCAATGATAACAAATAAGCTTCTCTCTCTCGTGAACCGTGGAGATGAACTATGATATACTTTTTGTATAGACTAAAGAGTTTAATCGATCAAACAAGTTTGACGCTGGTAGAAAACGACGCACATTCATTCATGTGTAGCCGACATAGCTCTTTCGTCGATAGTTATAAATGCATCCTTGTAGGAGCAGATAACTGACAACCACAGTTGACTCGCTGTTATGAATTTAAGGTTTTTACCTTGATTTTCATCAAAAAATTGCTTGCCGAATCCCAAATACACATATACATTTTCCTCACTCTTTCCTCAGGAGGGAGTGGGAAATTGTGAAATTTTCGGAAAAGCGGTCAATTTCGGTAAATCTCAGCGGCAACGGACGAAATCCGCCATTTTTTTTACAACATCCGATATCTAAGGCCGCGCAGGGACGCTCCAGTTCATTGGGTTCTCATAATATGGGGCGAGCTGCATCGCCGTCGTGACAAAAATGGCGGATTTCGTCCGTTGAGATCTCGAAATTGACCGCTTTCAAAATTTCACAATTACTCCTCCTGAGGAAAAAAGGAAAATGTACGTGTATTTGGGATTTGGCAACAATTTTGATGAAAATCACGTTAAAACCACAATTCGTAACAGCGAGTCAACTAGCTTCCAGTTATCGGCTACGAGGATGTATTTATAACTACGAAAGACTATGTCGGCCTATCTATGAATGCAGATATGCGTCGTTTTCTTACCAGCGTCAAACTTGTTTGATCGTAAACTCTTTAGTCTATACAAAAGTATATCATAGTTCATTCACTCCACGAGTTAGCTTATTTGTTATCATTGCTATTTTCTTCTTTTTTCATGCAATGGGCAATGGCTTTTCGCCACATTGTAGGATTTTACTTGTTTCTTTAAAAGTACATATAATCTCTGGATATTTACGGATTTTCTGTAATTGAGTTTCATGAAATTTCAAAGACTCAAGTCTGCATAGGTTTTAAATGTAATAGAAATTACTTTGTAACCTTTTGTGATGTTCTGAAGTGCAACTGCATCAATACTTGTAAAGTTGTGGCACATTTTGATTTTGTTGTATTGATATAATTGAGCGAAATGCAAATAATCATCAAAACACTTATGCTTCCAATGGTGTTATAATTCATTTTTAGTTTTAATACTTCTACCCTCACTTTGTTTTGTTTTTCCTATATTTTCAATATAAGTGCAATTTGAATTATTAACACAGTTTTCACTTCAATAATAAATTTCATAAGCAGTTGGTAGTGCATTTTGTTCTCTGAGTATCCCACTTGGTGTTTTCTTCATACATGAATGATGAAATGCATATGGATGTGTCAACAAGGCAATAAAGCCAAATGAATTAAATACCTATAGTGTACTTTTATGCTAGAAGCTTAAAAGCTTTCTAGAAATTATAAAGTTATTGGATTATATTACCTCTATATCATCAATCTGAAAAAATAAGAAGCAAAATATTTGTAGAAAAGCTTTGAAAAGTGACATTTATTTAAAAGCGGCAATGATTATATGATAAATCCCCATTCTGTACTCTAATAGGTAAATAAGCTCAAACTGTTTCTTAAAGAAATATAAGAAATATATAAGAAATATACAGTACAGTATTTTAAAGGTTCATCACTGAATCTTTAATGCTTCAGTATAGTGCAATAATATTAGTAACATTTAAACAACACTCAACTAAATATTTTGATAAAATATGACATGATTTAAACATTATGTTATATAAAACCCAATGGCTTATTCAGTTTAATGCTTCACATGCATCAAGTCATCATCAATCTCAGTACAAATGTTTACATAGACACAAACTTTATGGCCTTTCCATTTTATATGTTGTGAATTGACATTTAATTAAGCATCAAAACAAACAACCTTCTTGCCATCTTTTTTGTTCATGAACTTTACTTCAAAGCATTCAAGGCTATCGATCCATTGTCTCCATCCATAGAAATTGACCATGATCAAATAAATAACTCTGGATAAGGCAGACAATAAATCAATTATCTTTACAGCATTATCATTTTTAAGACTCTGCCTGGTCAATAACATCTTCCAGTCATCTTTACTTCTTGGTCTTCCATGTTGTCAGCAAATAGAACATAACAAGCTCTGCTCCAAATCATGGGTACTGTTGGGGCTGATCATTTTCTTGATACTTTCACAGAGCAAAATTTGGGTCTTTTGCAAACTAGATAGAGTAAATTTTACGATTTCATGCATTAACAAATGACAGAAAAGTATGCAGAATTTTATAGACAAAACAGGAAAACATCAGTATTTTGGCGTTCAAGTCAGTCTTAAAAATTACGATCTATGGAATGATGATAAATTATGATCAAAAATTATGTATTTTATGGCTTTTCAAGTGCATGTATAATTGCTTTTCAATCGTTGACGGACTAACAAAACAAACAACTACCTCACCTGTGAGAAGCGATATGTTCCTTTTTGTGGAAACTACGACATCCAACAATTGAACGATTGTAGTTTGGCATTATAAAAGAAATGCCAAAAAAGATATCGTCACAGAATATGGAACTAACGATATCCATATTCTGTGATATCGTGTTTGTTTTTGAAAAATTCTTTTATAATTTACTATAGACACCAGGAGGTCGATATTATTTTCTGCAAAGCGATCATTTCAGCGGAAATACGTCCGTTGGCCGCCATTTTTTTGGCGACCTCGCCCCAGTAAAGATAGCCGCTCCAGTTATTATAGAACTCAATGCTCCAGTTATTATAGAACTCAATGGATAACTCCTTGAAAGTTGAAACTTGATAGGCTACCGAAACTAATTTACAAATTCTTTAATAACAATTTAAACTATATATATGTAATGATTTCCCAGAAAGGGTGTTGCTAGTGTTAGTGTTGCATTCGAAGAACAAACGGATATTACTTCGTTATCTTTTTGTATATTTGTTGTACAGTAAGTCATTGCGGAACTCGTTTGAAGAGATTTAACAGGTATGGTTTCTTCACTATTGTTTTATAAAAACCATTTACGCTATCATCAATTTAATGCTTCATTTGAATGAAAGAAATTGGTGTTTTTATTGGTGTGAGAATTGATGAATCAATAATTTTATAGGCTGCTTAAAGACAATACTAAGAACGCATCTTTATCAACGATGGATCAATTGGTAGACAAAATGAGCGGTAAAAATTTACGACTGTATTTGTGAGCAATGATATGAGTACAGCATGTGCACGTGTTTATTTAGTTGTTCATACGTATAGACACCATACGAAATGCAATTTGTTTTCACAAAATTTCTTTTAATTGTACTAAAGATTGGCATATATATTTTATGGAGATTGATCACCCCGAAGGTGTGAATATTTTCCCTGGTGTGACATTAATAGAATTGCAAATCACGTTTCGAATTTAGCTGCTTTTTTTAATGTAATCTCTGAAAGTAATTTCCAGCCGATATTTTGCAAATACACCCATTGCTGTTTTACGTTTGTTGTACAATTTCTAAATTGTCTTCATGATTCCATTGTAAATTTGTTTGCAAGTATAACAACAAGTTTTTATCGGCTCCATACTGAGAGTTTTCGTAGTTTTCAAAATGCTGCATTTAAACTTGTATAGATAGTGGAGTTGGTTCTGTTGCCTCTTATGACAATGCAGATCAGGTAAACAGTTCAAAGGGAGCATAATAAAGAGCAAATTATCTTACACATTGTCACACATGCATGTATATAATAAATGTTACAATTTTATTATGTGTTGTAAACTTTAAGCACATTTGGCTTGGCTTAATTTTGGTGTAGTTTTGGTGTTTTATTTATTAAAATACCAAGTAAACCATCTTGGAATTTAATTACAAGCTCCTCTGATACTTTTTATCTTGCTACTAGTATTTTTTTAACTTGAATATCAAAATCAGATCAGTTATTTAACCTGTTATGCAAATATTTTATATTGATTCACTGGTGAAACAATGATTAAAAATTATTTTCTGACGAAATGAATCATAATTTTGATGAAATATTTTCATAGCAGTCCTCAAAAAAAGTTCAGACTGGTATAGCTGTTGTTGTTTTTTCTAACATGCAAAGCAAAAAGAATATTTTTTCACATTCTTCAATGGATTTGATTTCATTTAGGAAAGTGTGATGACTTCAAAAAGTTTAAGCGCATCAGATAAATGTTACAGCACGAAGAAGTATTTTATTACACTTTATTTATGAACTTTTGTTTTTCTATTGTTATTGAGAAATAGCTTATTAAAGTCATAATCATAATCACTGGGTATTTGTAGTCCACCTAAAGTGTTTGTGCAATAGGTATGTTTTTAGTCTACACTACATATTGTCAACTGCTGTATGATAATTATTTCTTTGGTCTACATCACGTGACGTCCAATTTTGCATGACTAATAATTGTTGATGACCTGTGATATAAAAAATAATTTTCTTATAAGTTTGCTCCAATGGTCATTTGTCATTACTTTGATACACAGTATGTTGAATTTCAACTTTATTTCCTTTCATATTTAGTGATCTGTCGTCACCTTTTCACAACCCAAACGGTATGTACGTATATGAAAGGTACTTGAAGGAGGGCTATAACCTGATAATTTAGTGTGTTATCGTTGTTCTTGCCGGGAACTCGGTTTGTGTAAGCGAGTTACCCAGCTAGGCGGGATAAATTTTTCTATATAAACACATTTGCCAAGTAATTCGGCGAGGCGAGAAAATTGGCTCTGTTGGTACGCATGCGTACTAAGCCTTGTACTTTCAGCATTATTATACAAAAACATACACATATCATATTTTTCAATTTTATATTCACCCATTCCATTTTTGCTGCGAAACTGAGGCTTTTTAAAATCTCGGGCCTTTACTCGAAGTTAGCATAGCAAACTTCATTTAAGACAAATGAACAGAAGTACTAGCCAAGCTACCCGGTGCCGTATAAACAGATCACTTTGTCAAACCCAGTTGAGCGAGTAACTCGGTCAGTCGGTAACTCGGCTCCATATAAACAGGCCCTAAGATGTTTTCTTATTGCTTGAATTACTGACAGCTGGCATTATAGTAAAACAGATTTTATTTGCCACACCAAGTCAAATGAAGTAAATATGTAAAAAGTGCAAGATTTTTAATAATTGATATCATATTTAGTCGTTAATCCATATGCGCGTATTGTCGTATACATTATATAAGACGAGTTAAGACTTGTTTGGCAATGTTGCATTTGTGGCAACTGATCGTAAAACAAGAAAAATGTTATTATATGGACTTCATATAAGTTGACCGAATCTTTTATAAGGAAATAGCTAATATGAGTAGATTTAATTAGAAAAACCATACAATAATTAACTGCATATTTTATGATAGAAAATTCAACTATATTTTCGAACATTTTAATTTGGCTAAACTTCACGTCTTAGGCAAATTTGAGCACTTTAACATTCTTTCATGTAACTTTCCATCTTTGTATAAAACAATAAAATTAAATCTCATAAGAAGCTTACCAACGGTCCATACGGCCATATAAGTAATAACTTAGAAGTATTTAAATATGGTTCCAGATAAGTTTGAATATCCTGTTGAGTGTTATTGTTCTTAGATCATGAATTGATTATCATGGTTTTCATCAGTTGTTTTTTTTGTGAATATATTTTATTCTCGCAGTTGTCGAGCAATGTGACGTTCCTTGGCAGGGTGCATTCTGTTAGTTAGGGATGTATAGAATAACAACTGAGTTTTTTCCAGTTGATGTATTGGAGCGAGATAGCGGCGGTGATGTTGGATTTACAATGAGAATGGATTTGTCAGTGTATTAGCAGCAATATTATACAATTTTATCATTTGTCTTTGCCTTTTATGATAAATACCCCACTACAATATATATATATATATTCCGCCGTTGTTATTTACGTTTTTTACATCTACAGTAGCTCATTGCAGGGGCATGTATTGCTCAATATAGTATGATTATAATATGATTAGTTGTAGGGTAAAATTATCAATACGAAGAGTAAGGAGTTTCTACATAGGACTGAGAAGAGTAATGTCTTATTCTTTAAAGGGCTAAGAAATTTTTCGCGGTGTAAAATACATAATGACACCTTTGCACATGAATAAATTATTGCTAACAACTCAGTGTTGCTTAGTTTTGCACTTCTTTATATGAATTTATTACCCCTTTCACTTTCCAATCGATTGGATATAAGATTGAGTTATAGCAGAAATTTGCATCCATCATTGTAAACCAATGCGCTTAAATTATAGTTCTGACTTTGGCATCTTATGTAGTATTTTCCGCATTTGAATTCACAAAAAATTTGCGATACTTGAGTTTTCTTATGCATTTACTGCAGATTATTAAACAATTTGGTTGATATGCGCGATGGATTTACGTTATTCGTATATTAAAATGAAGTATATGTAGTTTAAAAACTGGCATATCCTTTTAGATGTTGATTCAAAGAAAGCATCAAGTATGGACGATATTTTCGAAAACGAATTTCTTGATGAAGATTACAACATGAAAGAAAAGGTGCATGATGTATTTAAAAGGTACTCTTTTGTGTTTATAATACATAGCACAAGCAAGACCCGAAGAAAGTACTGATATTTTTTATTTTTTTTAATGCTGGAGCATATATTTTATGATAGGTGATGTCGTGTTATTGCTGATTATAATCATGCAGATATTTAATAAGAATACTATTTTGTCGTTGAATGGCAAAATACATGAATTCATTTTACAACATTTCAAGTAAATTTTCTTTTTATTTTTGTGTTATCTTCAATCTATTCTGTATAGTTTATCGTGGATTTGTGAAGGCTATGGAACAGTGGGTCTAAATGAAAAAATGCCATATCCCCATTTGTTTGTCACAGTTGAAAACCACGAAGGAAAATCTGAAGAAATTTTAAAAAAGGAGATTGATGATAAGTTTGGATGGAATGCTTCGGAATACATTGAATTTAAAAGTAAATCACTGAGAACACCAAGGTTTCGACTGTTATCTAACCTCCGCGTTGAGGATAGTACAATGCCAACAAATGGCAACATGCAAGTTAGCAATATCGACAGTTTTAATGACAACAATAATTCTCAAAGAAGCAGCTCGCATGGCACTCTGACAATGTTTTGTCGTAACAAAGAAAATCATTATGCTTTAACTTGTGCACATGTTGCTTGTGTTACAGACCAAATTTCTGCCACACAAACATTTAATCAGGAAAATGAGGTTTCGATGATAATTGATAACGTAAATGCCAGAAATGAAAATGATGGTAACAAGTATTTCTACCAGCTACCCAACAGTGGCGAGGAAAAACAACTAGGTAGTTTTCCCTGCAATACAGTTAGTAAGTTTAACGATGAAGCGGATGTAATGTTTATTCCAGTTGGAAACGAAAACGATTTTTATAGTCTTGGTGGAGGAGACTTGGAGAATTTTCCTTTGAGATTAAAAGAAGCAAATAAGGAGCTTTACCAGAGAGTAGACAATGGCTACGGTTTTGTTAAAGTTCGTACAAATTCTGGTATTAAAGGCTTTATTGATAAAAGAAATTACTCGCATTTGTGTAAAAAGTCAAGAGAAACCATTTTCAAGAATGCCGTTAAAGTCAAATGCGATGACCAGTTTCTTAAGGATGGTGACTCGGGAGGTCTTATTTATTTTAAAGATGATAAAAATAAATGGCAACCATTTGCGTATGGTGTGTGCGAAATAGATGAAGAAGATGATGACATTTCTTTTGGTGAAGAGAAAAGTTATATATGCTTTAAACTGGATAAGGCATTGAAGCTGCTCAATTTCAAAGATTGCGAATTCTTCAGAGAACCGGATGATAATAATGATGAAGTTTCATCTGATGAAGGTAAATGAAGGTTAATAGTTGTTGTAGAAATTCAAAACGGTCTTTCTCATCGTTTTTAGTTTGATTTTTGTGTACGAAGCACAGTCATTTCAGATATTTAAGAATTTTCGCTCAAACGTTGACAAATATGGCTTTGGTGAATCAGTTGTCCATTTTGTATAACCCATTGTGCACTTCACATTACTAAGCTTTTAATAATATAGCTACCTTGAGATATTTCTCGACTGTGATTGGTTGACTGAAGTGCAGTTTATCTGCATGTAATTGCACTGTAAAAATGTGTAATTGCACTGTTCAATAGCTGTAAATGCATTATAAGTACTGTAACCTGATTGGTTGAAAAGCAGTGAAAACCAATTCAAAATAGACATGGCGAGAGTAGTAAATAAATAAAGATTTCCGCATTTTCACTCGTTCAATAATGAGAATTTTCGTAGTTTTCAAAATGCTGCATTTAAACTTGTATAGATAGTGTACCTGATTCTGATGACTCTAATGGAAATGCATATCAGGTAAACAGTTCAAAGGTAGCTTAATAAAGAGCACATTATCTTACACATTGTCACACATGCATGTATGTAATAAATGTACAATTTTATTAGGTGTTGTAAACTTTAAGCACATTCGGCTTAGCTTCGTTTTGGTGTAGTTTTGGTTTGGTGAAGGGGTATGCTTAAATTTCAACAAAATTAGTTCTGAGACAGATTTTGGTGTTTTATTTATTAAAATACCAAGTAAATGCAAACCATCTTGGAATTTAATTACAAGCTCCTCTGATACTTTTTATCTTGCTACTAGTATTTTTTTAACTTGAATATCAAAATCAGATCAGTTATTTAACCTGTTATGCAAGTATTTTATATTGATTCACTCGTGAAACAATGATTAAAAATTATTTTCTGATGAAATGAATCATAATTTTGATGAAATATTTTCATAGCAGTCCTCAAAAAAAGTTCAGACTGGTATAGCTGTTGCTGTTTTTTCTAACATGCAAAACAAAAAGAATATTTTTTCACATTCTTCAATTTGAGGTTTTGTCGATGGTAAATTTTCACTCTGAAGAATCCAGGGAATTTTGGAACAAAATACCTTCTTCACCGTCCCAATTAATTAATAATGTACTGATGGTCGACCATAGCAATAGCATATTGAAAAAACATCATTAGTGATTGATTAGGTAGTTGAAAATGGCAAATTGAAGTATCTAGTGGGGGACACTATTTTGGGAAGGGGAGGGGTACTTGCTGTTTTTTCTAACATGCAAAATAAAAAGAATATTTTTTCACATTCTTCAATTTGAGGGTTTCTCGACGGTAGATTTTCACTCTGAAGAATCCAGGGAATTTTGGAACAAAATACGTCCACAGTCCCAATCAAAATTGAAGGTACTAATGGTCGCCCATAGCAAAAGCATATTGAAAAAAACATTAGTGATTGATTAGGTAGTTGAAAATGGCAAATTGAAGTATCTAGTGGGGGACACTATTTTGGGAAGGGGAGGGGTACTTCCTCAAGGTATGCGTTTTCTGGGGATGTTTGGGGACATGCCGATTCATTGCTTTTTGCTCAATGAGTTAAACGTGATTAGTGATGCATAGTAACGGAAAAAAGTAATAAGTTATTCCAGACATTTCTTGTTAAAATTGCACTGACTTGGTAAAACTTTTTCTCGGTGTAATTTTACTCTTTTTTTCCTTGCGTGCGGTATTTTGATTTAGGAATGGAGAAAGATGAGGGCACTTCTTGAAAGAGACTTTGCTAAGGAGTGTGCGCAAAGTCAAGTTTTGCGTTTTATATGTTACGTTTTAAAAATTTATCCTTTTGGTAAGTTCAATGAGGTTAATTTATTATGATCTATATGGTACGTATTGAATAATTGAAGATGATATATGAATATATGAATTACACGATTGAAATTTACGATATCAGTAGCGAGGTTTATTTATGAATGTACAAAATGTATTTTGGCTTCGATATATGTATATCAAAACAGTATCATTAAGTGAACAGTACTAATTAATTTCTGAAATGTGTGCAGAATGTTGCAATTAAATGTTTCTCTAATAACGAGTATTCATAAATCAACATTTTTGTTTGTCTTGACAGTTAAATGTACTTTTTTCGTCCATCATATTTTTACAGAAGAGAGAGACAAAAAATATGTCCACGATCAAGATTTTGCAAACCTCGTTGCTTGGTTTGGTCCTGTTAAATCAGGAAAAGACGGTCTATTTGCTAAGGTAAAAGTATCGTGTCATGTTTGTCATTATTCTTGATAGTTTGCATAGTTTTTAACTGCTCTTTTATGTAAAATTTTATGTCAGATTAAAAAATTGGCCAAAGAGTCCATAACGTATAAAGAAAATGGACCGCACAGGTATAAATTTATTTTACGTCTATTATTTTGTGTCGAGGCTGAGACTTGGTTAGAGATTAATACCGTCATTTTTATAGTACACACACACATGGGCACACGTCAATTCACGTCTTTAAATAATCATAGACTTTTGATATGTATACGTATTAATGAAGCTACATTTGGATATCCGTATAATATTTTCATTCTTTCCAGTCTTAACATTCCTTGAACGAGAATTAGCTGTGACCAATCTAACTTTATTCAAATTTCAAACTTTATGTTATTATATTATCATAGGCAAAGCAGAAACCCACTTTCAATAATCTCTGTGACGTTAAAGTGCATCTTACTCTCGTATAAATACATTTAGGCTCTGATTACTTTCAAAAGTTTCGATCAAACGTCGTTCCTAATCCCCAGATTTTGATTTTGAATTTTTTTTAGTTTCTTTGCCGGATATATGACTGAAGACAAAGCTGATGAAATAATCAATAAGCAAACCGAAGTCGGAACGTTTCTTATTCGATTTAGTTCAACGAACGCCAGAACGGGATCGTTCGTTGTTTGTTTGAAAACGAAGTGCAATACAGAGCACATTGAATTGCAGGTAAGGGCTCGTTTAAAGTGATAATGAAAAAAATTAGGATTTACATATATTTTTATTTAGCAGACTTTTTTAAAATGGTAGTTTCTTAAAATGTGCAGGCATACCTTTTTTGCATACTCAAGACATTTCATTATTTTATTTTTTTCAATAACTTATTCACCCAACCAGTGACTTTCTACTTCATAATGAAAACATGAAGTATTAAATGTGATTGATGATATGGTTACGTACTTCATTAACTCCTAATTTAAGAGTTAACCAAGGGTATGAAATTCTGCCCAAACATTTTTTACAGGACATACCAGGAGACAAATATTTTTGTTGACGACTATTACTCTTCAATTTCAATGCTCTGCTCGACAAATATATAAGTCAAATCTCATAATTTTTGTATCATTAGCACTTGAAACTTTAAGAAAAATCCTTGGTCCAAGTCCATTGAACAATGTTATAAATTGTTCAAGTGATAACATTTGAAAATAAAATGCTTATAAAGAAGACCTCTTATAGGGTAACCCTAAGTCGCGTAAAGTTAGTTTTAACGGAAGAGAGTACGACGATATTGTCTTATTGTGGAAACGCTACCTTAGTAAAGAAGGAGTATCCCAGGATGGTCGAACCTCCTGCTCAATTGTGTGTCCTGACCTCCCTTTAAACGCCATGTTTAAGGCGTACGGGGCAGGACCTGTGGCGTCCGTTAGAGGCCGAGGCAGAGGACGTGGAGCCCGTAGAGCACAATTTAATCAATAAAAATATTCCTGTGCTATTAAAGCAGTGTTTGTCTCACGCAGCTGTTGTAAAGTAGTCTCAAGCTGCATTTTTAAAGAAAGAAGAGAACTGACCAATCAGGGGTTTCGCCACAACGATACTTGCACATTTAAAGATGGCAAAAATGCACCAAGTGCGTTATAAGCCGATTATATTTGACTTAATATCATTCGCAATTAACTTAGACTTTCTAAATGAAATTTAGCACTGATAATTGTACTAATATCTTTCGTAATTAACGTCAATTGTTTTTAGATTAGTTCACTGAAATTTAGCACTGATAATTGTTCTAATATCTTTCGTAATTAACGTCAATTGTTTTTAGATTAGTTCACTGAAATTTAGCACTGATAATTGTTCTAATATCTTTCGTAATTAACGTCAATTGTTTTTAGATTAGTTCACTGAAATTTAGCACTGATAATTGATTTAATTAATGTCATTCAAAATTAAAGTAAATTGCTTTTAGACAAATTGAATATTTGTGTTATGTTTCTTTTGGGAATGAAATGTTCACATCAGATTGGTGTATACAAACGAAAATATTATTGACATTTGATGACAAAACTAAACTTTGATTGCATCATAAATGTTCATAAGAACTGATAAAAATACTATTTTAAAAATTTAATGATTTAGTTGCATGTGTAAAGCCACATCTGTTTATTGGAAAGGAGTTGGTATATTTGTTTCTTTAAACCAAAATCATTGACAATAAAATACATCCCCATTTTTAAAATTGATTGCAATATGAAGTCATTGAACAACCACTGTTCACTTAAACCTTGTCAATTGACTGAAAACATGCTAGAATTATGATGCCTATTTATTCATGTCCATCAGTTAATTTAGTTAATAGGTTATTTAACTGGTCATCACTAGCCAATCCAACTACTCGACCAACTATCTTTCCATCCCGCATCCCAAGAATAGTAGGCACAGCTGTTATCTAATAAACAACCATCAATTATTACGGTAAGTGTACTTCAAATATCAAATGCAACAATTTTTTAAATCATACCGCGTATTCCATTGCCAAATCAGTATTTTCATCAATATCAACTTTAGCCAGCATTACTGCACCATTTTTAGAGTCAATCAGAGAATCTAACTTTGGAGCGAGTTGCTTGCATGGGCCACACCATCAGTAGAAAATGTATCATGTTTTATTGATAAAAACATGCTGTCTCTGCCAAACAGATATTGCACAATTTCATTATTGTATTTTCCCTGAAAAAAAACAATTAGTTGAATGACCTCCAATTATCCACACTGTCCCCAGTTGTCCCTCAACATGGAGAAAAACTTACGTTGCATGAAAGTCAACGACAACGGGTTTGTCAGACTTTAGGACCTTTTCACCAAAATCTTCATTATCTTTTACATCATAATTTAGTTTTACTGTGGAGGAAAAGAATCGAGAAACTCCAGCAAGCTGATGTGGAGAGAAAAACCTCCGATGATATGATACTATACGGTATGCCATCTACGAAAAAATACAATAAAAATCTACAACACCTAATTTATTTCATCCTGAGACTCGACTTTTGAAAAAAACCTTTCCAGTGGCATAAAATGTAATAAAATGAGATTCATTCATTCATTCGGCATGCAATGTAATTCATTCGGCATAAAATGTGTTGTTTTTCTTACCTTGCCTTTTGTGCAATGATCGGAAGTACTTCATATATATCTATACATTAGAAAATTAACAGAGAAAATAGGTCCGCGTGCGTACACGTATGTGGGCATCAAATGCAACAATCAAGTGGAGGATTGCTCGAAGTTGAAATGTTGAAACACTCGCTAATTTCGTTTTATTAAAAATTATTCACTTTCTTTTGAAAAACTTTCTTTTCTTGTTTCCTACTGTAGGAATTGTAAACCATCAGGATTTATGGAGAGAACATGGCACGTGTTTGCTAAATAGTTTAGATTAGGAAATAAGGATTCATTTCGATACTAATGTATAATTGAAACCACATTTATAATACTATTTTAGCTCTAATAGATCGAAAGAAGAAATTGCAACGTACTGGCAGAAAAAAATATGAAACAACAGTATTATAATATGGGTAACTTTTAAAAGCACTGTATACCAATCAGCTCAAATCATTTTCAACTTTGTACTCCATTATTTGGACAAAGATTCAGGTAGTGTGAACAACTACATGTTATATTTTATGCGTATAAACATGAACTATGCAGTTGCAACGTAAAACTTTTACTACAGAATGGCGCTTTCTATTTTTGTTCTGCAAGTTAAAGCATGGTGTAGCTAGTTCTTACAAAATCTTCTGCAAGCGCTTGTTTTTGCACGGCTATCAGTGCAAAAAACGAGTAATAAATGATAATGCGTGGCAAATCAGCAAAAAGCGAATGTGTGGTTGTAATTTGAGTGATGTGCAATAGGCTGTAGTCTATTTTTCAAATTTTCAAATACTTTTTTCCGCCAAATTTCATTCAAAAAATGCAGCCAGTGATTCATTTATGTTTAAATGAAAATCTTCGGTGATCAACAATATTGCAAGCGCGAAAAAAACTTTGAAAGTTGAAACGATCATGACATAAACTTAGTGTAGTCACGCGACTTTCTAATGCTATAAATTGTTAGGTTATGCTCTCGTGTGATGTGTATATGTGTATCTTGTAAAGTGTGTGTTAACTTCCTACATGTTTAATTTTAGAAATGATTGTAAACGTAATCGATATTATTTGTAACAAGAGCTGAGGAAATAAACTGACCAATCACAGTTTAGCGTCACGTATGTAAATAGCTGTATCATTATGTGTATTAGTTAGTTGTCGTGTGCTAGTCTTTCTTCTATGTGTGGGAATAAATGTAATAAAACCTCCAGACATCAGTGTGATTATTTATCATGGCCACGGCATCAAACCCAACATAAATGAGAATAGTTTTAAAACTTTCCTATGGTATGAATTACTATAGTTATAAAGCTTTCTAATGGTTCAAAATTAAAATGCTTATGAAACTTTTCAATGGTACAAGAGCTATATGATTCGTGGTATTTGAGAAAATCACATTTCAAATTGTAATTGTGCTGAAACCTACAAATAGCAATTGATAATGTTACAGCTGGAATCAACCACGCTTAAAATTATTATTAGTACGTCATTGAAAACACTAGAGTTAATAATTGTTGTTGTATTCATGAACAATGAGCCCATTGAAAATGTCACAGTTGGAATAAAATTGACGCTTGATGTGAGGAATTTTAAATGTGCAGGTGTTCGCATTCGATTGTTTGCATTGGACAGGAGTAGCATTGCGACGCCTAACCTCATACTTGATGTTTTTGTTTGCCATACACAAACATTGTAATTTACCAGAGCATAAAGTTTATTTGATAAGCTCAATTCTCATTTAGATATGCTATTGAGATTTGTCAGACATGTAGGAACGTTATAATGCAATACCAGTGTACAGCTTTTGTTATTTATTTATGATCATGATGAATTTAAAGTTTCCAACTAATATCCAAGAACGACCATGTCAATCTTAACAAATTATTCGTACCATATTCCCAACCTTGACTCTGCTCAATCAGAATATATCAGCGGTGTCATGAAACTACACCATTTTACTTCCATCTCAAGAATACTAGGGACACCAGCAAAAAAGAGAACTGCCCATGACTTTATTATCGTTGGCATGGTGGATGGGGACCATTATATTTTGCTAAAGGATTTCAAGCTGTGTTGTCAAACATGCTAAACAAGAAAATTGTTTTAAAACCTGAATGTGCAGCGTTCGTTTCAACAATAATTATTTGTGATTACTTATAATAATTACTTAAACCAATGATGTTATCAGTTATTTTCTCTGATACATCGATGTATATTTCATAATCAGGTTATATTTACATGCAACTCACTTATCTCAATATATGTGGTGAAATAGGAAATTTTATGTTTATAATTTATATACGTTTGTCGAGATGATTTTATGGAAACCTCTCCCAGAATATGTTTGCCACACCAAATGAAATTAAGGACCACTTCTACTAGTGAAATTAATACAAGCATATGCAGTAATTTCCGAGTTTAAGGTCAATGTGAATTTTTTATCACAGCGCAAATTTTGAAGAATCACAAGATATATTGTGGGATGAACGGATGTTTAAGGAAAAAAATTATTACTATAAATGCCTAAGCGACATATTCCCATATTTGCCACAAACGTGCGATTTAAGAATGTAGCAATTGCTTGTTCCCATTAAGTTCCCGAGTTGAATACGCAACACAGCAAATTAAGTCTCAATTTCTTTCATTCCTATCAAATGAAACACTTTCAAGAAGGCAGTAGTGTGCATATTATTAGCAACAATTGCGATGAATACACGCTGTAAATAAACAAAAATATATATTTAAAGAGCGAATGAAATACTCCATAGACGATCTATATACAAAAAAATAATTCATTTATACATATTTGCTACAAAGGGCAATTGACCTTTATCACAACTTTGTATATACTTGGGGGTTTACAAATAAAAACGTTAGACAAAAATCATATGATCATATGACATAATCATAATGTATTTATCCCAAAACCTATAGTTGAACCGCACATCAATTGTCATAAGATTTTCACGCTTCACAAATTTAAAATGTACATTTTATGTTTCAGTTAGACAACTCATTGAAGTCAACACAACTTTTTAATCTATTACATTCTAGAGTTGCCTAATGTATTTGGATTAGTTGAATGCTTCATAACGTTGATGAATATCCACGTTATAAACAGATCTCATGTAACTAATAATCCAGAGACTTTGGATTAAAGAATTCGTTATCCTTCATGAAATCGTCATTCTTCCATTTCCACATTTTCGTCCAGAACACTCTCCAGTCTCTTAATGTATGCCATAGCTAATACCAGAATATCCAGTTCGCTAAGATTGTTTGAATCAAGAATTTCTGACGGCAAGATTTTCACCAGGGCTAAAACGCTTCCTTCATCATGTCCTGTTGGAGGCATTGGTCTGCATCCATAAGTATTTCATCCTCTGAACAAGCTATATTCGCTATGTTGCTGAGTTCTTGCTTCGAAGGTAGTTGAGTGTCGGCTAACATGGGTGATGAAATGTCTTAGTACGAATCTTTTCCTTTATTATTAACTCCTGTACAATTAGAGAGATAGTCCGACTCGATCGGTGTTCAACACTAAACTGACAAAGATTATATTGACCAGCTGGATTTATGTAACGTGCATTTTCTTTTCAATTGTAAAACTCGTAATCTCTTCTTTTGTTTAGTGACCTACGCACTCTTCAAAGAAAGAACTTTTATAATATAGAATCGGAAGCTTCCAGCTGAAGTCAACCTCAAAAATGACAAATTAAAAGGACGTAGAACAGGACATCTGTCCATTTAGGATCGTTACTAACGTAAACCGAAATTACACAGGATTCTCCCATTTATGTCGATTAAATATTTTCAACATAACGCAGGCAACGACTGGTGTATTTCAAGCAAATTTTCAATGCACACATCCGTCATTTGTTAAACAAAAGCGAACTGGTCGACCGGAACTTGTGATAAGCTCTCTTTTCTCAGCTGTTCAAATGAACTAAGTCACTGATAATCCATTAATTGTCAACATTCCAATACAGCATAATGCCACCGTGGGAAATCTAGACGACGTTCGTCGAGAATTTTAGAAATGTCTATATAATAAATGGTAGAAAAGGAGCTGCTATATGCAGAAACACAAAGACTATTGATAGTTTTATTTGCATTATCAAATATATTTTAATTTTCCAAGGTCTTGAAGGATCCTACAAAGGTTTAAAGGTAATACGTCATAAACTACAAGACAGTCACAGATAACATTGTAGCACTAGCCTACCACTACACAAAAATAATATTCACTAGCCTTTTACAAGTCATCACCATTTTCATAGATAAAAGTAATAGAACACGTTTAACACCCTTGTTGCAGGTTTGAATGATACAGCTGGCGAAAAGCACCTGCGTCTGTGCTTTTGTGTTTTGCTCAATCTCAAACATTTGAAATACTTTAATATGACCTCATAAAGTCAACAAAATATTTTGTTTATCAGTAACTGCCATAGGTTGTGGCCGTTCTTATGGTGAACATAATTTGAAAATGATATTTTCCCGCCACAAGCATTAATTTGCACGCGTTTCGAAGACCTGACACATGTTCAATAAATTAATAGTTCAGTAATTTCGTTCTAATTGAAAACGTCTCATCCATTTGGCACAATGGATTTTCAATTATCAGTGGCCACTTAATCCAAATGCGAAATGTGATCAACAACTATGATATCACAGAAACAAGTGTTTATTTGCTGGTTTTTTATAGAAATTTATTTTTGTTTAAAAGTTTATTCAACAGTGGTTAGGAAAGCAAACGAAACCAACAACACAAATGCTGGCCTTTCAAAAGAAGCGCCAAGCTAAGACTGGTGTCTCTAGTTGAAGTTACGGGTATTATTCATAGAATTACTGATATTTGTAATTATCCCGTGAAAGAAGCTACGAATGTCTTGATGTGTGTGCCACGATGTAACTCTTTATATTGTCATTGACTTTTATTAATCAAACGACTAACGATTATACTGTCATTTGTTAAGGACACAAAAACCTGAGTTTAACCGCCATGATAACATGTGCTTTATAGTCTACGCTTTTATCGCATGTGCTTTACAGCCTTTACGCCTTGATCATTCATTGCGAAGTAAATCCAATATATGTACAACAGCACTTCACCGCGTCAAGTGGTGGTTTTCCTGTTATGGGAAACACTCTCAAATCTTAAGTCTTCTGATCCATATGCTGCAGTAGAGGAAACAGTGACGTTAAATAAATATACTAAAGGCTAAATCCAAAACTTCTGAATCCATAAACGAACCTTACGAAAAACGGATGTTTTGTTTCACGTTTCAATTTCATTTAACAAGCAAAGTCTGCAAAGAGAACTGTGAGATTTTTGAGTTTTACAAATCACCTGTGGGCTGCGGAAACGTTTTGACAAAAAACCAAATGAAAAGGTATAAAATACCATTTTCTTGATTAAACTATAGGGTTTAAGTCATTCTATTTAAACTTGTACACAATTATCACGTTCATGCAAGGCTGTCTTTCTCCCCAGATCCAAATTAGGTTCATCTTTCTTGCTTCGACATCGACTCTCCTCCTTTCCTTTCATTTTGTAGACGTTTTTATGTGATTTAAAAACTGCCATCGACATAGAAGATTTTCTGGACACTTGAGTGTCTTTCTAATGAATGGAGACGAACGTCCCGCTATGTTGAGTATTGTTTCTCTATTCTCACATAAGCAGATGTAGAGACACAGGAAATTCGGATGATTTCAACTATGTACAATCTTCTTGTCATCATTCTTTACAATTGAGATTATTTAAAGATTATTCAAAGTTTTATAAACTCAATCAAGTCTTTTTTAACGTTAACAGTCTTTTGCTAACAATCATATTTACCAGCCTTTCCAAATGTCATTTATAAAAATCCATCGTATCTCATGTTTATATAGTAAACATCCTGAAGGCAGTGCTTCATTGAAAATATACGATGAAGCTATAAAGTTCAGCGTGGAAAGAGTGGAAATGTTTGTCTTCTATGATTCTTCCACAACCATTAAAGAGATAAAATCTTTATAATGCACAACACCCTGGTCAGGGTCAACTGAAGCAGACATCATTTCTTCCATTTCTTCTTGAGTAAATGGCTCTCCTGTTTCTGTCATGTATTTAGTAAGTTCCTCAGTTGTTAAATAGCCTTTGTTATCATGATCTAGTACTTTGAATGCTTTCTTGATATCCTCCCCCGAACAAGGTTTGTACCTGAAGACGAAGAAATGAATAATACAAAGGTTATATTTCACAAAATCAAAAAAAATATATGAAAAGATTCCATTTATTATTTAACAAGCAAGCTTACTTTTTCTCCATCAAGATGTTCATCATTATAGGTTCAAATTTTTCATAACGGACATATCCTGTGGGTTCATCTTCCTCAACCTGGGAAATGACGATCCAGAATGACAATCACAATTTTCAGCTTTGCGTATAAAACACGTTTAAAACACAGAGTGTTTTAAATACTCGTTAGACTAAATGCAGTGGCCTCGTGAGGTGTGAATCATACATTAATTGTCAAAATAAACGTCAAAAACTTACATCGGCTAATATATCATGTAGTTCTCCTTCAGTTGGGCAGCATTTTAAAGATCGTACTATTGTTCCTATCTCCCTGTTTTTAAAAAAACAATGGCTATAATGATACCACATATAAAACAGCAAATTGGAAATACCTCATGTCGACTGTTTTATTGGATTCATGGTCAAATATATCAAATGCATCAGAAATACTCTTTTGCATGGCTATAGTATTATTATTGGACTTATTGGCGGAAAGCTCTATTTGGTTCGCCATGTTGTTTTTTATGTCTGTTGCTATAACGACAATTAATAAGGGTACAATGCTGAGCGACGTTGGACAATGGGGTATCTTTATGGATCAAGTCCATTAATTACCTTAATCCCAATGGAGGAACACGAATCACGTTATATGCAATCGAAGTAGTCTTATATGTGACTTTTGTCATATTTAAATTGCTATTTTTTCGACGATTAGTTTTCAAGTTTTGTGTGGCATACTGCTTTGCTATGGCGGAATCAGTTGGGAAACAAAGTCAGAGAGTTCCCAAGGTGGCAAAGGTAAAATTTGTTCTGTGTTTAATAGTGTATGTGATGGGGATGCAGAACACGTTATAAACATGAATTATCTTTAAAGGTGAAGAATAAAGCTCCAGCACCTGTTCAAATAACTGCAGAACAGCTTTTGCGCGAGGCCAAAGAAAGGCAACTTGAAGTTGTACCACCTGTAAGTTTCAGGAAGTATGGTTGTAATATAAAGTAAACAAATAAAGATCTCTGGTAATGACATCTGTTAAAGTCACGTAGAATTCCAATTGTATTACAGTGTATAAGATTTATTTAGATTGTGATGAAAATGGAAATGTTTGTCGCTTTTATTACCTTTGTTCAAACATGACATCTTCTTGTGTTTAGCCACCAAAACAGAAAATCTCAGATCCGGAGGAATTAAAGGAATACAAGCTACGAAAAAGAAAGGTGCTTTTAAAAATTATCATAAATGTGACTTCAATATTTTATTAGTGTTGAATTATTTGTTGAAAGTGATGTTGCTCAAACTCTGTGTTCGAAAATTTTTAGGCATTTGAGGATAATATTAGGAAAAACAGAACGTTGATGCCAAATTGGATAAAATATGCACAATGGGAAGAAAGTCAACATGAATTTGAGAGGTGGACTTTTACACTTGATGTTTACATAATTTGATTGTTTATATACATAGTGTAATGTTGATTTGCAAAAGGGTCATTCAGAGAAATTAGGGGCCCTGGGATACAGTGAGATTTTAGATCTTAATCACCCAAAACTGACTCATATGAAATGACAATCGATTTTGAAATGTTGATACATGAACAAAGACTTATTTTCCATTGATGCTTATTATGGGTATGTGACTTGCTTATATTTTAGGGCAAGATCTGTGTATGAACGGGCTATTGATGTTGATCATCGTTGCATTCCCATTTGGTTAAAATATGCAGAAATGGAAATGAAGTATGGAATTCTAACATTGTATTGATTGATGAGAATCATTATGTTTTTAATTCTATAAACCCTACAAACTTTACACATTCTTTCTCATTTGATTGATTAATTCCATCCCTAGAAGTGAACTTTAATTCATTGCCATATAGTCATCTTCCTCCCAACTGAAACTGATGCTAATATTGTGCAGTATTTTTTATATTTAGATTGACCTGAGATGACATTAATGAATCTTAAATGAAGATCTGATCTTTGCACTTTGCTGGACAATTTAAGCAATTGTCTCATAAACCTGAAAAATTCAGGTGACTCAACGGGATGAGACGATTGCTTAAATTGTCCAGCAAAGTGCGAAGATCATATCTTCATTTAATTTCAAACACCGCACTGCATAAAACATTCATTAATGAATCTTGTATATATTGAATTGTTATTTTGTTATAGTTGTGTTATCTTTTCAGGCATCGACAAGTCAACCATGCCCGAAATATTTGGGACAGGGCTGTTACCATTTTGCCTAGGTGTAATCAATTTTGGTAAGTTATTATTTTTTGGTGAGTTATTTAAGCAATTTTTCAATCATCATACCCTGAGATATATCTGACATAGTATTCTGAATACTATCCGGACATAGTATCCGGATTATTTATCTAAATAAATTAATTTAGGACTTTAAAAAAATTTTAAAAAAAAGATTTGATATTTTAGACTATATTTGTTTATCAGTCTTTTGATAACGTTTTTCAGTCGTTTTATTGAGTTTGTCATCTTTACAAAAAGATATACAACGAAATAAATATGTTTAAATATTTCCTTTTGTGTAAACACATGTACTACTGGTAGTCAATCTTTTTCACTGAGAACTCTTAAAATGTTATGTTTTGAGTTCACCATATCCCAAAATGAACAGGCTTAGCTAAATCCTGTTCATCCACAAAACTACATAGTTCTGACAATTTGTACCTTCAACAACACATCTAAAAAATGCAAGCTAGAGTATAGTTTCATTTCAAGAAAAAAAAGAAAAGATGAATCATTAAACATTTAATTTTTATAAGTTAGTTGTCTAACTACAGCTGACAACAACGTTTTTGAAGCAACATAGTACACATTTAATGTATTAAATGATGTTACAAACTTATTTTAAATTATGCAGGTATAAATATACTTACATGGAGGAAATGTTGGGAAATGTTGCTGGTGCTAGACAAGTGTTTGAGCGGTGGATGGAATGGGAACCTGAAGAACAAGCTTGGCACTCATACATTAATTTAGAACTTCGTTTTAAGGAGTTTCAGAGAGCTCGAAATATTTACGAGCGTTTTGTGTACGTCCACCCTGAGGTGAAAAATTGGATAAAGTATGCAAAATTTGAAGAGAAACACGGAAATATAAGTAAATATAAATGAACTTGTTGTTTCACTTAGTTTTGTGTGTGGAAAAACCTTCGTTATGCACTTCTTTGTTTTTGCTCTTCTTTGCTTTAATTTTTTTGTCTCTCGCTTCTCTTTGTTTATTTATGAATTGTTTTTGCCTGATAAATATATTATCTTTTTTTTTTGTCGCCCAATATTACCCATGAACATTTTTATCTTTTTTAGCGAAGTCACGCGAAGTGTTTGAACGGGCAGTAGAATTTTACGGTGAAGAAAACATGGATGAAAAATTGTTCGTATCATTTGCAAGATTCGAGGAATCTTGTAAAGAGGTGACATGCATATTTTTCTCACCTACCAAAACCTATTCAAAGTTGTTTCTTCTACCGGGGGCTTAGTGTATGAAAATTCGAGCTTTGTCCCAAAAATAAAAGATTTACAAAATTTTTTGAGGCAAATTATTTTTACGTGAGTTTAAGTTTCGTGACAAACAGGTTTTTGCAAATCCTTCAGCAGGAACACTGGGTTAAGTTTTAACCCAGAATTAGCTTTAAATATCTTGTTTTAAATCGCTGACCCCAGAGTTCTCGTTTTGTTGAGACGTAGTCTACTACGTTCACCCTATTTTACCTTTACTATCCCCATATTACCCTTACAGCACGAAAGAGTGAGAGTTATCTGTAAGTTTGCTCTTGATCATCTTCCCAAAGAACAATGTCAAGATCTTTATAAGTTTTACACTCAACACGAGAAGAGATTTGGTGATAAGGGAGGCATTGAAGATGTGATTGTCTCAAAAAGGAAATTTCAATATGAAGAGGTACACATCATGTTGTTCAATAGTACACATTTCTAGCTAGATCTTAGAGCATGTTGTTTAATGTTATACACTTCTGGCTAGATCTTAATGAATGTTGTTTAATGTTTTACATTTCTGGCTAGATTTTACTGCATGTTGTTTAATGTTACACATTTCTCGCTAGATCTTATAGCATGTTGTTCAGTGTTATACGTTTCTGGCTAAATCTTACTGCATGATGTTTAATGGTATTAATTCCGTGGTTTATGCTGCAACTTGCAGTCACACAAATATAACAAAGGCCTTTACACAGGAATCATCTTATAAAAAGAGGTCTGAGAAAAAAATGGATGCTATGATTTGCAGCATTTTTGTAGATATTCGACCATGAGCAGTGAACAAAATTATGCAAATATTTTCGCAGGAAATCAAAGCTAACCCAAACAACTACGACGCATGGTTTGACTACATCCGACTAATGGAAAATGAGTCCACTTCTGACATTGTTCGAGAAACATATGAACGGGCCATAGCTAACATTCCTCCTACACAGGTACAGAAGTAAACACAAATGTAGAACATATGTGCCACAAAACTGCATACATAAACAGCTTGTTAGTTATTTCATACGTGCCTCATTCACAGAATACATATGCCAAACTTTGGTCTGTAACAGTTATAAAATTTTCACATCATAAGTAGATGAGTTTCTCGACTCGTTTTTTAAAGGAAAAAAGATTGTGGAGACGGTACATATACTTGTGGATTAATTATGCCTTATACGAAGAACTAATTGCGAAGGTAATACGCTGTTCTCTTGCCAAATAGCATTTTTTCGATTGAATTTTGTCAGTCGTTTTAATATGGTATTTTATACAGGACATGGATCGAACAAGGCAAGTGTACAGGGCTTGTCTTGACGTCATTCCCCATAAAAAGGTTCATGGACTCATTTGTTTTATTTGTTCTGTTAAGGACGAATCTCTTGATTATATTTTTCAATGGGGAAATCCTAAATATCAAAGCATTTTATTTCAATTTAGTTTACTTTTGCTAAAATGTGGTTGCTGTACGCGCAGTTCGAGATACGTGAGTTGGAATTAGTGAACGCAAGAAAAGCTTTGGTTAGTAAAACATGGGAAAACTTTTCAATTGTTCAAGTTTGAATGGTGTTAAAATCTTTGGCTTTGAAATCCCACTGACTGATTAAACCAACAACTCGAGGAGTGCTCCACTTTTATTTTGATATTCCATCGGCTGAGCAAGGTGCATACTTCGTGGTACTACCCTACGTTTAATGCTAACCAGTAGCTTTTCGTTGACATTGCACTGAATGATCTATCCACCATCATTGGTCATGCTGTGTAAACCCTTGAGTTATTTACTTTTACACAACACTGACTTGTCAATCCAACATCCTTGCGGTGTTGTATCAAACCTTTTAAATCGATGATGTAGATGCTTTATGACAATCATTGATGGCAAGGCTGATGATTGCATCACAGTTCTGCGTGTGTAGTTTATTTGCATTGAAGTATTCACAATAATAGTTTAGCGAGTCTTGCCGTTAAAATCGTTAAGTGAGAGTACTTCATGTATGTATATGTTTAGGGTGCCGCTATTGGAAAATGTCCGAAGGATAAACTATTCAGAGAATACATTGGCTTAGAACTTCAGGTTAACACACAGTTAATTACCCTTTCTTTCGCAAAAAGTCTAGATTAGATACTTTTTTGAACATTTAACATGGGGACACAAGGGAGACGGTTACCCCACAATATTTTTCAAATATACTACACATTGAGTTATTTTTAATCAATTAGACTAAGTGTCTTAAAACAAACTACTTATACTTTGAGCCTCTCTGTTGAAAAGTTGAAATAATCATTTGAATCGTTCTGTCGTTAGTAGTATATAAGAACTTGTTTGGAGTATACAAAAAATAGGAGATTTTGACGGTCGAGGCTTTCTGAGTGTAAACTTTTAGTAGTCAAGTTTTGATTCGATAATGATTGATGTATTTTGTATATTTTTCTTCCTGCAGCTGCGCGAGTTTGATCGTTGTCGAAAGTTGTACGAAAAGTTTTTGGAATTTAATTCGTCGAATTGTACAACATGGATAAAAGTATATAATTTGTAATGGTAGTATATATTTTATTTTGTGTGACATGACTGTAAGCATTTTTATAAGTACGCAGAGTTGGAGACTATTCTTGGTGATACTGAACGAGCACGTGCTATTTTTGAGTTAGCCGTGGGACAGACTTTGTTGGATATGCCAGAGGTTTGATCTTGCTATTAATTTAACTCGTTCAGTAATTTTATTTTGTGTCTTATAAGCTATCTTGAAAATTACGTTGCTAATCGAATCGTTGAATTGAAATTGGACCAGGTTTTGTGGAAGGCGTATATCGATTTCGAAATTAGTCAAGAGGAATTTGAAAAAACCAAAGATCTCTACGAACGATTATTGGAAAGAACGCAACACGTTAAAGTATGGACATTTTATCACATTTTTCCTTTTCATTATTACTTGATATCTTGTAAGGAGCTTTGTGTGTCATGTCATGGCATACTTAGGTATAGGCTCAACCCTAACATAAACCAGCTGTTGTTGTTATTAAGGTCTGGATCAGCTACGCGCAGTTTCAGTTGACAACCGATCTTGATGATCGCAATGTCCTAGCAAGGTACATTTTACTGATTTTAATGTTTACTCTTCTGTATTTTCTGTGATTGTGATTGAAACCCATCGTTAAAATATTGAAATACCTGAGGTGTTCGCTTGTGTAAAAAGAAATTGGACTCATTTACTAGACTTTATTGTAAAGAATCAATAGGAATTTTAATTTAGTAATTTTAGTTTTAGAGACATCTTTTGCAATCGGTGAAGGCATTATATTATCATTTTTTTGCGTAAGAACTACAAAACTTCTATTTTCTTTTTTTTTGTGAAGAAATGTCTACGAGAGAGCTAATCGTGAATTGAAAAATGCAGAGGAGAAAGAAGAAAGACTAATGCTTCTTGAATCATGGAAGCAATTTGAAGTAAGTGTCATTGCTCTTCGCTTGCTGGGATGATTTGTTTTACATCAGAGTTTTGGAGAAATTTTCATATTTTTCGTAGAAAACGGTCGGTGATGAAGAATCGCTGGAAGTTGTTCAAAAGAAAATGCCTCGAAAAGTCAAGAAAAGAAGGAAAATTGAAACTGATGATGGTGTAAGTTTAAAAATCACCAAATGAACTCCAATATCTAGTCTGATCTTTTTCATACTATACAGGCTTTTTCCCTTGTATAGTATGAAAAAGATCAGGTTATCGTTTTGTTTATATACATGTATATATATATCATCCCATATAACTGGTTATTATAAACAAGCATTTGAATGTAGAGGATGCGTTGCAGCCTAATGATCGATTTACTTTGATCAAGGTTATAGCAGTTGTGGGAAATGAGCGTGTGTATTGTTATAGTCGTACAGTTCTTTTGTTGGATATACGTACATATCGAAAACGAAACTGCCTGAAAACATAATATGCCAAGAAATTTAGCCATTGGAAAACATACCGAAAGATATAGAAAAGTATTTGACCTTAGGTAACTTAGGGAGGGGGGGGGTTGTTTTAACCATTTTGTTACCATACCATACCCGATTCACCAAAAAATAGTAAAATAGACACATAGTGTCTTCCTTATGCTCTTGTTTTGTTATTTGCATCATAAAGTAACAATCATCTGTATCTTTTGTTTGTGGTTTTCCCTTTACATAAAACATTTGATGTAGCATAGCTTCCATGGTCTCTTTCCTTTTATGTAGTCGGACGCTGGATGGGAAGAGTTCTACGACTATATATTTCCGGACGATGAAGATAATCTTCCAAACTTCAAACTTCTTCAAATGGCAAGACTGTGGAAGCAGAACAAAGGATAGAATGAAGTCTTATAAGTTTTACTTGTGAATAGCCCACATCACTCTTTTATTGTATTGATAAAATAGCAAATAAACATTTTGAGTTTTTAATTTGTATGAAGAAACTTTGCAATCGTACAAACTTTAGATTGTTAATGGGATTATGAGCACACGCGCAGGTGATGTGCACGCTCAATGCTCATAATCCCATTATAATTTTTGCAGGTACATGTGAGTTGCTCCCAGAAACGTCTTATTTGAAGGCAAACATGGATAGCGACACCTCATCGGCTATTATTTGCTTTGAAGGCCATTATAAAAGTCGTTATCAAATTAAGCTCATGAATTATGCAATTTAGCAACACAATTTATCTGTACCTGTATGTAAACATGTCTTATTGTAATGAAAGAGGTGTTAGCATGTTTAGAAAAATGGCACAAAATGCGTTTCCAAGTCATCGAATTTAATTAATTGAACTCAAACAAATGAAACTTGTAGAGAAGCTACAAGTAATACGAAACTTTGGAGTGCGTAATCTTGATGGCGAACCGTAGTGCTTTAGCAAGATGTTTTGCATTTTTCTGTATTATATCTGTCACAAGTTTCATGCTTTGGTTCTCACAAGAAAGTACTGCATTCAATTATGGAAAAATTCTCATTCTTTCGTATGATTTAAAATCGAAGGAAACGTTGTCAAGCAACTCAACAATTCACAACAATACTCGCGTACGAAAGCTAACTTTGTTAAATACGTCAATCTCGTCCTCTGCTGTTGAAGGAAAATCTTCACACGTTTTGACAAAATGTTATATGCCTGAGGGTAAACACTTTCGTAAGTGCATTTGATAAATTCTACGTTTTATTTGTTCTCGAAATTCTGATCAAGTTGCGGAAGTATAAATAGCGGATGAACTATGTAGCTGGGTTAATACAAATATGCTCAATTTTATAAACATTTTCATTTATTTTCCTTTAAATTTACATCAGATGAGAAATATAATTCAATTATAAAAACCAAAGTAACTTTTGCGGTATTGTACTTTGGCATTTATTGTTTTCTTGTACCGAAATACCGTCTCATATTTCTTTAAAGTAGGACGAGTGCAAATTGATGTATCTGTTCCCAACATGCAAGACATCCAACATTCTTGGAAAGATAAAAATTGGGTACAGAAAGGTGGAACTTGGATGCCTACTCTTTGTAAACCTTGGCGACAGGTATATTTTATGGGCTTTATATTAATCTGCTGTGGCTTTCAAGCACGTGAGCAAACGTTTATTGAACAAAGTTCTTTGCCGATCTCAGCATGAGAATAACTGTGTATATGACACCCACGCCATCGATTAATATAATACATTGAAATTTTTTTGTAACGTGTACAAATTACTCTTCGTTAATTTTTTGATTACCATGGTAGCCAGTCAATGCCATTTTGTGACCGATAGAAACTGAGCTGCTTAAATACCTCACAAAGTGGTCTTGCAGGCTGCTGTAGCGGATTTAGCATGGGTTGGAATACATAATAATAAGTATGTTTCAAAATCAAACTTTTGGTTGTAAAATATTAGCAAGAAGTTTTCGAATGTATGCTGACTTACATGGATCATGTACCGTCGCACTGAAGTGACTACAAAAAACACGCTTGAAAATATCAAAACACAGCGTTACGGGATGGAAACCAAGTTTTATCCATCAAAAGAACGAGCTTTGTATATCATCTACAAATTAACCTCGACCTATTTTCATTTTAAGGTTGCCATCATTGTACCATATCGCAATCGTTATCAGCAGTTGAAAATTTTCTTCGTCATATTCATCCAATATTGAAAAGGCAATGCTTCATTACAGAGTCATAGTTGTTGAGCAGGTTTGTTAGTAAAACTATATTTTCTTTCTTTATTTTACTTTTCTTAATCTTTTTACTACACTTCACTTCCACACTACTACACACTGCCACACTGCACACACACTGCCACACACTGCCACACTGCACTCACACACACACTTCCACACTTCCACACACTCACACTCCACACTCTACACACTCTACACACTCCACACTACTTCACACTTCACTACTACACACTACACACTGCCACACACACTTCAAACTACACACACTCACACACTTACACTACACACTTCCACACTCTGCACACTTCCACTACCACACACACACACTACTCACTTGCCACACTTCTACACACTTCACACACTACACACTCACACACACACCACACACTCACACACTCACTCACACACCTCACACTCACACACTCCACACATCCACACTTCACACTACCACACACTCACACTACACACTTCCACACTTCCACACACTACACACTCCACACACCACAACTTACACACTACACTACACACACTTCACACTACTACACACACACTACTACACACTGCCACACTACTACACTGCCACTACTACACACTCATTTTACACACACACTCCACACTACTACACACACTACACACACTACACACTGCCACACTCACTGCCACACTACTACACACTGCCAGACTGCTGCACACTGCAAAAGCACTACACACTACACACTGCCACACTACGACACTACTACACATTACAAGAATAACAACCTTAGAATTGTAGAATGGTCGTTCTGATTTTGGAATTCCTTTGCTACAGAATGGCAATACTCTTTCAATCGAGCGATGCTATTTAACATTGGTTTCAAAGAAGCTTTAAAACTTGGCAACTTCAGATGTTTTGTATTTCACGATGTTGATCTGCTCCCAGAAAATGATCTAAATTACTATGGCTGCCCGCGAAGACCAAGACATTTATCTGTGGCTGTTGATAAATTTCACTACAAGTAAGTGACGCGGCTGTAAAAAATTGACTCTTTTTAACCTACTGCTTAGAAAACACTCCTCGTCTATTCTCGAATGTTGTGAAAATTAAAGAAAACAGTCGACCAGCAACGCTATTCACTTAATCTAAATAAATAGTGTCTGGAAATCATGTCGCTCCCGATTATTGACGTTTCTTCACATACGAAACTTTTTTTTGCGTTCAGACTCATGTAAAGTTATTGTTGTTTTCCAGATTACCTTATCATAATATATTTGGTGGTGTTGGCGCCTTTACCAAGGAGCAGTTTGAAAACATCAACGGTTTTTCAAATAAGTTCTGGGGATGGGGTGGAGAAGATGACGACTTGTATAAAAGGTAAATAACTCGCACATGCGCAAAGCGATGCTATAGTAGATATGCTTTACAAACGCTCAACTCAATCAATACAAGTATACAACAAATCATTTAACAGATAGAATAATGCTTTTTTTACCCCATTGCATTATGAAAACTATTCTTTAATTTCTACATTTATTTTACACTGCGTGTGTTTTTTTTTATAGAATTCTTGCTGCTCACTATACATTGTCCAGACCAAGTATGTCTATTGGTCGCTACACAATGGTGAAAATTGGTCACAACAGTGCCCCTGGCGATCCTTTTAGGTATGGGTAACTTTGTTGTAAGAATGGACTCGTTTCTTTTTTGTGATCATCGTCAATATATTTTGAATTCCATATTTCAGATTTGAAAAACTACAAACTTCTGTAAAAAGGATGTTCATTGATGGACTTAACTCGCTGAAATACGACGTGCTGAAATTTCAAGAACACGAACTGTTCACGCAGATTTTGGTTAATGTTGATCCTCGTGCGGTCTGAAATCTAAATCGCTGTAACTGGGCTGTTCCAGTTCCAGTTAAAACTTGCTTCGTGAAAATGGACGTACACTGAAAGCTAAAATAAAGAGAAAATCACGAGCACTGGTGTGTACATATTTCTTGCGTCTTTACTTGAAAGACAACGACAGATACATTGGTAAATGTTCCTGGAAAAGGTAATGCTACTTCATCTGGTGGCAAAGAACAATCCTTATACCTTGCAAGCTTTACTAGTGAACTGTGTTGAAAAATAACATTATAATACATTTTATTTGTATTCAGAAAATACGATTGCACAACGCCTTTGTGAGTCAGTGAAGAGGATTAGAAGGATTCCATCATATGTTTTCTTGCTCTAAACTTTATTTCCACTTCAGCTTTTGCCTCTCTGTGTATTCATATATATTAGTCCTTCATTCATTTCACTCAAGAGATTCAGAAGGAAACTTTGAAAAAGTTAATTGATAATAACCAAGCGTATTTAGCAATGTTGCAATTTGATTTTAGAGAGATACGGATAATTACCTGGACGGGAAACGGGAACTCAGTGAAATTCCACCGAATAAATTAAGACTAATTACAGTCTGTGCATCATGGCTACCGCAGTGTTGCTAATAAAATGAACTATATATATAATTAAAATGAAGTGGTTATTGAAATTCACATAGGAAAAAAGTAATCTTTAAACAAACGGAAAGCAGGTGACTGTATTTTATTGGGAAATGAGAGGATAAAGTCTTGTTTCAATTTTATATTTTGATTTGACCACTATTTATAAATTATATACATAATATATTGTCGGAGACCTGCATTGGCTTGTGAACGATGGTTCGATATTTACGATATTTTCTTGTATGTTTCTGTTTTATTGCACTTGGTGTTTTGATTTATCGCTTTGCCACACTTGATGGGATTTTTTATGTTAGCCATCTGAAAAAAGTTTATGAATTCAATATTTTGGCTGATCCATTATTTAAGTCAGATCAAGCGAGTGGTTCACATGAAATAAATCAGATCAAAGTGACGGCTGAATCATCAGACAGCACAGAATATAAATATAAAGACAAATCAGAGGACAAAGCTGAAGGTGGCAATGCTAGTCGCTATGTAAAACACAAAGATGTTATAACTACAAAAAACTCGTTAACAACAACAAACGTTCCTACCGAAATAGTGAGAACTACAACAAAACCTACAATACTTCAAAGAACTACTATGAAATCCACATTGAGACTCGAGACAACAAAATATTCCACTATCAAACAAATGGATGCAGAGGCAAATCAAGATAGCTTGCCAAATTGTTCTGGCAGCGGAGAAAAGTTAGGTGAGATTTAACAGAAATGTATAATAATCAAAATGATGTAAAACTGTTGGTTCTTGCAAATAGAAAATCATAGCGCATGTCTAATTGACTTGTTTTAACATGTTAGTTGGTCGTCTTGCCGTAGACAAGACCATACCAGATAGTGAAGATGATATAGAAAAGTTATTTGGAAAAGAGTCGATTAAGAAAGGAGGTGCTTGGTGGCCAACAAAATGTATTCCTGTTAGCAAGGTAAACTTTCATGGTTATATGTTTTGATTTATTACAACATGAGTATATTGATGTATAGTATAGGAAATGCTTTTGAGATTATGTCTTGTGGGATTTGATCAAATACATTACTGATCTGATGTACCTACAATGAATGTCATGAATATGTTTGCCTTTGTACCACAATATCTGTATCTTGATTAATTATTGTTTTGTAGGTTGCAATTATAATTCCTTTTCGTAATCGTGAACAACAGCTGAAAATATTCTTACGTCACATACATCCTTTTTTGACGAGACAGTTGTTGGATTATAGAATAGTAGTCGTTGAACAGGTAATTATTAATGTAGACTTGTTGATGGACCATTGGATTGTGGTAATTTAACTGATGAATTTTTATTTTTGTAGCATACTTAGCAAAAAAAATTATAAAATTTGATGATTGTTTTGTTTCATCTTTATTAAAATCTTACCATAACTGCTTAAAAAGGTTACCACTGTAGCTTTTAATGAGGGATATTCCAAAAATGTCAGTGGATTTAATGTTTTTTTGTCAATTGTGCTGTGTTCCTTGATTGATGGAGTAAATATGTGGATTGATAACACGAAGTTTCAACAATATATTGGGAATTACATCCTGCACCATTAAATTTATACACAAACATAGATTTGTTTTAATGAGGTACATGATTTTTCAATGAGAAGTCACGTCAATGTCTATGGAAAAACTATCGAAGATGTTTGATAGTGTGGGTTGAGTGACTTGTGATACATGATATTTTTATGTATTGAGTTTGGATTGCTCATTTTGGTTGCCCATAGTCGTTATCAAGCTATGGTGACGTTTGATGGTTTCATGAATAAAGTGTATCAAAAATAGTGTTGTAAAAGGATAGATTTGTTGGATTTTTTTAATTCTTTAACGTAGTTGGGTAAGCCATGAAAACGCAGTGATTAAAGAGCTTTCTTGGAAAATGTCATTGTAGACTTGGTTATTTATTGAATCCTTTTTTCGTTGTTTTTAGCAATCGTGGCTTTTACATTGGCGTCCATCCTGCGATAATTTGGGCGATATTCATATATTATGTAATGCCAGGCTGATTTCTTTGAAAATGAAATTGTTTTGAAAAGAAATTAGTCAGGCATAGCAGAATATATGAATATGCCTCCATATTAACACAGGATTGACGCCAATGCTCTTTTATATAGTGTAGCATCTTCATCTAGTGGTTTGGATTTCTGTGTTTATTGTTGTGAGCATTTATAATCCTACGGATGTTATATTTTCATGATTAGTATCTATTGATTATTTATAGAAACGTTTTTTCTCTCGCTTTTTTATTCAGGCGGGAAAGACACCATTCAACCGAGCGTTGCTGTTCAATATTGGTTACAAGGAAGCTTTAAAATTTCGTGATTTCAAGTGTTTCGTATTTCACGATGTTGACCTGATTCCTGAAGATGATAGAAATTACTATGGATGTCCCAGCGCACCAAGACATTTGTCAGTCGCTGTTGATAAATTTGCATACCAGTAAGTGCTAGATCCTGGAGGTAAGGTCGGGTATTCATGTGCTAGACATTGGAGGTAGTGTAGGGTGCTCATGTGCTGGACACTGGGGTTAGTATGGAGTTCTCATGTTCTCATGTGCTGGATACTGTGGGTGTAGGTTAGTTTACCCTTGTGCTGGATACTGGAGGTAAGTTGGGGTTTTCATGTGCTGGAGACGGAGGTAGGATGTAGTACCCTTGTGCTGGATATTGGAGAATAGGTTGGGTTCTCGCGTTCTAAACACTGGGAATCAGGTGGAGTTCTCATTTACACTCTTTAGAAAAACCCCCATAAAATCAACTGCTTCTTTACTATAAGGGAACGAACAATTTTAGTGTATGCCACCAAACTTATTTTGCTTATCGAAACAAAGGATGTCAGGTATTTCGTAACGAGACGTTTTAAATTTCCAGATTACCTTATTCCACAATTTTTGGCGGAGCTGGTGCTTTCAAAAAGGAAGACTTTGTTGCGATCAATGGGTTTTCCAACCGCTTTTGGGGCTGGGGGGGAGAAGATGATGATCTATATAAGAGGTATTTTACTCTTCGACGAACTGAGATTTCGGTTTTAGGATAGTCCATATAAATATACTGTAAGATATTGGAGACCAACTGATGTGATTTGTACGATATTTCGTCATATTATTGCTGGGGCTTGGGAAGCCATAAATGTCTGGCTGTCTAGATACTCAATATTTTTTAAGTGTGGACGTACCTTAGAAGAAGAGCTCCCACCAATTTAACTTGTTGCATTAACGTATGTACAGTTCTGTAGAAGTGAGTGGGGCGCTTGGGGCAAGAGCCCCCTTCTACCTTTGAAATGGGTAATTTTAAAAGGGCACTATTGACAAAAACGTCAAGAGAGCCCCCATCTGATAAATTTAGTTCTACAGCACTGCGTATGTATATGATGTATTGACTGGCATGTTTTACTCTGACATGATGTCGTTAACAACCCAAGAATAAAACTGACTAATATCGCGTAGTGGTATTACTAGATTATATATCGAGCTTGGAACACTTACAACCTTTGAAAACTTGCGAAGCCACTGTTTTATTGAGGTCCATATACACTACAATCTAGTTTGTTTCATCATTTTTTCTGTGTTTAAGAATTATGGCTTTAGGATTCAAGTTGACCAGACCAAGTATGTCGATTGGGAGATATAAAATGATTCAAATACACCATACTAAATCACAAGCTGATCCTGATCCATTGAGGTGATTCCTATTACGCATGTGCAGTTATGATGTCTTTTTAATGACGTTTTATTTTTTTAGATTCGATAAACTCGTCACTTCTGAACAACGAATGCGTAAAGACGGTCTGAATTCACTAAAGTACGAGGTTGTAAAAATAGTCGAGAGACCATTGTATACTCGGGTTACCGTTGAAGTTGATCCCAGTAGAATGTGAAGAGATACTAGCACTTAATAAATTTTCGATTCTTTTACTTTCTAAAATTTCTAATCAAACGATTCTTCTGTGCTTTTATGAATATTGGTGTACACTCACGCACCCAATGTGACAAATGCGATGTCATAGACAGTAATGACAAAGTAATATTTTTCTGGACAGTTTATGCGATCTGTTTTCCAGACAGAAATAAGAGAAACATCTTGTAGATTGTTAGATTAATCTTTTCAATCTTCATTTCTTCTTCTCTAAGCTTATATTCAAGTCTTCCTAATGCATTTGTCAATGCTTTCGCCTCATGCTTTGTTTAATCTTTTGTCTTTGCCAAGCTTAAAATATTTTTGATGTGATATTTCTAAATCATCTATTTAACTCTGTGATGGTCTGGACACGTTGTATCCCACTACTCTCTTTTACTACGTATTTTATGTACCATGATGCCATAGGTCCGGCTGCACCAAGGCCAATTAGCGCTATCCACTGGATAGCATTTTTTTCTTAACGTTCAATAAGAGAAAAATGCACAATTTGAACTGTCCAATCACTGAAGTAAAATATTGCTTAGAAGATTACAAAATGTTTTTGTCGTCAGAATAATACAAACATCTTTTTTACAAGTTTGAAAATTTTTGCTTTCCAATGGGTAATGCTATCCAGGCTTCTTGCAACCGACCGGCCCATACTCTGACACTCCGTATTTAGCGCATGCGTTAACCCCCCCCCCGTTCTGTGTTTCTTTGTCCTAAACGAAATAACGAAATCTATCCGTTTGTCAAATCCAATGTGAAATCACCACAGGACAATGCTTGCACTGAAAATAAATGAAGATGACTTTCTGTATGTTTGTATTCTGTGTTGTCTTATTACGTAAGTATCGTTTAATTCAAAAGTTTAGCTCTAATAATATCTCAATCACGATTTCTTCGTGGAAATCTATTGTTTTTCTGTGCTGTGTCGTGAGCAGTGAGCTTATGAATTAGGTGATAATTCCAGTAGATTTCTTTAAGTCGCCATTTTAACAGGTTAATACAATAACATAAAACAATGCAATAGGGTACATAAAGCAATCCATGAAATTTGCATGTATTAATGATTATTTCTCTCACATGAATTCAAACTTTCCATTCTGGGATGTAAACTGCTTGTAAACAGCAGAGTTGCTATTTCTACAATGTCCATTTTGTTTCAAGTATAATTTGAAATTTTCTACAAATGTTTTAAAAGCAAGGGCAAAATATATATTTATTTAATCTTGCTTCTTGTGTTTCTATGTGATATAGAGATCTGGTGAATAGCTCGAAACCTCTCATTGACAATTTTCAACTCATTACAAGATGGGTGAAAGTTTACAAGAAAGACAGGAGAATGAATTGAAAGTGTTGGAAGCCATATACATTGGTGATTTCCACATTGTGGAAGAAAATGCTAAGGTTATTAGAACTTATGCTATTTTATCCATAAAATCCTATTTATATATGAAATGGATACGATACAAATGTATTTTGTAGGTTGAGACTCCCCATATTGTATTGAAACTACAGCCATGCGAAAGCATGAAGCAACATGAATCTCATGTCTCCTTGGATTTAAATATCAAGTATCACAAAGAATACCCCAACATGTAAGAAAACTTATCTTAGCAAAAGTTGCTCATCGTATTGGAAAGTGTTCATATTTTGGTAAACTATGTCGGTTAAAAAACTAATGTAATTATATGTGTATGAATTAAAGGTGTCCTGTTTTGAAGCTTGAAAATGCTAAAGGTATCTCAAATGACAAAGTTCTTGAATTAGAAAGGGAAATCCAATGTATGGCTGCTGATCTTGTAGGAGAGGTAGAACATATCATATTTTTTGTGCATTTATTAAATCAGAACATATTTATAGCTGTGGAATGCTTTCTGATATGTTTAGGTGATGATACTACAACTGGCTCAGCATGTTCAAAATTTTTTGCATCAAAATAATGTTCCTCCTCCAACATCGTTCTACGAAGAAATGATGGCAAAAAAAGAAAGAGACAGGCAACAAAAGAAAGCAAATGAACTAGCAAAAAAAGAAAAAGAGCAAAAAGAAAATTTCATGCAGATAAAAGAAGAGGTAGTCCAAGGCTGCAAAGGCATCATATGTTAAATGTTTTACTGAAAAGCATTACAATTTTTATGTAGGAAGAACAGATCAAAGAAGAAATGAGCAGACGAGAAAAAGCAAAGCAGAGTCTGAAGGTTTTTCTTTCATTTCATTAACATATGTATTTTTTCTTTCTTAGAAAATACATTATAAAATACATTTTTTATTCAAGAAATAAAAGATGTTTACTGTTTTACTGTACGTATATGCAAGGGCTTATGCAAACCCAGAGACGTTTGGGAGAACTTGATAGCAGATCAATAAAGATTTGTACCTTCTTGAGAGTTTCAACTGCTAGGTTTCAGATTAGTTAGCACTGGCTTATGAAAACTCAACAATAGATCAGTCATATTGTTATATTGTTGTTTTTTATAATATATATTAATTTATTTGTTGATGGATTCAGGAAAAAGAAAGTAATCGTGTTGGCATTCTGTCGCAAGTCGTCCCAGAATCGCTCTCTACAAATAATATAGAAGAAAAACCTTTACGTTTGAAGAAAAAAACCAGCTGTGAAAAGGATTTGTCTTACAATGGACTTCGTGTTGTTGTTTTTGAAAACCATAAACAGCACATTGTTCACTGTGGGAAGTGCTTAGGTACAGTATGATATTGATAGTAAATAATATCAAAGCAAAAAGGTTAGTTTGGTGTGCTGGAAGAAGAAAATGGGCAATTTGAAATGTCAAAAGTCTGCAATAATTTCCCCTAATGGATAAAGGAATCTAAAACATTTGAAAAAGATTCTAAGTTAGTCTATATGCTGTTCATGATTCTTATATGGAAAATTGAAACCAAGGTTTAATTTATCATTCATTGAATTGTCAAATTGGAATACTAAGACTCTATGATTATGACTACAGGATCTGTATGTACATTTAGGGAAACTTTTTTGACACAGAATATACAGTTAATTAACAAGGCAAGACACAGGATGACCATCAATCATCTATGTACTATAAAATTTTCACCTTATGTTTTTGTTGATTAGCATGTGGCCGTTCTGGTTCTTCAGTATTTTGTGGCCTGGACATTATTACTGGCGAGTTGGTGGTGTTGACAGAATGGATTTTGAAGAGATCATCGTTGCGGGAAAATTCTACAAAAATTGAAAATGAAAAGCTTTCCAAACAGGTAATGCCTTTCTTAGTTTCATACTTTAACTAGGTTTTACATGCTTTATTGATTCATACTTTTCTATTATGCAAAATCACAAATTGTTTTGGCTTTCACTCTCCTTGATTTTGGAAAAGTACAAAAGATTTATTTAAGAAAAGAAGCACTTTGGTTTATTAAACTTTAAAACTTATATCAAATAGGTTTCAAGTATTGAGAATGAAGTGAATTCTCTCGTTAAAAGAGTCGATCATCATAATCTTGTGCATTATTTTGGCTTTACACAAAATCAGAGCAACAGCGTTCTTAAAGTGCAGGTACGTATGTATATGCTAAATTATTGTCATGGCTGAAAACCTGGTCATCAATTTTGACATAAGCCTGAGCTCAACTATACCTACCTGAGTGTACTCCCTTGCAATAAACTGCAATGAGCATAAGCCTGTTAATGCACGTTTTCAGTGAGTTATATTTTCGTGTTAAGCCTAAACCTCCGTTACCACTTCGCAATTTTGTGTTAAAGCTTCTCTGCATTGTGGTATTAATTTGGAGTAAAAATACTTTCAAATATTTGTAAATATTTGTGTAGCTTTTTGTTCCAAATTTCTTTACATTTTGTCATAAAAAATGTCCAGTTATTGATAAATTTACGTAGTAAATATGAATGTTTAAGCATGGTTCTATATCATTGAAGGCTGTATTTTTTAGCTTCAAGCATTTTGCGAGAGGTTGTCGCTTTTGCAACAGTGACAAAGCTGTTGTCAAAGTCGTTGATCCACTCTTCATAAATCTATTTCCAAGGTTTTGACGGAATTTGTTGCTGGTAGTTCCCTGTTGAAAGAGATTGAAACTGGATGTGGTGTGCCAATGGCAACTGTTCGAGATTATTGTCAACAGTTACTTGATGTTTTGGCTTATTTGCACGGAAAGTCAATAATGCACAAAGATCTCAAGGTATTTTTGTTGATCCATTATGGGCTTTTTGGTCAGTATGTAACCTGTCGGAGAGTTCATGTGCAACGTACTTTTTTTCTTCATTTTCCCTCGATGCACTTTATTTGTTTCATTCTCTATATTTTACTTTTGATTCCTTAGCTGTCTAGTGTCTTTCTTGATCAAGATAAAACAATTAGACTCGCAGACTACAGCGTCGGGAAAAGGTATGGATAAAGTAACATGTTTAAGTTACCAAGAAATTGAAACTCAGCCTGATTAAGTGTGTCTAGTATTGCAGTCAAGTTGGTTCTATCATAATGAGTTCTCCAATTCATGTCACAGGTTAAATGAGCTCTATCAGAGTTATGGCGAACATAAGATACCCAAGAAAACAAGAACCAATGAGCTGAAAATCAGGCAGGAAGCTAATAAAGAATCCGACATCATGAATTTGGTAAGAATGAAAAGTTTGAAATTTAAGAAATCCAGAGGGAAGTTATAAGGAAGTGGTGTTTTATCCAAGGAAAAGTTATTACGAAAGTGATATTTTCAAGAGCAGCTTTGTTTTACCAAGATTTTTTCGTCCTTTGTATTTTCTCATACACAAAATATTTACTTAGTATGTGATGAAGTTTCAAATATCGATTTAATGTTTGGGACTGTTATAATATTCTCGTCTTTTTAAGGGTCTGCTTATGCTCTCACTCCTCGAAGGCGATGTGGTAAATTCAGTGCCCCCCACAATACCGCAGTCGTTTCCACCTGAGTTGCAAGACTTTTTTCACAAGTAAGGAATCCATATTATTGTTTGATTCCGTTCTTCAATACCGTGCTATGCAAACATCAGGGTTTCATCTCTGCCTCCAGGTACAAACTTAAGCACTGGTACAAAGGTTTTTCGTCCAGCAACTTCATGAAAATTCAAAACATTAACCAATTCTTTGTTAGAGTTCTCTCCTTTCTTTTTTTGTTGGATGAATTGACGAACATGTCGTCCTAATCATGATGCAAGATTTTAGTTTAAAGATGAATTTGTCATAATGGCGGTATATGTATTGACTGGTTTCCCAAATATTTAAACCACGAAATTTACAAGTTTTTGTTTTCACTGAAGAGAAGGTTTTCTTTAAAAAAGTCAACTAATGTCAGGAAAAGAGTTTGGTCTTTGGATGAATTGAAAAGCTCGGTTTAGACTTCTAAGTGCCTTTTCATAGAATCGCATTTATCCTTCTCGGGATATATATTACAAAATAAAACGATAGTCATGCTTGATAGCTTCCACTTGAAAAATGAAGATCATGAAGAAAAACAAGCATTATAGTGACGAAGAATTTAAATACTGTTTTTTAATGTCATATACTTTGTATAGATGTCTATATCCGGAGAGCGGTAGCCAGTGGTCAGCACAGCAGCTTTTGGACATCCTTTTATCTCACCAAATCCCATGTCGCACGGTTTAAGCAATAACATCACTTCAGATAAGCTTGACGCCGAAAAAGATCAAGGGAGAAATCAAAATGGCTGTGATGATGGAGATGAGTTACCTGGTTTGATATCTATTCCTTCCGGCTACGCTGCGAGTAATTCAAGAGTTCGGAATGAATTTGAGGTGTTGCAAATGCTTGGAAAAGGAGGGTTTGGTTCAGTTGTCAAGGTAACTTTCAAATATCTACTACATCTAATACATCTATTACATACATCTTTATTCCAAAGCCATCATCAGAGAATATATATATATATTCTCTGATGATGGCTTTGGAATAAAGTCGAAACACGGTGCCATCCAGTAAACTGTTATAGTGACGAGAATCTCTCGTCCATACGCAGTTTAAAAGAGATTTGACTCGTCTCCAATCCCTGTGGGCTTGGTAGCTCAACAGGTAGAGCGGCGGACTAGTATCCCGAAGGTGCGAGTTCAAATCTCGTCCAAGTCACATGTTTTTCATGGGCATATTAAAACCGTGTTAGGATTAATATATATATACATCTTTTAAATAGGCGGCAATTTAGTCATGTGAAGGAAATTTTGAACGTGATTTGGAAATGCTTTATGTACGCTTAGGTACGTAATAAATTGGACGGCTGTCTCTATGCGATCAAAAGAATTCCTTTGAATCCGAAAAGTGTTATGTTTAATCGCAAAATTACTCGAGAAGTGAAGTTACTTTCCAGATTGAATCATGAAAATATTGTAAGGTAAAAAGAAATTTACTATCCAAAATGAATTAAAATTCTATAATATAAGGGTTGAAATCGGGTTTAATTTAGACGCTACAAATGGCTTGGCTTATTAAATGTTATCTTTGTAAAAACTATTATACTAAAGTAGATAATCCCTTTTTTCCATGAAGCCCATGGATGCTTTCGTTCATAATGAGAGAGTTACGTATATTATATAAGGAGGCTCTCGTTCATCATATGAGTTATGAGAAAGTTACATTGTAAAAGGTAACATGTAAAAAAGATATAAACTTGTTTAGAGTTGGTTAAATTATAAGTCAAAATGGCAGAAGTTGTTTGAACTTTTGCAGTATCCTTGGATGTTCTAGTTTCTTTTATGAAAAGAATTCTTGTGAAGAAAAAAGATAAATTTTAAAAACAAAAAATCCAGTTTTCGGTTCATGCCTCCTGTACCCGAGATAGTTGAGCACTAGAGCGTCGCATGTTAATTAAGGGAACCAGATAATCTTTGTTTGCCATGAAGCCCTTGGATATTTGCTCGTGATACATGAGAAACATTAAATGAGAGAGTTAAATCAGAAAGATATAAACCAATAAAAATTATATAAAACATATAGAAGGTTGTCTTAAATTATTAGTGTTAGAAAAAGGCACAATGTCAGAAGAAGTTAATTGAAACAGCGCTTGGTTTATTTTATGAGAAGAACTCTTGTAAAATAAACAAAAAGATAAAATTCAAAAGCAAAAACCCCGTTTTCGGTCCATGCTTCCCGATACCTCTTAAGCGTAAGGCACTAGAACGTTGCATGTTAACGTTTCGGTATGAGATTTCGTCCCCTCCACGCTATCCTACTTGGGAGATGCAATAGCAAGCTTCCGCCCATCATACCCCGAGATCACCTGCGATTGGCTTTGCTTGGGGTACGCAGAGAGAGTGCGGTTGGCCCCTCCGCGCAGATGATTTCTCTATTAAATTTTTACTAAGCATGCCATTTACTTCGAAATCGATGTTAGTAGATGCAGTTAGTCGTTGCCATCCCAATGAACTTGGGCAGCTAATCATGTCGACTACGCATGCTCAGATTAATTCTCAATTAATTTGTGACAGAGCGAGCTCTAAAATTGATGCTTGTATATGCCCTTAGCAAATTTTCAATCATATATATTTTTGGCATGCTGTTTGTTCTCTTAAGCTTGTTTTGACAGATGCATATCAAACTCAACACTTTGTTACGCCACTCGTAGTATACGTGACAATGTTAGAGATTTTTTATTTTTCTCCATAACTTTGTATCTGCATATTTTGTTCTTAAACGATGCTCTAATATTTATGACAGATATTATAATTCTTGGATTGAGGTAGAAGAAATACTTGAAAATGAAACTTCCAACAGTGAAACAAAATCAAGTATGACAGATGATAAATCAGGAAGCCAGGTTGAAGATAGCTTGATGAAGTTGAACGTAGTTGAAGCACCTAGCGTACGCTCGAGAGTTTTGGATGATGGCTTGTGGACTAATAAAAACACGAATGATTCCAAGCATGTTGACGACGATAAAAGCTCAAGCTCTAGCGAGGAAGAGCTTCAAATACCAAAACAATCCAGTTATAACACCGAGTCCTCTGAAGATGTTATGTTCAAAAGAAATATTGATGAATCATATATACAGTTTGGAAGCTCGTTGGCTCACGTGGTATATAGTAGTGGTAATTGTTCATGATCTTGCTGAAGATATGTAAAATTAACTACCAGCGTCTTTCCTTTAGGACGAGGAATCTGATTTGGAAAGTGAAGAGGAAGCAATTACCACAAGAGATTTGCAAGAAGATTCAAAGTGTACTCTTCAAAGTTTGTATATACAAATGGAGTATTGTGAGAAGAGTACTCTAAGGAATGTCATTGACGAAGGATTATACAAAGACCCACAGAGAATTTGGCGACTTCTCCGTGAGATTGTAGAAGGATTAGTTCATGTTCATTCACAGGTAGAAACTTTCGATTATTGCATTTGCTACCGGTATTTTTACGTGTAACTATGAACATAAAAAAATGTGACAATTTTTGTTCAGCTCAAAATATATTTATATGTATATATAAATATAAGTTTGAAAATTTTTAATACAGGCATTTAATACATAAAAGATAAAAGTTTCTCCGGATTTTAAATGATTTTTATTGAGCTTTCGACTCGTTGCTTCGAGCCTTCATCAGAATGAGGATATTTGCTTACACGTGCTTTTAGCTTGGAGACGTTTAGAGCGTCTAATAGGATTAGTGGGTGGATTAATGTGATTGGATGGGGTGAAATGCGAATAAAACGACGAGATCCGAACTCACTACCGGCAGAACATAGCCACGGAAACAACCACACATTCGACTGGACAGAAATTAAAGTACTCGGACGCGCACAGACTAAACACGCACGCGAATTTAAAGAAGCTTGGTACAGTAAAGACAACGACACAATAAACAGACATATCGACATACCATCATATACTCACAACCAAAGAAAAAGGACAAAAAAACTACAAACAACACCAAAACTAAAACACTACACTCTAATATTATTAACACCAATCATATTCACAATACACCAAAACCCATGGCAACGCATTTCACCCCATCCAATCACATTAATCCACCCACTAATCCAATTAGACGCTCTAAACGTCTCCAAGCTAAAAGCACGTGTAAGTAAATAATATCCTCATTCTGATGAAGATACGGAGATTCAAATAAACAAAACTTCCTATATATACAAAGTGTATATACAATGTGCCCTCCCGGCTATCACCATAGTAAAATGGTGACTCCTGCACTTGGGACACAGGACGTACGGTTACACATTGTATGGATTGTATTGAGCAATCACGAAACAGGCTTGTCGAGATGAATCTGTAGTTTTGTGATTTTTTCTCAACACCACTACACACACATATATATATATAAAAGAAAAAAGACCTATTATTTGCTATTTTTCTCTAAATTTCCAATAGGGTATGATTCATCGTGATTTGAAACCAGTCAACATATTTCTTGACTTGAACGATCGTGTGAAGATCGGAGATTTTGGTTTAGCGACCACGCATCCCTTTACGAAGCTTTCTGTAACCGGCAATACTAATTGCACTCGTGATATTGTCGATTATAATAAACCTGGGCTTGGTAATCCATCTCATTCCCAAGAATCTTTGACTGGTAAAGTGGGTACGGCATTGTATGTTAGTCCAGAGCTTGGAAATAATACACAAACTCGAGTGAAGTATACACAAAAAGTTGACTTATACAGTTTAGGAATCATTTTCTTCGAGATGTGTTACCGACCTCTTAGTACATCAATGGAGAGGGTGAAAGTTCTTGGAAATCTTCGAACCGTAAGTATAATAATTTATTTTTATTATTTATATCTAGCAACAACAGCTAACACAACAATAGTTACAGTAGTAATGGTAATAATTTAATCACCGCTGTCAGGAAGAAGAGCATCACTGCCCTTCCTTTGATGGTTTGAGTGTAGCTGTGATAGTAAGACAGCGATAATATGCAACAATTATATTTACAACAACAATACAACAATAATAAAATATTGTTGTAAGTAGGTATCAATCAAGTTGTATCAATCTTCCAACAGGAAAAGATTCTGTTACCTGAGGATTTCGATATGAAACGTTTTGAGAAACAGAGACAAATTATCCGTTGGTTATTGAATCATAATCCTGACGAGCGTCCAACGTCACAGGAATTATTGAAAAGCCAGTACATTCCTCCAAGCATTGAGGATAACGAACTGGAAGAGATTCTCAATCACACTTTAGCGGCAACAAACTCTACACGATATCGAACTCTTATCTCGTATGTTATAAACCAAGATATTTCGCAGAATAAGCTTGATTTGACGTACGATTACGAGCTCATTACGATACCGCTCTCCGGAAGACATTCGGTTGTCCAACAATACGTGCACAATAAATTGGTGGATGTATTTTTAAAGTTTGGTTTCTTGCGGTTAGATACACCGTTGCTAGTTCCCAAGAGTACAATGTTCAAACATGCAGACACCACAGTGATATTGATGGATCATAGTGGTGCTATTCTCACGCTACCCCATGATCTTCGTACTTCATTGGCCCGATATCTTGCCCGAAATAATTTTCCATCCTTGAAAAGGTACTCCATTAGTGCAGTGTTTCGTGACACACGAATACTTGGCGTGCATCCTCGAGAGATCTCTGAATGTGCTATTGACATTGCCATGCGTACACATTATGATGTAGTTCCCGATGCAGAAATAATCTACACCGTTTCCAAAATCATCAATGAATTCCCAGCTCTAACTTCAAGAAACTATTACATTCGCATTAATCACGTGACTTTAATTAAGTCGATTTTAGTGCTAAACGGCGTCGCTGACGAAAAAATTTTTGATATCATTTCAATTCTCCAAGAGTCCAGGAACGAAATTGACCGTTTGGAGAATTTGAAAAAATCCTTAGAAAATATTGGTATTAGCGAGAGGAATGTAATGAACGTGTGTCGATGGCTATTCACGGAGTCTCCAATTGACTCGGCAGAGCCTGCATTGGGTCACATGATAAGAGGACGACGTACAGCCAATCACAAAGTGCGAAACGCTATACAAGAACTAGACAGGATTGTAAAGTGTTCTCAAAGTTTTGGTAAGTTTGTGTGTTGTGTAGTTAGATGTTATGTGTACATTGTTTTTTTTCCTTGACTAAATCACTGTAAATGTACGGTGTGTCTGTACATTTGTTTGTGATTCTGATTGATAAACTTGCAGAACAACAACAATCATGTGAGTCAGCCAACGTTTTTGTCTGTACTCGTAGAGCACATAATATCCCGTATTTTAATGGTTTGCTTTCAAGCATTTAATTTTAAGTTACGTTTGTTTTAGGTTTGACCATGGAAGTTGTTCTGTACCCAGGTCTAGTTTACAACATACAGTACATGTCGGGTGTTTTGTTTCAATTTGTTTCGGAGAAAACGTAAAGCTAAAGGCAGCGCCATTGATATACTTGCAGCGGGAGGCAGATACGATAAACTTGTTTCTTTATTCTCACGAGGTCGCCAACGACCTCCTGATTTCCGAGCCGTTGGAGCTAGCATAAACATTGAACGCATCGTCCAATTAGTATCACAGGATCCTAATTTCAACTTTGCAAATGCATGTGACGTCATGGTGTGTGCTGTTGGAGAAAATACAATTGTGAATGAACAAATTCGGCTGCTAACTTCTCTTAGGAGAGGTGGAATTTCGGCATGTTTATGGAATGAACTGCTCACTGATAGTATGTTGGATGCTGTGCAAGGATACTGTAGGGATTGTGGGGTACAGTACATGGTTATCGTGGAAGAAAATGCACCCACCAGGGTAAGTAGTTGCTAACAAATGGAAATATGCGTTACTGGTATGATAAAACATTGTTGATATTATTACTGTTATCAAATAGAATCATACCTAATAGTTTTTACTAGGAACCAGTCTTCCACAAGTGTGTGTGAGAATGAGGAAATCTCCATTCTTATTACAGATACGTATTGTTGAGAAAGATAAAGAGACAAAAGGTGTGGACGATCCTGTAGAGTTTCTTAGGCAAAGATTTCACGAAACGACGGAAAGTGTCGATCGCGAGTATGCGTTGAACAGGCCAGCGTTTGCTGCCAATGAAAGTAATGGTCAGGCACAGCCAAAGTTTAACATTGAGTTTGTAACGCAGGAAAGACTTGAAAAAAATACAAGAAGGAGATACGAATCACATATGATATCGAAAGTCACGCAGATCTTAAAGAATTTTAGTGGACAAAAAGATTCTTACTTTATTGTTGGAGTATGTATCCTATACTAAATTGTTTATATTACTGCCTTGAATTCTAACATTGGTATAACTAAACAGTATTCTATGACTGGTACGACTTTCCTGTATCTAATATTAGTGTAACTGTTCAGTGTGTCCTGTATTCTAAAGCTGCTGTAACTGCCCTGTGTTCTAACATTGTGTGACAGTTCGATATACTAACATTGGTGTAACAGCTCTGTAATATGTCGTTTGTATAACTTCCCTATATTTTAAAGTTGGTATAACTGTCCTATGTTTTAACTTTGCCACGACTGTCCAATCTTCTAACGTTGGTATAACTGTCCTATGTTTTAACTTTGTCACGACTGTCCAATCTTCTAACGTTGGTATAACTGTCCTACGTTTTAACTTTGCCACGACTGTTCAATCTTCTAACGTTGGTATAACTGTCCTACGTATGTTCTAACATTGGTATGACTATCTAATATTCTAATATTGGTATGACTATCTAATATTCTAATATTGGTATGACTATCTAATATTCTAATATTGGTATGACTATCTAATATTCTAATATTGGTATGACTATCTAATATTCTAATATTGGTATGACTATCTAATATTCTAATATTGGTATGACTATCTAATATTCTAATATTGGTATGACTATCTAATATTCTAATATTGGTATGACTATCTAATATTCTAATATTGGTATGACTATCTAATATTCTAATATTGGTATAACTGTCACGTATTCTATTCGTGAGATGACTTCCCAGTACTCATATTAGTGTAAATGTCATGTGTTCTGTCTTTGGTATACCAGCGTGTTTTCTTACATCGGTGTAACTTCCCTGTAGTCTATGGTTGGTACGATTGCACTGTTTTCTGTGTGCCTGCGTTTACTTACATTTTGACATAAGTCAACTATAAACCAGCAACAAAGTTATTGATGACATTTGTCCGTTAAACGCATTGATAAAATTCTATTTCTGCCTGTTTAGGTTGATCTGCCTTCTTTTGTGTTGAAAAGTATAGCTGTTTTTCTCGACCTTAGCGACGATAATTCTAAAGCAAGATACAACGCAAGCGTAAAGGTGATTTGTGAACAATTGAAACAACCCAAGCATCGTAGACACGTCCCCTATGTCTGTGATAAAATTAACGATGTGAAAGATAATACGAAAATTCCAATTTTGTTTCTTTATAGTTGTACAGATGAGCAATGTGTCATGATGAATATCTAATTTTTATAACAATATTTTATGAATTTAGTTTTTGTGAAGAATTTGCTCTGCTCCGAATTTGATCTAAATTTGTCTACTAAGACAAACACTTAAGTAAACTATTGTGAAAAACAGGACATGCGCATTCGATGATTAGTCGAATACAAGTTTTGTAAAGGGTTAAAAGTTCCTTCTCGGCAATTTCGGCTCGTATAACTTGTTGGTAAATTAGTTATCTGACATTGTGCTGTGTGTTTTTCTAAAGTAGACAGGAAAGTTAATTCCGGAATTTTTAATCATGACAAAAATACACTAAAAAATATCGCCAATCCAATATTACTGCTTCGTACACTGCTTTAGATTTCGACGTTTTTTGTAAAGTTCAAGGTAAATAATGAAAAAGCTTAACAAATGCATTTAAGTAAACACGTTTCGACCTTTTTTCGTGTTCTATTATTAAATTCTTTAGGTGTTTTCTGTAAAAAATCAACATATGTCAAGAAAAAAGAGTTTGGTGTTTGAATGAATAAAAAAGACCGTTTTGGACTTCTAAGTGCCTTTTCAAAAATCACAGTGCCATAAAGAAAGGTATCCTTTTCGTAATACGTATTTTCCAATATAATGATAGTCATGCTTGAAAACTTCCACTCAAAGCTTCCACATGAAAAAATGAAGATCATGAAGAAAAACAAGCATTAAAGTGACAAAGAATTTAGGTACTGTTTTTTAGTGTCATATACTTTGTATAGATGTCTATATCCGGAGCGGTAGCCAGTGGTCAGCACAGCAGCTTCTTGGACATCCTTTTATCTCACCAAATCCCATGTCGCACGGTTTAAGCAATAACATCACTTTAGATAAGCTTGACGCCGAAAAAGATCAAGGGAGAAATCAAAATGGCTGTGATAATGGAGATGAGTCTCCTGATTTGAGGCCTATTTCTTTCAGCTACGCTGCGAGAAATTCAATAGTTTGGAATGAATTTGAGGTGTTGCAAATACTTCGAAAAGGAGGGTTTGCTTCAGTTTGGAAGTAGATTTTTATTACATACATCTTTTAAATAGACGGTAATTTTGTCACGCGAAAGGAATTTTGAACGTGATTTGGAAATGCTTTATGTACGCTTAGGTACGTAATAAATTGGACGGCTGTCTCTATGCGATCAAAAGAATTCCTTTGAATCCGAAAAGTGTTCTGTTAAATCGCAAAATTACTCGAGAAGAGAAGTTGCTTTCCAGATTGAGTCATGAAAATATTGTAAGGTAAAAAGAAATTTACTATCCAAAATGAATCAAAATTTTATGACATAAGGGTTGAAAGCGAGATTCAATTTAGACGGTACAAATTGCTTGGCTTATTAAATGTTATCTTTGTGAAAACTATTATAAAAAAGTAGATTTTCCCTTTTTTCCATGAAGCCCATCGATGCTTTTGTTCATGATGAAAGAATTATATTGTACAAGGAGGCTCTCGTTCATCACGAGAGAGTTACATGTAAAAAACGTATGTATAAACATACAAACATGTTCACAGTTGTTTTAAATTATAAATTTTTGAATCTTTGCAGTATCCTTGGATGTTCTAGTTTCTTTTATGAGATAAAGAAAAAGATAAAATTCAAAAGCAAAAAAACCCCGTTTTCGGTCCATGCTTCCCGATACCTTCTTAAGCGCAAGGCACTAGAACGTCGCATGTTAACGTTTCGGTAGGAGATTTCGGCCCCTCCACGCTATCCTACTTGGGAGATGCAATAGCAAGCTTCCGCCCATCAGACCCCGAGATCACCTGCGATAGGCTTTGCTCGGGGTACGCAGGGAGAGTGCGGTCGCGACCGAAGTCTGGGCCCCTAAGCCACTGCATACTATATCGCACCCAGCTTCCACTGCTAGTTGACATCTACTATATATAATATTGGCTTTATATATATATACAAAAATTCAAAGGCTTACGAAAGTTGTGGTATTATTAAAGTCACTACTGCGCATGCCCAGATGATTTCTTTAATAATTAGCGACTAAGTAAGCTAATTGCCACAAATGTAGTGCAAGTACATATAATTAGTCGTTGCCGTGACTATGAACAATTGGACGAGTGGAGTGCGCATGCTCAAGCGCATGCGCAGATGATTTCTCTATTAAATTGTTACTAAGCATGCCATTTACTTCAAAATCGATGTTAGTAGATGCAGTTGGTCGTTGCCATCACAATGAACTTGGGCAGTTAATCAAGTCGACTGCGCATGATCAAGCATACTGCGCATGCGCAGACGATATATCTGAAAATTTGTGACTAAGCGAGCTAATTACTCCATAATCGGTACTAGTACATACAGTTGGTCGTTTTCAATTAATTTGTGACGGAGCGAGCTATGAACACTGTTACGCCACTCGTAATATTTATGACAATGTTTGATATGTTTTTATTTTCTCTATAACTTTATATATGCATATTTTATGTAATAAACAATGCTCTAATATTTATGACAGATATTATTTGTGGATTGAGGTGGAAGAAATACTTGAAAATGAAACTTGCAACAGTGAAACAAAATCAAGTATGACAGAGGAGAAACAAAGAAGCCAGGTTGAAGATAGCTTGATGAAATTGAACGTCGTTAAAGCACCTAGCGTACGCTCGAGTGTTTTCGATGATTACTCGTGGACCAATAAAAACACGAATGATTCCAAGCATGTTGACGACGATAAAAGCTCAAGCTCTAGCGAAAACGAGGTTCGAATAGCAAAACAATCCAGTTATAACACCGAGTCCTCTGAAGATATTTTTCAAAAGAAATATCGATGAATCATATATACAGTTTGAAGGCTCGTTGGCTCACGTGGTATATAGTAGTGGTAATTGTTCATGATTATGCTGAAGATATGCAAAATTAACTACCAGAGTCTTTCCTTTAGGACGAGGAATCTGATTTCGAAATTGAAGAGGAAGCAATCACCACATGTTATTTGCAAGAAGATTCAAAGTTTACTCTACAAAGTTTGTACATACAAATAGAGTATTGTGAGGAGAGTACTCTAAGGAATGTCATTGACGAGGGATTGTAAAAAGACCCAGAGAGAATATGGTGCCTTCTCCGTGAGATTGTAGAAGGGTTGGTTCACGTTCATTCACAGGTAGAAACTTTCGATTATTTTATTTGCTACCGGTATGTTTACGTGTAACTATAAAAATAGAAAAATGTGGACAATTTTTGTTTAGCTCAATATATATAAATATAAAGAATGGTGATTTTGCTCTGCGACCACGCATCCCTTTACGAAGCCTTTTGCAAACCGGCAATACTGATAGCATTGTTGATATTGTCGATTTTGGTAAATCAGGTCTTGGTAAGCGGAATGCAAATCTAGAATGGAGATGCGGAATTTACCATAAAACACAAATTAAGTAACAGTTCAACCATTTCCACAAAATTATATGTATGCCAGCATCTCATGTATCAAACGCTTTACCAGCCTTTGTATTGTCTGCATCATCACCACAATCTTTCGCCAACCTTACAAGTCTATTTCCTCGGATTGTCGCAATTGCGACGAAATTGCAACGCAATCTAAGGGGCTGATTACATGAGCCCGGTAGCCGGGATTCAACCAAGCGTTAAATGATTTTGGCAAATGGAAACAATTCAACACTTATCATCAGATAAATTTTCTCAAGCAACTTCACAATATTCTGATTTAATAACTTTCAAAACATTTAAAATTGAAGCACCACTTTGCCAACAATTTAAGAATTACAAACGAAGTGATGTGTAGTGCTTCGCAAACAGCTGTAATTTTTAACCTTGAAGTTTGGGCTCATTTTAATTCCATGAAATCATCGGGCTAGCTCGCTATCCGGGCCAGCTCGCCTCCACGTAATCAGACCCTAAGTAATGGCGTTCGGTGAATGCATAGAGAGTTGGACAATTAACGCGTCATTTCATTAAACAGAGAGCATAAAACCCATTTTTGAATCTCACTTAAGTTTTATGTAAATAATATTAAATATGTAATATTATTTCAACTGTAGTTTTATAAATCTACTTATGGTCATAATCTTCTTAGGCTAGTCGAGGGCTCTGTGGCTAGCTCATGTACGTAATCGCGTATCTATTTTTATTATTTCTAATAATGCTAAAAACTTTCGCCAATCCAATATGGCTGCTTCGTGCACTAAAAAACTAATTTCTTTAGATTTCGAAGTTTTTGGCAAAGTTCAAGGTTAGTACTACAAAAGCTCTATAAATGCATTCAAATAAACGCGTTTCGACCTTTTTTGTGTTCTATTGTTACATTCCTTAGGTGTATTCTTCAGAAAGGTGCGTGTTCATTTTATCATGGTTTCATTGCTCCAAGTTGTCAATTTGTCTTGATTTGAACGCCTCAGAGGCGCCTAGCCGCTTGAATTATTGTTTTGGCCAGTAAGTTTCGTGAACTGTACATTTTAGCATACGCAGAAAAAAGGAAAGGAATATGGAGTTGTTGGTTATGTGAAAAACACACAACATTCTACTGTTGTAGGTCAATTGCAGGGAGAAAAGCAAAGTGTTGATTTAATGTTAGTAGTTTTTAGAAGGATTGATTAGTGCGTTTTGTATTATAAACATGAATGTTTTTCTGGCTATTCGTTTCAGGAAAGTGTGGTTATCCACAGAGGGAAGTCCTAAATCAAAAATCACTAAATGCCAGTTTTCCAAGGAGAGATTTATTGAAAAAGTTGAACATACTACCTTTAGTATTGCTCATTAAGGAACCTCAGGCAAAACTAATTTAAGTAGAATCAGAAACCAAGGGATGCATACATGCATTGTTTTCTTATGTAAGCATTAGTTTTTATGCATTGAATGAAATGTTCAGTTTGTTCAATGTTTGTTATTCCCAAGTCCCAACATTTAACCATTCACATTCTTGGCATGAAATTACTTACAAAACACTAGAATTTAATGCTCTTCATGCTTGTTCATTATATAGCATTCCAAGATTTTTTTATGTTAAAGCATTAACAATCTCAATAAAAAATAGTCAGATAAAATATCTACTGAACTACAAGTATTCTTTGATCCATTCTTTGGCAGAGTCAATGTCTTTATCAACTGACTCTTTCATTTTGGTGTCAAAAGTAGGCAGAGATCTGAAAAATTATCAAAACATTGCTTAAACACCACAAATTTTACAACAATGGTGTATTAATTTAACTTACTCCCAAATCTTTGATGATACTGTGTCTATAATACCACCTTAAACAGCAAAGGATGACTTTAACTTCACATGATAGAATAGGATGGTAATACTTAATCTAACTTCAGTGAATGTGACTGAAGTGAGTTCACTGAAGCTCACCTTAGGTTTGAGGTGCACGAATGTGTAAAAAATGTACGCAATGAAATGCAATGTTAAATTTTAATGATGTTTGATCAACATTGTTTTCTACATTTCCCTAATCATTTTTTATAATGTGTATTTTGATTTACCTGGCTGACAAATAGTTTTGCAAAGAGCAGAACATAGATAGCAGTATTTGCAGTACTGAAATGAATTGTAAAATGAATATTATACATGAAGCTTCTTGTTCAAATCCAAGAAAATATGATTCTACCTTGCACAGATGACAATTTGGTTTGGATCTGCTTTTCGTACATGGACAATCTTTGTCGCAATAGCTGCAAAACTGTACGGGAAAAAATATTTGCGAAAGTTAAACCTATGCCTTAAATGTACAAATTAACAGGAAGGTGATTATGAACATTGAATAACAAAACTTAATCGAATTTAACGCACATCTTATGAATAACTTAATCTCAAATCCGAGTATTTAAATCGTGAATAACACTTCAAGGTAATATTATTGAGGAATCCTTACTTGACAGTATTTGCAATATCCGCAAATTGATCCCTTAGCGTGTTCAGTGGGGCCATTAGATTTTGGCGTCTCACTATCGCCATCCACTTCCTTGGAGGTATCTGTTTTATCAGTTCTAGCTGTCTTAGTGACATCGTCGTTGGTGTTTTCTCCTCGAATCGACCAAATATTTAACATAAAATAGAGAAATAGTAAGTTTCTCCAACGAGACGCCATTGCGAAAACTGAGAAACTGCCTGGCCCTGGCCTGAGCTGCCACGCGTCAACCGGAAGCATTCCAGGTCATGTCATTGGGTCATGGCCAGAATGGTCATGGCAGTCACAGTCAGTGGTCCCGGTGGTCAGGGCTTCAGTGAATTAATGATCAACAGTCATGGTCAAAAATAGATTCTTCATGTTCTCACCGAAAGACGTTTGGATCGCGAATCAACGAGCACATGAAAGCCGGTAATAATTTCAGCGGTAATTTTGATTTTGCACATGCACTTGAATAATGGTGATGGTATCTGGATATCATCTCCAATGGTCATCTCGCACCATCAAATCAACGGAAAGTTTAAGACAAAATGAAAGAACTTTGAGTGAATTAAATTGCATATATCAGTTTAATAATGAGACCATGGACCTAGACCTCATCTAAAAATCAAAGGTCAGTTCACTCTGGACCACTCACGAACAAAATATGCCTTTATTCTCACGTTTTACAGTTTTTGAATTGTTTTTTATTTCAATGTTTGAGGACAGTTTTAAAGAATTTGAAAAATCTTCAAGAGTTGGAAAAAACTTCAAGTGTGATAATAAAATATTGATTGGTAACAATTAGATCAGATCTGTGGGAAACCAGCTACTGAAGAGGAAATATGTGCTAACTAAATGGTAAGCTCTTTTATTTCAGAGAGTTTGTGCATTTTATAAATTACATTGGCAGTAAAATTATCAATATTTTAAAGTCCTATGATAGTAATTGCAGCTACTTAATATAAGCTACAAAAGTAAGGTAAGCGAGCCTAATGCAATTGAATATTTTGCCTTTCTGCCTCCGATTTATGAAATTCTTTGCCAGCGGTTTTTCATGATTGTACTACATTGCATCAATTTCAAGCGAAACTGCTTGAGAGTGAGCTATTCAATCATTACATTAAGTTGACATAAAAATATTCACTTAAAATAAAAATCTTTGCAGAAATTGTTATAATACTCTAATAATTTAAGCCAATTTGTTTGGCAGTAATGAAGGATAGTGTTTTTGCTTCCATACATTATAAATCACATTTCATGCATATAATCCTGGATTATAACAATCCATCAAATTTTCATCCAAGTGTAATCCTATATATTAGGATTAATATATTATATATATTTTCTGATGATGGCCTTGCAAATAAGGGTGGCCAGATTTACCAAATTTGGTAGCAATCTTGCTAAGTCCAACCTTCCATCTACTTCTCTTTATGGCAAACCAACATTCTTGTTCTTTTTCTCCATTGGCTTTTTCCACACCTTTTTTGGTTGTTAGGGAAATGACAGGACAAACATTCCAATGCAAGGAGCTACATGGACATTTGCAAACTTCACATTCAATTTTCAAACTCCACAAAAAATGGAATTGTCCAAAATAATAATTTTAGAATCATAAAACAGAAAATAGGCCACTTTCCCAACAGGGGCCACACTTGATGTTACATGTTACATAGTCATACTCACATTTCCCACAATTCTTTTGGGATATTCTAAACTGAAATTTAAAAAATTCAGTAATCAAGGTATAGAGAGAGACCTTGGTATTGCTGCTCATCCAGAAACGTTTTGAGCAAGCACTACTTATTTTTCACAACCTCACACAAAAAATGACAAACAGAATCTGCCATGGAAAATAAACAATAATTTAATTTTCTAACATGCTTACACATTAAACCTTACAGGCTAAAACACAACCTTCTATACATGGAAAATTGACATCGTAAATATTTAATGAGTTTTTTGGTAAAAAGAAATTTTGAATACTTTTGTAAACAATTAAGCAACACGAGTTATTTAAGTAAATAATGGACTCAAATTGATCCTTCTGACATTAACTTGCTTTTGCGTGCCTTAAAAACATGTGTTTCAACTATAACTGATTTCTACCATTTATTTTATAAATGCTATATTTTCACAAGCGACTTCCTTTTAATGCGATCAAGCTTTTGATTAAAAGTTTTATGATAACATTTGCGAGCTCCATTCTAATTTTGCCATGGGGTCAACGGCAGAATCACCTTAGCAAATCTAATGTGTTTGAGTCATATAATAAATATGCGAAGTTTACATAAGATCGTTGTTAAAACATCACAGTTAGTGGTCGTTTTGACTAACAACGTGGCTAAAAGCCTAAAATCATTGTTTACCGTAATTATAACTCTCTTTTGAAACATCTAATTTTTTGGGAGGGCTGGCGCACTTATTTAAATCTCGCCCTGTTAATTATACAATCGGCCCAGCGTAATGGTAATATGAAGATAATAGATTGGTTGACATGTACGTGTCCTATTTTCTCCATATAGATCATATGTACGTGATATAGATTACTATTTGTACTTTGCATAAGCTAAATTTTATCACCAACTTTCCTTGAACGCACTTTGAAGCATAACGTCTTCTATTTCAAATTTAAGATATTTCATACTTACTTTTTGTAAGCTAGGGTTATCCTATGGTGCGTAGCTATTGAGATACTATATATAAGTACAAATTGTATATGTGCATTTATAAAGTTGAATTGTATTGCTATCCATTTTTTGTTTATATTAACTGCTAATGTAGAGTTTACATTGCCTACATTGCCTAGCTTTTCCATAATTTTTGACAAATAGTAAACTGTTTCGTAAACAGTTTTTATCTGTTTTCCTATTCAATTCATAAGTTTCAAGGGGATTATAAATTCGCGTTTACAAGGCTTTCCATTCGGAAACCCGAAATGAATCATACGATTAAGACAAATGATTGTTTGTGCTCTTGTTGTAAACGACGAAAGCTTTCGGAAGAAATGATTGTTCTGAAGTCTTCAAGGTGGTTTACCGCTTTCGTTGTTATGCTAACGAAATATCAATGTCATAACATTCATTATGTGTTTAGTTCAACGACTTGTTACAAAATATAAGGAAATTGAAATGGCCATTGCATTGTGACATTGAGAACAATAACATTTAATAACTGTTTGTGTGTTTTTGTAGCTTGTAATATTAGTGAGATTAGACCAAACGTGTTTTTAGTCACATGTTTGTATTGTGCACGACATTTTAAAATCAATGCAAGTTGAACAATTTTACAATTATGTTTGTGATTCATAAGATAACCACTTTAATATTGTATGTGTACAATGACAGTATATAATGCAAATGTTCAGCAACCTCTATAATTAACGGTCCTTAGCTTTTGCGCAAACTGCTATATTGATATAGGTATTGGGTTAGTAAGTCTTGTTCTAATTCAACGCTTACCCAAACATTAATATGTTGTGTACATGATTCATATTTCACTATATATATATATATGTGTGTACATATAAGTTTCCTAAGCAAATGTTAGACAACTCAATATTTAAAGCTCTTTAAAAATTGTTAACAATCCTCTTACAGTGTGTATATCAGTCATAAAATATCATTGCTTATGTTAACTCTTTTCTGTTTGGGAATTGCTTTGAAAGTTATTGATGCAAAATGTGCGAAGTTTGATAAAAGAATAAGAGTTGCAAAATGCAACGTCAGAAAATGATTTGAATCATTATATACGATCAAGATTTCTTTTATGGACCCTGGATTTCTCCCTGTTATTTTATACCGAAAATTGCTCCACTGTATTGTATTTACAACATGAAGTTAATTTTTGTGATCAAGTGTTCCCAAGTCGAGCAGCTCAGCATCACATATAGCGTCGTATGTTTATATGGAAGCATTTAGTTCTTTGTGTTCGCTAATTGCCATTTTATATGAGCGCTGCAGGTGCTCCAGTTCGCAGTGCGATGAGATGTGCACAATATTGACAAGATTGAAGCTGGTAAATTTCCGTTGAGGTTTTCAATAGAGATGATTAGCAAGCTTGAGAAAAGCCTTGTACAATTATGATGAAAACAGAATGAACCAATAGGAATCGTTTATAGATTATGGCAACGTGATTCAGCTGCGCGACGAATGCATAATGAAGAGGTATATGATTGACATTTTCCCAACTTGTTAATTAATTGTGCTGTCCCCGGAAATGAAGATTATTCATGTCATGACAAGGTCTTTGACCACTCCTGCCTTTCAATGGCCGCTGCGGCCCACGCTTGAAATGGAGCTTATGGTAGCACGGGTCAAGGCAACGAGAATATGCTTAGCGAATCAAAATTCTCTAACATACAGAATTTGACTTGACAGACAGTCATCGTTGACCATAAATGTCGCGCGCAATTTGGTCATTTATGTTCTCGTTGACATTGCGAAAGTATTGATTGTCATTTGTTTGTGAATCGATACATGGCCAGATCAACAACTATTACTTGCCACGCTGGAATCCTCCCGATTGTTTAAACTAAAAATCGATTACCATGTGTCAACTTTGATATCTTGCACGCCACATTTTGCTGCCTTATCAAATTAGTGTCTTCGTTCTCATTTTGTTTCTATGGTGGGAGTTGGGTAGCCAGCACGCGCAGTCGCGCACTAATGTTTAGATGACGATGTGTTGTAAGTGTCATGGTGTTAACATGATAGCTTGGTATACAGTCAATGTTTACTGCATGGGAACATGTTTAAGATGCTTGCAAATAATTGCGTGTAAAAATCTTTACAAACAAATTAATGATCGATCGCTTTTGACGCACGTGTAGTGAAAAGCACACTATTTTGAGTTATAAACTACGGCAGAAATTCTTGCAGCAATTATTGAGCACGAAAGGAAAAGCTCTTCCTGTTTGCACTCTTATTGAAATTTCGTCTAAATGCTTTCGTTAATTGTTACATGAAACGGCATGTAATGAGATTTACCTTTATGTATTGTTTCGGAAAGATATACACATTTCGGCTGTGTATGGTATCGGAAACTTCAGGAATAAAGTTGGCAAGTATTGTAATGGGATGGTTGTGTTTGATAAGATCATTTGGCAGAATACCTACGTACATTTTGTAAAAATTCCTTTGCAAAAATTGTATTTTGTATCGATAGGTTTTTTGTTTTTCACCAACATTTCTTCTGAGGCGAACAAGGAGAGTCTTTGGGAAGCAAAGGTGCCGCATCTTTTTCCTCATATGCATTCCTGAGGGCCCTCTATAAGCATAAGTTCCGTTCCTATACATTTGTTATGAAAATTCAATTAGTCAGTTTCCTTTTCTGGTAAATTAGAACACAAGATGTATTATTTGAACAAGCGTGCAGATGTAAAACAGACTGACTCAATCTTCGCAACGAATTCAATCGTGAATGTATCTTTAAAATATTTATAGTTAGGCAAAGTCAAGTATTGTGAAAAATTTCAAATCCCCGAACACATCTCAGGAAATGTTAAAATTTTGACAGGCCGAATACGAGTTATTTTTTATTGTTATGTAAATAGCTGGTGGTCTTTGTCGATATGACATACAGTGGCAAGTTACAGCTCGACTACGGAAATATGTGCAACTAAAAATTTCTTCCTTCATATCCCACTAATGCACTTGCTTTACTTTACTATCGTTTTCGAAATATTTCTTTCCATATTCTTCGAGTTTAACGCACTTCCAACTCAGGATTTCTCGTTATTCCTTTGGCAGCAAATCCTTTGTATACGAAAAGTTGTCATTTTTTGAATGCGCTATAAGGAACAACTACATGTAAAGACGCGTGTTGTGTTAAGCCGATTGTCGCACCAATGATACAATACGATAACAAGTTATTTTTGTGTGCCATTTTTGCGTAATTATTTGCAGTGTTGACTTGTGAACTGCCGTCTATACACATACGGCGGATCCCTGTAGCGTGACCTCAAACCTGTGAAAACATTTGTGTCTTTCAACTTAACGCTACTTAGCTCACGTTTTACGAAACGACAGACTTTAGACTTCTATGGTAATTTGTCTTACATGGTAAACGTTTTAAGTTAAACTTTACACGACGGGTGGCGTTATGTTCTCTGTTCAAACAATGGTTGGGGGGGGGGAGGGAGAAAGCTTTCAGCAGTAGCAAGACAATTAAGGGAGGTGTGGCTAATTGCGTTCGCCGGTGCTTATCGTACTAAACGGGGCATTAAAACTGAATTTGATCCAAGGAAGTGAGTGTAGAAAGCATCAAACGTCGTGCGAGCTAGAGCTTGAAAAATTCACTCGCACAACATCGACTGCATAATGATGGACTCAGTGTTGACATCAGACTATTTGCAAGATCCATTGGATCCAAAAGCGCGGCAGGTTAAGGATAAAGAAAAGTCGATGACATCTCGACGAAATTTCACGCACGCTAAACCACCTTACAGCTATATTAGCCTTATAACTATGGCTATACAACAATCGCCAAACAAGATGTTGACCTTGAGTGAGATCTACCAATTTATTATGGATTTGTTCCCGTACTACAGAGGAAACCAACAGCGTTGGCAGAACTCTATTCGACACAGTTTATCTTTCAACGATTGTTTTGTAAAGGTTCCTCGTTCACCTGATCGACCAGGCAAAGGTTCTTATTGGACATTACATCCTGACTGTGGAAATATGTTTGAGAATGGCTGCTATCTACGTCGGCAGAAACGCTTCAAAGCAAACAAGAAACCAAACTTGAATCATCTTGTTAAGCCTGGACCTTACGTACCCGGTGTGCCAAAAGTACAAAGTGGAAGAACATTTGCAACGCCATCATTTCTCGCTCCAACACATTACGGTGGCTTTAGACCAGGTTTCAATCATCCTTTCGCGATTAAAAATATCATTGCCGATCATGAAATGGATTTCAGGGGATACGACAGCATGCATTTTAACCCGTATCATTCTGGAAGTTTGTCTACACCACCTCCAGTGCCCGCTATGAGTCCCATGTCATCATTTGGTTTGCCGAAGACAACACTTGATCCGCCATCCTTGATGACAAGCGACGCAAACTTAACTCCATATTATCCCTCTTGTGGCTACATCAACACGTCATCCAGTTGTTCACTCTCTGGCTACACATAGACCTTTTTGAAATATAACGATTTCCCAACGTGATTTTCCACGTCAATCCACCGAAAATAATCGCTCAAATAAGTTATGATTTTCCACTGTGATTATGCGCCAGACACACATACGTATACCAAAGTATTTTAAACGGAAAAAGTAACATACAATAAAGAGGACACATGCTAGCGTTGTCATTATCTTGTAACATAATACCATTGCAAATTAGAACCGTACATGAATTTGTAAATTTAGGTAAATTTCAAAACAAAGGCCGTGTTGGATGGCCATGAACATGCAAGAAAGAAAACTTAAAAATGGCGAAGGTGAAATCGTAATGTATCGTTTTCTTGACGATACTTTGTGTAAAGCGTGTATTTATTTTGCTTGTTGTATTTATAGATTAAACCATACGTTATACTATCTTGAAAACATTATTGACACGATTGAAATAAATGTTGTTTGAAATGGACTTGAGATGTTTTCCTTCTTTGACAACATTGGCCTGTCGGTCGCGCGCTTTCCTTCCATTATACTGTAAAGTACAGTCGATATGTACTCATATTGTAAAAAGTGTTCACTTTAAATTTTCTGCAATGGAAATTGTAAAAGTTATCGGCAGTTTTAGCGCAAAAGATCTTAATAATTGGACCGAACTTCTTCCTAATTACATCGATCAACAGAGTTTTTAATTTACGAATGAATTTTACGAATTTGCTTTACGCTTCAACTTGAGCTGACAAAAAGAGGCATCCGGTGAAAAATACCCAGTGTGTCTGAAACCGGAATAAACTTATTAAAAAGCGTGTGTTCGCAGCCTCATCAGGGCACTTGAAAGTATAGCGAAGCGACAAAGCTTTTTTTTGACAATATTTGCCAAGAGTTTTGAGCTACGGCCGAAGTCAATACTGACTCAAACAAATGATTTAATGCCTGCTTCGAGCTTTTATGTTCTGTCAATAGTGGTAAACTGGTGTTATAGACATAGCACACCAAATAGGACACGTTAACGCGTTGAGAACACATTAAATAAATGGAGAACGCTAACAATCACTTTACCATATGTTGTACACTTAACACAAGGAAAACGTGTTCACAAGCTCTGGTTTAAACTTTTCAGTCAATGCTTAAATTTCACGGTAAACATCCGATGAATGCGCTCAAGACGCACTTGAAAAGATCGAATTTCGTTTTTAAACTACCAAAGAGATTTCTTTGACAATATCGTGGCTGTATTTTTGCACTCTTGTACAAATGTGGAACTTTTTGTGGAAAATTCTTATCTTATATACACATGGCAAGTTATATGTACACCTTTTCATGGCAAGTTTCAGGATGCAGTTAGTCAAGTTTCATGTACAAACATGGATAGAAATTGGTCAAGGCTCAAATATACTCGCTCTGTGAAAGTTCTGGAGTTTGTTTTGAAGACATTTTCTCAAAGAAGAGTTGGAGACTTCCTTATGACACAGACATATAACATGGGAGTTTGAAATGGCTCGCCCACATGAAGTTCCCGTTTCGCGTTCTAGAGATTTTTACCACATCCGAGTAAGCTTTATAGATAACTATCCAGTTTACCTGTTTTTGTTTTGGGCTATTTTCGAGCATTAAGTCAAGTTTTCAAAGAAGTTGAAAAATCTTCAAGAGTTGGAAAAAATTTCAAGTCTGATAATAAAATATTGATTGGTAACAATTAGATCAGATCTGTGGGAAACCAGCTACTGAAGAGGAAATATGTGCTAACTAAATGGTAAGCTCTTTTCAGAGAGTTTGTGCATTTTATAAATTACATTGCCAGTAAAATTATCAATATTTTAAAGTCCTATGATAGTAATTGCAGCTACTTAATATAAGCTACAAAAGTAAGGTAAGCAAGCCTAATGCAATTGATTATTTTGCATTTCTGCTTCCGATTTATGAAATTCTATGCCAGCGGTTTTTCATGATAGTACTACATTGCATCAATTTAAAGCGAAACTGCTTGAGAGTGAGCTATTCAATCATTACATTAAGTTGACATAAAAATTTTGACTTAAAATAAAAATCTTCGCAGAAATTGTTATAATACTATGATAATTTAAGCAAAATTTGTTTGGCAGTAATGAAGGATAGTGTTTTTTTTGCTTCCATACATTACAAATCACATTTCATGCATATAATCCTGGATTATAACAATCCATCCAATTTTCATCCAAGTGTACCCTTGCAAATAAGAGTGGCCAGATTTACCAAATTTGGTAGCAATCTTGCTAAGTCCAACCTTCCATCTACCTCTCTTTATGGCAAACCAACACTCTTGTTCTTTTTCTCCATTGGCTTTTTCCACACTTTTTTTGGTTCTTAGGGAAATGACAGGGCAAACATTCCAATGCAAGGAGCTACATGGACATGTGCAAAATTCACATTCAACTCCACAAAAAATGGAATTCTTCACAAGAATAATTTTAGAATCATAAAACAGAAAATAAGCCACTTTCCCAACCGGGGCCACACTTGATGTTACATGTTACATAGTTATACTCACATTTCCCACAATTTTTTCTGGATATTCTAAACTGAAATTTAAAAAATTCAGTAATCAAGGTATGGAGAGAGACCTTGGTATTGCTGCTCATCCAGAAACGTTTTGAGCAAGCACTACTTATTTTTCACAACCTCACACAAAAAATGACAAACAGAATCTGCCATGGAAAATAAACAATAATTTAATTTTCTAACATGCTTACCCATTAAACCTTTCAGGCTAAAACACAAGCCTTCTATAGCTATGACTACAGCTTTTGAAGGTTTTCCAAAATCTAGAGGTTTTTATTGGTAACAACATTTCCTCGTGACTTCTCTCCTGTTATGATATTTCCTATTCATTACACAACCATACAAATTAGTCTTGTCGTTATTTCATGTTTTTGTTGCCTATTGTGTAAATATTACATAGAATTAATTTCAACATACGCAAGTCAATGCAAGAGGACAATTTGAATTGGCGCCAGTAATATATGGGATTTCCATGCCACCAAGGTCAAACATGCTTTGAAACACGTCAAACCTTTTTGTTTGTGTTTTGGATTATTCATATATTTGATTTCATAACTTTGTACAATGTCTTAAACTAGAGGAAATACAAACACTTGTATAACAAAGTACTGCATAGACTGCTCAGTCAAGGACACTTGGGTACTGGCACACTTGACCAATATCATACTGTTGGGACGGATGATAATGTTCAATTTTTATTCATATATAACATATATTTTGAGTGTGAGATTTGCTGTATGTTAGTTTGTTCTCTCTGTGAGCACACGTTAATTGAACACACTGGTACTATTTTGTGACAGGTTCTAAAAATTTTTACCACATGTTTAAAGCCGCTTTATTGATCTCAGGAAATTATATTATCCAAACGTTGATAGCTTTTACGGTCATAGCACTTCCTTGTATCACCACTGTGAATATGAGTTATGGTATTTTATCAACTCATTGCTTATTACATATGTTTTCATTGGGATGGAATTGACTGCATTTTTTTGGCATTTTATTTTTACTATTCTTCTCGGGAAATCAACCTCTACACAATTATCAAGCAATTACATTGCTTATTACATATGTTGCCATTAGGATGGATTGACTGCATTTTTTTGGCATTTTATTTTTATTATTCTTCGCGGGAAATCAATCTCTACACAATTATCAAGCAATTCTTTGTACGTCGAATGTACTTTGAACATGAATTTGCCAAACAACATTGGCTGTAATTCAAAATTAGCTGGGACTTTGACGCCATGACGAGGGGATGACGTCATCAGGTGGCATTTAACTATTTCGACCTCAATTGGAGTAATAATCTTTTTGTATCATAGATTTGGGTCAAGTACTTTCGGTGATTATCCACTGGTTAAATGTTCTGAAGTTAACTTGAGTAATTTAACGTTTGTAAACTATAATTATTGTGTCTTAATATCGTCTAAGAATAAGGTCAATTTTTCGATATTGTTATAGTAACCTTTTAAGGTAATGCACCATGAATCCCATCTGCATTTTTGCATACAACTCTTACTGCAGAATATATATAATTTGTCGTACATATAGTACACCGTACGCTAGCGTTGAAGGCGAAACTCTAGTCGTTGATAACAATTAATTGAGTATTCTGAATATGTGCATCTTTGGAAATGTTAGTTTAACACTTTGCAAGGATCAATGGTGAAGGCTTCGTCGTATCGTTGATTTATATTGAACTAAGTTTAAACAAACTGTTACGTCTTAGTAACTGTATTTTCTACAATGTCCAGCACATTTCACATAGCTTAAAATCATCGAAGTAGGAATTTTAACGGGGATAATTGATTTCATATGTTACGTTCCGTTACATCCTGTGCCTGTGTGTGGGCGAGACGTTGATTTGTTAATCACATCTCCGCCTTTTGTTGTTGCTGAAATTCTTCAGATTGGACTGTAGATAGAAAGCAGACCAGTAAGATTCTTGAGTAATTGAAAAACTTTAGCTTGTCATCACCAGCCAAAGAGCTTGATTATGGAGGCGCTGTTATCGTAAAATTACTTTCGTCAAGTTGCCTTACTTACGTTAGGCCATAGTATTATATAAAATAAATAACTATTGCTGAGGCTTCTCTTGCCCTATAAACTGAAAATGAATTGAATAAAAAGATTACCCGTGTGTAGAACCAGAGGAAAGGGCAAAAATCATTCTGTGTAAACAAGTTTAAGTCTTGATTTTTTACTTCCACATGTGGTTATGAACAAATACATTGTGTTGAATTGTTTGCAGTTCCGTGTACACATCAATTAATTGCATAAACGTTTGATTTTTTGCAGATGTTGCTATATAGCTTCAGTGTTGAGTCAAATATGAAATCCTTATGTCAGCTTTAAAATTTTTTTCATGGTGAGCTAATATGTAACACATTCTTCGGCAAATGCTAATTTCTAAACTCCATTACTTTACCACCAACATGCATGTTTGCTTTCTTCAAATCAATCAAAGCGTTTAAAATGTGAAAAAAGGTCCATTGAGATATTATCAACTGTCTTCATGTTTGTACTATGCAAATATGGTATATATATATAAGGCTAACCACAATCCTTTTGTCGTTTGCTTTGCCGTCTGTTGATCTGATATCTGTGTCTCGTTTGCGAGTCTGTTTGCAAAGATCATCACGTCAGTCTTGCTAAACGCTAAATTACGTTGTCCATACGCAAGTCTTGTAATATTGACACAGCTAACATTGACCTTCTTGCTACGATCACTAGACGTAAATTATTAACAGCTCTGCTACTCAATAGAGATAACGTATACTATACTTGAGATTTTTTGGACTTTAAAAAGCCATGCTAGATTTGCATGCAAAATACATTTCCATTCAAATGATTTTCTATCAGCTTAGGAAATATATGGTTTACCACGAGTTGAAGTTTTTTTTCCATAATCTACGACCCGGATTAAATTATTGAAAAGTTTGATAAACGCCATTAGAGAAAAGCTTTATAACTATCAAGCGATTTCCATCCTTGACAATCAAATGCAATTTAGTATGAATTAGTTGTTGAATGTACAAAATCTTACTTTATACTCAAATTATCTTTGTAATGTTTTACTATAACATTATAATAAACCTCATATTAAAATCCGTACACATATTGGTGAGAAGCATCTGTAAAACTTTCTTTTAAGAAACTCGGATTCACGATGAGAAAGCGTCTTGTCAACTGATCTGTCGTCGGGCTGTCGAAGTCAAATTTAAATGTTAAAAAAACATTTCAATGTTTTCGTTTTGGCCATGTATTTTTTAGTCAGTGTGGGAAAATTCGAAGAAGCGAAAAAATTGAAAAAATAAACTAAACTTGTTCTGTAAATAAGCTCACATTGTTATGATAGCTTACTACTAATGAAAACGCGTTCTTACCATAAGCATACTCTTTCACGAACCTTTGATAAATCAGGAATTTTAGTTTTTTAATGTTTTTGGTCATGAAACGACGAACAAATCTATAAACGTCGTAGGGCTATTTGAAATCATTACCAAATAAAGTAGACGAAAAGGAGCTTAGGAAAAGACTCTCAACTATCCTTATTTCTAACACTTGACATGAAGAAGAATCTGAATACCTTCCTTTGGAAACAAAGAACAGGAATTCGTTATAAATTGAAGAATGTGAATACCTTAGGACATGGAGTGCATTTTATGTCTCTGTAAACAAAGTAACCGTATGAGTTATGGTGAGTCTAAAATACATATAACTAATACGAAACAGAGATAAAATATATACATGGAAAATTGACATCGCAAATGTTTAATAAAAAAATCTCAACAAATGGTGGACATATTAAGGGGTTTTTGGTAAAAGAAAATATGAATACTTTTGTAAACGATTAAGCAACACGAGTTATTTAAGTAAATAATGGAGTCAAATTGATCCTTCTGACATTAACTTGCTTTTGCGTGCCTTAAAAACATGTGTTTCAACTATAACTGATTTCTACCATTTATTTTATAAATGCTATATTTTCACAAGCGACTTCCTTTTAATGCGATCAAGCTTTCGATTAAAAGTTTTATGATAACATTTGCGAGCTCCATTCTAATTTTGCCATGGGGTCAACGGCAGAATCACCTTAGCAAATCTAATGTGTTTGAGTCATATAATAAATATGCGAAGTTTACATAAGATCGTTGTTAAAACATCACAGTTAGTGGTCGTTTTGACTAACAACGTGGCTAAAAGCCTAAAATCATTGTTTACCGTTAGCGTAATTATAACTCTCTTTTGAAACATCTAATTTTTCTTTTGGGTAGGCGCACCTTATTTAAATCTCGCCCTGTTAATTATACAATCGGCCCAGCGTAAGGGTAATATGAAGATAATAGATTGGTTGACATGTACGTGTCCTATTTTCTCCATATACATCATATGTATGCGATCTAGATTACTATTTGTACTTTGCATAAGCTAAATTTTATCACCAACTTTCCTTGAATTTCCTAGTTTATATTAACTGCTAATGTAGAGTTTACATTGCCTACATTGCACTAGCTGGCCATAATTTTTGACAAATAGTAAACTGTTTCGTAAACAGTTTAGCTTTATCTGTTTTCCCATTCAATTCATAAGTTTCATGGGGATTATAAATTCGCGTTTTCAAAGCTTTCCATTCGGAAACCCGAAATGAATCAGACGATTAAGACAAATGATCGTTTGTGTTCTTGTTGTAAACGACGAAAGCTTTCGGAAGAAATGATTGTTCTGAAGTCTTCAAGGTGGTTTACCGCTTTCGTTGTTATGCTAACGAAATATCAATGTCATAACATTCATTATGTGTTTAGTTCAACGACTTGTTACAAAATATAAGGAAATTGAAATGGCCATTGTATCGTGACATTAAGAACAATAACATTTAATAACTGTTTGTGTGTTTTTGAGTCAACGACGAGCCATGTAAGATCTATCTTATTAAAGTTTACTTTTAATATAGTCTGTGTGTAGCTTGTAATAATAGTGAGATTAGACCGAACGTGTTTTTAGTCACATGTTTATATTGTGCACGACATTTTAAAATCAATGCAAGTTGAACAATTTTACAATTATGTTTGTGATTCATAAGATAACCACTTTAATATTGTATGTGTGCAATGACAGTATATAATGCAAATGTTCAGCAACCTCTATAATTAACGGTCCTTAGCTTTTGCGCAAACTGCTATATTGATATAGGTATTGGGTTAGTAAGTCTTGTTCTAATTCAACGCTTACCCAAACATTAATATGTTGTGTACATGATTCATATTTCACTATATATATATATGTGTGTACATATAAGTTTCCTAAGCAAATGTTAGACAACTCAATATTTAAAGCTCTTTAAAAATTGTTAACAATCCTCTTACAGTGTGTATATCAGTCATAAAATATCATTGCTTATGTTAACTCTTTTCTGTTTGGGAATTGCTTTGAAAGTTATTGATGCAAAATGTGCGAAGTTTGATAAAAGAATAAGAGTTGCAAAATGCAACGTCAGAAAATGATTTGAATCATTATATACGATCAAGATTTCTTTTATGGACCCCGGATTTCTCCCTGTTATTTTATACCGAAATTGCTCCACTGTATTGTATTTACAACATGAAGTTGGTGTGTGTGATCAAGTGTCCCCAAGTCGAGCTGCGTCTGTTTATAAGGTTAAATTAGCAGCTCAGCATCACATAGAGCGTCGTATGTTTATATGGAAGCATTTAGTTCTTTGTGTTCGCTAATTGCCATTTTATATGAGCGCTGCAGGTGCTCCAGTTCGCAGTGCGATGAGATGTGCACAATATTGACAAGATTGAAGCTGGTAAATTTCCGTTGAAGTTTTTAATAGAGATGATTAGCAAGCTTGAGAAAAAGCCTTGTACAATTATGATGAAAACAGAAGGAACCAATAGGAATCGTTTATAGATTATGGCAACGTGATTCAGCTGCGCGACGAATGCATAATGAAGAGGTATATGATTGACGTTTTCCCAACTTGTTAATTAATTGTGCTGTCCCCGGAAATGAAGATTATTCATGTCATGACAAGGTCTTTGACCACTCCTGCCTTTCAATGGCCGCTGCGGCCCACGCTTGAAATGGAGCTTATGGTAACACGGGTCAAGGCAACGAGAATATGCTTAGCGAATCAAAATTCTCTAACATACAGAATTTGACTTGACAGACAGTCATCGTTGACCATAAATGTCGCGCGCAATTTGGTCATTTATGTTCTCGTTGACATTGCGAAAGTATTGATTGTCATTTGTTTGTGAATCGATACATGGCCAGATCAACAACTATTACTTGCCACGCTGGAATCCTCCCGATTGTTTAAACTGAAAATCGATTACCATGTGTCAACTTTGATATCTTGCACGCCACATTTTGCTGCCTTATCAAATTAGTGTCTTCGTTCTCATTTTGTTTCTATGGTGGGAGTTGGGTAGCCAGCACGCGCAGTCGCCACTAATGTTTAGATGACGATGTGTTGTAAGTGTCATGGTGTTAACATGATAGCTTGGTATACAGTCAATGTTTACTGCATGGGAACATGTTTAAGATGCTTGCAAATAATTGCGTGTAAAGATTTTTTACAAACAAATTAATGATCGATCGCTTTTGACGCACATGTAGTGAAAAGCACACTATACTTCAAACTATTTTGAGTTATGAACTACGGCAGAAATTCTTGCAGCAATTATTGAGCACGAAAGGAAAAAGCTCTTCCTGTTTGCACTCTTATTGAAATTTCGTCTAAATGCTTTCGTTAACTGTTACATGATCGGCATGTAATGAGATTTACCTTTATGTATTGTTTCGGAAAGATATACACATTTCGGCTGTGTATGGTATCGGAAACTTCATGAATAAAGTTGGCAAGTATTGTAATGGGATGGTTGTGTTTGATAAGATCATTTGGCAGAATACCTACGTACAATTTTGTAAAAATTCCTTTGCAAAAATTGTATTTTATATCTATACGTTTTTTGTTTTTCACCAACATTTCTTCTGAGGCGAACAAGGAGAGTCTTTGGGAAGCAAAGGTGCCGCATCTTTTTCCTCATATGCATTCCTGAGGGCCCTCTATAAGCATAAGTTCCGTTCCTATGCATTTGTTATGAAAATTCAATTAGTCAGTTTCCTTTTCTAGTAAATTAGAACACAAGATGTATTATTTGAACAAGCGTGAAGATGTAAAACAGACTGACTCAATCTTCGCAACGAATTCAATCGTGAATGTATCTTTAAAATATTTATAGTTAGGCAAAGTCAAGTATTGTGAAAAATTTCAAATCCCCGAACACATCTCAGGGAAATGTTAAAATTTTGACAGGCCGAATACGAGTTATTTTTTATTGTTATGTAAATAGCTGGTGGTCTTTGTCGATATGACATATAGTGCCAAGTTACAGCTCGACTACGGAAATATGTGCAACTAAAAATTTCTTCCTTCATTTTCCACTAATGCACTTGCTTTACTTTACTATCATTTTCAAAATATTTCCTTCCATATTCTTCGAGTTTAACGCACTCTCCAACTCAGGATTTCTCTTTATTGCTTTGGCAGCAAATTCCTTTGTATACGAAAAGTTGTCATTTTTTGAATGCGCTATAAGAAACAACTACATGTAAAGACGCGTGTTGTGTTAAGCCGATTGTCGCACCAATGATACAATACGATAACAAGTTATTTTTGTGTGCCATTTTTGCGTAATTATTTGCAGTGTTGACTTGTGAACTGCCGTCTATACACATACGGCGGATCCCTGTAGCGTGACCTCAAACGTGTGAAAACATTTGTGTCTTTCAACTTAACGCTACTTAGCTCACGTTTTACGAAACGACAGACTTTAGACTTCTATGGTAATTTGTCTTACATGGTAAACGTTTTAAGTTAAACTTTACACGACGGGTGGCGTTATGTTCTCTGTTCAAACAATGGTTGGGGAGAAAGCTTTCAGCAGTTGCAAGACAATTAAGGGAGGTGTGGCTAATTGCGTTCGCCGGTGCTTATCGTACTAAACGGGGCATTAAAACTGAATTTGATCCAAGGAAGTGAGTGTAGAAAGCATCAAACGTCGTGCGAGCTAGAGCTTCACAAATTCACTCGCACAACATCGACTGCATAATGATGGACTCATTGTTGACATCAGACTATTTACAAGATCCATTGGATCCAAAAGCGCGGCAGGTTAAGGATAAAGAAAAGTCGATGACATCTCGACGAAATTTCACGCACGCTAAACCACCTTACAGCTATATTAGCCTTATAACTATGGCTATACAACAATCGCCAAACAAGATGTTGACCTTGAGTGAGATCTACCAATTTATTATGGATTTGTTCCCGTACTACAGAGCAAACCAACAGCGTTGGCAGAACTCTATTCGACACAGTTTATCTTTCAACGATTGTTTCGTAAAGGTTCCTCGTTCACCTGATCGACCAGGCAAAGGTTCTTATTGGACATTACATCCTGACTGTGGAAATATGTTTGAGAATGGCTGCTATCTACGTCGGCAGAAACGCTTCAAAGCAGACAAGAAACCAAACTTGAATCATCTTGTTAAGCCTGGACCTTACGTACCCGGTGTGCCTAAAGTACAAGGTGGAAAAACATTTGCAACGCCATCATTTCTCGCTCCAACACATTACGGTGGCTTTAGACCAGGTTTCAATCATCCTTTCGCGATTAAAAATATCATTGCTGATCATGAAATGGATTTCAGGGGATACGACAGCATGCATTTTAACCCGTATCATTCTGGAAGTTTGTCTACACCACCTCCAGTGCCCGCTATGAGTCCCATGTCATCATTTGGTTTGCCGAAGACAACACTTGATCCGCCATCCTTGATGACAAGCGACGCAAACTTAACTCCATATTATCCCTCTTGTGGCTACATCAACACGTCATCCAGTTGTTCACTCTCTGGCTACACATAGACCTTTTTGAAATATAACGATTTCCCAACGTGATTTTCCACGTCAATCCACCGAAAATAATCGCTCAAATAAGTTATGATTTTCCACTGTGATTATGCGCCAGACACACATACGTATACCAAAGTATTTTAAACGGAAAAAGTAACATACAATAAAGAGGACACATGCTAGCGTTGTCATTATCTTGTAACATAATACCATTGCAAATTAGAACCGTACATGAATTTGTAAATTTAGGTAAATTTAAAAACAAAGGCCGTGTTGGATGGCCATGAACATGCAAGAAAGAAAACTTAAAAATGGCGAAGGTGAAATCGTAATGTATCGTTTTCTTGACGATACTTTGTGTAAAGCATGTATTTATTTTGCTTGTTGTATTTATAGATTAAACCCTACGTTATACTATCTTGAAAACATTATTGACACGATTGAAATAAATGTTGTTTGAAATGGACTTGAGATGTTTTCCTTCTTTGACAACATTGGCCTGTCGGTCGCGCGCTCTTCTTCCCATTATACTGTAAAGTACAGTCGATACGTATTCATATTTTAAAAAGTATTCACTTTAAATTTTCTGCAATGGAAATTGTAAAGATTATAGGCAGTTTTAGCGCGAAAGATCTTAATAATTGGACCGAACTTCTTCCTAATTACATCGATCAACAGAGTTTTTAATTTACGAATGAATTTTACGAATTTGCTTTACGCTTCAACTTGAGCTGACAAAAAGATGCATCCGGTGAAAAACACCCAGTGTGTCTGAAACCGGAATAAACTTATTAAAAAGCGTGTGTTCGCAGCCTCATCAGGGCACTTGAAAGTATAGCGAAGCGACAAAGCTTTTTTTTGACAATATTTGCCAAGAGTTTTGAGCTATGGCCGAAGTCAATACTGACTCAAACAAATGATTTAATGCCTGCTTCGAGCTTTTATGTTCTGTCAATAGTGGTAAACTGGTGTTATAGACATAGCACACCAAATAGGACACGTTAACGCGTTGAGAACACATTAAATAAATGGAGAACGCTAACAATCACTTTACCATATGTTGTACACTTAACACAAGGAAAACGTGTTCGCAAGCTCTGGTTTAAACTTTTCAGTCAATGCTTAAATTTCACGGTAAACATCCGATTGAATGCGCTCAAGACGCACTTGAAAAGATCGGATTTCGTTTTTAAACTACCAAAGAGATTTCTTTGACAATATTGTGGCTGTATTTTTGCACTCTTTTACAAATGTGGAACTTTTTGTGGAAAATTCTTATCTTATATAAACATGGCGTCCACGTTGCAGCCACAGGATATATGTACACATTTTCATGGCAAGTTTCAAGATGCAGTTAGTCAAGTTTCATGTACAAACATTGATAGAAATTGGTCAAGGTACAAATATACTCGCTCTGTGAAGATTCTGGAGTTTGTTTTGAAGACATTTTCTCAAAGAAGAGTTGGAGACTTCCTTATGACACAGACATATAACATGGGAGTTTGAAATGGTTCGCCCACATGAAGTTCCCGTTTCGCGTTCTAGAGATTTTTACCACATCCGAGTAAGCTTTATAGATAACTATCCAGTTTACCTGTTTTTGTTTTGGGCTATTTTCGAGCATTAAGTCAACAGAAGTGACATTCACATAATACATAAGATACAGAGACGCGTTGAAATCAAAAATGCTTGTCATGAAAATGCTTTCGTATAGAGCTAGTCCTTTTTTCTACATTTCTGGAGATAAAGAGATGAACATTATGTATGTTTTCTAGAGTTTCGTTTTGTGGTCTTTCATTATAATTGCGTGTCGTATTCATAATTGAAAAAGAAAACTTAGAAGGTCGGTGTTCTAATAAAATACACAAGCCACCACGATATGACTTCATATGCGTGAGGTTAAAACCTTTAATGATGCCTCCTCTTATATTAAACAATTGCTTTTATTTCTGCTAAGCAACAGTAAATTTCAGTCATTGTTTGTGCTAATTAGAAATGTTGAAATGGCTATATACACTCCTTATTTTTCGACAAGAGCACTAAACGTTCATAAAGTGATTATCACCGTCGCCATTTTGATTACAATTCCTTTGCGTGGTCCGCGTTTTGAAGCATATTTGTGATTAACAACAGGAAATTTTAATTCTTCTGACAAGAATCGATACCGACTTTTAAAGATTTTCATATTTGTAGTCTCAATTCGACATCTGTACATGATATATTAACGTTGGGAGATCAAAAGTCATTTCGCTCGTATAAAGTTTGGATTTTTTATGTATAGTTGCATAACTTGTCTGATATCACAGGAACGTTACATTTAAACATAGAATGGGCATAAAAATCTACCTACTCATGCTAACATTGCCTCTTTGACACGAAATTTGAGATCCATATAGCTTGTTGTAAATTTAGTTTTTCAATTAGTATCTTTCAACAATGTATTGCTTTTCAATAGTTCGAGGTTTATACTTTTAAGTAAATGTTAAAAAGAAGTATAAATTTTTTTAATAATTTCGTTTGATGTACATTTAAGGACAGTGTTATTTGGTATTTCATCCATCCCGTTTCGACATGTTGGAACTTATTTTTATGGTCAAATACTTTCAGTTTTCATTTCAGTACAAATTGCCAATTTCAAAAATCACAAAGGTCTACTTTACCTTGGCATTTACTTCTACAACTCTTTGATTTTACCTACTTAGACCTGACTATATATATTTATGAATATTTTAAATCGTTTTGTGAGGAAATGTTTATTTAGTTGTATGCTTCTGTGTTAATTGAAAACGATTTTAAAACATGCAAAACTGCACTGGACTAAGTATGTTTTGATATTGTGTAATTGGTATTAGATTACATTTAATTTTAAGAACTTTTGCTTTGCAAATGTTTTCACTATGATCCCATTCATGTGGTTGTAATTTGGAAACTCGTTTACATGAAATTATTTTATAGACGTTGTGTAGAATATAAATATCACATATAACATTTAATATAATGTTTTAAGTGCGAAAGGTCGTTTGCTGGAATGCAACGAACATGAAAAATCATAAGACCTTCACGAGACGCCATCGACTAATTAATTTGGTCGTGTGTTAATCTCTTCGCAATTTTTCAATTATGATTTCGACCTTTCAGTTGTCAGAGCTGACTTAAAATGCTTTCTCAACGAAGAGCCTACACAAAAGTTAGCCTTTCATTAGTTTAGCCTTAATTTTTCTTGTTTTATATAGTTCAAAGAAGCACATTATGTCGTCAAAAATCTCTCTGTTATAGTTTGATCTGACGATTCTATCGATATTAGACAACGGTGTTTAGACCACCCAAATAGTCAGAAATTGTTGCATTATAGTTCACTATCATTGATTTTAACGTTCATTTTAGTTTAATGGGATATGTCTAGGTAACAAATGCAATGTACTCATACATAGAAATTTAATATGATTGTGTACTTATACACCAGTTTGTGTGCATGCTTTGTCTCAATGCACTATTATAATTCTCGACGTTCGAACTTTCATTGTCACGTATTTGTATGTAACTGTTTACATTCAATATAGAAGAAACAGCATCCTTTAAGTCACCTTCCTTGTCATTAAATAGACTTCAAGTTTGCCTAAATCTTTCCTGAAGCACCTAGAAATGTGTTTTATTTTCAATCTTATGTTCTTGAAAGTAAATGTTGGGCAATGCAGCTATATGTTCTTTCTTGAAGAAACAATACTTTATAGTTTAGTCTTTTAAGGATTTGTTTAGCTTGTCAACTGCTTTAGTTCATGTTTGTCATGGCTCGCAAAAGGTCGTGTAAACATCGTGTGATATCTAGATAAATTAAAATAACACGAAGGAATAGCATGAATTAAGACACGATGTGTGAGGTTATATAAACGTCATATAACTCGTTGTCCTTCTTTCAACTATCATTATTTAGATAACTTTGAACCCTGCCATATGCGACAATTTTCTCTGGTATTTTCACCGGTTTGTTTCAACGGTTTTTTGGCACCCTTTATGAATCCGTTATGTTTCTGCTAAATACTTCTACGATCAAACAATGTAAACTAATCTTGTTAGATCTCTAATAGTTTGCTAAGTTAAGGAGAAACGTGTCGCGCCCTGGCAAAGGAAGATTATACATGTCATCACAAGACAAGAGGACACGAATTGATGATATACAGATGCCTCTGTTGTTGTTTTGGGGGTTATTTTTGAAGCAGATGTCTTTTACATGCTTCTGCACTATACACAGGCTCAAATAGATATCTTGGTCAATTTGTGGCTATTCGTCACGCCCATTTATGTACAATCGTAGTTGACTTAACATCAACATTCATGACAACAGGCAACACAATTACAACATTTGTTACACATGCAGTGAATACATATTGTCAACAGCTAGCATTGTCTACAATTGCATCGTATAATTTGTCCACTGGTATAACCGAATCAGTCTAAGTGACCAAAACTGTCTTTGGCTATCTCACAGTCAAAACAATCTACTCAACGTTTCTTTCATTAATCTAACATAAGTACATAACCTATTTGACCAACGCAGTGTGCTTTACCTCACACTGTACAAAACAGAAAACATATCATGTGATTAATAATGATAACATGATGCATGCAAATTTTTCCTCCGGTTTATTCGTTATAAATGCAAACTTTTCATCAGCAGACAACATGCTTTGATCCTTGTGCAAACAGAGTGACATGTGCGACTTGATGTGATGTATTATTATTCAAACGTCTAAAGATAATGCATTGAACCATGTATTTTGCATGCGTTTTCGCCAAATGTGTGTATATTATTGATAACAATATTTTGCAGCAAGTTTAGAGTTCTGGACAGTTTGTCCTTGTTGTTGGTTTATTGACTTTATTCACTTGTATTTAGAGAAAAAACATGCTTTTTCCTATGTATTAACATGTGTTTCCATATAAACACAAACGCTGACTTCAATTTTTTTCGAAGAGGTCGCCATTACACGCTATAGGCTTTTATTAGAATTGCTACAAGTGTTTGTTTGTGGTTGAAAGCCACGTCAACTACTCTGCTGCTTGAGAAGCAAATGTTTTCTTTTATCGAGCGGTTTGCTTAAATTGTTTACACATCTTAGCCTATTTTTAAAGCAAATTTATATTCGCGTTCAAGCACAATAAATGTATGCTATCAATGTATGTTTTTTCTCGATGTTTAAATACTTTTTGTTTAAACTAAAAATTGGATACGTTTTCTGGTTTACTTAAAATATATACAAATTGTGTGCGTAGAGAGGTTTTTTGTGTTTAATAGCTATAAAGCAAAAGAAAAAAATTTGATGTGCGTTACTAATGACGTGAAAACCGTTATTCAGCGTTTTGTGAACTAAGGAAAAGTCAAACAGAAGTATTTTGTACACCTGTCTGTATGATTGCAAATTCACATTTTTCACGTAGCTATATTAAGCTAGCTAGCCCAATGTTTTCTAATTTTCAAAAAAATTTAATCAGGCGTCGTATGTGATTAGGAAGGATCTCGTTTATGGAAGGATCAACATGGATTGTTGAAAATCGTTACGCATAATATGAGTGATCACAAAATTGTGATGTGTATAGCTAAGAATGTTTTTAATTTCACTTTGAGACGCGTGCTAACCGATGATAAGTCGCCACCTTTGCGATGCGTGTTTACTTTTCATCAAAATTTATCGTCTCTTTGCGTCCGCGGTTTTATTAGCATTATGTGTGTGATGTATTTTTCAATTTACTATTGACAGAGCGATCTGCAAATGTAATCAAAAGCTATACATAAAAGTGCTCATAGCGATATTACGTGTACTATTCTGTAGCAACGCTTTTGTAACAAAGTTTTAGCTAATGTGTCCCTATCAGTTATTTTTTATCAACATTGATCATGTCTGACTTATAGGAAGTTTTCGTTATGTTTATTTCAAGTATTTTATATCTTAGCTGTACATCAGTTCATTTTGTGATTTTTCTCTGAGAAAAACAGAAAAAGCTTTAGACGTCTGCTTTGTAGCTATGTTTAGATAACTGCACTTTCTTATTTTATGAAAGTTGAACAACATGCTCTTTAGATAATCGGTTAAATTCTCTTAAATTATTTTCATACAACGAAGTTTCCATCTTTAATCCTTTTCGAAAGTTTTCGTAAGGTAACTAGTAATTTTTACGATAAGAATTTATTTCAATTCAATGCATTGCGATATGCTTAATGTAGCCAATTTATAGTTAACTTTAAAACCCTTTTAAATAAATGATGAAGACAGGAGTTTGCACGGACATGTACCCCATGTGGTAAGCTTTAATTTATTAAACGTTATGGTTTCCTGTGTGTATACTGAAATGATGTTTTAAAGAAAAATTGTTCAGTTTTCGGTTTACATGTAAAATCAAATTTCACAATAACTCAGTACTGATTATATAAATTATTGCCATGACATCATCGTTGAACTTTTTTCTTCCATACTGATGAATGGGTTAATGAATAATCACTTTAATGAAGGTTTTGTGTATTCAGCTTGTCTTGACAACTTCAAATTGTGTTTTTTCTAATTATTTCCCGACGCTATTTGATGGACGGTCCAATGCATGAGTAGACAAATTATATGAGTTGTCTATCTTGAGATAATTATGTGGGATGCGATCAAATCATTCACCAAGACACAGATCGAGTGTCTAAAAGAAAAAAAATTTAACCCGAAAAGACAGAGTTAAAGTTGCAATGCAATAAATAATAACTACCTGAATTGTATCTGCAATAATTTCATTTGTTGAAAATATCTCACTGCAGAATTGGATTCATTGTCATAGCTACTTTATTTAATGCTTCTAAAACATGCGACAAGCATGCGTCGACGACTTTAAACTTAAATGGATTCATTTGCTTGGCCTTTATCACTATTCCAAGAAAGCTTTTCAACGCGAGTTACAAGAATTGTGCGGCAAGCGCTATAGCTCGTTTATCCCAATATATAGACAAGTTTCAGAGCGTATTTTTAGTTAACTTCTTTCCCTATGTGTTGCTCTTAATTACTGTTAGTGAGGTTTTAACTGAGTGCCAATATATCTGACTGATTGCACTGATGGTTTTCAGTTACTTTTTATATTATTAAGCACGCGTTGATTTTTCTTTCTATAATAGCTGTTATGCTCATACTTTTGTCTAATACTATTACTCTCTTATTTCATTCCTGTTTGTCGTGATTTTAAAATCTTTCTTCTCTTATTCATCTAATCCATTTTCTCTAACTTTCCTGACAGCAATTCTTATCGTAATGCATGTCTGTTTCTTATGACCAGCGCAAATCTTGCAAACTTTAATTATCAAATAGAAATATCTTACATACAGCAACATGGTTTGTGTTTGTACACGTTTTACATGCCTGTACTTGCCTTATGCTTGAGGTCATAGAACGTCTTCATGTAGTATTGACTACATTTTTTAGGAATGCTGAAACACAGGATGTTTTAATTAAAACTGCGAAATTGAACTAATCCTCACACACAATTATAAATGTAAACTGCGCTAATACCCTTCAAATCTGCGTTGAAAGAGAAAATGCTTACATATTAAGACTTTTTTTTGTTTAGTTTGGTCAAAAAATGAGCTTGCAGTTAATAGTGGTTGGAATCATGTTGATAAGGACATTGGACTGTACATTATACATATTGCAATTTATAGAGTGAAAAGAGGTGTTTTTCTTGCAACTGAAAAAAATGAAACGCTTTTTTGAAATAAAAGAGAAAGTCTTTTACTCTCTAATTTATCACGAAATCTTATGTAAAGTTTTCAACTTCTCCAAAAATCAAGATTGAACAACATATTGATTGGCGAATTCTTTTATAAATTTCTTATACACTGAGCCACCGAATATCTCTCGCATGATCACGCAAAAGAAGGTTTATATAGATCAATCATTATAGATTCAATCCTGTGGTATCAACGGTAATCTTTATGAATATCGTATCGTCCCGTATGTAACCGCCCCTTTGAAGCGCAGATTTAGGTACAAAGAGAGGACAACCGCTGGCAATATTCATGTTACTTCTGGGTCGTTGAAAACTTGAGCTGTTTGGATCTGGTCGAAAGCTGTCAACGATATGCTGGTCTCCATTCTGATCAATTAATTTAAAAGTTACTTTCTGTCGAAACGGCCAAGTCAATAGGGCATCGTAATTACCACGCATGAGCACAAAGAAAAGAGATAGATGTGTGTTCTTTCCCATTCCATCACCGTTTGGGTATACTCTCGCGCATACCTAAATATACATAAACATCAAATGGTGGTTCCATTTCCAGGAACGTCTAACGATTAACGTCTAACGATTAACGGGGTGTGGGGTGGGGAGAGTTCTGGCTCCTTTAGCGTCGTGTAAAGGAAATGCAAGACTCAAAACGAAATGATTCATTAGGCACAAAAATTAATTACAGTGATCAAGACTTGAAAATAAAACCTTTTCTTCTTAAGTCACAAATTACAATTGCTGTATTTTACCTTGTATCCATAACGGCCGACGTAGAACTGTGGGCTATATATTGATAGGGAACGTCCTGTTTGTGCATCATTTGATATTCGTCCAAAATCTTCAATCTTCCAAATGAAAGTGCCCTCATAAGATGTACTATCTAACATATTCAGTTTTACGTCGTGATCAGCAATCTGGACGTCACTCAACGAGTTCTGATGTTCTAAGGAAGCAATCCTTCTCTCAAGATCTGATACTGTTTCATCATCGCCACCACCGAACTGAAAAGAAGAAGATTGAAATTGATGTTGAAATTCTTTGCGGTTGCTGCACATTTTACTCTTAAAACAAATAGAAAGTTGATCCTGAATGCTTTTGTTAATAACCATTAACAAAGTTTCCGCGATCTTTCGACTTCATCAAAAATTTTGCCTTTGATTAATAATGCCATCCACCCTTCAAATCTCTCAAAATCCCCACCTGTACTCAATTAAATGAGTGACGCTCCCTCAAAATGAAACTATCGACATCCCCACCTGTACCCGATTAACTGAGTGACGCTCCCTAAACATTAAACTAGCAACTTGCTCTTCCAGTTTGCTTAAGCGTCTTTTTATGTTATCAATTTCAGCTTGATCATAAATTGCATCATCACGTGGTTTCTCGTCGGGTTTGCTTGCACCACGTGACATATTTTCGTTGGCTTGTGAACTTTCTGCTGCTCTAAATGATGAACTCTCCCCATGCGAAGCACGTAAGGCCTCAAGATCGTCATGAATTTTGACAATTTCTCTATGATGGTTCTTCAACTGTTCATCAACACTTGATTGCATTTCCGTTATAGCTGTTGTCGATGTTTCCAGCTGCTTCACTTGTCCATCTAACGTTTTTATATAACCATTCAACATGGTAACATGGGTGATCTGTTTTTCAGACATGTGTTTCTTAAGATCTGATCTTGAACCCTAAATTAACCGTTTGAAATCTTAAAATGCATCGCCACTTCATTTATTTTTTAAAGTTTTTTTCAGGGAAATTCCAAGCGATTTAACAAAATTTAGGGGAATTCCTGGTGAACATTAAATTCAATAAGATATTGATTGGTTGGAGAAAGCCAATTACAATTAAATTATATCCTATTTACTAAAATGTGCCAGTAACCTGAAAATTGCAATCGGGAAACAAAGGACAAGAACTTTCCGCCTTAGGACAATCGTTTAGCAAATGAGTTTCCATATTACAACGTAACACTTTCTGACCACACATTTTTGGGCAATCCAAAGGAAAATTTGGACACGTTGTTTCAAGATGTTCCTAAGACATTAATAAAGAAAAGAAGATTATATTGAACACGAAACATTTGTTCATTCGCAAAGTGATAAATGTATTCTCGCACATTTAAAAGCTCATTTGATAGTCGAATGCCACAATATTGACAAGGAATCTTTTTGAATTTACAATCCTTTGCCATGTGTTCTTCAAGATCACGCCGCAATAACCGCAATTCACAACCATCATTTGGACAGGTCTGTTCCACGTATAAACATTCTTTTTGATGATCCTAAAGAAAAAGAAAAACCAACAAATATATCGCCGTTAACAGGTATATTGGTGAACGCAAAGTCGGTCATCCAGTTGAGGACTAGGAAAAACAAATGCTACATAACGTTAGAGATAAAAAATATTTCATAACATTTATTCCATTTCAAGCTATCATTTATAGATAATTGTACACATATTGAGGAGGAGATTGAAGATAGACGTCGATATATGGGGGAGCTGATTGTGGATAAATGTCCATATAATCAAAAGAAATGTGCCTGCCACTTAAAAAACACGGTATTTACAGGTATGTAAAAGTATGTCAATTAATGAATAATTCACCTTTTCTGCTCTAAACATTCCCGTCCACATACAACCCAAACTTTTGTTGCGACAATAACAATGTTGGTCCAAAATCTCACGGTTACAAAATCTGTCGGGGAATATATCTTCGACAGTAAGTACAGTGCCGTCTTCTGGACACTTTTGGTCCCCGCTATATTAGTTGAGAAGAATACGTCAACAAAAATTGTATAAGTAGTAAAAGGGGTTTCCCCTTCGGCCCTTCCCAGTGCGTTGTTCACAAAGTTTAATTTTAATGAATAGACGGACTAATATCGTAACAATACATCCATGATTTCTATCTTATTTTTAACTTTATTATTAAAACCCTGAAATGTTTAAAATTAAAGAAGTGCCGACTTTCATACATTCCCTAGTAAAATAAAGCTCATACGTATGTTTCATCAAGCACTGTCTAGCAAGGTTTCGTTTTAAACCATAGTTTTAAACATTATGTTGCACGAAGAATTGTTGTACATGAATATCGCGAAAGCTGCGATGAAACTGTCAAAAATTGTCATCGTTTCTGTTATGGAAAATTTTCTGAAAAATATATGAGATTCCAGCGCCTACATGCAATGTCATTAGAGAGAATGTTGTCGTATTGATCATTTTCCTTTCGCGAATTGCTAAACGTTTTTAATACTTATATCTACACATGATACAGAAGCAAATCATTTTTAGCATGAGCATTTTCGGAAAATTTTTCTTTATTACGATACTGTATGAATTCAAAATTAATTGAAACTTACAGCTTGACTGTTAAATTGAAAAGCGGAAGTGTAATAATTTCGATTTAATATTCGAATTTACCAAAGCACAGCATCAAATTTTCTCTTATACGAAATTGCTCTTATAATTCATCCCAAAATTTTTAACGTCTAAGCGAATTGTTGAACCTTAGTTACTAAAAAACTGGGGAAAATACAGGGATGTGTGGTTTATCGTAAGGACAAAATAATCATACTTCTCAATAACATTTTTAATGCAACTCTCGCAAAAACGATGACCACAAGAAGTTTGGTGTGGATTCCTCAAAGGGAGTTTACAAATTGAACATTTCAGTCGAGTATCGAGGTCTTGTAAAAACTCGATGTTATGTCCACCTGGACCATCTTGATTTGTTGCCATAAAACTCCAAGATCTAAAATAATAACCATAGTCAATATAGACGTCAAACGAACGCCATCTTGAATTTCTTGATACTTCATTTTATTAAATTGTCAGATCAGTCAGCACTTATTGTAATAACAAAGTATTCTGGTAAGCACCAGAGCCATATGTAGAATGATGGTCATGAAAACAGACTATGAAAACTTTCCCAGGAGCAGTGTTGTAACCAGCCCAATTTGTTAGTTCTGCTGTGTAAACTTTGGTTTCATGTTTGTAAATGTAGATTGTCCAGGTTGGTATAGTCCTGAGAAGGACTGTTTTTGTTGTTGTTGACTGACGTTTCGACAACCTTAGTGGTAGTCATCTTCAGAGTCAAATGAAACAAAAACAGTCCTTCTCAGGACTATACCAACCTGGACGATCAACATTTGCAAACATGTAACGTTACTCCTGGGTTCAAACCATTTACTTTAAACTTTGGTTTGTTAGCTCACTGCAAAAGCAATAAATTTTAAAGAAATTAACAATGATAATGTGCTAAATTCACATAGTTGCACTAAAATTTGCCGGCTGGCCCACTTCCTAGTAGAGAGAGATGTTGAAAAATTACATTGGTTTTTCACTTAATGTACACCTGTGGAGAAGTACTATTAATTTATTTAAAAAAGATTTGTGAATCTTTTGTGATGAGCACAATTGCCCTATATGATTGAATATGCATCTTTATACATCTTTTTTATAACCATTTGTATGACTCAGAGTAGCCCCTTAAAATATCACTTATATATTAGATTTACACAAACAATTTTTTACACAAATGTAGGCCATACTCTTGGTGTATATTGAGAAAGAGATTGAACTACCCTCCCTTGCAGCTGCCACAGTTGAAAATTATGGGTTAGATATAAACTGCCCACCATTGTTTGAGAACATTCAACCAGGAATATCAAACCTTAAGGTAACATCAATCGCAAATTACTAACAAATTACTTACTCTATGGATGTGGATGGTTCTTTGCAGACACTCTACATAACAAAATAGTTCCAAACCAGTGAATAATTAATGATGATTTTCAATTTATATTCATTATCAATTTCATTTTCTGATGCTCGTATTTCACTTACAACTTTGCACTATGTAATCACATGAAACAAACAAATAGTATTTATTTCGAAATGAAATATATCGTGTTTTAGCGATTTCGATCGGTGTTACAAAAAGTGACTAAAAAATTTGAATTCTGCCGCGTTAGCATTTTTTAAAAATTCGTGCTGTGATTGGTCGTATTTATCACGGGGGGATAATAACACAGAATAGATACATATGAATAGAATATGTATCTATTCTGTGATAATAAGTTAGAGTTATAGTAAAAAAAACAGTAACTCACAGACAACTGATTATTGATAAACGTCCAGTATGGTTTTATTTTTCAATTTTTATGCTCTTTATGTAGTTTAATGATGCGATTTAAGTACGTGATCTTTATTATCGTTGTATTCTTATTACTGTACAATGCTTTTTTGTGGTTATTTTTCGCTTATCTGACAGGTATTTTTTAACATTTTGTATAAATTAATGTTGGTAATATATTGTATAACGTGAAAAAAGTTAATCTAAGAATGAATTACAAGTCGTTATGTACGCAATTCATGTTTCATATCAGTGAAAATGTTTATTGTTATAGCGAGAATCAATCTTTATTTTAGTGAACTGAACAGTGAACACCCTCCCCCCCTCCCGACAAATACATCTACCATAAAAAGTAATGGACAAAAATTACACTTTCTTACAACATTGCATTCAAAATATATTCAATAAAAAGTCTTGAAGAGATGAATTCTCCACGGCCATCCCTACCGTTAATTTAACCAGTTTGTCAATTTCTTTTTCATTTCTTTTTCATTTCTGTTTTTGCAGGTTGCCACACATCTTCTAATGAATTTAATGGTAAAGTAACTAATCCAGTTAGAAATAGTCTCACAAATAAATTTCTCTCCATCCCAAAGCCAATCAACACTCAAGTTACATCAAGTGAGAACAATGATGAAAATTTACCTTACATTTATGCCATTACTCCAACCCATAACCGACTCACCCAAAAAGCAGATTTGACGAGACTTTGTCAAACATTCATGCATGTCAAGAATTTTCATTGGATATTGATAGAAGATGCAGAATCAAAACGTGATGTTATTGCTAGGTTTTTGAAAAAATGTGGTGTTCTCTACACCCATTTAGCCATAAGAACAAGGCAAAACTTTCAGTTACGTGAACAAGATCCTCGATGGAAGAAACCCAGGGGTGTTGAGCAAAGGAATGCCGGTATAAGTTGGCTAAGAGCAAATCTTAAAAGAGAAACTGCAAATGGTGTGGTATATTTTGTGGATGATGACAATACTTATGATTTGGAACTGTTTGAGCAAGTGAGCAATTATTTTTGTCTTTTTGGGGTGGAAGTACTCTCATAATATGTATGACACAAATTGGATGTTTTTTTTTTCATGCTGGTATGATTAGTTCAAGTTTCAATTAGTAAAGTTTGATTCAAAAAAGTTTTAATTCTGCACACTCTAGATTGACTGAAGATTTACATTGAAAGACTTTTTTTGAGCATATTGACTTTTTGTACTGAAATAAGCCTGTGTTTATTTTAACAATGTTTATCAACAAAAACAATGTATTGTGTATTTGGTGGTTTTTTAGTTGAGATGGACAAGAAAGGTATCAGTGTGGCCTGTAGGTCTGGTTGGCGGTATGAAATGGGAGGGTCCCATTTGTGAAAATGGTAGAGTGTTGAAATTTTGGGCTTTCTGGAAAACAAACCGACATTTTCCATTGGACATGGCTGGTTTTGCAATCAACGTGAAGCTATTTTTAGACAAGCCAAGTGTAGTTATTGATATAAATGCACCACTTGGTTTTTTGGAGTCCAAACTGTTGGAGAACTTTGTTTCTCAAGATGAACTTGAGCCTTTGGCTGATAATTGCAAAAATGTAAGGGCAACACATGGATAAGGTCTATAGACACTTCAACTGTTGGTTAGTTTATAGTATATTCTTATTTTATAGATACTTGTATGGCATACACAAACTGCTGAACCAAAAATAAAGAGAATGAGTCAATTATCAGATCCTCCAATGGAAGTATGAAACATATTAAGGGTGAGCTAGACCATCATACAATTCGTCTTTATTTACAACATCCTATATGTGAGATATTTTCTTGGACATATATGTTATTTGTTAGATATATTTATTTTTTTAATGTTAATATATGTAAGGAATACTAGAATTAGCTCAACTGCTGGACATTTGATGCAATTGCCCGACAGTTTGTTGGATTTTTTAAATCTTTGTAATAAAGATAAAATATATAAAAATAGAAACTACAATCTTTTGTAAAAAAAACAATATGCTTTGTACATTCTCTTCCAGCTAAGAAAAAACTATCCACTATTGAATGAAGGTACTCACTGACATTGCTATAGGGTGTGAGGATGGGCACATAGTCTCCAAAAATTGCTGTGCAAAATTTAAATGCCTTACTATGCTAAGCCTTAGGGTGTGTTATTATGCAATCATTGCTTCTTGACGTTAAGTTAATTTTCCAGCAGAAAAATTTGTTTGCTTTTACAAAGACATTTATTATAATATTGTATGCTTAGCATATTGATACAGCATTGAAATAATAACAATTTTTGTTAATTTCTAAAAGTCTCCTCATCTTTGACTTTGACACATCCTGTGTTACTGTGTACAAGGCTGGAGGGAAAGGGAGGGAGCAAATCATCCAAAATTCCAGATTGCTATTGTTGGCTTGCGATTTGTTGACAAAAACATGGCGGTCGTTTTATTTTATGGCACATTTTGGTTATCAATATCCGCGTAAGAGCGCGGGCACCGGAAATAAAATGTCTTTCGCCCACCCGGATTTTACCAAATTACCATAATGATTACCATAGAGATTTTACTAACTTAGATTTTGCATTGTGGGTTGTGAAAAATGTCAAAACTGTTTAATTTTTTTGAATATATATTTGAATGTTTAGCCAAAAGTTAGAAAATGACTGGGAATACTAAAACATGAAAGTTCATGGGTCTAGTCCACCGTTCAAGCCTAGGCCATGTAGCTTTAACGAGCGTCGTCGAAGTACACAAAGTTTACCGACTGAAGTAGAAAATGCGAGCTCAAAAACCTACCAGGACAACAGCAAAGAGTGGACCAAAGTATGTATTTTGAATTGAACTTTTACCCATAATTTTGTGTATACGCAATTGTAATGAATTCAAAATTGCAATGGCTATTTTTGCATCAAGTCTTATGAAGTTTTACTGGTACGATGGTACTGTCAAAATGTCTACTGTAAGCATTCTCCCCCTTTTGACTTCTTTTATTTACTTTCCAGGCAAAAGACGAAAGGATTCTTTAACGACCAATTCATGCATGGAGTCAAAGAAAAGGTCCCATTTTTTGTTTTCTTGGTCAAGTGAGTAATTACTGTGGCTAATTAAAGTTGTGTCTAAAAAGTATGATGTGATTTGATAGGATATGGTATATTTGAAAGTGGTTCAACCAGGCTACACCATTGCGAAACGACAGTCCAGAGTTAATGTGTTATTGGATATGAATAAGTTTTGGGATCATGCTCCTAAGGTAAACCATATTGACTTAGCTATATATCTTTATGGAAATTATTAAATTACAAAAATAGATTTGTTACTATGTAAAGTAGAGAAATAATTTCAAGTAGTGGTATTCCAACTGCCTTGTTGTTGAACAACCTCCACCTTTGTTTTGGATATTGTGATATTGATATAACAAATGTGTACATTTTCTTAATGCGGAAACCTAAATTTGTTTATCTAGAGTGCCAAGAAAAGGTTTGTTTATTTTGTTATGACCTTGAGTTGATATCCTCTGCATGATGGTTGATGTTTTTATTATTTTATCTGTTATTGCAGTGTTCCTGAACATGAGGAAAGGTATATTTTGATGTTTCACATGTTTATATCGTCTTAAGATGTTTATTTTTTGCAAGTTTGTCAATGCAGAAAAATACATCTGTGACGATGTTTTGTATTTAAAATTGTCATTTCTTCAATTGATGTAAATGTACAAGCACAAAGTTGATATTTCTCAAAACTTTTTCAACGTTTTTGTAAATCTCCATTTTTAACCTGAGGATTCGAAAACTGCTAAATGAAATTGAGGACCTCAAAATATGTTTGGAAGAAGAAAGAATTAATCACAAATCCCAGTTTCAACAGGTGACCCAATCATTCATCCTACTTTGTGTTTTGTGCCTTTGTCTTTCGTGTTTAACCTTTTTTTTCTTTGTAGTTTGTGGAAAATACCATAATAAATATACAGATCATGGTGCAAGAGCACAAAGATCATATAAAGTATGTTCAAAATTTCATGATTTTGTGGGGAAAAGGGTTTAATTTGGGGCTGTTATCATGTCTTGTTTTTGTTACTCTTATACTATGATTGACTCTCTTTGAGAAATATCCTCTGCTGTCATTTGAATGCAATGTACATTTGAATTTTTGAAACTTGTCAGCAATATTCTACATATTGCAGTGAAAAACATTGAAGTAACTAAGCTAGCTATTTACTCTAAATTAATTGAGTGTATTGCATCTGCTCAAGCAAATGTCCCCAGTAAATCCACCGAACCTCTCCACATCCCCAGTAAATCCACCAAACCTCTCTACATTTGCAGTAAGTCCACCAAACCTCTCCACATCCCCAGTAAATCCACCAAACCTCTCCACATCCCCAGTAAATCCACCAAACCTCTCCACATCCCCAGTAAATCCACCAAACCTCTCCACTGCCCCAGTAAATCCACCAAACCTCTCACATCCCCAGTAAATCCACCAAACCTCTCCACATCCCCAGTAAATCCACCAAACCTCTCCACAGCCCCAGTAAATCCACCAAACCTCTCCACATCCCCAGTAAATCCACCAAACCTCTCCACATCCCCAGTAAATCCACCAAACCTCTCCACATCCCCAGTAAATCCACCAAACCTCTCCACATCCCCAGTAAATCCACCAAACCTCTCCACATCCCCAGTAAATCCACCAAACCTCTCCACATCCCCAGTAAATCCACCAAACCTCTCCACAGCCCCAGTAAATCCACCAAACCTCTCCACATCCCCAGTAAATCCACCAAACCTCTCCACATCCCCAGTAAATCCACCAAACCTCTCCACATCCCCAGTAAATCCACCAAACCTCTCCACATCCCCAGTAAATCCACCAAACCTCTCTACAGCCCCAGTAAATCCGCCCTTGCTTTTCCCTTGTAGTTAAAACGAGGAGATGGATGATTTGAAATCGTTTTAAAAGTTTACTTTGCTGTTTTATTAAAGATTTATATTTTTGATCCTAGGATGATTGAGGAACAACATTTGATTGACATAGAAAATTTAAAAGAATCCTGCTGAGGCAAAGGTTTGTAAATGTGTCATGTTGTTAGCATGATTGAATGAGGTTGTGTAAAACTAACCGAGGCATTCATCTTTTCAGCTGAATGAAGAAAGGGAACTTGCCAATTCTACATCAGGTATGTGAATGTAATATCTTAGGTACCCTTAGAAGTAGCTGTGGAGTGTGAAACATCTTCTGTGTACTCTCCATAATTTAGCATCATGAAAAGATCTTGTAATGTCTTTCAAAATTCTTCATAATCTTGCAATATCTTAGGAATATCTTAATGGTGTGTTAAGTAGCTGAAAATAATCTTGGCTTATCATGTAAATAAGCAAAAAACTTGCTTTACATTGCTACTTGGAGTTCAGGAAGATTATGATAGCTACATTTTGTACTGGAATACACCCATTCAATGTGAAAAATTATCATAAAACTTCAATCCTCATACCTAAAGAAATTTTATTGTAGTCAAAATGCAAAATGAAATTGATTTAGTTCGTGCCAGTTTGGAAAGTTGCAAGGTAAGATAGATAGTTTCTCATTCTTTATAGCGATCGTAATCAAGTACCCATGTAATTGTTTGTTTTTGATGAATTTTAACCCATCTTGAACAAAAAATTGCTTATACGTGGTTAATCAATGAAATGACTTTGTCAAATAGAAATCCCAAAATTGGTTTAATTTTATTCTTATAGCAAATAAAAATTCCAGAATTGGTGTAATTTTATTCTTCATAGCAAATAAAAATATCAAAATTGGTGTAATTTTATTCTTCATAGCAAATAAAAATATCAAAATTGGTGTAATTTTATTCTTCATAGCAAATAAAATTTCCAAAATTGGTTTAATTTTATTCTTTATAGCAAATAAAATTTCCAGAATTGGTGTAATTTTATTCTTTATAGCAAATAAAAATTCCAAAATTGGTGTAATTTTATTCTTTATAGCAAATAAAGATTCCAAAATTGGTGTAATTTTATTCTTTATAGCAAATAAAGATTCCAAAATTGGTGTAATTTTATTCTTTATAGCACGACGTATCTATTGAGTTGAAAAAGCGATGGTCAGAAAGAAATGTACGTACGTCTTCCTATCGTTCATAACCTCTCAATGAATGAATAGCTCGAAATAATCATTGAATTTTTTCCATTGTGTATGTCTCTTTAACAGGAGGAACTAAAATCTGAGCAAGAAGTTATGATAGAAAGACTTCTCACTGAGCAGAGTACGAGGACTTTTACACAACATTTGACAAGATAAGACGATTGACTTTAATTTTATAACGTCAGTTTTATCGTCAATTCACATTATTTAATTTTTCTTTTTTTAGAGTCTAAACTGAAAAGAGAAGAGGCTGTAGCTGTGAAGAAAGTGAAGGGACGGCATGCCGAAGATATTAAAATGATTAAAGAAGAACATCGCAAAGAACTGAATGTAAATCAGCTACAGTTGTCTTTATACAGAAGTCATTTGAGTTCTGATTTGAAAAAACGATTGTCGTCGACAAGGATTCGGTCTTAAATGACTTACTCTTTCGTTAAAATAAATAAACTAGAGTAAAATAATAAAATTGTTGAATTGAACAAGGACAAGTCGGCTGCCTTAGACAAGTTGTGACAAGATCTTCGGATTTTTTCTTTTTCAGTCATTAATAGTTTTGCTTGCATTTGATATCTGTCTTAGCTGGGAACTGACCAATCACGTCAATAGCCATTACTACTGAACTCTATTTAGGCACTTCGTTGTGAGTTTGAAGCGTTCGCTGCTGAAGCTGAACAATACAAAATTCTTGCTTTGGAATCCGAGGTAAGTTAGTTATAAACTGAATGTTACACATGCATTTAATTGTTCGTTCTAGTTTTGTTATCTTTTATTACTTTTTTCATTTTAACTAAGAATCTCAAAGAAGATATGCGAGATCTTCAACAACTTCACGAGAAAACAGAACAAAAATTGAGAAAAACCTTAAATGAACTTGCCGACGTGGTACGCGCCCGAAAAATACCATCGTAATACGTCGTATACTCGCTTAATTAAGCTCCTTTGTACACCAAAGTATCATTATAATATGTTTGTGTCCTTTGTACTTGACGTACGATCCTAATGTGAAAATGATGTACTCCATTGTTCTCCTTTCTGTGTCAAAGTGTAACATCATAATATTTATACATATTAAACCTATGTTATTCCCTATGTTCTTCGCACTGAATGAAATTTCTTGATGTTTACAGAAATTAAAACTTCAAGGATACGAAATGAGTTTTTCGGAAAAGGTCAGTAACAGCGTGCTCTTCTAAAACTACAATATTCTTATTTATATTTGCTGATTGCAATAATCCTTTACATAGGTAAGCTCCACTCTTCGAAAACTCACAATCTTTGGCAGAGCATTTACCATCACAAGACTAGAGCAAACGCAGGCTACTTGCTAACCTGACGACTTCACCACTGAAAACCTTAATGTTTGTAGCCTGATTAGTTTGAAATGACCGATATTAGAATGTAGTTCGTGGAAAGTTTGAGGTTAGCCTGTCGGCGCTGAACCTTGTTACGACATGTAGGTTGCCGAAGTTGAAGAACGTTATGCGATGAAGATTCAGCGCCTAATCTTAAATAACACAGATCTAAGACACAACTATATGAAGAAATGTGCAGAACTATTGGGTGTTCAGAACAAAGATAATACAACGACGAATTCCAAGGTACATCGGAACAAAACATTTTATACCATAAACAAAAATTTTTCTAACAACTTTTTCACTCAAAAATCTTACGTATAGTTAATTTTTCTCTAGGCTATGAAAGTTAGTAACACAAAAGAACAATGAAGGTCTGTAAAGGTTTTCACAATATTGAAATTTTAGCCGACAATTTCAAGAAATACATAATTAAACAAACTCCCAACAGGAATGATCTTCAAAGATTTGAGTTGTATAAAAAAAACCCAGATGAAATTCAATGCGCTGTTTCCCTTTGATTTCGGTTTAAATTTAGTGATAGCTTTATGGAGTTCATATTTAATGTTTGATTGTAAAATACAATTTTTCTATCATAATTGCTATCTTTTATGTAGACGATCATTTTAGCTCGTGCGAGAGCTGATATTAGTTTGGTTACAGAGATGAAGAATGTCATTATAGGAGATATATCTTCAAAGGGTTCTACCACTGGTACATCGTCATTGTCGTCAAGGCGACCGCGTAGTGCCCCACTCATTAAATCATTTAGAGAGAATGATGTCGATGGAAACTTATTTTTGACTCTTTCTGAGTTTCGCAAGTTCCGACCAAGTTCAAGTTTTGCTTAAGTCCGGGTAATATATCGGTCATACGATGTACGTATTTTCATTTGGAAACCTTTAAATCCAAGCATATAGCTTTTATTTTGATATTTGCTCTTCTTATTCAATTATTTACACTGAAGACTTGAGATTTAACAATATTTTTTTGAAGAACAAGATACTCTTGATAGAGTCAATGTCATAAAGTATATAAAAGCTATTTTTCTAGTCCTTTACGTCTTTTGCACATCCATAAAACACGGTCGTGTGGCGTGTTGCTATATATTATTGAAAACATAACTCTCCAGCTCCTATAACATTGTTTTAGCAATTGTCTTGGTATGTTTCTTTGTTGATTCAAAGAAATCTTTTCAAATTTAGAAATATTTTTCAAAGTGTTGCTAGAAGTTAGAAGTAGTCTTGCTTCAGCTATTTTTCTATGCGATAAGAAAGTACAAGAAACAAGAAATAATTGTTTCTATGTTATGATAGTCCCTGTTCGTGTTCCTAAATAAATATGGGAAATATTGGGAACAGTTCCTTGTGTAAAGTGTGACGTCAGAACACGGCTTTCAAGTTTACGAAGCTGCTTTAGTTTCGGAGTCAGTTCTACATTTGCCTTAAAAAAATCCATGGAAGATATGACTGCAATTTATAATTTCGTAATTCACCTTGTCAGATTTGGGTTATGAGCAATCGTATGATATTTTTTCAACATTGTTTAACGTCCTGTTTGCATGCTTGGCCGACTCACTAAAAGTTCTTTAGCGTAACACCTGAAAGTAAATTGAAAAGAAAGTGAACAGACAGTTGCTTCTCACCTTTAAATGTACGTATTGTTTTCAAACAATGATCTATATTGTTTAATATATTTGGAGGTTTCTTTGCGATACTTTCGTTATTAGTAACCATGATTAATATTTTCATCAGTTTTTTTCTTTTTCTTCTCCTTCATTTCACAAACTATTTACGTGAGGGTTTTTTTCTCAAATCTGAAAACTATTAATTTTAAATTCATTCATTTATTAAGGACTCCACCTGCGAATATATCGTCATCTTCTCTACCCCAATCTAAATATTTGTTGGAAAAACCGTTGACTTCTTCATAGTGTTCCTTCCACATCGCTTCAAAGTCTCCGAAAATTGCTGAGTTTGGCAACCTGCACAAAGTGTAACAATTTGCTAAGTCTTGGAATGTTGTGGAGAATGAAAGGCCTTGACGTGATGGAGTGAATTCAGTAAGTCATTACATAGCGATTGTGAGCAAGGATTTTTCTCCTTTAGTTAATAATATTTCCTTAAAACTTTAGTTGGTTTCACTGGAGAAATGAAAATTATTGTACTAATTACTTCTTTTTCTTGTCATTGTTACATTTTACTATTGATTTACATGAATGTAAATCGATTTATTGAATTACTTGAGTACATACATGTATGTGTGAGTACATACATTAGAGTATGAGTGCACACATGTATGTGCGAGTAAATACATGTATGTATGCAAAACATATTTGATAAACGAAGTTTTCATACCGATAGAAGAACTTGTTTACCGCTGGACACATGTATTGTGGAGAAGTTGGACAATTGTACATATTTTTGTCGCTCTCGGAATGAAGGTCCACCTCGTGAAACATAAAAATTTGATAGATGTTATACTTTTGAGCTTCTTTGAAACCATTATTGAATAGTATAGTAACAGTATAGTCATGTATGCGATCGATAGCTTTAAGTTTGCATATAACGTTCATGCATGATTAGTGAAGCCGGTCATCAGGATTTTTTTAAGTTCCGATTTTTTATTCACTGCATGCATGATACGCGTAAAAAGCACTGAGCAGAAGTGAAAAGTGAAAAATCTATATAAGCTCATTAATATGATGATTTGAGTCAATGCACCTTCTTGAGAGCTATTTAATAAAAAAATCCAGTGTTCAAACGACGAATATTTATTACCCTAGTTTAAATTGTCCAAAAACAAACAAATGTAATTTTTATACATGTATAAAGCTATAATTTGTATCCGGACATCACTTTTTTTGCAAATTATTAAACGCGTCAGATATTTTTAACAGCATAGATTAATCATAACAATTATCGCATTCTTTCACTTTCTTATTTCTCTTCGCGGAATGATTTTTACTGGAATCGTGTCATTCATAAACAAAGTTTTGATGAATGAATGATCTCGACGTAATTTCATCAGAGTAAAAAAAGTCTTTCCACCTCCGTCATAAAGAAACAAAATTTCAAATGGTTTGGTCACCGGCGCAGAGAGTTAGATTGGCAATAGAGAAAGAAAAGTTGGAAGAATACTTTCGGCTTGGTGTGTTTTGGATAGACCCAGAAAACGAAACAAAAGTTGAGGTTTTACTCAAAAGCAACTCTGACAGAGAATTTAAACTACGAATATATATACCGAGTGATTTTCCCAACTCTTGTCCTCCTCTTGTCGTTGTATCTCCTGAGAAACTCTACATGCAGGATGGTCAACAACTTCCAGAAACAAGCGACGCTTTTCACACCTTAGAAGATGTGGACAATTTCCACAGAATTTGTCATTTCCATCCTCCATCGTGGACAGCCGACATTACTTTGTTTCAAGTTTTTATGAAGGGTCGAATTTGGATCGAAGCCTACGAAGCACATTTGGCAACTGGAAAGAAAATGGATGAATTTCTTACTGAACATACCCGCAGGACTAGTGTCGATGATGAGGATGATGAAGTAAATGGTAATTTGAGTGATGGAAATCAGACATGTCAAAACTCAAATTCTTCGCCACCAGCTGCGACATCCTCTGTCAACAATCAGCCACGTCCACCGATTTTGCCTCGTCATTCGAGTGCACCAAGTCGACGGTATGTACCACGTGGAGGTATTTCCATCTTCCAACCAGCAATTAATGAAGAAATGGTACGACGCGCCTCGTTATCCCAAGTCCGTCGTAACAACACCCCTGATGACCCGAAACTTTAAATACATCGTTAAAAAGTGACAACAGCATAAGAACAAAAATGCGAATCCTGTGCTTTTTGTATTTCACAATCATGTAATTTGCACGTTATGTAGCTAATAGGTATTTCACCTTGAATAATTCATTGTGCACAGGTAATCAAAAAGAACTGCTCATCGGCATGAAAATTGTTTAATATAGCCAACAATAAGACAAAATACCAAAATACTATGTAAAAGTCGCATAACAAAAAGATAATGTTATATTTATCTACTTGTGGGTTCTCCTTTTGTTATATATATCTTGTTGACCAGTCCGTTTGACTCGAATAATAATCACTACTATCTAACTTGACGAGACCAACACTGATTTATCTTTTTTATTAACTGTGTACATTTGCTCTCGGAGATATTATAGGTACTTAAGATGATAAAATTTAGGTAGTACAGTAACTTGAATTGTCAATTGATTTTTTTTTATGTTCTCCTTTCATCATTTTCCCTTTATATCTTCAATTCATCAGTTTAGTTCTTATGATGTTTTAGGAATTCATCCATGCTTGATCCTGTATCTAAATGCCCTTCATACGCTTCAATCCATAACCGACCTGTATAGAAAAAGGTCACGTTTTTCAATGCTAACTGATAGAACAAGATTTTTGCCAACGATAATGAGAACAATAAGGAACAATTGAATATTTTGGAAAAGTTGAATTACTTCGTCAAAATTATGGAAATAATACTTTGGGGGTTTCGTGAAAAATATTTCAAACCACGAGCATACGCTCTTCGACACTTAAACTAAAATTTATGGACATCAAACTGTGCGCTCATACATCAGATTAATTTGGATAAATGAGCTACCCCATGGTCAAATAATCGATATCGAAAATGGAAACAGCTAATGTAAAAAGAGCAGGCAAATTTTTTTATTGTGTTTCCTTTTCAATGCAAAGAAGGACAGTAGAGCTATGTGGGAAAGTGAAAAAAATTGTTGCTAAGCTTTGTGACTGTAGTGGTTGGCAGTTGTGTTTTATTATCCAACGTAGTACTCAATTAACACTGTTTATTCAAAATGAGAAAAAACTAAATATCAATTGATGATATGTGGATGCACGCTAACCAAGAATTCGTCCATTGTATGTTTATGTGGAGAAACTTCAAACTTTGGAGATTTGTTTCCTTGAAATTGCGAAAATCAAACATGTCACAACGGCTAACGGGTATTTATAAAAGAAAACGTGCAGTCTCAATCTCAAAAGTTCCCTCTTTATCATATGTTATCCCAAAGAGTCACTCTCTGACAAACAAACCTTTCATGAATACTTGAAACAGCGTAATATTTGGTTGCCACTGTGGTGGAAAGAAATGACAAATACGATGAAAGCCGTCTGTATCGCATAAAGTGTGAAAGCTAGTGTTGGACTCTGGTAGACGACTACCGTTCTGCAGAAGAAGCAATTCCGGGTGAACGATCACAAGGGCTGGACAGGAGTTGGGAAAGTCCTGGGGGATATAAATACGAAGTTTATAATCTCTGTTTTGTTGCTCTTCATCATAACTTCCACTTTTGTTTCATGGTGTGGATCAATCCATGTTATTCCGAGTTTAAAATAGTCGTCTAATAGTTTCTTTTCAATTTCCAATCTCTCTCTCTGCTCAAATGACCAAACCATCGTTGAATTCTGAACAATATTATTGACAAGTGTTTTGATTGATGTGAGCTTAAAATATTATTTACTACTGCTGATAGTGAAACAAAAATAGAAGCTGAAATTTTATACTTATGTTGTTTCAATTTTTGGTTTCGCTTTTGTTTCAATTTACTATTTCTTGGAAGGCCATGCAATTGTTCTTGGAACATGCCATGCTATGACTTCATGAACTTCATGACAAGACACCAAGTAAGAATGAAGCGCGATTCAACTTTAATCTTTTCACGAAAGCTTGTCCAAACATAGACCTACTTCGTTCATTACAATTAAGCATGAATATATTACTAATAAATTAGACAATGTTTCAACACTGTTTAGATCAAATTGTATGCTTCTTCCTTGATAAAGAGTATTTATTTACATTTGAGACAAAAACGTGCTTTCCTTTTCCCAAATTGTTTATCTACACCAATTATAAACTTCCCAAATTATCTCTACTGAAAGACGTATACTTCCATTGCGTAGTCACCACCTCTACCATCCTTCCCACAATCCATTGAGTGACCGTATATCTTGTATCGTTGTAGTAGTTGCGATCCTGCGAAACATTGTCCTCCGTTTTCTAAGGCAAATGCCACAAAGCCTTGCTCGTGTGCGACCCGTGCACATTTTTAATGGAATCCTGTCGAATTCTGTAGCCGTTTTTCAATAAGTTTGATGTGTTTTCCAAACTAGGGACAATCCTGTCTGGATCATCTCGCCAACATCCCAAGCTTATATATTCTAAGGCAGAATAATGATTTAAGCATGCAGTTTTGGTATGCTTACAATGTCAACGGTTCAGGCAAAAAAAAAACTGTACTTACTAAGACTATTTGTGGCCTTTTGGTTTCTTTCATTTTTTAATTTCTCTAAGTAGAACGGGAAATGTAAGTTTGTGATTTTGTGAATGAAAAAATGCTTTGTATAGTGTGACCAAAGTAAGATATACCTTTAAAAGATTTTTGCTTTCCATGTAATGCTTGGATTTTCACTTTTGGTGCTCTCAATTGTGGAACTACAAATAATTAGAATGAACGTTAATATTATCACAGTTAGAAAAAGATTTCTGCCCTAGAGAAGTAGCAAACCTGTTTTTACGGTAGGTTCATGTGTCGTGAGTTTGCCTACTCCGTCTTCAGCTTTCTTTGTCAATGATGCCAGCTTGCTCTTTGCTTTTTTATCAAGTCTTGTATGGTTTAATTTGTTCACATTTCCACGTTTCTTATTTTGAATCTCTGGGTCTAACAATTTTAATAACTGCTCCAGCGTGTCACCAGTTTCTTTGGCTGTGATATCCACTGTTTTCAACTTATTCTTCGATGATTCATGTTCTTGCTTTGCTGCTAACAAAATGAACATATGATTGTGATGTGTTCATAGAAGAGGTTTTGTATTTGTTTTGATGCGATTGTGGCGTATTGACTGTGGGAAACCACAACCACATATGCAATTGTTGAAAATTCACTCGTTCATTTTTGCACGTACATGTTAGTTGTTTTTTCTTAGCGCGAGGATAGTCATCGTGAAGCTCTTTTATAGCATCTTTTGTTGCAACTCGTAGCTCATTCAATGTTTTTATCTCTTCGACATCTTTTTCTTTTCTGCTCTCAATCTTATCCTGTTTCGTGCCAACCTGTTGGAGCTTTTCCAATCTTTCACGTAGTTTCTTCAGCTTTATTTTTAGTGCCTCCAGGCGTTTTTCATGCTGTTTCTTTGCTTCGTTTTGAACCTGTAAAGCAGCATTGACCGAAGGTTTGCTTATGCCTGGTTTTTTGTTGCTTGGTTTATCGCTGACGTGAGCATGTACTGTTTTTCCTGGTAGTATGGATGCCAAACCCGTGTGAATCATTGCAGGATTTTCATCGATTGCATTAGACAACTGCATATCTGACGGCATCTAGTTTATTAAGAAATATAATGAAATTCATCCTGTTACAATAAGTATGCACGTAATTGCAAAAGAAAGAAATTCATACATGATTATTGGAAGCTATATCGTTGAGCATTTCATTATTGCCGAGCAAACCATTTAACCCAGACGTGTGATGTGATGCTCCAAGTGATCCGACTTGTTCTACTTTACTTCCTGTCGCTATTTTTGAACCCAAAGCATCCAATCCCAAATCATTAGACAAGCTGACCCCCAACCCACCGTTCATCCCATCGATTCCATTCAAACTTCCTACGCCTCCTAAGTTATTGCCTAAACCCCCACCAATATCTCCCAGCTCGTTTGGATTAAAGGCATTACCACCAACATTACTTTCATCAATTTTGCTATCACTGAAACTCCCAGCAAGAGTGGCATCATGGAAACTGCCTTCACCAGTACCACCTACTCCTAAACTACCCCCATCGATACTGCTCCCTCCAAAACCACCTCCATAAAGCTTACCATCTCCTAAACTATTTTCACCCAAACCGTTACTATCCAATCCTCCCTCTCCTAATCCATTACCTCCACCATATAAACCTCCTTCGAAAGTCTCGCTCCCTCCAAAACTCCCAAGTCCTCCACCAATGTGACTTCCATCATTCAAAGCACCAAATCCTTGATTACTTCCGCCTATATCAACAGTTCCACCACCCAAACCTAATTTGTTATCGCTTGTAAAACTTCCGCCAAGATCCCCTCCATTTAGAGAGTTGTCTAAGCTTGCACTTAAACTGTTGCCAAATCCTTGGCCAACAGAATTGTCTGATCCCCCTGCAAATGCTGCCATATACAGAGCTTTATTCATTCCTGAAATCGGCCCTGCAAGTCAAAGTAAGATAAAGTAATAGTTTTAAAGTAAATATTTGCTCAACAGAAACTGCACTACTGGTAAAAGTTCTCTTAACTTCAAACAAGACTCGCTATGTAAATATACATGGTTCAGTCATGTGATCTTACTACCTACCATTGCCGATAAATTGGCTACCATCTGTGTTTTCGTTGCTTGAGGCAAACTCGTTAGTCAAAGAGTTAGCTTGATTCGCTCCAAGGTCATTCATCAAACCATTGTTAGTTGTCATAGTATCTCCTTGTAACATATTACCTTGAACCTGGTTTTCCTCGTTAACATAATTTTGCTGTTGCACAGAATCTCCAAACACTTCACTACTTGTGATGGTGTTATCACCACCATTCACAGCTAAATTTCCTCCATAAGTATCTATGTATTGTTTTCTTATATGAGAGGGAGCCACGCCTCTTCGAAGTAACAGAGGCTCACTTTCTCTCGTATATGGAATCCTTTTACCTTGTTATAAGAGAAATTTTCGTCAGGTAATAAGGTGATTATACTATATGATGTGTATTAAACAACCATTAAGAACACACTAAAATAATGACATGTCTCTTTAAAGACGCGCGATGATTGAAAAATCTCAAAATTTGCATATTTTTGTTGGTTTGATCGAGTTGGCAAGAGTATAGCTTCAACACAAAAGGTGTTTTTAAAAAGTGCTGCTACATTGTTGCTGATTTGACTGCGTGACTGAAAAATTGCTGAGTGACTGTAAAATGATTTGATTAATTACATCAAATCATTTTTTATGATTTTATAACAAACCTTCATTAGTTACTAAACACCAGAAAGTAGCGATTACCACAAAGCCATTGACGTTCATTGCCCTCCAGGAATTATATCTCAAGTGTTTTCATGATTCGCTTTCAATAACCTCTAAAAGTGAACATTCAGATTTTCATTATACAAATTTTATGTTGAAAATTGAGTGATAATTTAGTCGGTGTGTAGTTTTTAAACGTTCACAAAGATTTTGAATTGATAGATTGATTACAAAGGCCAAACTCTTTACAGTGTTATTAAATTAAATCTTTAAAATATGTAATTCAGTTTTAAATTAAATCTTTAATTTTGTTTTAAAATATACTTGCCTGTGTAATTGTAAAGCGTTGCACTTATCCATTTTAACAAATTTGTGTGAATACTCTATTTGTCTTCGGTATTCGGCCATTTTATGTCTGTTAGAAATTTTTTTACAGGTGCCCGATTCAAATGAAGTCGAGTGGAAAGAACGTAAAACCTTCTATTAAAATTGGTCTGTTTTACTGTGATTATGAGACATGAACTGCTTAGAGACTTTTTACAGTCTTTGTCATCATAAAGTTTTCTCTTGAGGCCGAAGCTGTTAGACGGAAAGACTTTTTGATTATGATATATCAATGAAAAGAACACCAAATAATCTTTGAATTATTTTCATTTTGGAAATTATGGATTTGTTATGCACGAACAAAAACATTTCATAACTGCCACAGTACTTTTCATTAACCAATAACCATCGACTGATTTTATAAATTACACAGTTCGAGTCCGACAGACTCTGGCTTTCAATGATCAATTAAAAGTGATTGTTAAAATAACAATATTCAATGAAACAATTCTTCCGATCTGAAACTTCCGAAAAGGATGCTCTTCCAGAGCTCAGAAGTTAATTCATTCTAATATCTGTCAACTAACCTGGCTTTCATGTCACCCTTTTTTTTTCATATAAAATTTTCCCGTGTATTTTGAAACATTTGGTGAACTCAATTATATCTTCCTTAATATTTAGGTGAAAAACGATTTAAAATTTCAAGTTCACCATCTTTTCAATGTCGTCATTTCGCGTTGATAATGATTATAAGGTTATATTTTTGTTTACGCTGTACACAAGCCATTTTAGCCAGCTTAAACTACCTTTATATCTAATTTTATGTCTTTCTTTAGGTCTACCTTTAAGTTTACCTTTGTTTCTACCTTTATGTCCACCATTATGTCTACCTCTGTGTCTACCTTTGTGTCTACCTTTGCGTCTACCCTTGTGTCTATTTTTGTGTCTATCTTTGTGTCTATCTTTGTGTCTACCTTTATGTCTATTTTTTTGTCTACTTTTGTGTCTACCTTTACGTTTACCTTTGTTTCTACCTTTATGTCCACCATTATGTCTACCTTTGTTTCTACCTTTGTGTCTACCTTTGCGTCTACCCTTGTGTCTATCTTTGTGTCTATCTTTGTGTCTATCTTTGTGTTTACCTTTATGTTTACCTTTATGTTTACCTTTGTGTCGTCTACATTTGTGTCTGCCTTTGTGTTTACTTTCCTGAAGTCGGTTTTAGTTGGTTGTAAACGGTAATTATACGACTAACAATTACGCCTCTACCCCTAATATTATTTAAATTTAATAGAGACGATATGAAAGACATTTCAAGAAGAACAACTTTTCTACCTTTATGTCTACCTTAATGACTATAGCCATAGAAATAGACCAAAAAAAACAAATTGTAAAATTTAAATTTATTGTGACGTTTCGTCTTTACTCAAGACATCTTATCATGTATCCATTCGACACCGCTTACTTTAGTAGTAATTTAACACCTTTTTGTAAATATAATATCTTGTCTTAACGTCCTATTTATTATTTGTCTGAAGATGTCTTGAGTAAAGACGAAACGTCACAATAAATTTAAATTTTACAATTTGTTTTTGGTCTATTTCTATGGCTCTAATCAGAACTTTATGTTGGGCATTAATTTTATCACGTATTCGATTTCCGCTCGGCAAGCTATAATCCTTTGTGTATGACTTTATGTCTAATTTTACGTTTACTTTAGTGTCTGCCTTCATCTCTACTCTACCTTCATTAAAGCAAATTCTGTCATAGAACTCAAAACCTTTTCTTTTTCAGCAAATGTTGATCTTGGCTAGTGTATCAAACGGTGCTTATTTTGAATTTCCTCTGTAAGTAATCTTTTGTGGTAGGGATTGCATAGATTGTATCTTTTAGGTTGCAAGTTTTTCCAATGAAATTGCGGAGTTTAGGACAAAAATTACGACTGCCAAAGAGTAAATGATGTTTACTCCATACGGATTACTGAGTGTCTATTGTCTTGTGTTTTACTAAAATACTCTTTGGCAGTCGTAATTTTTTTCATGCAAAGTAGCCTTTGATATAATGATATAATGCGTTTTTCAAAGTATCCCAAAATGATCGTATTGCATTTGCAACTATTGCTTTACGGCACCATTTATAATAATCTGCAACCATCTGCAGCGTGCAACCATGCTGCTTCGCTTGTCCGTAACTGCAACGACTTCAACCCACTGCTGCAACTGTAGCAACCGTTACTGTTACATCACCACGTGGGAAGTGTGAGCCTTCGGCATTTTATCTAGCGGTTTGGGATGAATCATCAGATTCAAAACAAAACAAATTTAAAAAAGTACAAAACATCTGCTCCAAAATTTCATTGTTATGGCGAAAGAGATCGATCTTCTTAAAGAAAGAGTGAAGGAGTTAGAGGAATTACTCTGTCAGAAAAATGAAAATCATGTGTCAGTTCGACATAAAATTGGGAAAATGAGTTCAGAAGTTGTTGATTCAAATCCTTACAGGTTGGGCAAATTTTTGCTCGTACGGAACAAATCTCTGACTTATGATCATAAAACTACAGACTGTAAATAGATACAACAAAATTGAATTTTGTGGTTCTTAACAAACTCAACAGAAGCATGAAAAGAACTGTATGTAATTTAGATAATTTACTTCACAGTGTACTACTAATTAGGATTGTAACAGTTTTTTAAAGTTTTGTTTGATATTCAGAAAGTAATTGCTCGACAAAGTAGATGGTTTTTAATTATACCTTCACTTTTGAGTCTGCCTTCGCCTTATTCTACTTTTTTCGTTAATTTTAGCCGTTTAATGGCCCTCAAAAGAATGGGAATTGTCGAAAATTATGAGGTATTATTGTGGATAGAGTATTATGGTAGGGTTCAACGAAATATCAAGATTTCTAATCATATAGCATACTGAAAATTATAGTGACTCAGACTTTACAAAACTTTTCCATGTTATTCACAAATTGTAATGCTTACTTGACAGTTGTACATTATTATGATGATAATTTATTATAGCTAAGAGCTACCTCCATAGTCAATGAAATAATATTTAATATTATTGACTCTGATATCTTAGGAAATTCGTAATTTCACTGTCATAGTTGTGGGAATTGGTGGAGTGGGTAGTGTTGTTGCAGAAATGTTAACCCGATGTGGTATTGGAAAGGTAAATGCAATGTTTTACAACATTATTGATATATCTTTGGCAGGCACCATATGTTCCTTATAGAAACCATTTTATTCACATTGTTGTTTTATAACTTTTTTTGTTTTCTTAAGTATACCTTCAGTTGCATTTTGGATTGTGTGAGATCTATGTAAAGTGCATCTTTGTTTTAGCTCCTCCTTTTTGACTATGATAAAGTTGAACTGGCAAATATGAATAGGTATTATTCTATAAGAGTTATTTATGAGCTTGCCCTCTAAATGTAATCTGGTTTATGTTATGTTTTTTTTTCATCTTTTAGATTATTTTTTCGTCCTGAGCAATCTGGCTTAAGCAAAGTGGAAGCTGCTGAAAGAACATTAAGGTGGGAATGTGAATCAGTCGATATGGAAAAACCCCAATGTGTATGTTTCTGATTGACTAGCATCTTGCTTGTTTTTATTAGGAGCATAAATCCAGATGTAGAATTTGAAACATATAATTATAATATAACTTTAATGGATAACTTTCAGCATTTCATGGAAAGAATAAGGTACAAATAACTATAATTGCACTCCAATGTTTAAAGTCATTATATCTCCAATCATCTTTGTAAACAAAGTATGTATTTTGTTGAATCTTTAGCCATGGTGGTAAAGATGAAAAATCCGTAAATTTAGTCTTGAGTTGTGTTGATAACTTTGAAGCAAGAATGGCTGTAAACACTGTAAGTTATGCATCATATATATGATTCTAAGAGCATGACTTATTTTAAGGATAAAAGATAGAATATCCATGCATTTGAATCCCAGGCTTGTAATGAATTGTCCCAACCTTGGATGGAGTCTGGTGTCAGTGAAAATGCAGTATCAGGTCATATTCAAGTCATTATTCCTGGGGAAACAGCCTGTTTTGCAGTATGTTGATTATAATTAACATGTTCAACTTTACTGAGTGTGTCTAGAGAATAGAGACATTGACCATTGAAAGCTATTGTTAAGTTCGATTCTGAAAAAATAAGAGAAACATCTTAGCATCATATTTGATATTCAAGTATAATGTAGAAATGTGCAGTTAATCAAAGGTTCTTTTTAGGTTCTTTTGGTACAAAAACTTTATAGGACAAAGAACTGATAGTTTAGGACTTTCTGTTGTATTTTTCGTCAGCCATATTGCAGGCGTAAACGTTTCAAAAACAATAAATGTCGGAGAACAAAATAGTTCAGTTTTTCTTTCTATTCAAAACCGGACGAAAATAGTCCCAATTGGAGAAAAAAATAGAAAAATGTAGAAAGAAGATAAGAAACAAGTTTACATTGTGCATTCTGTGACGGAATAATATAATGGTGACAAGGTTTATTAAAAATTCACCTGTGAGCTTAGTAGCGTTAATTTTGAGTATGATCACTTATGTAAACGGACTCTTGGAAACTCTTCTTGAATTTACTCAGCTTGTATTCCCCATCAAAGTTTTACTTCATTGTTTTGACCTGCCGTAATGAACTACTTTCACAGTGTGCACCGCCCTTGGTCGTTGCTGAAAACATTGATGAAAAGACATTGAAACGGGAAGGAGTTTGCGCTGCATCGTTACCAACTACAATGGGAATTGTTGCAGGGTTCCTTGTTCAAAATGTTCTCAAGTTAGTGCAGAAAATTGCAGAATGCTTTCTTTATTGCTTTTTGAAAAGAAAAGAAATTTGACTTAATGAGGTTTTTAAAGCGAGTCTTTTCATATGTGTGCGTTTTGTTATTTCAGATATCTATTGAAGTTTGGTTCAGTTTCATATTACTTGGGATATAATGCCCTTCAAGATTTCTTTCCCACGATGACAATGAAACCAAATCCAGTTTGCGATGATAAGAACTGTGTGAGACAACAGAAAGATTATAAGGTTCTTCGTTAAATGGACTTTATCTATCGAAGTACTATTTTTTGCCATTGACTGATAAATATTTACGTCATACAGAACGTTATCTGTTGCTAACGACGTATTATTTTCTACAGGAAAGAATGGAAGAAGAATGTAAGAAACAGAAGCATGTTCCCGTCGAGGAGGTTGAAGAAAAGAAAGTTCTTCATGAGAGTAATGAGTGGGGTGAGTACTGTATATATATATATATACATGGTTATCACTACCAAACACTTTTGTCAACTTGTGTTTTTCCTGCAGTACATAAGTTGTATTTGACTAGAGTTAGTTTGACAGTAGCTTGCCATCAAATCACGTTTGGGATGTTCAGGTATTGTCCTGGTCGATGAGTCAAAACAAGAGGAGGAGATGAACGAAATGAAATTAGCTGAAGGCGTAAGGTTATTGTACAACAACCCTACCAAACATGAGCGAAAGGTAGTTTATACATTTATGTAGTTCCTAACGATAAGAAATCTTGCTTGCCTCTACAATAACGAGGCAAATGCAAAACTTCCGCTCTTCCTTTGTTCTTCAGATATCGGAGTTCGAGATAAGCAGTGAAGGGCAGACTTGTCACGATGACGGCTTGTCTGTGGAAGAGTTAATGAAGCAGTTGAAGGAAATGTGAAGGAAATAATTTAAATTTTTTTGTGCGAAAAGAAGCAGGCGATGTCGTATGAAGTATCTACATTTTAGACATTTCACATTGGAATATTTGTGGAAAGACGATTCGTGTGTTTGACAAAAGCTAGAAGGTTCATGCTTAGATTTTGTTAGCTACTATTCCATGTTACGCGCAACTTCGATCCATTTTGGCTAATTTATACATACGTAACATGCTGTAACAGCTCGCATACATCAAAACGTTACCGTAACATGGAATGGCTGACATCATTTTGCATTTACGACGATGAAAGACAATTCAAATGAAATGGATCGTGGATATCTGCTTTACCACACTTTTGAGATTGCGCGCGTATCTGTACATTTTTATAAAATGTTTATTTAAAGGTTGAATTTCAGATGATAAATTACCAGATTAGATTATAAATCAACATTCCTTTATGAAATTTATGTGCTCATAAATCCACGTTGAAAATATGATTCAAAATTAAAATAAGACGCAAATGGTTAATATAAATTCAAAATAAAAACTGACACTTCAAAAATCTTCTAATATCTTACCTTCTAACAAATTTTAATACATTCAAATATTGATAAGTACGACAGTGAGTATATTATGAATTATTATGAGAAAAATTAATCTAATTCTCAATATTTTGTTTTTAGTGTAGATATTATATTGTGTCGTATACTAACAGAACTATTTACAAACTCTTGTAAGCTTATTTCTTTTTTTTTAGTTCTTCAAATCTTCTGTTAAGGTCATCAAAGTCAAGATCATCATTACTACTTGAGCCACCAATTGTGCTTGAAGTACCAGGTAAGGATCCAGTGGGAACATCAGGAAGGTCAGGGACATTGGGCAGAGTGTACACATTTGTACCTGATCCAGGGGCTATAAGATAATTACATTTGTTTGTTAAAAGTGAAAGCTTTTGATGGGTGGTATATTGATATCAATTTGATTGCTTTATTTGTCAAAACAGAATGACTATCAAATCCTGATGATGCTCTGATTAAAAAAGTGCATGAAAAAACATACCACTTGGGGGTTGATAGTTTGTTGGCTAAAAAACGCACAAAAGAATATTGAATTGATATGCCAATTAATAAAGTATGTTATAAACAAAATATCCTGTTCACTTACAGGCGTATTTTTGATGGAAGGAGGAGGTGTATTGTCATTTGTTGGACGAAATCCAATCCCCGGGTCAAGTTTCTGTGTTAAACAAAAATGTGCGCTAAGTAAAAATATATTGTTTGACACACACAATATATATGTATTAAATCATTGATTTTGCTACCTCATTTGATGGTGGATATGGCAAAGTTCCAGGTTGTGGAAATTGGTTAACCTAGCAATAAAAAAAAGAATTTGAAACGAGGTACGTAAAATGCAAGGTGTTAAGGAATAACTTAGTTTTTTACCTGTTGTGGAGGATAGGCAAGGGATGTGTTTGCACCGGGCACAGAAGGCATTTGATGAGAAATAGTAGATCCAGGTTCTTCATAACGTTCAAAGCCAATAGGACCACCCTGCCTCCACCACTTGGGCCAGATGGGCCACCAAACCCACTGTTACTGTTGAAATTATTTGAATTTTCACTCTCTTTTTCACTACTAGAAAGCTCTCCCTAGAATTAAATTTCACCAAAGTACCCAAAGTTATAAATGGTGATGATAGTGTAAAAAGTAAGAACAATGAGAAATTTCCTTACCAAAGCAGATTCATCTGGTTCATAAGGTACATTGTAGTTCTTTGCTATCTCAACAAGATAGCGTTCCACAAGGGATTTTGGTGGTGCATTAGGACTTAGTTTGGTTATCAACTAAACATAAAATATGTATATTGAAAAGGAATTTGTACAGTTTGACAAATCAAATTATGTACTGACTTTCTCATTCACAGTTTTATTTGTATTTCTTGCTGATTCTTCTGCAAATTGTTTACCATATTTCTGAGACAACTGATCAGCAACCTGGTGATGTAAAACATGGTCAGTTCAAATTCCCACCAGACTGTGAAGAAATAAAATTTACGTTGAAATTATTACCAGTTTAAGTTCTTGTACATCACTTTGAAGACGAGGAGCGACCCAAATCAATGTTGAAACAGGTTCAACCAATCCATCCTCACAGTATCTTAAAATTACAAAAAAAAACATTCAAATTGCCTTGCCATAAAACCATTTTAATCTACCAAACAAACTTGTAATTACTTCATAGTTTCAATGAGACCAAATCTAGCAAGGAGAAGATCACAGTAAAGTTCTAACAACTCCATTGCTTCCACAAGATAGTCTTCGCGAATGATATGTTCCACCTATACATGAAAGATGTTTAAGTTAAACGAAGCAAATAAGTATTTACTAGTAACTAGTTTGGTTTCAACTTTATTCCAAAGCCATCATCAGAGAATACATATAATATATTGGTTTCAATTCAAATACACTACCGTCAAACTTACTCGGATTCTGGCTCTGTCATCTTTGTTTTGTGATAGATAATCGGCAATTTCCTTTCTCGACTTTAATGCCATTTCAGCTGGACAAAAAAGTTCAACAAATTTTTTCATGATTTTGACAGTTAACATTTATAAAAAGTACGAAGATAAGAACTACGTATCAAGAGACAAAAAACTTACTCTTTTTCTTTTCCAATAGTTTTAGGCGGTTTATGGAGAGTTTGAGATTCACTCGGAGCTTTTGAGGACGAAATCCTGAAAAAAACATTCTCAAAAGATGAAATACCGCGAAGTAAGAGTAAATATTGTATTAACAGGAGGAAAGACGAAACTTACCCATTTTGGTGACATTCAATATTTCAAAACAAATCTAATGATGTTTTTGTTTATTTTTGGAAACAGCGCCTGCAATACGTACTATGTCAGCACGTGTCAGCAATTTTTTCAATACTTCATTATATGCTTGCTTTTCAGTTTTAGACTGTCAGGAAATATGGCGATCTGCTGCAAAAGAAGATTTTGCAGTTACGTATTACAATACTCAAATTGTTAGTAAACACTATCATTTCAATACATTGTTTCTCAAAATATTTGGTTTTAAAGAGTTTCTTTAGTAAAGTCTTAAGCCTTAAAGTGTGTATGAGGTACGTGATTTGTGTAAAAAGAGAAACAATTAAATGAATTAACAACCTTGACGTGAAGTTTTGTTTGGAGGAATGGACGAGGCTTCAGAGAAGGAATTTGATGCAGAGGCAGATGAAGATAATATGGAAGAAGACGTTGACGAAGATGATGATGATGGGGAAGAGGGGGAAGGAGCACTCGAAATCCACCCATCTGACACTGTTGTAAAAGACAGTGGAAAGAAAAAGGGCAAAAGAGGTTTAAAGAAAGCTGGAAAAACAAGTCTTAGTGGTCGTGGAGTAACACTCAAAATGTTGTTAGATGATAATGTTTTGGCAGTTGAGAAAGGATGCATGTCAATTGATTACTTGGTGAGCTAGCACAACTTTTCAATACATACATTACTACTTTTCTAATATTTCGTATTATGTAAAGAGATTTTGCTAAAAATCCTATTTATTCTGTTCTCATAGAACTAAATTTGTTTTTTTTAGGGTCAAAAGTTTGTTGCCGACTTGCTACCAAATGGTAAAATCAAATGGGAAGGTAGCGAGAAACTCTTCAATTCTCCTTCAGCATGGGCAATACATTGTAAGAAACTTGTTAATCCAACCAAGAAATCTGGATGTGGATGGGCATCGGTAAAAAATATTGACATCATTTGTGGTGTTTTTTATTTCAAATGCTGCATGATTGCTTGCATATCTCACTTATTTTCTACAAGCAGTGATATCAGCCAGTTTATTTATTCTTGCTATGTAAATATTTTATAAACTTACTCGTTGCAACGAAAGTGATATTTAAAGAGGGGAATATTACTTAGCAAGACTACTGACTCCAAGTTAAATGTTGATACACATTCAAAGTTGTTAATGACTGTTTAAGGTGAAATATAAAGGAAAGAAACTTGATCAGTACAAAACTACCTGGTTCAGAAAGCGAAGACCATTGTTTCAGTCTGAAAAAACAACAGCACAAGCAGTCTCAGTAAGGCACCATGCCTATTTTGCATGCATTTAATTTATGCAGTAAAGATCAAATTGAGTTGTCTTTTATCATGTAATTTTGCACAATCTATTTCTAAGCAGATTTCTTGCTAATCCATGAAAAATACATTTCATTTCAAATGAAACGACTACTTTATTATGTCATTTCAGAGCACTTCATCAGTGATCAGGACATCAGCTATTTCTTCCACCATCAAATTTGCAGGCACAAAAACTGAAACATCCAATGATATCCTCCCATCTAACCCCGATTACTCAAAACCGTCCCTGATTAACTCCGAAAGCTCCAATAGTCATAAAACATCTACCCATACAAAAACAATTAGTCCAACAAGTGTGACATCAAAGAAAGAATTATCGCAGAAAATAAAACATAAAGCTCAGAGACAGCAAAAGTTTGTCAGTTGTATATATTTTACTAATGTTCATCTCATTATGTAAATATGTTGAGTCTAATGTTCAGTGTTTATTTGATCTTGTTTTTAGTATTTTTGATGTTTTTGTTATTGTTCATTGTAGGGAACGATCTCATGAGACGAAGAAAAAGTCGAGTACAAATGCAACACAATCTAGCAAAACTTCATTTGAGAGCGTTGCTCGAACACACTCAGGTAATATAAAAATGCACTGACACTCGAACTTTGATCTCGTGTTTGCATTAATCTGCTCAAAAGTTATCCCTGGCGTTTTCTGTGCAAACACAGTAATAATCGTAATTTTTTTATAAGTTTTCATACTATTATGTTTTTCAATCTCTGCAGACCTCTCTGACCTGACGTCATTTACCGCTCCCCGAAAAACGAAACTCGTTCCATGGTCTCGAACTACTCTCGACGTTTCTGAAGTGCGACCCGATAGGTATTTGTTCATAGCTTATGAACGTTAGTCATTAGAAGTTGTTGATATCAGTCAAATAATTTTTTTGGCGGGAATTGGTAGCTATTTCAACTTGTCTTATGTCTCACAATTGTTTCTATTATGCCTAAAATGAGGTTCTCCTATCGTAAAGTGTTTTTACTTATTCCTCTTTTCTCCTGATTTAGTGATCCACAGACGTTAGTACAATGTGTAAACTTCAGTCAGATAAAGAAAACTCAGCCGTTTAAATTATCAATAAACACCAACACTCTTATGTTGATGGTAGCTAAGTTTCATTTTACACTGAGTAGTTTTGTTTTCCATTGATCTTCTTACGTACTTTCTGTAGGATCTACATTGTCATTTGACCACGGGAGAGGTCGTTGGATATTTAGGAGGACGATGGAATCGCGAGGGACATTGTAAGAGATAAGCTTTGCATACACTTATATCACATATAATACATATTGACATGCTGTTTATTTATTTAAGACATACAAATAATGCAAGCGTTTCCCGTCAAATGTCGTTTTGCTAATCAGAAAAACGCCGATTCTGTTCAGGATGAGGTATTTATTTCACTCTGTCTTTCCATCTTTTCCTTCGTTGTTTTTTGAAAGAATAACAGGGCAGAGTAATAAAGACCAATTTTTACAATAAATCATCTCATAAAACTTTAATACCTCTAACATTAATTCACTAAGTTAGTTCCAAAGTAAATGGTTTGAGCCCGGGAGTATCGTTACATGTTTGTAAATGTAGATCGTCCAGGTTGGTATAGTTAGTAAGTTAGTTCCATTGTATTTGAGATATGAGCAGTTTTTGAATGCATACAGAGTTACAGACCCCCAGAGAAATCCTCTCATTAATACATTACTATGCATAATCATAAAGGATACATTTCGTAATAGTTTTCAGGTTCTAATCAATTCTGTCGACTAATTCAATATATGTCTACACGTCTCCTGTATCCTTTAGATTAGAGAGGCAATGAAAACACGTGGTTTAACGTTAGTTGGTTGGTACCATAGTCATCCAACTTATCAACCTGATCCATCAGTTCGTGACATAGCCTCACAACAGCGATATCAAGCCTGTATGAAGCGTGACAACATTTCATATGAACCTTGTGTAGGATTTATCGTGTGTACGTACATTATTATTACTGGTTTTACGTAAGTCCAATCCTTCACCTGTCTTGTTTTATTCTTCCATTACTCTTGTTACCCAGCGTTTATTGCAGATATCATATGAGCTTTCTAATGTTCTAGTCCATGATGTTATTGCATTAATGTGTTCACAACTACAGCTCCATATGATTCCCATCTTTCGTCTCGCGAGTCTTTGGTCAAAGCTTTCTGGGTTCATACGACAAACAGTCAGGGTCCGCCGACATTTTCTTTACCTATGGAAATCGACTACGAAATTGAAGCAAGTCCGCTACTTACTGAAGACTTACTCACAGAGATGGTGAGTTGCGATGTATTGCTTGTGATAATTCCTTTTCATTTTTGTCAATTTTAAGATGACAAGTTTTATTAAGACACTGTCGAATGGACAGTGCTGTCAACCACTTGCAGCCAACTCTGAATATTTCATTTAACTACAAAGTTAAACAGTGAGAAAAAATATACAATAGAGAATGTATAACAAAGAATATAGTTTCAAGACATGATTAATTGGTAACTAACTCTTTGCACATTATCTTTCTTAAGAGGTTTATCAGTTCCTACTACAAAGGAAGCCCAGATGCAGTAAACTTCGCTGAATGTTGGATGGCTGGTGTGTCTTTTTTGGACAAAGTGAAGGTTTGTCTCAATTTATGACGTACATATGTCTTGTTTCAAATAATATACGTATGTCATTATTTTCAGGCCTCGCTCATGAAGAAATTCCCAAAAGATCAATCTGGTCGTTTAACAAACTTCATACAGATGTTACTTTCATAATACTACATCACTTGTGTTGCTTATAAAGTAATTGAGCCAATGTCAATCAAACATCACTCAACAATAAGATAGAATAGAATAAGATTTAATTTGAGAAACCAAAAGTGTTCATATCGTATTAAGATGTAAATGCATCACAATTTATAAGTGATTGAGCGCACTATGTTAACATTAAATCTTCTTTTATATTAGTTATATTAAAAACTGCTTTAGGATATCTATCAAGTATTTGAGAAAGTGCGAGCTTTGAGTTCTTAGTTTCATTTCTACATCTTCATGAAGCACAAACTGTTTTAGAAGTTCAGTTATTCTCCTTAAATCAAAGAGACAATTGCTGGATGTTAGGTATGCATATTGTTCACCTTTCATTATTTTCTTAGTGGAGTTAATTTCTTCTTTTGTTGATAAGTTTATATCAGTAGCCGCTATCAAACTAAGTAGCTGGGCATAGTCATCTTCAAAACTAAACTTTTGTTGACACAATGTTCTTAAAATACAAACTCTGTGATACGAGATCCAACTGATCAATTTGTAAAAGATTTCAAAATCCATTCCACAGTTTGCAAGAAGTATCACCTATAAAGTAAATGATGACTAATCAACTAAAAATTTATATAGATACCTTTTGTTATCTTTCCTCTTACATTTGCAAAAAACCTCTATGTAATGACTCTTTATTTTAAAGTTGAAACAAACCTTACACCTAAACATGTGTTTAGGAAGTAATTAATTACCTGACACTGTTTATTCCATTCATCCATTTCTTGGCAGTCGCGTATGCTATATTTTACCTAAAGAAATAAAATCATTGGAGCATTTTGTTGGAAACAGACTTCATCATTTGACATTGTTTAAATGTTTGCAAAAAGGGAACTTACCAATTTCAATTCATTTTTTAGATGCTGCCATGAATTCACCACTCCATGTCCATTTATCCAGTTATGGTTTATGGATATTGTGTCTTCCTTGAAATGAAAAGCAATTTAAATTTGAAATGCAGGTAATCAAAGAAATTAAAAATGTATATATGTTGCTTTACCATGTTTATAACCTGGTGATACCAACAGCTAAAATAAAAATAATGAGCAACATGAAGAATTTCAAAGCAGGAGTGACTTAGTATGCATGCATAAAAGAAGCATAAACATCTAGGTATTTTTATAACTTAAAAACTGTTGTATTTTACCTTGGGATGAAAATTATTTCACCCTCTTTTTGGTGAACCACCAATGGTTGTGCTGCCTTGAGATAATCTGGAAACTTTTGAGGATTGTGAATTTCAGATGATCTAAGATCAAAAACAAGATTTCCTTTTTTGTCTTTTAAGTGCTCTTCACAACCAGGAGAGTACAAGATCCATTTCTTATGGCCACATATATTTGCAGACCAACTATAAGACCTAAAGTGAAAGGTTGACAAACGAGATGCTTCAGAATAACTTTGAAGGTCAGTGTCTTTATTTATAAATATTTGCATGCTACCTGAAAACATCAGCATGGAATGGAGTCCTAAAAAGGAGAGTTTATATTGAAAAATTTCAGTTTTAAATAGTTTTATCTCAATGCTATGTAATGTTTGGGTCTTCATCAAAGTTCATCAAAGGAACATATAGCTTTAGTAATGACTTCAGCATAAATAAAATTTTAAATTTCTACCAAGTTCCTTTTGGTCCCATGTAAACAAATCTATAATCTTCCTTGTTGTCTGTCCAGTAATCCCAGAATTCATTAAGCCAATCTGCTTGAAATAATGGAGGGTTCTCGTAGGCATTATAGTTTGGAAAGTCCCTGAAGTTTTAGATCACATTAAGTGGTATATTGTAAGACATATAAACTTTATCAAAACAGAATCACAGAAACTTACTTACAAAAGTGCCAATCTTTTAAATACAAATTTCTTGTATCTGGAAAAGTGACAGATTAATAAATTATTTATTACTGGCAAAATTAATTGTACATACTTCTAAAGAAAAATACCTGGCAAATTTTCCTTTTTTCCTTCCCAATAATCAATGAAGTCACTAAAAGACATTGAAAGTTTTGGGTGGGAGTTAAATTCAACTTGATTGCAATCAGCAACAGGAACAACGGCCTCTCCTAGAAAAAAACATATAAAAAATTTATCATGAAAAAAGAAAAATGAATAAAAATCGCTCAAGTTGAAGTAAATAAGTAAGTTGTTACTTTATTTTTGCTACACCTACCAAAAACAACTTTCAAGAACTGCAGACATGGTTTTCCATTTTTGTCAACCCATTCTACCCGACTCCTCCAATTTCTGGTGAATTTTGCATCAAACAAGCACGGTAGGTTTTTGGACAAATGCTTTTCTGCAAATTCATCATAGCTTATGTCACTAACCCGGGTTATTTCCATTGTTTTTTAATTTTAAAAAAGAACCGGAAGTAGAGTCTCACGCACTCTTTATCATTTTCACACTCGTGCCCACTCATAGTCTCAACTGTGTCATTGACATGGTCATGTATTAGAAAGAAGGAAAACGATGGAAGGATGTCCGCGGTCTTTAATGTTAAAACTCGAATTAAAAGAATCCAGCATAACGTCTTTTGCTCCCACATTAAAACAAGTGTGTATACTAATCATATGCCATTATAATGAGGCTTTTTGTATTGTTTCTTCCTTTCTATTCTTGTTCTTTCATTCATATTTAAACTGTGTTTAGTACATCAAAGATTTTTACCACGAGGATGGAGAAACATACACACAAGAATGTACCCAACTTGAGCAACTACGTACAGTTAGTGATAATTATTACTTTGATATGTCATATATGATAGTTTGTGTTTGCTATAGAGTCAAGCGGATCGCAAAATGTCACTACTTATGTTTTTGTTGTTGTCGTCGATGAATGATGACGTAATTTTATTTTTATCGCGATGTTGTTCATAAAGACACACTTTTTGTACATTTACACTACTTTCTCTGTTTTGTACTTCGCTCAAACGCTCGGTTGAGAAATGCATAATTTTCTACTATTTCATAAGCTCGGACATTTAGGCACCTATGCGATATAATTTAGTGAACGTACGTTTTCCTCGTCTTCGTCTTTGAAAGGTCTGAAAATATAGAAAGTCTCCATCATATTATAACTGCAAAGTGTAATCAAGTGTCCCAGTTTTGGATGAAGCTATAAGCAATGTTTAATAAACTTTTATATAAAACACTAGAAGTATATGAAGATTTGTAGACATACCTACACTACAAGTATGTATGGTAGGTATGATTATCCATTGTATTTTTACAGGCAGTCATAAAGCCAACTTATGACAACTCAGGGTGTAATTTACTTAGAAGATATTATGGACAGATTCATTTACTTAAAACACGATTTCCAATGTGTCATGGCTCACCGGCTTGTGTTGAGTTCACATGGTCAGTCAGATAATGGTTGTGGTTTTTTTTAATTGTTACCAACTTTATTTTCTTCCTATTCTTCAAACATTTCCCCTTTTAGATATGTTTGCCACTAATTAAATTTCAAAAACATTTATAATTCTAGGACCGATCTCTATACGGATGATCCTGTTTCAATGTCTGATATATCTTTTGAACAGACATCAATCTTATTCAACTTAGGTTGGTTATCTTTGTTGCATTACATATTTGACCAACAAAGTAGATTCCTAATGGTATATTTTTTATGTTTCCCTTTTATTATCAGGTGCTCTTCATTCATTATTGGGATCAAGAGAAGATCGAATATCGGAAGAGGTTTATTTTCCTTTTTATAGATTTTCAAAAGATCAGGAAAATTATCTTTCTAATTAAGATATTATTGTTGCTTTCCCTGATTGTTCAAATAGGGAATGAAAGTGGCCTGTACACATTATCAGTCAGCTGCTGGTGTATTCACTTATTTAATGGTAATTTATACACAATAATAAATTTTCAATGGTCTGCTTCAACCATTTATTTCTATGTTTGTTTTTTTCAGGAAAACTTTACGACCGATCAATATAGTGACACTGCAAAGGACTTGCTTTCTTTGTATATTAATGTGATGTTGGTAAGTCAATTTCTCTGTTGAACTGAGAAATGTTTTAGTTGTCAAAGATTCATGTTTATCTTAATTATTGCAACTACTGTAAGTTTTTGTTTTTCATTTTTTCATGTGCTGATTTAGGGCCAAGCTCAGGAATGCTTGCTTGAGAAGTCAATGTTAGACAACAGAAAAAACTCATTAGTGGCCAGAATTGCCATGCAGGTTGAAACTTTGTTCAAGTGTAGAATCAACATTTCCTATTAAGAATGACAGAATGAAATTTAGGAATGAACAATATTCATTAAGACTGAGTATTTTATTCATTAGGTTCAAAATTACTATACAGAAGCTATTGCATGTTTGGCATCTTCATTTGGTGAAATACTTCCTCCAAAGGTTCACAAGGTTTGTTTTTATGCTTGCACCAGGCCTATTCCATTCCTTATGGTTGCAACCAGGGCTATTCAACATCTTTATGGTTGCAACCTGGGCTATTCCATTCCTTATGATTGCAACCAGGGCTATTCCATTCCTTATGGTTGCAACCAGGGCTATTCCATTCCTTATGATTGCAACCAGGGCTATTCCATTCCTTATGGTTGCAATCATGGCTATTCCATTCCTTATGGTTGCAACCAGGGCTATTCCATTTCTTATGATTGCAACCTGGGCTGTTCCAATCCTTATGGTGGCAACCTGGGCTAATTCATACCTTATGGTTGCAGGGTGGGACGTTGCTTACACACCTTACTTCACACCTAGCTCTCTGATTCTTCACATTTACTATGTAGGATTTCTTTATATTTACTTGCAGCTTTGGAGTAAGTTGTTGCAAATAAAATGCTCCTACTTGAATGCTCTGGCGTATGTAAGTATTAACGTTTTTGCTGATAACATTTATATTAGAGGTAGCACATATTACATACACAAAACGTCAGAAATATTTTGTCATCTTTGTTGCACTTAAATTCAAGCTACTGATCGCGTCACAAAAGATGAATTTTCTTAAAAGCACATACGTAAAACGTCCTTGGCACACTGAATCGTCGTAACTGTATTTAAATAATGATTGCATATACTTTTATTTAGTATCTTTAACTTCAGACAAAACATGACAAAGTACGTACATCCACAAGCATTACTTAAATCCTATTTTCAAATATTTTCGTTTCATTTTCAGATGTATATGTCAAACGCATCTGATGAGCAAAGTAAATATGGAGAAAAGGTTAAGGAACATTTGTATATGTACTCACGACTAAAGTATTTATACAATACAGCAGTGTTTGGTGATCATCTGCCCATGTTTTCAATGTAGACTTTAATATTCAATCCTCTTGTTTTTAGGTTGCATTTTTAAAAATTGCTGCTCAAAGAATTTCGGAAGCCAAGAAGTTGTTGAAAGTATGTGCTCATCCTTGTTATAAGTTTTTCATAAGTTGTGGTTCTTATTTGCATTTGAGAAATGAGGTGTTCTCATATCATTTTAGAATCAAAGTAAACAAATGCAAGACGTGGTACAATTTATTACTGATGTCATTACTCAAAAGTGAGCAAGCTGCTTCCCTTTATTGAAGTGTCATAATAAGTTTTGCATGGTCTTTATATTATCTAAAGCCTTTAGTTGATTTCACCGTTTAGAATGTATTTTACTTATATACAAGACAATTAGTTACTTTCTTGCAGACTTGAAGGAGCGAAACGCGACAACGACTTTATATATCATGAAGCTGAACCAGCTTCAACTGCTTTACCTGAGATTAAAGGTATGTTCTACCCCTACATTTATACCACATTGTTGATGTGGTTTTTTTTACTCTTATATTCAAGTCTCCGTGAAGTTTGTTGTTGCTCCAAACAACAAACAGATATGCTCGCGTATTCATTGTATTAAAACCATTTTTGAATTGTTCGTACTCGCTTTCAACCAACATATCAACCATTTTATCAAGGAGCGTCGCTTGTAAAACCAATTCCCTTCCAACCTTATGATCCATCGACGGGAAAAGATATTTTTGAGAAACTTATTCCCATGAAAGCTCACGAATCCTCTTCTTTGTACAGGTTTGTTTTCTGTTCCTTTTGTTGTACGATTTATTTTTTTGATATGTCTAAGGATCATTTCTTTAAACAGCGAGGAAAAGGCCAATCTTTTGCGTCGTTACGGTAGTATTGTTAGCGAAAAAGATAAAGAACTCAGGTAATATTTTTTCTATTGCTGCATAGTCTTACTGGCTCGTAAATCAAAATGATTTTACAGAAAAGACGTGCATCTTTCGTTCTCTTCACTCCTTACAGAAGAATAAATCTCTGGAGTTACTCTGCGATGTAGCAACATGTGTGCATTGCATGAACGAAGTCTCTGGAGCTACTCTGCGATGTAGCAACATGTGTGCATTGCATGAACGAAGATTAATACATAAATTAGAATACTTGAAAGATATAGAAGAATTAGAACACATGCAGGATGGTGTTTTCTCCTAATTGCCAGCAGTTCTCTTATTTAATTTTACACAAAAAAATCTATGAGCCTATGACTTGTCAGTGTGCATGTTGCATGATATAGCTAATTGACCGATTACTGATTTTATTCCGTGTAAATTCTTTACGCTATGTAGTTCTTGGTTGGCGTCTATGCACATTGACGATCTTATGAGCCCTGAAGAATCGGATAGTCTTCCTGGTTGGTTTTATTTAAACCTTAAAATCTTCACGCATTTCCTTAAACCATGCTTGATCTGCGTGTCTTTTTTTGTGATACATCAATATTTTTTTGTCAGACGACTTGAAAAAGAAGTGTGAAGTGTTACAAGCCAATCCTGGTGATATCAAAAAATCAATGGAAATGCTTACAAGTAAGATAATCTAAATGCTTTCATTTTATTTTGTATTCTATTTTAATTTGCGTCATGTGATTGCTCTTGATGCGTTTTATGAAGCAGACACGTTTGATAGCCGGTTGTGTACGTAGGAGTCAAAGAAAGTTGTTTACCAATTTCTACTTACTTACATTCCTTGTTTCTTGTTTTTTAAACGTTTTGCATAATGAACCACTACCCCTGCCCACCAGCATCTGTAGATTCTGTATGTTGATGATAGTTTATTCATGTCAATAAGTTATACATAAGATAAGCTTTATATGTAATGTTCGAGTCATTTTAGAACTGAAAGGAAAAAGCACCGAGTTTGGTAAAGTTCTTGAAGACACCAGACAAGAAATCCTCGACGTTCAAAATGAGAGAAAAGGATTAATTGTGAAGACTAATTTTGAAATTGACTGTCTACATCCATCATCATCATTCATCTGGTCCTCTTGATCTATTTTCATAGGAGAATGAGAAAGTTAAGATAGGAGATGACAAATTGAAAGAGTGTCTTGATGAAGTAAACGGTTATTATCAAAGACACATGGATGCTGTAAGTAAATTTGACGGAATGATCAACACTGATGATCACCAAGTCCAAAATACGCTATTGTATTTTTAGACTAAGACAAATGAGGAGCTAGGAAAAGCGTTTGAAGCAAATCGTCGTAATTTGGAATTGATGATTGGACCGGAGGAAGCACTACTAGGAATTTTACCCACACACAATATCTTAGATTGTAAGTTCACATCTTCACTGAGCTATATAGGATTTGTATCGCTGCTGTAGTTACGTACGTATTATCTTTGCACTACTCTATATTACGTACATACATTTGTGGTTCGTTTCAACACTTTATATAAAGGCAGAGTTATTTCAGAAAAGAATTCAGTTGTGAGTTTTTTCTGTTTTCCTACGGTGGATTAAATCATTATATTTTGTTTTGATTTTTGATTTAGCTCCAATTGAGGGCGATACTGTTCAACGTATACGAGATCTTTTGGTAAGATCCAGTGAGATATAAGTTGTTTTTTTGCTGCAACTCAACCTTTGAAATACCATTTATTTTATTTTTCTTTATGACGTGAACATAATCTTTTGATGAATTTCTAATGTCATAATTTATGTATCACAGGGTAAAATTGATAAAATGAAAACGCAAAGAGTTCAGTTCATGGAAAAATTAAGGGAAGAAGTTAGTAAAAACTAAAAAAATTCTTAACATCACTGTTACATTGAATCTTGTAGTTACCTCTTTCTTCACGCGACCATTTAATTATATTAACATCATTTTTACACAGAATCTTGTAGTTACCTCCTCTTTCTTTCACGTGACCATTTAATTATATTAACATCATTTTTACACAGAATCTTGTAGTTACCTCCTCTTTCTTTCACGTGACCATTTAATTATATTAACATCATTTTTACACAAAATCTTGTAGTTACCTCCTCTTTCTTTCACGTGATCATTTAATTATATTAACATCATTTTTACACAGAATCTTGTAGTTACCTCCTCTTTCTTTCACGTGACCATTTAATTATATTAACATCATTTTTAAACAGAATCTTGTGGTCACCTCCTTTCTTTCACGTGACCATTTCATTATATTAACATCATTTATACACAGAATCTTGTGGTTACCTCCTCTTTCTTTCACGTGACCATTTAATTATATTAACATCATTTTTACACAGAATCTTGTAGTTACCTCCTCTTTCTTTCACGTGACCATTTAATTATATTAACATCATTTTTGCACAGAATCTTGTGGTTACCTCCTCTTTCTTTCACGTGACCATTTAATTATATTAACATCATTTTTACATTGAATCTTGTAGTTACCTCCTCTTTCTTTCACGTGACATTTCATTATACATAAGTTGTTTGTGATTCTTATTGCTTAGGTAAACAAAGACGACATTACTCATCTTATTGCTACCAAAGAAGGCGAAGACCTCCAGGTTTGTACCTCGTTCATTTTATTTCACTATTATATATGGCAATATTTATGTTATATTCAGAAGATTTTTAGCGATGTCTATCGTTGGTCAGATCTAGTCATTTCTTATCGTTTTTGTGCAGTTGCAAAAATTCAAACCAGTCGTACATGGTGTAAATTTTTAGGGTGAATGCAATTTATTTTCCTCGTGATTAAATATAGTCGGTCAATGCATCTAAGGTTATTTAAGTTTTTTGCCAACAGCACAAAAATTTAGGAAATTCATTTTATTTTTTGTAATATCGGTTGTGTAAAGGGTCCTTTCATGGAACACGTAATGTTTTCTCGAACAGCGTATGTTTGAAGCCATTGATGAAAAAAAGCCATGTGGATGATGAAAAAAAGCCACATCGCTATTTGTTTAAATTTTCCATTTGTTCTTTTGTCTTTTGAAAGCGTTTTGAAGTTGTTTTTTCTTATCGTGTTGTCATTTTGACAGGTCAAATAAATATGTAAATAAATGTGGTTAAATATTGCCTTTAATAGAATATACTTTCTCTGTGACTTACTCTTTTTGATTGAATGTTAGATTATGAGTCCTCTAGACTCTTATGCTTAGAGACATGTAATTATATTTACATAATTATTTCGATAGTTCTCAACTCCTCTCTTTATCTTGTAGAGCCTATTTAAGGAAGAGCTTAAGAAACACGACGAATCCTGTGATTTACTTAAACGTAATTTGGATGCCCAAGAAAAAATTATGAAGTATGTTTTCATATTATATGGATTGTTTGTTTTCTTCTTGACCCTCTTTAACAGCGTCTTGTGTTTGTAATGGTTTGCCCACAGTAGGTGTAATTGCAATTCTTTTTTCACATGTTGACCTTACGTACAAAATATCGTTATTGTATAGCGCATTGACGGATGCTAACGCAAAGTACGCTTCCGCTCGCAAGTCAGTCGCCGAAATCAAAGCTAAGTATGTATACCGTTAAGGATGCACTTTTTTAGCGCTAATTTCGCTGGCAGGTTTTGTGTGTTGTAGAGGCAATTTTTACCATTTGGATCTTACTTTTATGGTAACTTGTTTTTAGTTGTACTAATGAAGATTGCCCTCCCCCCCCCTTGCCGTCACCTCTGTTTAGCGCGATATATTTTCTGTATTTTTCCAGTTTTATTAATCCGTCATTTTTTTTGGACATTTTTACACACGTTTGTCTCTATCTTTCCAGTCGTGATGCTAAGATCAAGAATTTAATGGCATCATATGATTCTTTCATATCATTCAAGGAAAAAGTCAGGTTTGTAAAGTAGAATGTTGGAGTTGTGCAAACTGCCCCTCTTTATACCTATTTACACCTGTTTACAGAGGTGGACTGGATTTCTATGGACAAATGAGTGAAATGATTGAGAAACGCCGCCCAATTTTATCAACTGTGTGTCAAGGCGAGAAGGACAGGCTGCGAAAAATTGTTGGAAAAGCTGGACAATTAAAGAGTACGATTTTCATACTAACCGTTTGTTGGTTGAATCCTTATTGCCAATGTTGACATTTTACATTGCTGCACGTGCAGAGAAGTCATAGCTTTCTCTGGTGTGTGTGTTTATTGCTGGTAATAACGAGAAAACACCATCCTGAATGAAAGTATTCTAATATATTCTAATATATTTAATGTCCGTCATACACTGCTTTCCATGGAAATGTTGTCTTTGTTATTTTACCTGATTTCATCACGTGACGTTGGCTTTCTTTTATCAAACAGATGAACGAGGTATGAAGTCTCAGGATGGTACGCCCTCTTCCAATGTCATGTTTGTTGATCGAAAAAGCAAACCTGCACATCTAAGTCAACCTAGAAATCCTCAATCTAATCCACCAAACCTTCCTGGTAACATGCAGTATTCTCACATTAATCCGAATGTTATGCCTGCCGGGCCTCGACCAAATCTCATCGCTCAACCTCAGATTCCAGGTGTTTCAAACCAAGTTCTTGGTAATCCCCAATTTTCTTCTGGTAATCTGCATAATCCATCTGGAGGGTATAAACCACCGGCAGGTCATGTTCCTCTGTCACATCATTCAATACCTCATTCACTTCGTGGTCCTCTACCCAACCAACATCCACCCATTTCTAGTCATGCTCAAATTAATTCTTCAATTCGTGGTGCAACAGAAATGTCGCAGCCGCTTGTGCCTCGAGTTTCTTCAGGGACATTACTCACTACAAGACCGATTATGTCTTATCCGTTTCCTGCAACATCTTATGAAGGAACATATCCCCGTACTTCTACACCATTTCAACCAACGTCTAGGTCAGACATTCCCAATCAGCTGTTGGTCAATATCCTCCCGTAAATATGCCATACATGGCTCGTCCTATTCAACATCCCAGGGGCCAAGTCCAAACGTCAGTTGATCCGAATGTAAGACCTCTGCTTGGTGTTCCTCCGTTGCGATATCCAGGACCTCGTCATGAACAAATATTGCCACCATCACCAAGAGGCATCGTGTCAGAGCAACCAATGATACCACAGCAGCATATGATTTCTCAATTTCAACCTGGTCAACAGTCTTTTCAACAACAACCGGAGATATCCCTTCAACACTGGCAACCAAAATACACACCATTGAGACCAGAATCCATACCATCTGGCACCATTCAACAACCCTCAGTTAAACCCCCCTCTTATCACGAACAGTTTAATATTGCTTCTAATCAACCACCACCTCTGGTACCACAGCCTAATACAAGGCTACAGTTAAGTCCTGGACCAAACGTGAAGCCACAATCTAATCCAGGGACACAGTCGAATCTTGGAGTGGGTTCATTTGTTAGCAATATGATAGAACAGCAGTACGCACTCCCAAATCAGAAAAATTTGAGTCAACCACGTGCACAGGAAGCAATTCCTTTCGACCAATCGAGAACGCATTCTTTACAAAGTCAATACCGACAACCATTCCGTCCTACATTGCCATCTTCCACGATGCAACAATCCCAACTTCAAGTTTCACTCAATCGACCACCTTTACCTCAAGCGTCTAATAACCAACACCACTCCGGACATCACCACGAAGCACCGTTACAACCATTTTCTGTTCAGCCTAATGCTGGGACATCACCTCAGCAGTATGCTGCGCCAGGCTCCTCTTTTCATCCTAGACCTCGATATCCTGCAGCGCCATTGCAACCACAACCCTCAACGCAATTTCACTTTCAACAGCAACCAGTTGGACAGTATCATCAGCTTGGTCCGTATCAGCAACAGTCTCCTTACCATGGTCAAACCGTGTTTAAGCAAGAAAATCAATCATTGGGCCCCGCATCTAAGGCACCTCTTGATCAACCAGCAGTTATTGAATCACCAATATATTCAAGGCAACCATTGGAGGCAAGGTCATCTTCTGAACGTTTACCAACTCAGCAATATCAATCTTCTCAAGTAAGATTAATTGAATCGAATAATATGGAAGGCAAGATGCAATACCCGATTTCTTCTCCATTTGATAATCCAACAAGTTCTTTCTCTCCCTCTCCTAATAATGAAATGGAAAATTTCGCATTAGCACAAACCAACAAAATATCGAATAGCGAGTTTCGCAATGTAGAAACTGGTCAATATCCATCCACGGGTAATTTGGGTCAGGTAAAAACGAAGAGATACAGCCTCGTCAACCTAGCAGTAATGATTCTCGAAATACTCCAATGGACATACAGACGTCAATTTCTCCATACTTAACTTCTACATATCCCACAAATTCTCAGTCAAACAGTCCATTTTACTTAGCTCGACCTGCGTCATCCACAAAAAGCGATATTTCTTTATCCACGTATCCTTTACCTACTTCAAGTTCAAATCTCGAACACCAAGTAAATCAACCAAATAAAGATGTCTTCTTTTCCCAGGTACCGTCATCGACATATTTTCAACCTGATCACGATGTTATCAACTCTGCACAAAGCAACACATCTACAGTTCAAAATAATTCTCGCATGTCATCTACAAGTTCACATCCATCATCAGCGAACACATCCAAACAATATTATTCGTCAGGAAACATTCCAAATCATGAAAATGTAGGAAGTATAACAACATCTAATGTCCCTTCTTCATCTAATCAATCTAATCTACAACGAAAATCATCGCGCGATTTTAATCCGCAAAAAATGTACTGACAAGACCTGGTCCGTTGTCTGTGCCCGTTGATTCTGCTGGGACTGGGACTAGCAACTCGAAAGAAGACAAACATTCCGAGCAAAAAGCAATTTTTGGGCTGACTGACAAGATGGCTTCCGAGATCAATCGTCATGATTACAAAGAATCGGATCAGATGCCTGACGCAACGAAGGAGGATTTTAGTGTGAATGATAACCAATCTATGGTTAGTATAAATGATAAACTACTGGAGAATCTTAACTCGTTTGGTAGTCCAGGACAATTGAATAAAGATGGAACAACGATGTCGTTGTTTAAAAAAGACGGTATTGCCGAATCATCTTCCAGTTCATCATCCGTAATTTTATCTCGTGATAAAGAATTTTCCGTCACAAGTAATACGAAGTCAAATTTTGAGAATGTAACAAACTCTGTGACAAAACCGACAAGTGAAGAACAGCCGTCGAACCCTGGGAATAATGATAACTCCGGATTAGTCAATTCTGGTGTTTCCGGTCAACGTTCATCGTCAATGTCGAGTCAAGAGGATTTACAGTCGCTACAACATAAAGTATTACTTCAACAGCAGCAATTGATCGATCAGCAACAGCGTTTTTTACAACAGCAAGTTGTTGGAGAACAGTCGCAAGTGTGGAGGCTCATGGAACAAGTGAAACATCAACAAAAAGAGTTGGAAGATCTACGAAATGAAATTAAAGTAAAGGAACAGTCGGAGAACTTTGAGAAAAAACAGAACGTAACAGCTGATGTTGAAAGAAATGAATCTTCACAAGTTGCTATCGATGAAGATCGTTTAAAAGATGAAACAAGTGATATCACACAAAACCATGTGAACTCGAATGCTTCTCACTTGAAACTGGTTGCGAGTACAAATCAAAATGAAAACATCGAGTTTCCAAAGGAAGAAAACGTGATAACGGAAAATGACTTCAAAGTGAGTCAACTGAATGAAATTTCATCATCATCTGCTTACCATGAAGTTACAAATTTGGTTGAAAAACCATCAAAGGTCTCAGGTCTTGAATTGATTTCGGAACTTACCGTTGCTCCGCGCATTGAAGATTCTTCATCAAACTCATCGCAAACAGCACAAATGAAACCCGATTTCCTTTCAACTGAACCATCTGAGCCTTTCACAATGAAAAGCTTACTGCAATCTAAAACAACCATAGGAAACAAAGAGTCCGATGTAAAGAAAGAAGTTGATGTTGTCGTCCCTGAAGATACAATTAAAGGTGCGTGCAGGGTGTGAAACATTGGTGTGGACAGAGGGTTGGGTAACAGAGGTTCGGTTATAAATGAGTTGTTTGACTTTAGCTCAATCGTTTTGTACATATGTATCAGTGAAATAATGTCGACTGAACAAATCAGGGTATTCCTATATGAAGGAGGTATCACATGACCTTAGTTTTTATAGGCATAAAGTTCCTTTCACTATTTACGTGCTCCTTGACTTGTGACACAAAAACTTTACAGGAATTGTTTGTTGCAATTGTTTATTGGCTTGTTGATATTTTATTTTTGTGTTTAATGCGAAGTATTCACTAGTATATCTAATGAATTTTTAGAGTCTTCTACTGTTTTTAAAAAACGTCGTCCTCCACCTTCCGTGCCAGAAGCTGAAGCTCCATCTCAACTTGAGGTAGTTACCGCTGACGTGTTTTCTCAGGCTCGCATCGATACTGGCAATGCAGTTTGTTCAACAGCCCAGGAGGGGACAGTCGACGCGAGCTTTGTGTTGCGTCTTCAGGGCTTAGTCGAGGATTATCGTGATATCGTGAATAATTTGCCGAAGAAACCAATTACGGGTCATAGTAATCTGACCAAAGAATGGCTGGTAGGAAATTTTCTTTTTATTCTTACTTTACATCATGTCTTCTCTCTATGTTCGAACTAAACAGTATTAGTTTGTATGTAGCAAAATATTTTATATGTCTTTGTTATACCTTATTACAGTCTACTGCCATTTTCATTGGATCTTTCTATTCTTTTTACACAGTTATCTAAAATTATACGTTTAGATTACTAATTAGAATGTTTTGGATTTAGGATCTTCAACATCATCAGGATACGATCAGTAAAGTTCTTACTTGTGATGTTGGAAAGGCAAACGCTACGAAGAATCGATATTTGGATATTCTTCCATGTACGTATAAACCAAAATAGTTAAACTTTTCTTCCTAAAATAAGAAATGAAAAATTATTTCTTGTAATTCTGTCATTGGTTAAGAAACTTCACAGCATTTTCCCGTTTGTTGAGTAAACTCCTCGAAATTCTACTATTGTTTAAATGAATTTTTGAACATAACATTGTCCCATTTTGTGAAATAACTTCTCAACATTTTCCCTTTTGTCCAATAAGATTTATAACGCTCTTCCATTAAGTTTTTAGCCTTTATTGATTGCTTGCATTTAATTGTATTATATTACAACTTTATAAATATACGTTTACTTTTTATCTATAATCACGATCAATGTCTCACACAACTTGTGAATTTCTGAACTTTATTTTTTACCTATTTCATTGAGCATCTTGGACTTGGACGACCATTACTAAAATTATTGTTCTGATAAAGCTGATCGTTTGTCTATGTTCTTTTCAGACGACCAGACAAGAGTTATTTTACAAGGAAAAGAGGATTCGGATTACATAAATGCAACTCTAATTGAGGTACTCAAACATTGTAACTCCCCCCAACATCAATCCCTGCCAAAGAAAGTTTGCTACTATAGTCTTGTGCTTTGCAGGATTTGACACCACTTTCACCCAAGTATATAGCAAGCCAAGGGCCTATCCCACAATGCTTCATGGATTTTTGGTTGATGGTGTGGCAAGAAAAATGCCCATTGATTGTAATGTTGACTAAAGAAGTTGAAGGAAAGAAGGTCTGTGTACATTTTATGTGTAATTGCTGTGCAGCTAATGTCAAGTGAAAATTCCATTTGAAAAACACTCTCTGCGTGTACAGGCTATTTTCTTGGCTTAAGCTCCTTGTTGAAGTTAGTTGTGCGTCCTGTTTGTATTCCTTGCTCTCAGGAACTAACAGATTTCTCTTTCTTTGTTTTGATAAAAAAAAGTTCATTGATATAGCACAAAGATGCTTAAAAACCCGCCAGGCAATTCATTTATATAGTATGTTGTCAAGATTGAGGTGTATATTTTGTGATTTGATTGAAATATGCAGCTCAAGTGTCATCAGTATTGGCCAAAAGATGAGGGACATTCGATGCTGTTCGGATCTCTTCGTGTCACTATGAAACGTCAAGTATCCCTTCCTTTATGGAGAGAACGAGTCATTCATGTCACTCATGATGAGGTATCAGAGCTGTTTATAATGTTTTTGTAACTACAGACCCCCAAACGTTTATCATTAAGTTCGTTTTCTTTATAGACTGATGAAGTACATATTGTTGAACATTACCAATTCATGGGATGGCCTGACCAGTAAGAGCTTATACAACCTTCATATGTTTTCACAATGGTACGCATGATTTTTTCCTGAATCTTATTTTATTTTTTTAACAGTGGTGTTCCTAGCAATCCATCGGATTTCTTTACGTTCATGGAGCATATTTATAATCGACAGGAAAGAAATTATTCTCAAGTCAAGTTTTCCATGTTGCTTCACTGCAGGTGCTGCATATATGTTACAATTTTACTTTATAATACTTCTATTTATGGCTGTTTTACGCATTTCATGCTGGGCTTTAATATTTATATTTCGAATACGATTCCCTCCTGGTTTATCGATCGCTTCTACTAATGAATTGTGAAATAATTGTGAAGTGTTTATAATTAAATTACATGTATTAATTTTCTTTAATAACTTCTTCCATTTGACGGTAATGGATGGAATTTAAAATGTTTATGTATTGTGTTCTATTTTAGTGCCGGTGTTGGGCGAACTGGGGCATTCATTGTCATTTATTCCGCAATGAGAGAACTTTACTCGGGCAATGGCATTAGTAAGTCTCGTAGTTAATGTGATGAGCTGATACAAAACGTTCTTCAAATACTCTTATTTTTGTCTCTTTGTAGTGGATGTTAGTGCTCTCGTTAAAAAACTACGAACGAAACGAAAGTATATGGTCCAAAGGAAGGTGCGTTCTTCTTTTTCTTAAATTTGTTTGTAGATTTCGCCTATATTTTGGCTTTGCTTTATTTCCTTTATTGCAGGAGCAATATGAATTTTGTTACAAAGCTATTCTATATTCAGCTGAGCAATTTCTAATTCATGGTAAGACTAACAACTTGTGTAGTAATTGAAGGAACTAACTCTTTAAACTTTGTTATTCTTGTTGACATGTATAGTTTTGCCAATGTTAGCTTTCAACCATCATAATTTGTTGCTATGGTTAATTTCAGTTTTACTACTGCCCACTATCGCATAAATAAGTCAAGGTAGTTATAAAGCATGATCCATCATATGAAGCGCTTGAGATGTTGGTGTTTTAAAGCTTAAATATAGAGATTGTTAGGTAGATAATTCGTACGTTAATTTATATTTTGTCAAGAGTGCTCAAGTGAGATGAAATGTTAGAAAATCTCCGTCATGAACATTTTTTTATTATTTCAGAGAGAAAAGGTGATTCAGCTGGGGACAGCAGTGTAAGTAGTACATCCTCAGATGAAATTAGTTCTTCTGATGATGATGATGATGAAAAATATTGCCCACCACCAATCGTACCACAACGACCTCAACATACGTCTAACAGTAAAACTGAGATTAACAGCACGAAAATGCATGATGATGAACTATCGAAGACTTTTGATTTTAAATCAGGAAAACAATCCCAAAAAGAACCCGAAGTGAAGTCCATTCTGGCTTCTAAGATCACACCAGGATCTTTACCTGGTGGTGTTTCTGGCAATGATGTCGATCAAATAAAAAAAATGGCAGAGAATCAGAATGGAGGCGGTTTGAATAATTTTCTCGAAATATGTACAGAAAGCTTGCGTCCTATTGATACTGCTAAACTTGAGAATATAAATGACAGTTGTCTGTCACAACCAAAGGATTCCTTGAACAAACCTCCGCATAGTGAACTCCAGTCAAATGATGAATCTGATTTGGGGGAAACAAAATACAAGGAAATTACTCAAGACCCAGATGAGAACGATAAAAGAGGGCCAACGCGGAGTTGAGCAACTCTAACAATGATAATGTTGCTCTCATACCTGGCTTAAAGGAAATTCACGAAGGGCGTTTTAAAGATTGCAGCGATACTTCGATGGAACAAGACGTTGACGCCGTAATGAAAGAACACGTGACTTCAGGCAGTGAGGTAAGTGTAGGTGAGACACAATTTGTGACCAACAACATACCAGGGCATGCCACAAAAGAAGGTACAATGTCAAAGTCAAAAGTGATGATTTTTCAAGTCAATCGGTAGAATTACTTGGGGAAATATTAACAAATACTGAAGAGACATCAATAAAAGCTCAACCTGATAAAGAAACAAATTAAAGGACATTTGTGCAACACAATACTGGTTTGCATGAAGTCCAAAGGTACAAATTATTTTTTTCAGCAATTATAGAGACAGAGAAAATACAGAAAATATTTAGAAAACTCTTTGTTGAGCTGTTAAACATTTAAAATTTCAAACTCACATTTTGAGCCAGCATGTTAAAATGATGTATATATTGCATAGTTTTTTTGCTTTGTTTATTTAGACATTACTGCCTTCAAAGGTCTGCTGGAATATAAAATGAAATGGAATAGTTTTTCGTATAACTTGCTTAAACATATGGCATTATATAATAGTTGACATAATAAAAATATATGACATCTTATGTTTGTTGTATTTTGTTTTGGTTATCAGCAGACAAACTTTTTCCATTTTTTATGTCAAATGTTTGCATCTTCAGACACAGAAAAACAAGAACAACATCACTAAGTATTATCTCTTGTAAAAGAATTGTATTATAAATATTAAGTAATACTGATTATTTAAGGAGCTTGCAGATTCAATAGCATATTGCCTCCTGGCAAATAAGCAATGTTTGGTGCTTGACTGACTCGGTCTGCAATTTCTTCAGCTGCTTCAATCTTTCTTAGTTCGATCAATCCTTCACCTGCTTCTTCAAATGACTTGGCAATCAACTCTGCTCCTTTAGCATCCCCTTCTGCAGCAACAATTGCAGCTAACTTCTGTTGCTCTGCCTGAAGAATAATACATGAAAAAGACTATTATTTACTCTTCGTTTTAGATTATGTTTTTTTCCCTCCGAAGTTACCTTCTCCACCAAGAATCTAGCTCGTTCAGCTTCCTGTTGAGCTAGGTAAAAAATGTTTACAATCATTTACTTGAATGTGTATCTTACTTTTGTGAACATTTTCCAATTCACTTCATTATACTCAACTTACCAACTTGTTTGGCTTCTACAGCTTCAGTGAATTCACGTCCGAATGTCAAGTGAGTCTAGAGGAACACATTATAATGTTAAATTCTGTGAGGAAATATACCCAGCTGTATTAATAAAGAATTGCAGTTCTCTGTTTGATGAAAATCATTTATGACACTAACAATTGAAATATCATCCAAGATAAGACCAAACGACTTTCCACGATCCACCAGTGCTTCTCGAACCTTGTATGAAACCTTAAAAACAAAACAGTACATTCATGCTACAATATATTCATGTTCCACCACTAGTTAATTAAGTTTAGCAGTAATTAATTTGATACAATACATACTACTTCTCTTTGTGTTATTAGTTCACTTGCATCAAATTGAGCCTATGGATAGTGTAAAAGATATAAGATAATTCTATTTGCATTCACTCATATTTTACCACAATGTACAAACCACAATGGCTTTTAACACCTCAGTTGTAATGGAAGGTAAAACTCTTTCATCATAGTCTTCACCAAGATTTGTATAAATACCAGGCAATCGTTTTGCTTCTGGTCGAAATAATATCCTCAAGGTGATATTGACATTTTGCAAGTCTAAATGAAAACAATCTATGAGAAAAGGGATTTTTAATAAGTCACGTGGTATCTTTTACCTTTACTACCAGTTGTTACAGGAACATTTCTTGGGCGACTACGTATGTCGAATATTATCGGTCGTTGAACCCATGGGATGAGAAAATGTGTTCCTTCATCTGAGATATCATCTTTGACGCCTTGGAATCGGTCGAATATAACAGCCCTGTGACCACCATCAACTAAAGTGATAAAAGGTACATGAATCATAAGTATAATATATATAGTAGAACATGTACAAATAATTCATAGAAGTCTTCAATCGTGGTAGATTTCACTTTAATGCTTTACTCACCATTATAAAGAGCTGTATTAACGACACCGCCAGCTATTGCAACGCCCAAACCCAAGGATGCAATTCGGTTTAAAAGACTAGCTATATTGGCAGCCATTTTCGTTTCGAAGATATATTATATTTTATTACACAATACACATGCAGTGATGACATGTGTTTTTCTCTTCGTGAACACACGGACAATCATCGTAACACGACGTCCAAAGGGTTTCATACCGTAATTTTTAAATTTTTACTTTGATTTTTATTGCCAAATATTGATTAAACGTCTTATTTCACGTGGTACTGCAACAGTCCACTTACGCAGGACATGTAAATTTAGATTATAGTTTCCCCCACTCTGCAAACAGTAATAATTGTATAGTGTTGAAGACCCGAGGTTAGGGTATGGGGCTAACCACAAAATGCCTTTTTCAGCATTACCACGAGTTGATACAGATTTTATAAACTACTTTAAAAAGTAAATTTTAGTTATTTTTTGTTTCACTTATGGAAGAGTTATATAAATAATTATAAAAAAACATATTGTTTTTTTTCTCTAATCATCCGGGTAGAGCGTCGCTATGGGTGGAAGACGGTACAATGATTGTCTTGCTTTCTGAAATCGATTCCAAGTGACCTTTGGAAAACCTTTATCCAGTCTTCCACAGCTGACACTAGTCAACACTCTAAAGTATGTAAATAGTGTTACCCTTTTTTTTTCATGTCAACAACCAACATTTCTGTCATCAACTTTAAGTTGTCTATCTCTTCCTAATGATCCTTACCGTTTGCTACTCTCCCTTGCTTTCTTAATATCCATGTCAAGAATCTTTGGTGTAACAATGGCACTTTGTGTCTTTTCGATGTTTGGAAACTACAGTTATCAAGACATTTGCGTTTGTAAGAAAATGTTTCTCTTTTGGCGCTGAAATCTGAGTTATATTTTGCGAGAGAGATTTATTATTGTAATATGGGAACGATCAACTCGCTTTTACTTTAGTCGAGATTTTTGTCAGGCACGTGTTTGTTTATTATTATGTTGAGCTTTTGACTATTTTTTGCTTGAATTTGACGGCTGTCATTCTTTCATAGACATTAGTAAATATATTTTCATGATCGTAACTAGTTCTAATCTCTATATTGATACAACCTTCCACGATGCTATGACAGGATCTTGTGGAACAAAGAATTTGACTCCCCTAACTTCACTGTTCATACTCCCAAAATCACGACGGCATCTTGCTATTATTTTCCTTGTCAGAAACTGTCTCCTATTATAAGCTCCGAATACTTGGTTAGTTTCTTCCAACTTGTGAGGAAAAGAACCTGTTTGGATTTTTTGAACGTGAGGTTTGATCAGGTGTACACCATGTTGTTTTGATAGATCGCTGCATCTACGGGAAAAATTTCATCTTCGTTTTGAGAAAGATTTTAATTGGATTGTGGGAAGTTTGTACCTTCTTTCATATGCAGTTGTTTTTACACTGCCTGTCAATTTGTTTTCGTGGTTGATATGTTATTTGATTCTTCACGACCAAAAATTGACAATCATATTTGGACAGGAAGAAGTGCACGTTATGTGCGTTTAACTTACATTTGTTTGAAAATTAAATACATTTCAGTTTTCTTCTGTAGTAATTCTGTCTTTCGTCTAGTAACCTTTCTCTTTCCCTGCATGAACCACAAAAGAAAACATTCCTACAATCTTATATCACAAACATTGTAATTTTTTTAATTCAGTTTACGGAAGGTAAAGGAATTCAGCCGAGAATCTAATCAATCAGTTTAACTGTGCCATAAGATACTTAAATATTCACTGATTCAGAATATAGATTAATTTAAAGCTGGGTTGGGTTCTAGCCTCACCTCTTGTGCTCTTTCTTCGATGTTTTTCAGATATATTTCCACCTTACGACGTTTCTTACTGTTCTTGTAATGCTCCTTCATTACTTCGCAGATTTTTTTGCAACTTTTATGGAGAACGTATTTTTTGACCAAACACACAAATTTTACAGATGATACATCCAGTGTTTTCTCAATCGTTGTCATTGCCACCTTAACATGAATCACAATTAAATGGCCTTAGTTTTTTGTGTCTCATTATGGTCTCTCGATGTTCATATGGTCATAAATTTTAGTAAAGGATGATCTTAAAATAAACACCTTCATCATTTGAAGATTTACTACAACACACTCAAAAGTGGACTAAAGATAGCCTTTAATGTTTTACGAAACTGAATTCTGTGAAGCTTACACTGGGATTGAGGAACCAAGAGAACAAATTCCGTTGGTTAATGTTGAAAAATTATGAGATTGTGTGAATTCTGTGTGGTCGAGGCAGGGCTGTGCTTGTGCACATAAAAAAATCTTATTCAGAATAATATGTCTTACCGCATGTGTTCCTTCTGTAATTTTTTTTGCTGCGTAAGCGTCATTCAATAACTTGATATTTCGCACCATATCGCTATTCTTCAGATACATATTTGTTTCATTCACAATACGCGTATTCTCCGCCTTCAAACTACTTATCATTAGTTCTTGTTGTTTCTCTTTCTCTTTTCCTTCTCTAATGATTTTTTCTATTGCTCCTTTCTGATTAGTCTTTTCCATTATTGCATCGCTTACTTCTTTTGTGAGATGAAAAACTTCTTTGTTCAACATTTGATTTTCTCTCACGAGTTCCTTGTTTCGTTCCATTAGCTCAACCAATTTGTCCGACTAAAAAAATCGACTAAAGATACAATTGCAATGTGTTTTGCTGCTACTGTAAAAATTCTAACAAAACTTTACGTCTGAACTAAAAACTGTCTTTCATCTTTGTCAAGATCGCTCGGACTCCATATGCAAAGTTTATACGTTCACATAAATTATCTTAACATCGAAAGTGCTTCTTCCATTTCAAATTATATCGCTTATGTAGACTTGCTGCGTGGTCCCTTAATGCATGTCATTGTGTGGTTAAATTATTTCAAGTGTTAACAAACCTCGCTGTGCTTCATTTTAAGCATCTCAATTTCTTTTGTCGAAAGCTCTTCTCTTGCTTGCCTCAACTTCTCTGCTTGAAGACTGCTCGTTTCTCTGGCTTTTTTGAGAAGGTCTTCCTGTGTCTCTAAATCTTTCTCTAAACAATTCTTTGCAACCGAAGTATCTTTCATTTCAATTCTTTTGTTGAACAGAGCTTGTGACATCATCACTTCCATTTGCACCATTTGCTCTGTAATACCTCCTGCCATTTTCAATAATTTTATTTGTGGATCAGTAGCGGTGGAATCTTCCAACAAGTTTGGGAGCTGTCTAATATTATGTGCAGCATCCACCAGATCTAAAGTTAATGATGTCATGAATGACATATGAAAATTTCAAAATTAAGTCATATGCATTATGCATGTCAAGTAGTACCGAACTCTGCAATGTTCAAACTTCCTTATGTGGTATCCCACATCCAAAGACGAAATTAGTATTTTACTTAAATGCATTTTCTAAAAACTTTTTAGTGTCAAAATACATAGATCGATAAAAAATCGCAAGATAACTAGAATGGATGATAAAACACAGGCGAATAAAACAGTGATTACTGACGAGGTTCTATAAAATATAAACTTACTTTCCCTGTCAAAAAGCACAGCAACGCATTCTTTAAATCTGTTCAATGCACGAAATATGATGCTTGTATCTTTATAAATGTTATTCAAGGTCACTTTAAACTCGCTTTCCAATCGTCTTGCGTCTGCTTGGAATCGTTCTGACTCGCGTTTCACGAACGATTTCATCTTCTCCATGCGGTACTCATACTGAAGATGTAGCTTAGCAAGCTTCTGTCTCGATTCCACTAATTTTTCTTGTTCATTTCCTCGTGTCGCAGTCGTGTTCGTCTGTAAACCCGAACGAACTAGACTCAGCGTCATCTCGCGGGCAACCTCTTCAATTCTTTGATCCTGTAAGTTCATGGCTTCTTCTTTGGACTTTAATTCTTGTATTAATTTTTCTTTTTCCTGCTTCATATTATTATACCTTTCTTCCCAAATATTCTTCTCCATTTCCAATTGTTTCTTTACCCCTGAATGTGTTCAAAACATTCAGTTATTTTACCGTTCAACCGGACGCTCGATATATTGCGAAAAGTATTTGTTGGTTGGACTTTTTCTTATTCTGATAAATACATACCGTCTGTTTGAAATTGATAATATTGTATTTCTTCCGTTGTTTTCATGATTTCCTGCTGAGATCTTTCAGTTTCTGTTGATAATTTCAACTTAAGTTCTTTAATCATAGCCTCCCTTTCTTCACTCTCCTTTTTTACTGTTTCCAGTTCTGCCTTGGCTTTCTTTAACGATATGTTTAAAGATGCTTGCTTATCTTCTTCTTTTTCTTTTGCCTCTTTTTGTTTTTTCTCTTCTCTAGTTTCCTTCTTTGACTTTGCCTCAACCTCTTTTGAAGCCAAACTGGTTTTTCTGGAATTTTTTGCATCTTCCTTTGATACTTCTTTATCATCCATTTCGGGAACTGATTTTTTCTCTTTTACTTTGGGTTTTTTCTTCGCTTTTTAGGCTCGTCTTCATTTTTTTTCTCTTGAGGATTTTCTTGTTGGATAACAACCATTTGTGTGGGACGCTCATTTAACTGTTTACTTATTTTTTTTTCTTCTTTCAAAGCCATTTCTTGCTCGCCGTTCAAATTCTTCAATTCCTCTATTTGTTTAGACTTTGCTTTTAGAATTTCATTTCGGTTTTCCTACAAACCAAAAAAATATTGGAAATTTTGATTTAAAATGTTTCATCATTTCATCCAGCGTGTGTAATTTAACATACTAATTCATTTGTCAGTTCATTAATGTCTTCTTCGTATCGTTCAATTCTGCTCTCTAAGGTTTGCTTGGCTTTTTTTAAAGTTTGTACGACTTTTTTTTCTACTTCCAGTTTTCCTGCTGTTGTTATCAATTCTCTATCTAACTTTGCCTTCTCTTCCCCATGTTTTTCTGCCACTTCTGTGATGAACTGGAACTGTTTTTCGCGTTGTTGAACATAAGCTTACTCCTTGGGTTCGGGCTGGTACTTGATGCTTCGTCGAGAACTTTAATGATAGAACCCGAGGCTTTACGCCAGTTTTTAAAATCGTTTAAAGCATCAACTGCAAAGAAAAACCATTATACTGTAATGCGTTCTCCTATTTGAAAAGAGAGATCATATATTCTTAAAACATTGACATTCTATTATATCTGACCATCCATAACTTTGTTTGCAATAAGCTGTGTTCGATGCTTGACCATTTTATCCTGGAGTCCTTTCTTCCTATCTTCCACGTTTTTTCTGCCCAAATTTGTTTTTGTGAGACCCATTTCTTCTGAAATCTCAGACAGACGGCGTATGTTTTTCGTGAGCTCATAATCCTCAAACATCTTATTATCAACGTCAGATGTTTGTTCAGTATCATCCTCCAAGTTCCCCCAAGGAAGGGAGTTTGGTGGATAATTCTCCATCCATTCATTCACTTCAGTCAGTAGAATACATCGGTCAGCACTTAATTCTTGAAAACCGTTTATCATATTTAAAACTATTTGGCAAGATTGCTCCTAAACGGGTTTGAAAAAAGAAATGACAGCGTAAACATAATGATAATGTTAGGATTGACTGTGTTGTTGACTCAGGACATACAAAAACTTTCAAAGTTACAAAACAGAAAGTGATAGTGATATCTTGTGAACATTTCGAAAAACAAGAACTAGGGAGCCTTTATATAAAATGACTATAAGAGCCCTCCAATATTGTCCAGCTGAAGTTCGGAAAAAAATGTTGAAACTGTGTGTTGGATGGGAAGAGTTAAAGTGAATCATTTTACACCTCAGTTGTAGCAAGTTTTGTACCACGTAAGTTTTGACCACGCAACTATTTGGGACGACTCCCCAACCACAACGCTTTATGGCTTCCAGATAAGGAAGAGTTTCATGTCGTACAAAATGGCTTTAGCGGTAAAGGAGAACAAAACAAAATCCTAAAATTCTGAAAAATTTTAGAGATACCTCTGTCGGTTCAGCAACTGTCACAGTCCCGTTTTCCTTATCTTCTGTGCATGTCGCATTTCGGTTGTCATAAATAAAGTCATCGATGTCTCCATTTAATATCTTCATTATTTCTCTATTAACTCGTTCTTCTTCACTTTCTGAAGTAAACGTCGCAAGAAATAAATGGGTTTTTTTTGCTCTATGGAAAAAACTTCATGAGTTGACTTACCCATATTATTTTTTTTTGCTGAAAAAAAGTAATGGCTGTTTGTTTGGTCAGCATAAAAAAGGTCAATCTTCTTCACAACATTTCGAAGAATTTTTTCGAGGTAAAACGACGCCATTTCGCGTGATCTACGGAGCTGACTGCGTTGAATATGTGTAAGTGTAGCAATTACAGAATCTGGAATCAACGACAGCATGTCCCATTGATTTTTCTTCTTTTCTATGGATAAGTTGCTCTCATCTTTAAACAAAATATCACAATTTAATATATATATACGGATTCATGAATAGTGTGGGATATTGCCTTCTTTTGAGCATAGCAATAAAATTGTTGTAGCTATGTTAGTTTCCCTTTAACATTTATTTGTTTTAAGTACGTTTTGTAAGTTCTTTGTTTGTTTAGTTAGTTATTCTTTTTGTTGCAACGCGCGAGAGCTTGAAACGCAATGAAAGAGCGAGTACTGCTAAGGAAAGCTCGACTTGTGTTTTGTTGTAATTACCGTTTGTATAAATACATGTAAATAATCAACTCTAATAGATAGCGTAAAAATATGCCAGTGATGTACTTGTATATTGTAAAATGAAAGGTTCAAAACGAAGAGTGTAGGTGAACCAGCTGAGGAGCGGATTCCTCGACAAATAGTTTTAGTTGGCAGACGCAATGTAAACCAATGTTATGTAATTCAACGACTCTCTAATATAATCCCTTAATTAACGATTAATGCAAGGAGGACTCAAAACATTGTAAAAAATGCAATGTTTTTCTTTTCGTTAGTTAAGGATGTCTTTACTATTCTACGAGCTAGCCTCACAAGGATGTTAAATAATAACTTTTGGTAAACTTTTTTCTTACTGTTTGAAAATGTGGAACACGAGGAGCCGCTTCTTTTTGTGGACAGACTCATTACTGAAGCCCCGCGGACTGCATTCACAAACGCTTCAGGATAATGTTGCTCGCCTTTCTTTTTGATTTCTTCCTAACATGATGATTTTGAACGAATCGGGAAATCATCGATTCCCAAAAAATATCTTTGTCCATTTCTTTTATTTATGATCTCGCTTGCTTTATTCACTATTTTTTAGTAGAGCATAGATGCAAATTCAATTATTTTTCCATATTATTAAATCTGATAACAAGTATCAAACTTTCCTATGGTATAATACGCTAAAGTATTGCAAAACACCGTGCATGATTGTAACGTCACTGATTGATTTAATGACTGTGATTTAAGCGATTGTTAGGATTAAAAAGATTAGGATTGGCTTATTATTGCGCAATCCAATAAAATGGACGTTGGAGATGTACGAGAGCAACACAAATTTGACGAAACTCGTCTTGATAATTATCTAAATTCTCACTTAAATGGATACCCTCGTCTTGGAAATGAAAAACTAACTACTCGTCAATACAGGCATGTTTTCTTTTCTGTGAATATATTTATTTAAATTGTAAAAAATCATGTGAACATTCTTACTTAGTCATGTTTTGGTAGCAATATTTATGGTAAACGTGAAAGAGCTAGATTTTAGGTACATTTTCCAGGAAAATATCATAATTGCTTATTATTGATGCTATTTTAACTTGTAGACATGGTCAATCTAATCCTACGTTTTATCTGAGGAAAGGCTTAAGAGAATTTGTTTTGAGAAAAAAACCTCCGGGAACATTATTGAAATATGCTCATCAGGTTAACTTTTTTTCTCTCAATGTTTCACCTTCTTACTTGCGCTGATTCTTGAATGGTTTTAGATTGAAAGAGAGTTTGATTTCACAGAAGCTTTGCACAAAGTTGACTTTCCTGTAGCAAAACCTCTACATTTCTGTCAAGATACCACAATCATCGGAACAGAGTTTTACATCATGGAACATGTGAAGGTGAGATCCATGTGCATCTTTGATGCAAAACGTATTTTATATACATTCAAATCTCTTGTTGGTAAAAACCTTTCATACCTAGACCATGGAGGTTAGAGAGGTTTTGAGAACTAAGTAATATAGCATATTGTCAAGGATATAATAATATTGTCCACATACAAGAGGTTTCTGCCTCCAAGAGGTGAATATGTATATGGTTGTACATTCTAAATATTTCATACTGTAAATCTTTGTTTCATGTTGATAATGGTAGGGAAGAATTTTTCGTCCTGGCTTGAACATGGAGGTGTCTTCAGAATTTTATTTAAATGCAGCAAAAAATTTGGCAAAGCTTCACAAATATGATCCTGAATGTTTGGGATTAAAGAAATATCTGTCAAAGAAAGCTAATCATGCAAAAAGACAGGTACGTAGATTTATCTTTCTTATCATCTTATCATAAATATCAAGGCTATTAAGTATTAACAATATCTGTTTTCAAAAAGATCCAGTTTTCTATATAATAGCTGGGTTGATGTGAATTTTTGTACATGTAAAATAGCTGACCAAAACAATATTTTCTTTTTCTGACTTCATTTTTACCATCTATATGTTGCAAAATGAATGCTTGAATGATTCTTTTTCTCTAAGGTTTTTATTTGGACTAAGCAATATAGAGCAAGTACGGACAATCCTTTGCCTGAAGCTGAGATTTTAATCAAGAAATTAATGGAGATGTTGCCAACTGACAACAAACAACAATGTATGTAAGTGTTGTTTATGTTAATAAATTTAACCAGGAAGACATTGTTTATAAACATGTGGAAAAGAATACTTAGAGCTATTTCATCACATATTGTTTGCAAATCCTTCATCAAAAAAATATCTTCAAACAAAATGTGCAGAACTTCCTACAAAATGTACAAAAAATGTGCTAAATGTACTAAAGGTGCAAATGTCCAAATCTTCCTACAAAATGTCCACTATGTTACATGTAGTTCAATGTAAACCTTTGCAAATTTAATGCTGTAGTATTTTTTTTATATTTCAGGTATTGTTCATGGTGACTATAGATTAGACAATATGATTTTTCATTTGGATAAGGTATGATCTGATCGAAAATACAAATATTGCAAATGCGATTTGCGTTGAATGGCGCATACTTTCAAAAATCATTCAATCATAGAAAAAAAGTAACAGAATTTAGCAAAATAAAGAAGCACTCCCCTTCTACACACACACACACACAAACACCATCGTAGATCTATCCTTTCATACATATAAATGAATGAAGACGTTGCCGTCAAGCACGTGCAGATTGGAGACTTATCATTTGTGGAAAGAGTTATCGTTGTTTGAGCGGACGATTCGTTTTGCAAGGAAAGTTCGGTGTTTTGTTTTTTGAGGACAATATCAAATGGCAAATGATTGAACAACTGCTGTAAAAATAGATGTTTACTAAATTGTTACGTGTTTTTTGTAGCCAATTGTAAAAGCTGTGCTCGACTGGGAACTAGCAAGTGTCGGAGATCCAATGTTAGACTTGGCGTATGTTTGTATGGTGATGTATCATGCACCAGACGAACTCCGTGAACATTTTCTTCAGTTTACTCATGGTAAAAAATCTTGACATGTTTGTAAATGTGGATCGTCTAGGTTGGTATAGTCCTGAGAAGGACTGTTTTTGTTGTTGTTGACTGACGTTTCGACAAACTTAACGGTAGTCATCTTCAGAGTCAAATGAAGAGTAAACGTCAGGTTAGCCGTATTTGTTATCTGGTTCTTACGTCATTTTATTGTGTGTACAAGAAATGTGTATTGTCATTGTGAATTATTGTGAAGTAAATGTTTTTAGTTGTGATGTGTGATTTAGGTGTGATGTTTTCAGTTGTAATGTGTGGGTGTCTATTGTGTATTGTCATTGTGAATTAGTATGAAGTGTAATGTTTTTAGTTGATCGTTTGTTTGTATTGTGAATTGAAAAAATCTTGAGTTTTGAAATCAGTTACTGTTTTCGTCTTTTTACATTGAAACTTTACTTGAGTAATCATTTGGTGAATCCATTCTATAGATGGATTGCCTTCTGAGAAAGAGTACATTGCTTGCTATTGTCAGGCTTTTGGTCGTTCTCTTCAAATCGCAAGTTGGGAATTCTATTTAGCATTGAGCTGCTTTAGACTTGCTTCTATTGCTCAGGTAAAAGATCTTAAGAGAATTTCCCAATTTTCGCCAACATTGCGTAAATATGAAAGTAAACTACCATGGATATATTTTTTTTGTATTTCAGGGTGTGTATTCACGAAGTTTACAGGGAAATGCGTCGGCTGAAAACGCGAAAATTCACGGCAAACTTGTTCTTCCGCTTCTTCGTCAAGCATTAAGAATTTTGAAAGTGTAAGTATGATGAGTATGACTAGGAGTATTGTTGCTCTGCGAATTTTTTTTTTATTTTTCTATAAAATCTGAGTTTGTGTCTGAAAGAACTGTCCTTTTTACGCCTATGATAATTTGCTAGCGTTTTTTCTATCAATTTGTTTGTTTGTCATACATTTTCCATGAACCGACGATACAACACGTCAACGCCAGCATTTTTAGGATATCGGGAATAACATTTATATTACATTAATGACAATGATCCAACGTAGATGTATTTTTCACCAATATCACATGCAGTGTGCCATATACCTGTGTATTGCTTCAAAAAATGAAGACTATTTTGACAAAACGGAAAATTATCTCTTAAAGAAAAATTCTTACCAGCGGTGTCGTATTCAATTTCCACTGGCCAGATAACTACGTATGTGATAAATAGTTTTGGATTGTGCTCATGAAAAGACATGTCTAAATAACTTCAAATAGGCATGGACCTTCTAGAGAATTGGGACATTCTTCTGAAATGATCACCGAACTGTTTCCTATTTCTGAAAAAGCAAAGAATTTACTGGCAAAGATCAAGATATTTTTAAAAGAATATGTTGTTCCTGGAGAAAAGGTTTGTTGAGGTGGTTTATCAATTAGCATTTCAAGTCTTGTGTAGTACTGTCGTAAAAAATGAGGATATTTCATATTTGTCTTCAAGCATGCCAGTTTGGTTTATAGGAATACTTTGAATTTCTGTCACAAGCAAATGATGTTTGGCAAGTTCCACCAGTCATCGAGTCCCTTAAGGTATTTATTGAAATTTAATCAACGAGCAATTTCCATGGCGGTGGGTTATAGAGCATCCTTGAACTACGACATTGTGTGTACGACTTTTCTCGATGACAAGTGATTGTTTTCTATAAGAGAGTTTATGAACTGTAAATACGTACTCTTTGTGTAAATTTTAGTTATGAGAGGAAAATACCTGACTGACGAAATTTATTTGTATTTTCGAGTAGAAAAAAGCAAAAGAACAAGGTCTCTGGAATCTATTCTTATCAGATGTCTCCAACTTAACTCAAACAGAATATGCTCTAATTGCGGAACAAACTGGGCGATATTTCATAGCACCAGAATGTTTCAATTGTTCAGCACCAGGTAATTGTTAATTTATAGCACCAGAATGTTTCAATTGTTCAGCACCAAGTAATTGTTAATTTATAGCATCAGAATGTTTCATTTGTCAGCACCAGGTAGTTGTTAATTTATAGCACAAGAATGTTTCATTTGTTCAGCACCAGGTAATTGTTAATTTATAGCACCAGAATGTTTCAATTGTTCAGCACCAGGTAATTGTTAATTTATAGCACCAGAATGTTTCAATTGTTCAGCACCAGGTAATTGCTAAAGATGATTAGATACAAGAATTTATATATTCATCATACATTATGACTTGTTTTACTGAAGAGTAAAACGAAGACAGACTAAAGTGACGTATGTGTGCATGTATGACATAGGGGTGAAAGGCATGTTGGACATGGGGGTTAAGTGGGGAAAGACATGTACACAAGACAAATGAAGGCGGTAAGATAAATGTGGACTTATACAACTCAAGCAGAAAACAAATAAAAACGTACATGTTATTGTTAATGAAATGTAAAGAAATGAGAACGTTCTACTTGTATTAAAAGAGGATGAAATAAAATTAAACCTGGTATCAATATCGAAACTAGAACTATAAGAATTATTCTTCGGATGACTTTTTTCTCCTCGTCTTCAGATACAGGAAACATGGAAGTTCTTCATTTATATGGCAGTGATGAGCAAAAAAAGATCTGGCTCGAGCCTCTATTGAAAGGTGATATTAGATCTGCATTCTGTATGACCGAGCCGGCAGTAGCGTCCTCCGATGCTACAAATATGGAATGTGAAATAAAGCAAGATGCTGATTCATATGTGATTAATGGACGCAAATGGTGGGCTAGTGGTATGTTACTATTTCTTAATAATTCGTTCTTTGCTAACTTTCTTTCCTTCATAAATATCAAGTTAGTTAAGTATTGTCTGCAATACCTTGATCAACTGCCTTCATCAAAAATCCTCTCCTTAATTCTTTGTGTTTACTCCAATCAGAAGGTCAGCTCTCTACGATCTTCACTAGTCTCTGCGAACTGCTTGAGCGAAGTTTCTAAGAACGTGGCGACTAAATACATAGGTTTTAGTGCGATAGCTTTGGCTACTGTATACTTTAGTTTATGGTCTTTTTTTGTAATCATCTAATGCTTAAAGTTGAAGCCTTGTGTAGTTCGCTTTAGCATCTGAATCGTGAAATGTATTGAGGTCGAATTTTCAGTTTTGGTTTTCTTTCAATATTTCAAGGTGCTGGAGATTCTCGATGTAAAGTTTTGATTGTGATGGGGCGATCTAGCAATCCTGACCTATCAAGGTAACTGGTCTCTCGTATGAACGTAAACAAAAACTTATACAATTGTGGTGAATTTTATTTTTATTCAGACATAGACAACATTCAATGATCATCGTTCCAATAGAAACAAAAGGAGTTAAGAAAGTACGATCTTTAACAGTCTTTGGTTACAAAGGTGAGAAACAACTTTTGTCATGTTGCTTGTTCAAACACATGGTAACTTTATTTCATATAGAAATCATCTAAAATCTGATCGTAAAATATTCGCTTATGTTACAGAAAAAATTGCTTACTTTTTTCTCTTATGAAGTACATATAGCATTCTAAAAGTCAAAACAACAGTCGAATTTAACGATGTGAACCGTATTTCAAACAATTATTGTTATAGTTATATTATTATCGTTCTCTGGTTTCATAGACGCACCTCATGGTCACTGGGAAATTATTTTTGACAATGTTCGGGTCCCTGCTTCCAACATCATCCTTGGTAAGTATTTACTTCATATTTTGATTAGCTATTGGTTATTGCAGTGTACCTATGTTATGACTGTCTCTTAAATGAATAAAAAAGAGTTTGTTTGGTCTTATCAACTTTTAACATTTATTTGTTTAATATAACGTCGGTATAGCTATATAATATAACGGTATTGCTCAAAAAATTTTAGGAGATGCTAAAAGAATAATCAATCATAGTTATTTTCTTCACATCAGTATCAGAGATCAACTCACCGACTGTTCATTGTACGTACTCCTTTCATTCGCACATTACTATCGTCCATCCTTTATAGGTGAAGGGCGTGGTTTTGAGATTGCTCAAGGAAGATTGGGACCAGGTCGGATCCATCATTGTATGCGAACAATTGGTGCTGCAGAGAGAGCCTTGGAGTTGATGTGTCAACGTGTGTCTACCAGAAGAGTATTTGGAGAGACTTTGGCTGTTAAGGTTTGAAGGATGTTCATTTTGATTTGAGACCACAGTTTTTCCATAGTTATCGCTCAAATCCATATAGTAATTATGGACATAAAGCTTTTCTGCTGTAATCTTCACTTGAAACGGTTGACATTCAAGTTTCAGGTTATGATAAATTGTTATTTGTTGTCGCAGTTTGATGACTGTAAATATCTTCGTTTCTTCAAGTTAGTTGTTACAAAGGTCCTTTGTTCACCTGTTGAAATTTGTATCAATTAATTACAAATCATTTGAAAATTTCAGTGCATGCAAACTTCAATCCTCAGTGGAACTTTTTTATTGAAGGGTATGATTCAGAAGGATATAGCAGTTAGCCGCGTGGAGATTGACCAGGCTCGTCTAATGACTATTCAAGCCGCGCGTTGTATCGACATACTAGGGTCAAAAGTTGCGAAGAAACAGGTAAAGGTGGAAAAATCCAGGGAAGAACAAAAATACTTTTTTCATTAGAGGTCAATCTTCTGATCTTACATTGTTTTAACATCGTTCTCAATACTTTATTTTCTCTAAGATTGCGATGGCAAAAATAGCTGTGCCTAAAATGGCACTGAAGGTTATCGATCGTGCTATCCAATCACATGGGGGTGCTGGTGTTTCTCAAGATACTCCCTTGGCTTACATGTATGCGGCATTGCGGACTCTTCGTATTGCTGATGGGCCTGATGAAGTACATCTAACAGCTGTCGCAAAGCAAGAACTTCGTGAGCAATTATTGAGTCATTTGTAATGGAGAGTAAAACCAAAAAGCCCATTTCAGTGTTTAATTTTGTGCGAAGCCTTTTCTAACAATGTAACACATGCCTGTCTAATGTCAAATGATTGCCCACACGTTCGCTGCAGTGACAGGATTTAATTTATTCATATTTTTAAATATTAATCCTCTTGGTTGAACATCATAATTACAAGAGGTCAAAGTTCACTGAGTCAGGGCTATAATATTCGCAAAGCAAAGATAAGTCGATGTATTAATTTTATAATGATGGTGTATCCATGTAACTGGCGACGAATATAATAGTTATGGATTCTTGAGGGGAGTTTTCAAGCACGTGCGAAAATCGCAGCATTACTACCATAAATGGTTAAATTCGCGCATTTCATTCAACTGTGCTTAATTTATATGTGACGTATGAGTGAAATGTTTCTACCATCAGGAGGGGGGTGCACTAATTACATATCGTCATGAATAAACCCACTCTTTTGTTGAAATGTGCTGAGTTTGTATAAATAATACCTGTTTTTATGAAAGACGTATTCAAAAGGTAAATCTGTATAACGCTCTCATTCTTTTCCTTATAAATCGCTGAGAAATTTTCATTTTCATAATCATACTCCGGATATTTCAATATCATCTGTGTCAAAAAGGCGTTGTTTTTTACAGTTGCTTTGCGCATGATCCTTTAGTGGAGAAGAAGATGGCGAGGTGAAGATTTTGCAAGAGTGCAAAAGGCCGAATATTGAAGATTTGTATTACCCAGACGATCCATTTTTTACTGGTTTTGGTTACGAAATTAAAAAATTCAAATATGTTCAGTTGGTTGAATAAAAACGAGAAGAAAGACCCCATTGTTTTACAGTCTGTAGTCGACGGTTTGCGGAAGCTTTACAAGTCGAAACTTAAGCCGCTTGAGGAGCATTATTTATTCAACGATTTTCATTCTCCTTTAATGTCTGACGCTGATTTTACTGCGAAACCAATGGTTCTTTTGGTTGGCCAGTACTCGACGGGAAAGACTACTTTTATAAAGTATCTTCTTGAGCAAGAGTTTCCAGGATTAAGAATTGGTCCCGAGCCTACCACAGATAGTTTCATCGCTGTAATGCATGGTGAACATGATCAAGTTATACCTGGAAATGCGTTGATCGTTGATCCTTTTAAGCAGTTTCAATCTTTAGGAGTGTATGGTAATGCCTTTCTTAACAGACTTTATTGCTCAGAGTTGTCCAATAAAGTATTAGAGAGTATCACAATCATAGACACTCCTGGTATTCTTTCTGGTGAAAAGCAGTCTGTGTCCAGGGGATATGACTTCACTGGTGTATTGAAGTGGTTTGCCGAACGAGTAGATCGAATTATTCTGCTTTTTGATGCCCACAAGTTGGATATCTCTGATGAATTTCAAAGGAGTATTGATGTTCTTCGTGAATATGATGATAAAATCAGAATTGTACTTAACAAGTCTGACATGGTTACCACACAGCAGTTAATGAGAGTGTATGGTGCATTGATGTGGTCATTGGGCAAAGTCATAAACACACCAGAGGTGTCTCGCGTCTATATTGGATCATTTTGGGATCAGCCACTACAAAATGATGAGAACAGGCGTTTGTTTGAAGCTGAAGCACAAGACTTGTTTGCTGACATCCAGAGCTTACCAAGGAATGCTGCACTGAGAAAACTTAATGATTTTATCAAAAGGGCAAGGCTTGCTAAGGTAAGTGTATTTGAGGTGATATTTTGAGTTGTGCGAGTGTAATTGATTCTTTTTCTTTACTCAAATTACAATGTAAAAGCTTTGCCAAAGCAAAAAGATCGTGATAGTATCTGTCATTGTGCTACTAATTACTAAATTATTTTACATGGCATTAAACAATTAGATACTAGTTATGCCTTTAGAGCTTGTCTATGCATGTTAACTTTTAAATTATATTGTCTTCAATTTAATTTAGGTTCATGCATACATTATTTCCAGTCTTCGTGAACAAATGCCTTCTGTTTTTGGCAAGGAAAAAAAGAAGGAACAGCTTATAAACAACTTGGGTGAGCTGTATCGTAAGATTCAAAAGCAACATAACATATCTCCAGGTGATTTTCCACATATCTCTAAGTTCCAAGGAAAGTTAAAAGGGTACGATTTTTCAAAGCTTCATAGTTTCAAGCAAAAACTTGTCGAAGATGTGGACAAAATGTTGCAGACTGAAGTTACGAAGTTAATGTCAATGATTCCAAAGGAAAATGATTCAGCTATGTCAATCACAGTTCGGGGTGGTGCTTTCACTGTCGGTGATTCAATGCATAACCCATTTGCTACCGGTGCCGGTGAAGGTATTCAATATGGGGCTGGCTCTGGCGATTGGATTATCTTGTCAAAGAAACCAGAATATGATCGTATTTTTGAAACTCTCAGCCCTGACATGAATGGCAAAGTGACAGGATCAAATGCCAAACGTGAACTTGTCAAGTCTAAACTACCAAACACTGTTTTGGGTCGAATTTGGAAACTAGCTGATCTTGATAAAGATGGAATGTTAGATTCTGATGAATTTGCTGTTGCCATGTATCTGGTTAATGTAAAGTTGGATGGAAATGAATTACCAGTGGAGTTACCAATTCATGTAGTACCCCCATCAAAGCGTAAAGGATACTCTATGGAGTGTGATTCATAAATGATCAACAAATAAAATGATTGTTGTTAGAAATATTTGTTTGCGAAATATTAATTCATTGGTTATTACAAACTCTAAATTAATTGTAATTAAGTAGCACATGCTATAATGGGTAATTTTATTCTTGATTGCATTTTAAAAATGCAGGTTTGTGAGTTGAGCACAAATTTGAAAAGCTAAAAAAGAACTCTATGTTTATTACCAAATATGAGATATGATTTGCTACAAATAAAATCACTTGACACAATTGTAAGTGGTAATAAAATTGTGTATTTAGCTTATGATATATATTTGCTATGTATATCACTATTTTCTAAGATTCACTATTGCTTTGGAAATTGGAATATATTATAAAATAATAGTATTAAAACGAAAGCATAGCACTGTTTCATGTATGTAGGTAGGATATTACTAGGGCAAAGTATTTTGACTTCGGGACGGTACGGAATCATTCGGGCGGTAGCTGTAGAGTGGCGGCGTGCAAATAAGCATTACCAAATTATCAGTACAAGTCAACAATTCAGACGGTTTGGTTACTTTACAACTTTATATTGTCAGGAATGAAAAAGTTATAGATAGAATGGAATTCAATAGTGGTGCGAAAAAAGAAGTTGGCCAGCTTCCCGAAGCTGTTCAAGTGCGAATCAAAACGACTGTTAAATATGCGAAAATTTGGTGGGTAAATTAAAAATTTACTTTATAGTAAATTCTATGCTGCTGTTGTGCCAGTGGCATATGTGTCTTGGTGAAACTTTCTTCACCTTTCATCGAATTAAACACCTGGGCATTTTCATTGTACGCCATATCACATAGCCTGAATTTCAAACTTTGCTGGTAGCAATTCACAACTTTCCAGTACTTGTTTTTGTTGCAAATATTTTCATGGTAGCTGCTGGCATTACCATTAACCACCAAATATCAAAATACTGACAAATTTTACTGCCAATTTAGGGCTGGCCTTGTAGTTGCTGCTGCTGGAGTACTAATTGCCACCAAGCCATTTTTAGACAAGCTTCGAAATGAAGATAAAGAAAACAGTATAAGTAAGTCCAAACTTCGTTCAAACTTTAAGTGATGAAATACTCCACGTTAGACATTCTGTGACACTTTATTTAGTGACTGAAGGTCTTTTATTAGTACTTGACAATAAATATGAATTATATAGTTTTAATTAGATTTTGGTGTGAAATATATACTTTCTAAAGCAGAAATGCATAATAATGCAATGCAAATTTTTTCATATTTAATTATGTTTAACATGTCTGCATTAATTATTCAGCATTTTGATTGATTTTTCATTTTCTCCTTCAATGGAGACATTTGATAATGTTCATGATTGTTGTCTGTTTTGATAAAACTTATTTCAATATTCTTATAAATATCAATGATTGAAATCCCAGCTTATATTTTATATCTGTTAAGATTTCTTCTTGATAAGCTAGCCTTCATTTTTCTTTGTGTTCTTTGCTTTAAATGTGCAGAAAGCATCTTCCATAGTTCTTTTTCCTTTTTCTTCTCTTTGATAAATTATTATTCATAGTAGGTACTTATCTTTCTTCTCGATAAGCTATCAGTCTGTCAAAGTTGCTTGGTTTTTTTTCTTCTTGATAAATTATTTTCAGCTGTAGCTACTTGTCTTGAATCTTCTTTTTTAATAATCCACATACTTTTATTTTTTACTAATGTAGACTTGTAACTTTGCCAGTGTCATAACAGCAAACGTTACTTATTGGTATTACATCTTATGTTGAAATTTTCTCAACCATGTTACTCTAGATGACGGGACATAAACATTAATATTTGGTGGAATGTTAAATGGACAATGACAACATTCATAAAGAAATGATATGTCTTTAAACGATATTCTCGTGCGAGATATTTATATTATTACTTGCGCGATGACAAAATGTTATTAATTTCTTTTGTTGATGTTATTTTTAGTAGTTGTGATAATGGCAGAAATATTTCGTAATTATGCAAAAAGATTATGAGTTTATCATTCGTTCCATCACAGCAGCGTCATAGTCAATTATGCCTTTTGTTACTAGTTTTACAACAAGTAATAAAAGTAACTTAATGAGCATCTGCCCTCTTTTTTTCTGTTAATGAAACTGCTCGTTTTTCAAATAATTGTGCATGTTAAGTATGCTCTGCTTGAAGGCTGGCTCTTCAAAAAAAAACAAACAACTTTTGCTGAGAGTTTGCGCTTGTTGGCCTGCGTGCAGACCCTTAACTCCTTTCTTTGCCTGAACGATCATTTACTGTTCCAACTATCTTTCTATTTCAGTTAAATGATTTGTACAAAAGAAGATTATCTTAATCTGTACAATTTCCGACTTATTGAATGTTCAACCATCTGTCTATTGAAATAAACTATATTTTAAGATGTCTCCCCATTAACTTTTCGATCTTTTAAAATATTGGAAAAGAAAATCGTTTACGGTAAGTGAATAACAAAAATATGAAATTCCAATGTACACAACCTTATGTGCGTGTATCTTGGTATCTTACAACTTTGACGTGTAATTATATTAGTTGCTGCACAATGACAGGGTCAAAATCTTTGTAGTATTAACGTTTAAATCTGATATGACATTTAGCAGTATCAAATAAGCATATTTTTTCGACCCTTCGTTTGTGGAGAATATCTCTTTGTGATAAGTCTCCCGTTTTCAACTGTTACAATAAATAAAATTTAATTTCGATCCGCGTATTTAGAGGACGATTGGCTTTACTAATATGTGAAAAAAGGCGTTGATTGTTTAAATGTGAGGCAAAACAGGCAGCCTGTGAATACTTCGTTTCATTTCATTTTCGACAAGCTAAATTAAAGCCCTGAACCACCAAGAGCGGCCAATCGTAGTGCGTCGACTTCGTGTATTTGGCAGGTCTTGCAAATAATCGTTATGAATTATTCAAATATAAAAAATATATACACACTGCAGAATTGTGTCGTGCATGGCTAGAATGAGAAATGGCTGGCGGAGGCGTTTATGCTGAAGCTTTAGTAACACCAAAGGTTCAAGAAGAGTTGCTATTTGGCAGTACATTTATGAAATGGGACGATGTAAGGAGTTTTGTCGTGATGTTTGTCTTGTTTGAGTATGTGTAAATTGCTGAATGTTACGTCGTCACTCGTACGTCGAAGATTACTAATATGTATCTAGGGACAAAGTTTTTATTAAAATGCCAATGTTATTTTGTTTGTGATTGAACGCTTTCGATTGAAACATTTGAAAAAATTGATATTACTTCTCTTCAAAATCTTCCACTCTTAGTGAGTTTAATTTGTCAACAGATTTAGTGCTTTTGCAATCATCTCAATCTATTCCACGGCTAGTATCTATCTGCGTTTAATACATAAATTGTTGCTCCCCTACAGAACGTAATGTAACTTTACGGGAGCACAGCGACAGAGCACGTACAATTACTAAATGCTTATGATATTAAATCATGTAAAGTTGATGTTTTGTGTTCCAGGATTCGGCCCTCGTTCAGACATGCACACTAAAGATAGACCGCAATGGATATGTTTTATTTTGGAAATTTGACGACAAACCGGTGAGTTTATTGCCCTCCTGTTTTTTTTACAAAACTGGAATTTTTGTCTGTCTCTCTACGGAGTTTCGTCGTAATCTTCCTTCAGATTTTAACCACAGCATTGAGAATAAGCTGTGGAGCTGTGAACTGTACATGTGTACAAACCTGCTTGTAACATTCCTCTTATACAACATTCGGTAAATTGTCTAATTGAAATGACTATATAAATGACAAAGCAGTGATTCGTCAAAATAACCTCTTCGACGAAATATTAAAATATTGCCAACATTCGACTCATCCATATTGCAGGAGGTAAAAACAAAAAAAAATAATATCAATGTTATTGTGTTCACCAAGCAACGTGGGCGTCCTTAATTGTTTGATAATCTCCGGGAGGTTGCTTGTAATTCAAGAATATTCCTGCTCACTACACATGCACGTATACTATTGGATAGTCAGAGATCACAAATGCGGGGTGAAACTTCATGTATTGAATATTTTTGTGGTTTTTGTTGTGCAGGAAACAGAATTGTTAGATGTTATACAGATTAACGATGTACGGACAGGCAAATACGCTCGTGTACCAAAGGTATTGGTGGCTTTACGTTTATTTGATCTGCATTAACCTCTTATGAATCTTCAACAAGTATGGAAATAATGTAATTATTTCATTGAACATTGACACACCTATTTGTGCGCTCCGGTCTGGTTTTTGTGACGTGTCACGTAATCGATTCTTAAGTGACTTTTTGAGGAAGTCATTTTTCATTTTCATATTTTTAAAATATCATTCATCCTGGGCTTACAGTCGAATGAACGAAAAGGCAAATTGTGCATCACACATTTTTATGTACTGTTTTGCATAGTAGAGACTAAACACGAATTGGAAAATTATCTCTTGTAAAATAATGTTTAAAAAAATACTTTACAACGGAGGCCAACGGTCATTAAACCCCATGTGCTTGGATATATATCAACCAGTAATATTTATGCTGCATGATTTTATCTTTTCAATTGGCCAGTTCACCTATATTATATCAGGCCTATAGACTATCTGATGTTCCTTATTACCACAAGAAAACATCGAATGTGTTTTTATTATAATGTCGTAAATTATTGATTTCTCTAAGCGTCAATATGTCTATTTGTTGATGGCATTTTAAGTGTTTATTTTGATAATCTCGTCTGTTTTATATTTTTATGCTTAATTTTGTTTTATAGTAATGTGGTTATGGGCGGAGGGTTGTTTTACATTACGCGATTCATAATTTGAAGTTCAGTACACACTTATTGTAAATGTGTGATGAAAAACTACCCAAACACACCTGTCACGTTACTATTGCATTTCCGCAACTTGTTTGAAATTGTTGTCCTTCATAATGACCTTTTTGATTGAACCGCGCATATGGACGTTATAACTTTCGATAAATGAGAGCATTGTGGTTTGTAGAAACATTTACCACAAGATTATCTTGACGTAATTATTACTCACTTATACCAATATTGAGAAATTCTAGGAAATAGAGCCTGCGTGAAAACATTTTGAGACTGCTTGTATGATGTGTTTACATATGCTAAAATGTCTATATCAGTTTCAACTTTCAATTAAATTTTGTAAAGTGTAGTATTCCGTGCAATTTTAATTGTTTTGACGTGTCAAAGCTTGCAGAACGTGGCACTTGTGAAAACAACGTAGAAAACGTCAATTTTTGTGATTCAGACACGAGACGTAGCACATTTGCCTTTGTATCTCCTAAAATGATAATAAAAAACTATAACATCATGCAGAACTGAAGCACTTTTCATTTGAAGTTTTTATGAAGTTTCCTAAAATGATAATAAAAAACTATAACATCATGCAGAACTGAAGCACTTTTCATTTAAAGTTTTTATGGAGTTTCGGAAAATGATAATAAAAAACTATAACATCATGCAGAACTGAAGCACTTTTCATTTAAAGTTTTTATGGAGTTTCGGAAAATGATAATAAAAAACTATAACATCATGCAGAACTGAAGCACTTTTCATTTGAAGTTTTTATGAAGTTTCGGAAAATGATAATAATAAACTATAACATCATGCAGAACTGAAGCACTTTTCATTTGAAGTTTTATGAAGTTTCGAAAATGATAATAAAAACTATAACATCATGCAGAACTGAAGCACTTTTCATTTGAAGTTTTTATGAAGTTTCGGAAAATGATAATAAAAAACTATAACATCATGCAGAACTGAAGCACTTTTCATTTAAAGTTTTTATGGAGTTTCGGAAAATGATAATAAAAAACTATAACATCATGCAGAACTGAAGCACTTTTCATTTGAAGTTTTTATGAAGTTTCGGAAAATGATGATAATAAACTATAACATCATGCAGAACTGAAGCACTTTTCATTTGAAGTTTTTATGAAGTTTCGGAAAATGATAATAAAAAACTATAACATCATGCAGAACTGAAGCACTTTTCATTTGAAGTTTTTATGAAGTTTCGGAAAATGATAATAAAAAACTATAACATCATGCAGAACTGAAGCACTTTTCATTTGAAGTTTTTATGAAGTTTCGGAAAATGATAATAAAAAACTATAACATCATGCAGAACTGAAGCACTTTTCATTTAAAGTTTTATGAAGTTTCAATCTTGCTACAAAATTGCATTTTAAATATCATGCACGTGACGGACGGGAGAATCGCCCATTTATAATATATTACCGCTTTTACCCACGCATTTCATTCGTAAAAGTATTTTTGCACTTTGTAAAGAAATTTAACGGCAATCAGTTTCCATACAATCTTGGAAAGTGGATTTCGGAACCCTTGCTTTGTCTGGATTCATGATTCAAACCGTATGTTTTGCTGGATTAGGGTGATGTGAACCCATGAGTCTTGTAATCGTTTGCAGACGTATGTCATCGTATTTACTTAATAATATGCTCAATTCTGAATAATGAGGATTTAAGCCATGAATGTACTATGCAATAATTTACAATGTGTTCTAGCTACTCGTTTTTGAAGAGACTACAAAAATACGACAAAACTTTGAAAAATGTCTAAAACGGACAACATCATCACCGACGCTTTGACTTTTTAACTATTTTCCTATTCAGGGTTTATCAAACAATATCAGTCAAAAAATCGCTGCCGCAACAAACATGACTTGATTTGTGAACATAAACACAGCGATTATCTTTATTGTTTGTAGGACTCGAAGATCAAAGATCTTATCAAATCCAAGTTGCCCTCTCCAGATGATTACGACGATTATTGCATCACCGTTCTTCACGGCCCAAATTTTGTTGAAACGAATGCGATCAACTTTGTGGCCTTTGATGCAAAAGATGCGAAAGCCTGGCACGATTGTCTCATGTCATTATGTCAGCATGTTTTGCCTGCAAATGCAAGTCCACTCAACTTCCTTGAAAAGCAGTAAGTTTAACTTGCAATTTTTTTAGTTTGCTTTTAATGGAGAACCAAAATAGTAGTTGTATAGATGCGTCGCTCAAGATTCATGACGTCATTCTTTTTCATTAATGCATAAGAATAAGGACTAATGTTTTAGTGCTAGGTTTTCTCTGTAAATGAGGATAGAACAAAGTCTACATAAGAACTGAATTTTAACATTACTGCTAACACTATATGCTGGTCAAAAACAATTTGTTCTCTCCGTTTATCATGTATGTAATAATTGCTTTTCAGTTATACCAAACTTGTCGTGCAAGCCAATCAAGAAAATGCCATTCCAGTTAAATTGTAAGTCATCCAACATTCACCAACGTTTTTTGAACTATTTTTTTTGTGCACACGTATCAAAACGAATGCCTTTCACATAGAGAAACATCAGCTGGTGTTAGGTTTTACTCAAAGATCGTATTTTTCTTAAGGATCACAAAATATTTGGCAAGCAACAAAGATGATAAAAAGAGGGTCTCCGATGCTCTGCAATCTCTTGGCCTTCCATGTAGAAAGGTAAGATAATGTCATTAAGCGAAAGATGGGTGATTTCAATTTGATCCTTATCGCACCTGCATATCGATGTTAATTTCTTTATAAATTTATCGTACTGCCGGATGTACTTTGAAAGTAGTAACTCCTGAATCTTATCATCTTTTTTGCTGTGTTGAACTTTCTCAACAACACGAACGGATTTTATCACTATTTTAATCGTCTAAGACTAAATTGGAAGGCATGTTGCATGATATTGTGTAAAATTTGATTTGTCATTTTCTAGGACGACTTCGTTAAAATTTCTGACTTCAGTCTGGACACCTTTTTTTTGTTCATGAATAGAATAAGTAATCGACAAGACATCGATAAAATTTTTACAGAAATGTAAGTGATCTTCATTTTTTTTGTGTTAGTTAGGTTAAACTTATTTATTATGTAGTTTATCTATGGTGAAGTTGATTTATGGTGTAGTTTATCTATGGTGTAGTTTCTCTATGGTGTAGTTTCTCTATGGTGTAGTTTCTCTATGGTGTAGTTTATCTATAGTGTAGTTTGTCTATGGTGGAGTTTATCTATGGTGAGTTTATCTATGGTGTAGTTTATCTATGGTGGAGTTTATCTATAGTGTAGTTTATCTATGGTGTAGTTTCTCTATGGTGTAGTTTCTCTATGGTGTAGTTTCTCTATGGTGTAGTTTCTCTATGGTGGAGTTTATCTATAGTGTAGTTTATCTATGGTGGAGTTTATCTATGGTGAGTTTATCTATGGTGTAGTTTATCTATGGTGGAGTTTATCTATAGTGTAGTTTGTCTATGGTGTAGTTTATCTATGGTGGAGTTTCTCTATGGTGGAGTTTATCTATGGTGTAGTTTATCTATGGTATAGTTTATCTATAGTGTAGTTCATCTATGGTGTAGTTTATCTGCATATGGTGTAGTTCATCTATGGTGTAGTTTATCTGCATATGGTGTAGTTTCTCTATGGTGGAGTTTATCTATGGTGTAGTTTATCTATGGTGTAGTTTATCTATGGTGTAGTTTATTGTTTATTTCAACCGTTGTCAACTCGATGTATAATTTTACAGTTGATAACTTAACTTTTTCTAAAGAAATTTCTTATTTTAACATTTTTAAGCGGTGCTAAGAAAAAACCATATTTGACTGTGAGCCAATTCGTGGATTTTCTCAACAACAGCCAGCGAGATCCTCGACTAAATGAGATCCTCTTTCCCTATTACGACACTGAACGTGCAATGAACCTAATTAAAACATACGAGCGAAATGCACAGTTTGCCAAGAAAGGTAATAAGAATGAAACATGACTCGTTGCTTCAAAGGCCTGCGGTTGGGCGATGAAATATCAGGTTATCGTACGTATGACTGTGTTTAGGAAAATCAACCGGGGAGGGGGCGTTATTTGTCTGACAATTTCAGTTATGTCCATAGAAAGACAACATGAAATGACGATGGATCACTTGAAGATCTAACAATACTTTCTTTTTTTTTGTAGTTAAGCAATCTCTTAGATAGATTATTGAAAATATTTATTATTTTAGGTCATCTCTCTGTTCAAGGATTTACGAGTTTTTTGATGAGCGAACACAATACGATAATTAACACTGACCGTCTTGCCTTACATGAAGATATGAATGCTCCTCTTTCCCATTATTTCATCAACTCCTCACATAATACATATCTTACAGGTATATTCATCACCATGTTTTGTTACCAAAATAATTTTCTTTACTACGATTTTATTAGTTTTTTTATTTATATATTGTTAGTCGCCATTATTACTATTTTTTATTAGTTTTTCTTACTACCTTTTTATTTACTGCGATCTGCGTCAAAAGAATTTCCAAACATATAGCGAGTTAATAAGAAACTTTAAACAACCAATGTTTTTGTTTTATTTGTGGTGTGTGTGTATCACGAGGTACATATGTATCACGTGGTAATGAGCGTCGATGTAACGTGTTATCCTATCTTTACTACGAAGGCATTTCTACCAACATCCGGCTTATGGCTTTACACACAAATTTCTTTTTCAAGGTCATCAACTCAAAGGGAAATCCTCTGTTGAAATCTATCGTCAAGCCTTAGTGTCTGGCTGCAGATGCGTAGAGTTGGATTGTTGGGATGGAAAATCTGACGATCAAGAGCCTTGTATAACTCATGGTCTTACTTTATGTACGGATGTGCCTTTTAAGGTAATTACCTGTGGGAATGTTTTTTTTTGATATCATTCTTGATATGTAATGTAAGAAATTCATTAATTAGAAATTTTATGAGAACTGCAATTTCTCAAGTCCTCTGGGACATTTTTGTTGAACAAGTCAAAGTTTGCGTCATCAATGGACTGCTTATATGATTTTTTTTTCATATTTAAGACATGACGATAATTTCTTATGTAATTTATCTTGTCTTTTTATTATAAAGGATGTTATCGAAGCTATAGCAGAATCTGCATTCAAAACATCTGATTATCCTGTGATTTTGTCCTTTGAAAATCACTGCAGGTTTAAAATTATGATATATTTATTGTTTGCTTGTGATAATCAAGTGTATCATTGAATCGTTTTCACAAAAGCCAAAAGGCATTTTAGTAAATTTTGTAATCGCTTTTGAACAAAAGCACGCCCCTCGTGGAAATCAACCCCAGTTGACGAGGCCAGCGTGTCAAAATAAAGATATTCATTCATTCATTCATTCATTCATTCATTCATTCATTCATTCATTCATTCATTCATTCATTCATTCATTCATTCATTCATTCATTCATTCATTCATTCATTCATTCATTCCAGTGATTTAATTTAAGATCATAAACATCAAAATAAAACTTTTTTCTTTCAGTCGCTTACAACAACGCAAAATGGCTCAATATTGTGTTTCTATCTTTGGCAGTATGTTGGTGGATAAACCTCTTGATGATTTTCCTGTAAGTCTACGAAAATTTCATTGGGTTTTTACCGTAAACGTAATAATAAAGTATGTTTGGGAAACAGTCTGGTTTATTTATTAATATTTATCAAATACGTTAATATTGCACATGCCATTCTTCTTTGTTAAATTATTTGTGGCGACGATATTATTTTTAGCTGGAAGATGGGAGACCTCTGCCAAGTCCAAAGACACTTATGAGAAAAATTTTAATAAAAAATAAGAAAAAGCGATCAAAAGGTTTACCTGTCCCTTTGATTAACGAGATTCTTCGACGCTCATTTGAAGTTTAAACATTGCCAAATGTTTATTTGTTTTCGCAGCAAATCTAGATAGGTCTACCAGTCAAGATGGTTTTGTGTCCAACGAACTTGAAATGATGATAACTGACGTCACTGACAGTGAAATGTCCCAGAGCGAGACAGGTGATGTTTTTGTGGGGAGTATTAAAAGTGATCATTGGGAAAACCTCAAAGACAACGTATTAAAAAATAAAGAAAAGAAGGAGGTTTGATAGTTTCCATGGCTATGTTTGAACTGTTCATTTAATGACGGAAATTAAGTTCAATTGCATTTGATTAATTTTTGGCATTAAATTATCTTGGTTATCGTCACATCTACCAACATTTAATATACACGTCTATATTTTCTTGTGCTACGCGTATTTTGATGGCCTCTTCCCTTGCTAACCTCTATGCTACAAAAACATAAAATCTAATGTGCGTAGTTTGTGTTCGTGATGTACAATGTTTGCTTTATAAAAGATGTATAAAGATCAGTAGTTATACGTTTCCATGTAATCATCAACAGCTAGAAAATTGACTTGTTTGGAGAACAAAAACAACGCTTTGCAATAAGAGGGCGGCAAAAATCAATCAAAGACCGCTTGACGTTCCACCTGTTTGTCATGTATTAACGGAAGCTCTGTCTTGTTTAAATACGTATTGTACATCGTATACGTTTGCTTTTATCTTATGTTTTATTGACAATAGTGAAATGTAAAAAGCTCGAAAAATTTTACAAGTGCAAGCTTCGCAGGTGCATATCTATATTTAGGCGTGTAATACAAAACTTACTTAGTTGTATTTGGTGTAGATGGAGTTGCGGTGTGAGGTTAGGGAAAGGTTTTGTCGCATTTTAGAATTTGAGTTTGGATTTTAATTTGAGTTTTTGGTTAGAGTTTGGGTTTTGTGTGATTTGGGTTTGATTCTTGTTTGGATTTGGGTTTAGTTCCGGTTACGGTTATTGTTTAGGCCGCGCTTTAGACTTGAGTTATGTTTAGGGTTTTTGCATCGTTGTTGCATCATTGTCGCATGTTAATTTACGTTTTATTCCATCATTTCACGTTTACTGTTTTCTCTCATCTTTTTTTGTTTCCTGTTCTTATCTTTTGTCTCCTTTTGTTTTGTCCCGTCAATTTACGTCTTTTTTAACGTCATCATTATTGTGCAAAGGCAACAAGATGTTTTCGTGACGTACATACTGATATTTGGAAAGTAACATTTATTGTCAAAACTAAAAGAAGAGGCCTTGTGGATTTGTCCAATTGTAGTTGTCTTACCTTAAACCATTTGTTCAAATTCACTGACATTGTTCTTTATGATACTTAATTTTATATTAAATTTACGAATTTCTTTTTGAAGATATCTGATCCAGAAGAAGTCGAGTCTGAAAAGGTGCTGTCTGATTTAGTGAACTATATTCAACCTGTGCATTTCAAGAGTTTTGACTATGCTGAAAGTAAGTAGATCGTAAAAGTCTTTATCTGTAATACTTTCAACGACACTGCGCTGCAATATATTGTTTTCTTCACAGCTAGAAATAAATCATACGAGATGACGTCGTTTAATGAAACAATGGCGACAACTTTGTTGAAGCAAGAACCTGTGGATTTTGTCAAGTATCCTTTTCGTTTGTGTCAAAGTCGAGGACAAGATACAAACCATAATTGTCTCCTGTAGAGTATATCATTAACTCGTGAGATTCATAGTATCGATTGCAAATGTCTTTTGCTCAGATTCTGATTGGAGGGAAACCTTCATTAAGTTCTGTTACTAAACAAGGAGTTTTATTGCAAGGTCTTGTTCGCTTTTTAAATTCTTTGACATTTATTTCAGTTACAATAAACGACAGCTGAGTCGTATTTATCCTAAGGGAACAAGAGTTGGCTCAGAAAATTACATACCTCAAGTGTGTAAATGTTTGTTAAACATAATAGATATAAATAGCTCAAATATAACATTCTATTTTTTTATACTCACTTGCTTATCTTTACGCTTTACCAACGATGTTTGATGAAATTGTTTTCTGTGATGCTCAAATACATATACACCTGATTGCAGGTTTTTTGGAACGCTGGCTGTCAAATGGTTGCACTAAATTTTCAAACACTCGGTATGCAAATGCAATATGTATACATTACAATTTTTGTGCGCATGCGTGTGACAAGTGTCCTTACGTGTTATTGTATAATGCTGTACTCAGATGTGCCAATGATGTTGAACCTGGGCAAGTTTGAATATAATGGAAAATGCGGGTTTGTTTAAAGGCTTGTGAGTTTTTTGTTTTTAGTTTTTATCACGTAATATTAATATTTTTTATGTGTTTCTCTCAAGGTACATTCGCAAACCTGATTTCATGTGTCGCACTGACAGATCTTTCGATCCGTTTGCCGAGTCGACTGTGGATGGAATAATTGCTGCTTCCATTAAAGTGAAGGTATAGGTTGGTATAAGTATTGATAAATGAGTCAGTTGCTTCCATTAAAGTGAAGGTATAGGTTGGTATAAGGATTGATAAATGAGTCAGTTGCTTCCATTAAAGTGAAGGTATAGGTTGGTATAAGGATTGATAAATGAGTCAGTTGCTTCCATTAAAGTGAAGGTACAGGTTGGTATAAGGATTAATAAATGAGTCAGTTGCTTCCATTAAAGTGAAGGTATAGGTTGGTATAAGTATTGATAAATGAGTCAGTTGCTTCCATTAAAGTGAAGGTATTGGTTGGTATAAGTATTGATAAATGAGTCAGTTGCTTCCATTAAAGTGAAGGTATATGTTGGTATAAGTATTGATAAATGAGTCAGTTATGATAATGTTTAGGGGGTTACTTGTTACTGTTTTGAAGTTGTCATAATCTTAATAAACGCAGATATTAGACTGATGTGTTTCTAAACATACTGCTTACGCTAGAATTCATTCTCAGTTTACTTCTGGGGCTGGTTGCACGAAGCCTGGGTACCGTTGTACAATGGGATAGTAAATTTTCAAACTTCTAAAAAAGGTGTTTATATTTTCCTTACGAGAAAGAAATTTTGTTATCTTTGAAGCGATATTTTCTTTCAGTGTATGGTCAGTTCATATCGTGTATTTTTCCCTTCAAAGAGGTTTTAAAGAGTTCAATAAAATTTGCTATACAGTGGATTGCGCTCTTCGGTCCCTGATAGATGTTTACAGCAAAACGTCGTCTTTTCTCTTGTTATGCTTGAGTTGATTATATTTATAGGATAAAACAGTATTTTCATTATTCACAAAACATTTATTTGTTAAAGTTTATCCACCATATTTTCTGTTTAGGTAATATCAGGCCAGTTTCTGTCTGACCGTAAAGTTGGAACTTATGTTGAAGTAGATATGTATGGTTTGCCAGCTGATACAGTTCGAAGAAAGCACCGTACTAAAACTGTTCCAAATAATGGGTTAAACCCGGTATATGACGATGAAGCATTCCGATTTGACAAAGTATGTAGTAAGAAATAAATTTCAATGGCTTCCGTACAAACATAGATTACCTAGATTTCTCTACATTTCATGAGTCATGTTTAATGGACGTCGTCCATATAGTTTTGTGTATGACTTGATTTACAAAGTTTCCCCTTTCATACTGCATGATTTGAACTATCGTCATGAGCAGCTCAAAATAATTAGCACTGTAGTGTTTTAGATATTTCAAATTATCACTTAGGAAAAAATCGACTGATTGGATTCCTCTGTTTTAAAAGCGTTAAATTTCTAATTTCTCGGCTGCAGATTATTGTTTATTGAAATGGTTTTTACTTGGAAAGTTTTAAAGTATAAAATGGTCGATGTTGATATTCAGCGAGTTATGTTTTATCGTTTTCTGTTTCAATTTTAAACTTGTGATAAAATGATATGCACTTTTTCTTTTTTATTTCCTACCAAGGTTGTGCTTCCCAATCTTGCCGTATTAAGAATAGCTGTTTATGAGGAAAATGGTAAATTGATAGGACATCGAGTTCTACCTGTGAACTCTATCCAACCAGGTAAGTCACGTATTTTAATGAAAATTTGTAAACAACCTGTAAATCTCATTCTTGTGAAGGACTGGGGCGTAGTCATGCAAACTACTGCGCAGTTTTTCATGCTATTTTTCTTCACAGGTTATCGGCAAACCAAGCTGTAGTGGTGTAGTCTTATACGAACTTTCAATAAGTGTTTTTTTTATCATAGGTTATAGGCATATCAAGTTAAAAAGCGAAAGTAATCAAGCGTTGTGTCTTCCAGTTTTGTTTGTCCATATCGTCACTCACGACTACGTTCCCTCGGGATTTTCAGGTGTTATATATTTGTCACTAGTTGTTCAAAATTAGAGAATTGCAGGGATTTAAAAATACAATGATTTTTTGATACTTTTAATATTTCTGGTAAATTAACTTTAATGTTTTTTATTCAGACTTTGCCAATGCTTTGGCAAACCCGATAGCATTTCAAACGAAAGCCGAAATGCGAGGACAAATGCTCGAAAGTCTAATGGATGATGATGAAGGACCCAGCAAGGTAGGAGTCTCGTAAAGTTTACGCGATCATTGGCTACGGCTTAGTTTGCAAGCAATCGTTTGGGGGATATCTGGACGCTGGTATAATGTGTGGGCAAAATATGAAAAAAGGAAATTATTTGTTCAGTTCTGCTGTCATATGCATGATCTTTATGTAGAGAACAATGTTTCTAAAATCTTTTCGGGTCCTCTATTTCTTCCATTTTTTGTGTCTTCTATTTTTCAACTTTAGGTCCCTGCAGAGCAATCCAGATTGAGTAAGTGAAGATATATTTTCATTTCATTGTGCTCTCAAGATTTTCAAGAAAATCGCTCAGTTTATTTCTTATGCTACAGCTGCAGCCACCAGCTCAAACTCTCGTCGTTTTTATTCAACTTCATCGTTTGAAAAACCGATGAGGACGTCGATATCTATCAATAGTTTTGATAACGGAGATGCATTACAAAGTCTTTCACGTGGCTCTGTTTCCTTTCCAAATGAACCGGCTGTCGAAACACCAAGAAAACTATTTACGCGATCTCAAAGCACTAAAAAACGTGAAGGTGGATGTAAATATTCTTTTAGTTGACAATCTCTGCATAATGAGCAACATGGATTTAGCTAACATATTTCCATACAATCACATTTATTATTTTAAGTATGATCATGCCGAATAACTAAACTTTACGTTCATAATCTCATAAATAACCAACACGACTTGTCTAATAAGTTTGAAAACTGTTTACATTAATAATCAGAAGAACACCTTTCTACTTTAACTAATGGATATTTTTCTTTATCCATCGAATCCGCAAACTAAATAAATATTCATTGTCCATGTTTCTAGATGATCCGAATATTGTACCAGTTCCAATTCATGAATTACAGAATGATAAAGTAAGTTGACAACAAACTTATCGTGATGTTCATTGCTTTGTTGATTTACCTTTATTGTTTGCTCAGTTATGCATACCTGGAAAGTAGAACTGTCCAATTACATTAAGTATCTTGTGCGTTTATTCAATAGCTTTTTCAAAAGTTTAAAGAAAAACAAAAAAAGGACATAGCTATAGTTGTAAGAAGACATATGAAGGTAACGTAAACGAAGAGTTGAACGGGAAAATTTTACCAGTTTTTCATGAAAAGATTGGCAAAACAGCAATATATACTTAATACTTTGATTTAATATTTCAGGAGAAAGATAAGTTACAAAGGAATCATTTTACAGCACAAGAAAAACTTGCTAAAGAAATGGACAAAGAAATCGAAGCAACGACAAGGAAATTAGATAGAACAATAAAGACTGCCACAAAACTTGGGTATCTATAACTTTTTATTCGCGACAACGAATGTATTTCATTGATCTTGTTTAGTGTTGTATGTTTTAACCATTGAGATTAAGTTATTGTGTTTATATTCATTTGTTAGGAAATTTGAGGAAGTGTACAAAGATGGTGTCCAAGAGGTTTCAGAACTTCGAAAACAACAAGAAATAAAGGTTAGCTATAATTTTCTGTCGTTTATTTACGAGATTTAGTTTTTTCCTTAAAGCGATTAAGTGCATGACTGTAGAAATTATCCTTATATTCATTTTTGGTGTTTGTTTTTTGTGTATGTGTATTTACCCATGCAACGATTTTCTAATCAATATATAAATGATTTTGCTTTACGCTGCAGATGAATGCGCGCAAACTTGAACAAAGAGAAGAGATGTTTGTATTTCTTGAAAAGCAGCTGAAGGAGCAACATGACTTTGCTAAAGCCACAATTGAACCTGTACGTATTATTTCTGTGCTTTGACTTTCCTTGAGCTTGTGGCTTTTCTATAGCGTCACTTTAACGCATTTTGTATGGGATGGAATGATTTATTGAAAGAAGTATAATTTATCTGTTATGTTCGCGCTCAATTTTTATACAGGAGTTTGAAGAGTTGCGAGCTGTTATGGAGCTCGCTAAAAACAAACAGCAGAAAAAATTAGGAGAATTTCATGAAAGGTAATTTCTCTTCTTTTTACGTTTGCATCTGTGTGTTTCATTTATGTTGATTATGAGATAAAACTTGACCGAATAAACTCTTTATTGCGATTATTTTGATCCCGTATGGTTAGAGACCAAAGCTATTTGTCTGTTATGCCCATACTTGAAGAGATAGTTTTTATAGGAAATCTCAGTTTATGAGAAAAAGTCAAGACCTCTTGAACAATGCGGAACTGAAGTTTGTTGCCAAAGATAAGAGATCAAAAGATGAAATTCAAAGGTTTGTATCCTTCATGATTTCGAGGATAGTTCATAGAATCAAATTTATTCCTTAAAAAAATTTCATGTTTTCGCAACTACTCATAGATTGAAACGAGAACACAACAAGAAATATATTGAACAAGCTGTAAAGGAAAGACAAAAGGTGATTAGTAAAAAGTCTTTCGATTGAGCTATCTGCATCCTTGAAATCAGCTAAAGATCAATAATACTTTTTAATTAATTTAACTTCTTTTGTTTCTTAATCATCCTAGATAAAAGAATTTCAAGATAAGGAAATGCAGCAACTAGGAGAAACTCACGATAAACTCATGGATGAATTGGACGATATGAAACAAAAAGTAAAGAGAAATAACTTTCTCCATTAATTTAGACGGTATAAGAAAAGTCTATTGCATGGTGCCTGGCCCCAATTTAAATGTGACGTCAAAACGTTTATGTTGGCCAATAAAAACAGTCTATCTTGGTGACTTTTCTTGTTCTGTTGATCGAACAGGACATCGCAATTATTTGGAGACTTTTTGAAGCTCCTATGTATGAAAGTCATTCGGTTGACATCGTGCGAATAATCTTTTTATTAGTGGTCATAAGCCTATTCTGCTTTATTCTCGTCTTAGAAATTTTTTTTTAATCTTCACACGAGAGGAATTTTCTACTTCGAAAAAGTATACCATCAGCCCCTTTTTTAATTTGCACATTTTGTTTAGGCTTACGAAGAACTTTCACAGCTCTTTGAGAGACGATGTCGACTCATCCGTAATGCGAACCTAGAACTATTTTATGCTGTTTTGTTTGCCGAGAACGAAGAAGTATCAAAGTTATGATGACAAGTGATCATATTCAATAAACGTGATATTTTAAACTATTCTGTCATTACAGGCCTGGCAGTAATCACAGAAACTGCTAATCCTTTAAATGGGTTTTATCAATGATAAGTTAAAGCAAAACAATTGCTTCTTGCTTATATATTTTACTTCGAGGTTCATGAACCACTCCAGAAAGATACATGCGTCGTGTAATCCTTCTAAGGGATACAATCGAGGTTTTTGAAAACCACTTGAAATAACTTGCAATAAATGACAAAAGACGCTTTTTTATATGTATTATACAAGCAAATCCCATAGTTTAATGATGTATGATGAATGATTTACTGAAAGTTTCATTACAATTTCACTATTAACAAGGACAAAATCCGCTCTTGACGGTGAAGGATTTAATTCTCTTGGCTGTTGGAGTGGATACCTCTATCATGAATTGAAGGCACATATCACTAAAATGCATTTTGTAATTTAAAGATCATATTTAATATATGAAGGCATTGTGTAAATAATTTGAACGAGCTTGCTTCTGGCAATCTTCCCACGTACGCACATTTTGGTTAAAAATATTTATTTATGTATATCAACGCAAAGGATCAACTTGTGAATAAATTCATATTTAAATTTCCAAGTCATTTATTAAATTGATGAAACAAAATTATTAAAGAGAAAATTAAATACATAAAGCATGTTAATAATAGATTTTCAAATTTAAGGACAGGAAATTATTAAAATGGAGGAGTAATGTGGATTGGAATATTGGAATAGAAGTGATGACTCTACAGTCTGGACATCCCTAATATTGACAGGTGTGAATGTTTTAGGACATTTGTTGACATCCATGGTTGACATAGGTACAAAAAAGCGTCGTTTATTCTTACATTAATTAGATATTAATTACTTCTGCATGATATAGATGGACGCCTTCCAAGACTCTGAAAGCGTGTTTAATTCCACAAGTTTGGATCACACTTTCCCCAGGAAAAACACGGATAAAGATGTAGCTGAAATCAAAGAAAACGTGTCAAGAACTTTGAAAGATGCAAAGCGTAAATTGATTGATTTACGCAACGAAGTTGAAAGAAAGTAAGCGAAACAAGTGGCGTAAAATGGTTAAATATTTATACTCTCCACGTCCAACCTGTTATGCATTTTGTCTAATGAAGTCTTCATATCTTCTATCCCTACGTCTTCTCTGAGGCCTTTTTGTTAAAATGCTATGCGACTTTTCGTGTAACAAATATTGAATTCCATCATTTGGAATTTGAGATAATTAATTGCTAATTTATCGAAGTAATTGCAACAAATAGTATTGAAACAATTCATTCTTTTATAGAGACAATATAATCCGCCAAGCTAATTTGGTTAACAGCAATAATAGTCATGTTATGGACTTGGAATATTCAACAGAGTACAGCTCCTCCAAACGTTTCCCATTATATAATAACAACTATGAGAACCCAATAGACAGCGAAAAATTGTTGCATGATGAAATAAAGGTTTTGGATAGTTTGAATGATAGCCTCATGGAAAAGCTTGCTAGAACTGAGTCAAAATTAGAAGCTACACGAATGCACAATGACGAGATAAGTTTGGAGGCCGAAGCTAAAATAGCAGCCAAAGGTGCAGGTAATTGCATAAGTTAAGAACTCTGTTATCAATAATGGTCAGAGTCTTAGAAAACTCCAATTTTGATATTGCTTATAAATAATATGTATCTATCTATGAACTTTTATGCACATAGTCAATTCTCCACTTCAGATTTATTAGTATTTATAGATAGTATTTTTTAGCTCTTGTAGAAAAGATCTATAAAGCACAAAAGGAACGTGATGCCGCAGTATTGTCACGACTGCGGTTGGCAAATGAAGAACGTGATGAAGTTTTAGCTAGGATGAAACGACTTGAACAGGAACAACAGGGGTTAGCAGAAACTTAATGCATTTGACAAACTGACATGTTATGCACACACAAAATTGTATAAATTTTTAGATTTGATTCTGGTGTTGACTCTATCTTTGATGATGATGAGGATGATTTGGTGAGAGGAAATCTAATACTGTTATTTCATACTATAATGCACATTATGTATTTACAACAGATATATTTTTAAGATTTGTAAGTGTATTTCAGCTCAACCTAAAGTCGCATTTACTCACTGTAATGATCCATGTGCTTATGTCTCTAGTATAGAATTTAATTTTTATATTTTGCTTTACTTTCAGACAATGAAGGATCTATTTAAGAAACTTGTAGATTCAGAGTCTGGAGCAAGTATCAGCAAACATGGTGATTTAATACTAGCAAAATACAAGAAACATGGAAAAGGAAGACAAATTATGGCAGCTGAAGAAATTCAGGCTTTGATTGATGAACGTGATGATGCACTTTACAAAGTAAGTTTCGTTTGGTCGAAGTCGTTTCTTTAATATGTACGTTTGAGCAACAGTTCTTGTAAGATCAATACCAGTACTTGCTGCAATTTCAAATGAGTATGAATTTCAGCTATAGTTTGGTGAGATAAAGGTTTGGACTTAATTTAATGCGGGGAGCGTTACAAAAAAAGATGAAAGAACGGTGTGATATTCGTATTACAATATTGTATTTTGCTGTAGGTTAGAGCGCTTGAGAAGGAGGTAAAATCAAAACAAGAGGAAATGGAAATGATGAAACAACAGTTTCAATTTGCTGAGAAGACCAGAATTAAGTCCGGACAAGTAAGTGTATACTCCGCCAAACGTGTTCAGGATTGACCAACCTTTTTTTTTTATCTTAATCATGCATGTAACATACACACTGTATATACGTTGTGCGGAAAAGCGTTCGGTGATATATTTTGCTATTTGCGACAATGCTACTGCAGTAGGTTTTACGTAACTTTATTACACGTGATCAATTGTTATGGAATATTTTCATGATGTATAAAAATTGATCATAATTAATACAATGTAACCAGGCACAATTGATGGCTGCTCAACAAGAAAAAGATGCAACACAACTGAGAATTAAAGAACTTGAAGAAGAAGTCCAGAACTATCGTGTTCGTTACAGGTCATTGCTGGTCAATTTTTAAATAAATTAAATTTATGTACTAATCAAATCATGTAGCAATTTCAAGACAAAGAACACCTTGAGAAGAATTCAGCTTCTTTAAACAGTTTACATAGGTCGCTGTCGCAAGAACAGACATTGAGAGATCAGTTTAATGCGACAATGAATTCTTTTGAAACGAAACTGAACGAACGTGAGAAAGATCTTGTAGTAGCACAAAACAACACAAAGGAGTTGGTAGCACGACTCCAAGCAATCTCGAAAGAAAGAGATGAGCTCAGTCTCCAACTTTCTCAAGCTTTAAGTAATCACAAAAAGGAAAAGGAAAGAACAGAAAAGTGGGTCTTAAAAATCTTTTTATTTTCTTGTCTTAAATTTCTTTATGATTCAGTGGGTGGAAAATAATACCAATGCATCCAAATTAAGATAGAGATAGGTATAGCTTTGTAAAGAGATAAAGGAAATGTTGTTTTTACTCGAAAGAAGCTTGCCTTGTAGTTGATATCTCGATCTATTTCACCAATTCCTACGAGTGAGAGAGTTTAATAAATGATTTTTTGTCTTTTTAGGTTGGAAAGGCTTGTGTCAGTCCTCCGAAAAAGAATAACTAATTCCGGCAAGCAAACACTTTAATGTAACTATTCTAAATGTAAATATTTTTGTACAGAATTTATATTTGTATCAAATATTTTATTTTTCCGCAAGACTTTAAAATTAAAATATAAAACCAATCTAACATGAAGTAGTGGAAAGAACATCAAGAGACCAACATGGCGGACTATAATTTTGAACATTATATTGTTAATTTTGTACGGTGTAAAAAGTATACCGTGTATTTTTAAATTCAAACATGGCCCAGACTGGTGTACTCATTTTACGGCCTTACAGAAATGAAATAGGACGGCTGTTTCAAAGTTTGAAGGCATGTTCCCACTACGTGCAACGTGTTCTGTACGTTGATTTCAACTGTATTTCACTTTTTGAACCTGACGGCTCTGTCGAGGGAACATTATGTCGACAGGAAGTGTATTCAGTGATGGAGATGGTTTATAAATCCCAAGCAAAGGAGTTAGAGAAGCTTGACATAAGGTTTTTACTTGAAAGCAGAAGAAGTACTTCGTCAGCATCAGCAACTTGTGAACGCCGGACTTTCAGCCATAATTTGGATGTTGGACTTCTGTATACTTCGTATCAAAATCAGATCAACGTCGAAATGTTATGTAATAGATATGGCTTTCGAAATATAGATTCATTACAGTTCCTTGATGATAACATGTACAGCAACGCTGGATTGACAGACGAACTACTAGAACAAGACAAAGTAGTGAAGGAGTACGATACTGTTGCCGTTGGCGGTACATTTGACAGGTAATGAAATTGTAGAGGGAATTAAGTCATGAAAGCCTCAAAAAATGATGTTTTTATTTTACATCAGAATCCATAATGGTCACAGGCTATTGCTGAGTACATCCTGCTTGTTGGCAAAGTCAAAAATTGTTGTTGGTGTTAGTAACGACTTTTTATTGGTCAATAAAACCTTACTGGAACTTATCGAACCATTGGATTTACGTATGAAGAATGTTACTGAATTTATTGAAGATATTAAGCCTGGTAATGCCTCCTGTCAATGTTATGAAGAGACTTGAGGTTTTGTAAACCCTCTTGTCAATTTTGGAAGGATTTGAAGTGTATGCCTATCGCTGTCAATGTTGAGTAGTGGATTGAGATGTTGGTCAACCCCCTGTCAATGTTTGGGAGGGGGTTGGGGTGTTTGCCTACCCCTGGGTGTTGGTCAACCCCCTGTCAATGTTGGGGAAGGAATTGAGGTGTTGGTCAACCCCTGTCAAAGTTTGGGAGGGGGTTGGGGTGTTTGCCTACCTCTGGGTGTTGGTCAACTCCTAGTCAATGTTGAGCAAGGAATTGAGGTGTTGGTCAACCCCTGTCAATGTTTGGGAGGGGGTTGGGGTGTTTGCCTACCTCTGGGTGTTGGTCAACTCCTAGTAAATGTTGGGGAAGGAATTGAGGTGTTTGTCTACCCCTGTCAATTTTGGGAAGGGAGTTGAGTAGTTAGGAATCCCCTGTCAATGTTAGGGAGTGGGTTGAAGTGTTGTCCTACCTCATTAATTATGGGGAGGGGGGCTGAGGTGTTTGTCGTGACTATGAACTTTTCTATTAAGAGTAGGTTTTCAAATGAAATTTTGATGAAGCAAACCTTAACTTTCTAAAGAGATGATTATTTTATTCTCTGCCTCAAGTCTTTCAAAATGGTTTTCATAGTCCGACTTAGTGATTCAAAGTGTGCTTTCAAATATTCATCTACGAATTTTTTTCGTTTTGTGCTTAGGTCTGGTTAAAGATATAGTCCCATTATGTGACCCTGCTGGTCCCACAAAAACAGATGCAACTATTGATTGCTTGGTCGTTAGTGATGAAACACGGAATGGTGGGCAAGCAGTGAATATATTACGGAAGGATGCAAATTTGCCTGAAATGGAATTGTTCTCCATTGATCTTGTCAGTAATGAAGATGTCCAAAGGTATACTTTATAAATGAACCTGAAGTATGATTTCGTGATGACAATGATGATACTCCACTGTTAATATATTCCTTATTCATATTTACGTAAAACTTACGTTTTAAAGCTGTATCATCTTTGATATATCATCAACATATTTCACGATTGCGCCTGATATGATTACTCTGTGTCTTGTAGCTCAAATGCTTCAAAACTCAGTTCCACAGCAAGAAGATACAATGATCTTGGAGTGCTCGTTCGCCCTCCAAAAAGAAGTTCTTCTCATTCAGGTGTGTACGTTATTGGTTTGACTGGCGGAATTGCTAGTGGAAAATCTTCTATAGCTAAACGTCTTGAAAAGCTTGGCGCACAAGTATTATCTGCGGATTTAGTTGGTCATTCGGTTTATGAACCAGGAACTGAGGCATTTAACGAAATCATTGATGAATTTGGCGTGAGTATTTTGAATAAGGACGGATTCATTGATCGGAAAAAATTGGGTAGCATTGTGTTCGATGACAGCCTTAAACTTCAAAAGCTCAATGCTATTGTTTGGCCGGCTATTATGGAGAAAATTAAGATTTGGATTGAGGAAATTTCTAAGAAAGGTGATCAGGTCTGCGTAATTGAAGCTGCTTTGCTTTTAGAAGCTGGTTGGGATGAGGTAGTTGATGAGATTTGGGTGTGTATTATTCCTGAGGTGGAAGCCATTAAACGCCTTGGAGATAGAAATGGATTGTCGATTGATGAAGCAAAAAAAAGACTTTCAAATCAGATAACCAATAAGGACCGTGTTTCTCAAGCAAATATTGTATTGAGCACTCAGTGGGCCCCTGAATACACTCAAAAACAAGTTGAGAAAGCTTGGAAAGGCTTACATAAACGAATTAAGGTTTCGTGATAAGATTTACTGTTTGTCGAGCTCAGGAAAAGGTTTAATGATCTCCTTTTCTTCGGTTGCTATTTGTAGCATCTAATTCAAAAATAAACCACAATAAATGAACTAGAAGAAAGCTATATTTTAAATCAATTTTTTACACATTTCTTTCAACCATTTGTGCTTGAATATCTTTGCTAAAGTATCGTTATTTCTGAAGAAGAATTGACGATATGGTGGGTAGGGCAAAGCTTGCAAACGACTTTGCGAACAAAGATTGTTTTTTTGCACTTTGACAAACTTCTCGAAGAGACGGCAACTTAAGCAGAATTTGAGCAAATCTGTTTGTTTTCTCTGGATATGAACATTTGATATAGTCTTTAAGACAACGTATTCCTTGGTTGAGGCTTTCCTCTACGGCATCGTAGTCGCGCAATTTCGAACAAGATTCTATAAAAAAAACAGTCGTTAAAATATATCGTTACATTTGTCTTTGCTTGAATTTTCATTTAAGTAAGAAAAACTTTTGGTTTGAATTCTTTTCTTCTTTTGTATTGGAATATCTTACCCTGCGTAAATAGCAGTATGGCACTAATACACGCAAACTCGGCCATATCTAGTTGTAAAGTCTGTAGTTTTCGAGCGTACATTAAAAGCATAGCAACCCATTGACCAATGACAACATGCGACTGATAGTCGACATGCCAAACAACCTCCTTTGCAAATACGACAAAACCTTGATGAGGACTTGATCTTTGGCAAATTCTAAATACCCACAATTCCAAGGCTGCTATTATGAAAAAGAAAGAATATTGTCATTATTTAATAAATCTTTCCTCCGTATAGAGGAGGAAACCAACACTAAAAAATAGACGTAATGAACGGCACTACTTTTCGAATGGAATACTGAGTAATATTTAAATTACCTTCGCTGAGGAGACTTATTTGATCATCAACATTCAAGATGTTGAATCTTGAAAGCTGAGTTGCCCATTTTATAATCATTCGAAGTTCTTGAACGGCAACTTCCATAAGAATTTCCACCGTATGAAAGTGATAAAGGTCGGGTAAAGTTAGCGAGTTTTCGTTCTGTCTGTGAAAAAATGAAGAAGATAGACATCGACTATGTAGCGTGCGTTTCTATTGTTTTAAAAGACACCTACTTCATCGAAGGGACGCAATCTGGTCTGGCTTGGATGAATTCCAATATCATTTGAGAAGAACCATATGTTTCTTTGTGCTCTTTTAAAGTTAGCAAGGACTTTATTCTTGGTCGCCCTCCTGGTGCCCGGTCTTCTCGAACAGCTAGGTTAAGAGAGAAAGTGTTTAAAGTACAATACCATGTATACTTGAAACCACACTCCAAAGCTCCTTATAGTACGCTTGAACCTCGCTATAGAGGAAAAGTACTAATTTAAATTAGGGAGCCTGGGTACGAGACTGGCTTGCGTGTTGAATGTGTATGTATCTTTCGTCAATGTTTCGGTCAATGTAATTCACTACTTTTTCACTCCTTTGTTAATTTTACCTTCTTTGAGCATTCCGAGCTTAACACATTTCTGAAAACGACAGTATTGACATCTAATTCGGTTGCTTTTATCGATTACACATTCACTCTCCTCGACACAAATGTACTGAAGTTGTTTTTGAATCGTTCTTTTAAAGAAGCTCTTGCATCCTTCGCAACTCTTCACTCCGTAATGAAAGCCCGATGCTTTGTCACCGCAAACTGCGCATGTGCGTGCACTTTTCACCGACACTATTGACTTCATGACAAAACTTTCTTTGCGGTCTATGTCTGTAAACAAAAAATAAAGTAAATTACGTGGGGTGTCTCAAGCAATGCGATAATATATAATGTTATTTTGTAATAATTTTTTTGCCCAGCTTTCCAAGAGTGACCGTGATTCAGGGTTGTTTACTGTTTGCACAGAATTTTTGTTTTTCAATGAATAAACTGATGGAGGAAAAGCCTGCTCGTAATATCGCTCTCAGATAATTCTCCATTGACGATTTTATTTTACTGTTATAAGGAAATTTTAGTCTCTTCAGTAAAATTTTTTCTACTTTTTTTTTCAGCGTTAGTAAGTTCATGGTTTGTTGTAACCCATTCAGCTGTCGCATTAATAAAGTGTGTTTAATGACCTATTTGACGTACTTCCGGTACTTTAATTTGCTTTTATATTTTTAGTCAAAAATTTCCAAATATACTTTCCATTTACATTTTCTATTACTTTTAATGCTAATTTTTCTCCGGAGTTTACCGAACGAAATCACCACATATGCTGTCAGTATCATGAACTTTTTTGTAAAAATTCAATGAAGCATGGAAATTTTATGCCAATCTTTTTGCTCTTAGCTAAGTAAGCCAGTTCAACTTATCTCAGTATACATAGTATCTTTATAAGGTAAATGAGCACAGTCAGTAAGTTTTCAAAATAGTTATTTTTTTTATCAATTAATGGAAAAACCTTAAATACTGTCGAAAAAAACTGAGGACTCTCTTTCTAGTTTTATGGTGCATGCTTGATCATATTTGTAAACTGGTTGTTTACCATGTAGCTAAATGTCATTTAACTACAAAAGGAAAATCTCGACGATAAAAATACTTCAGTTTCCCCCTAGATATTTTTCATTGTCATGCAAAAACTCGATCAGCTGTCTTTTGACGACAAGCCGACTATCTCCTAATAGTTAATAATAAATTATTTAATATAAAGTATAGTCGAAATAAATAGCACCAAACAATTGTTTCTGCAACAAACACGCGTGTGCACAGTGAATTGTATGTTTAACTGGATTATGAGTCAGTATAATGTGTTGTTTGTAGAAGCAAATTATAGACATGCAAAAAGTCAGATGGGAATTTTCACATGATTTTGCTAAAAATACACTAATACAGTTAGCTGTGTGAATCTACCTCCTGCATTTTTTGTCTTTAATATTCATCACAATTTAGCCCTCATGTTACAAATTCATTCTCTCAATTATGACGTAGCTATAGTTGAAGTAGTATAAAAAGTTACTTGGACTCAACTTATTAATGCATATATATATAAATCCGGAGAAACTTTTATCTTTTATGTATATATATATATATATGTATGTATACATATATGACTGAGGATGATTTTAAGTCAAAGCATGCTATATCTTATCTATTCTTTTTAAAACGTCAATTTTCGATTGTGTGAGACTTCAGATGCCCTCTCTAATAAGTCGTGATATTTTTTCAAAGACGAACACTCTACAGATGAATTCAATGAGTTTAATACAAATATTATCTCTTCCTGTTAGGATTGTCTATGAAAAAAATTAAATGTTTGGATTCTGATGATTTTCTCGCGGCGAATGCAGGGTCACATATACGGTTTAAATTTCCTTCCAACTGTGTCATTTGCCTAAGCCGCCTGTAAAGTCATTAGTTATTTCATACCCTACCGTGTTCTCTATGCTCTCTATTATAAGTTAGAACAAATAGCCCGACGTATTGTATGCATATTTATATTTATATTTAATATAGTGTATATGTTTGATAATTTTTCCTCATACTCGTCTGCTTAAGAATTGAGTCCTTTATGTATACGCATGATTTTGTTCACGCTTGGTTTTGGTATCTCAAAGATAGAAAATATTTATAGAAAAAGAATCAATATGAGTTGTAAGTTTGTAAATGTGGCGAGTGAAAAGCGTATTGTTATATATTTGTCACTTATGCACATGTTAATGCATGAACGATTCTTGTTGTTGTTCTTATTGACAAGTTTCTTATTTTTTATCCACTAAACCTATTTGTTTGCGCTTTATATAGTAGAGACTTAGATGTTTCTCTACTTTGAAGATCGCTTATACTTTCTTTAATATTCTTTGAGACTTAGTGCGATACTTAAAGCGCAGTGGTAATTATTTGTTGTTTTCATTCATTTTTGCTTTTTTATTTGACAATGACTATTTTTAAAAGCGTATAGATATATCATGTAGCTCCAAATTATGCTTACGTGACATTGAATATGTTTAATGTATCTTAGTTATGTAAAGCTTTATACATAATATACAATATTCGTATATGAATGTTTTCTCTTCTATTTATTAGCCCTAAAGAGCCGAGGTGCCGTAATTTTTTCACTGCAAATATTGCCTCATTTGTGCAATTATCAACTCGTATATATAATACATATAAATGTATGTAATAGAAAAATACAATGTGATATTAAATAGAAAAGTACATACAACACTATTGTTAACCTTGAAAGCCATAAAAGTAACGACAATTCATTAGAGGTGTATTTTCCGAGAAGGTGCTTTAAAAATTCGTCAATCTTTTCAGATCGTATCCCCCATATCAGATTATGACAAATGTTCAACGGCTTGCTGTGCGAGTTTTCTCAATTTAGCATTCACTTTTATTAAGCCTTCAAAAGAAATTGTCTGAAATCTCTACCATGTAATATAGAAATACCTTTACGACTTTCTGGAATGGATGCCATTTCTCCAACCTCTTTTTTGTTGACTTAAACTTCGTGTGTAGTTTCTTATTTTTTGTTATGTAAAAACGCAAACTTCCTATTTGTGCCACTTGGCCGAGTCGCTTGCACCTTTTTGTTTTCAGCGTTCATGCTCTTGAGTTCGTCACACCTTATCTTAACTTATCGCATTTGTGCTGCATTTTGAATGGACGTTACGACTTGAGCTGATTATTAATAGCTTATCGAAGAGAACAGCTGCATGCTTAGGGTTCGCACCGACAAAGTGAGTGCCTTTTTCAAGGCTTAATTAGTATACTGTATGCATGTATTCGCTGTCAAACACGCTTTTTAAGAGATAGACGATATTCCCCACGCGTATGTAAGAAATTAGAACACTATGATCGCCCATTTTGTTTTCTAACATTGTTCTAATGGTTCTAACAATTGGCAATTCTTTGTAGATAAACGTGAATTTACCGAGAGAGAACATTTTGAAATTCGTAATGTTCAAAACATCCTTAATTTAAAAATTTTTTTGAAACAAGGTAGGAAGCTTAGGAAACGGAGCTTTTGTGAAGTGGATTTCAACTTTATTTATTTTTAAAATCTCTCCTGGCCACATGTTGCTTATCAAGCTAAACATTCATATTCGGATTATTTTTAGAACCAAGGATTAATTATATGGATTGTTTCGCTACTGGTGTCACTTTGACCCTCAGGTTTGGTCAAGGTCATTAATTAATGACTTTGGTGATTTTACAATTTTTTTCAGATTTTCCCATTTAAATAAGACACTCAGATAAACTTTCACTAGCTACGTTTGTTTGAAAGGAAAGCACAAAGACCACTGGGATTAAATATAAGTCACGACTTTGTTGTTGAAATATTTTTTATATAAACATGCCTATAAAAGTATGTCGGTTCTGTTTTTTTCTCTCAACCAAAAATGTTTGACACCTTAACAATCCGTCCCTTTCTGTCTGCAAATCTCGATTTTATCTTTGCGCACCATTCAAAGGTCTTTCAAAATATATAATAAGCCACTTGTATTTTCTATCTATAATGTTGAGAAACAGTTAGATTTCACAATATGTAGTAGCTCAAATTTGACAAATATCTGAATGAACAGTGCATCACTTGTAGGATAATATGATTATGAGAGTCTTATCCTATTGGATCCTACGTTACCATGGTATGGCAGAATGGCGTCATTGGCGGGCTAAAACAAAAACAAATGAACAGCTTTTTCAAATTTAAAAGGCTCACAATATCCTTAACAATTTGCTAGATACATTTATGGGAGACAACGAACTTTTACCTCCCACTAATTCGCAATTGGAAGAAAGCACTGGTGAAGAAATATTAAACCATGTTTTGTCTCTTCCATCGCCAAAATTCTCTCCTGTTTCCAGTCCTAGTGGTATGAGTAGGACATTGAGACTTTGCCGTGAAGACAATAGAGACGTTTCGTGTGTAGTAATGCAAGAAGACCAAAGCATCAGCGTCTCCACTACAAAAGGAGAAGAGAAGAAGAAAGATGTCCTGAAAAGTCGTTTATATGATAGCGTCAAAACGGCCGAAGTTTATCGTAATATTCAATTCCAGGTAATGTTTTTCTCACAGTAAATCACAGTAAATGTTTGATATGCTTATTAAAACATTTATAAAATAATGTGTTCCGATAAATTATACTTCAACGAGCAAAAATAGGAGGATATTTCATGATTATTATTATTCAATTCCATCTGATACTAACAGATCAAGTTTAGTAGTCGAAACCAACCAATATCTTTTTTCAGACCAGAATAAAGCCAAGTCCACCAGCTTGCGAATCTCCAAAACAACATTTAGGACTGTATCGAGCCACAATACTTAGAAGAGAAAGACAAAAGAAGATTATGAGTGGTGAAAATACTTCAATTGACAAAAAAAATGACACGAAAAGTATTGTAAGTATTGGAATTGTGGTAAATGTTGTTTGATATGACTACATGTTGTTATATTTCTTGTTTCTTCTAACCCCCATCATTTTGTATTGATTTTTCATTGTCTGCAGGTTGTGTCTCAAGATGCCATTTACCAGCAATGTCAGAATTCCAATGAACCAATGCAAAGTCAGTCAATTCAGAAAACAATTGCAGAAGAAATGTTTGATATTGGACCTGATCGCTTCAGAGGTCTTGATGTTATTGATGTTATACATTTATTACATAAACGCTTGAACTGGGTAATTAATGTTGAAGAAATTGATAAAAAAGATAGCAAAAAGAAAAGATCCCTTGAAAATAATTGGACAGTATGCAAACCTGTTGATTCTTTAAGAGATGATGGTACATTTGCATATGCTGTATTGAGGAAGAGTGAAAAGATTACTGCACGATACAATCCTTACAATCTGTTATGTGTTGCGGCTAGAAAGGCAGTCAAAACTAATCAGTTCTTCACTGTAACAGCATCAGGCATTACACAGGTGATCTCTCTGTAACCAACTATTTCACCAATTATGACTTACTTTCTACAGATAGATGTAAACATTCTTGCATGTTTGGTAATTTCGATGTATTTATTTCTACAGATAACGAATAGAACCGAATCTATTTTTGTTCCCATGTCTCGTTGGTTGTATGAAAGAAAGATTTTTAACAAATTATTTTGTTTTCCTGTGTTTGAGAAGTTCAGGTGACTTCAATGTTGCATTACAAACTTTGAGTTGTCATTACTTTAATGATAATATTTATTAAAAATGTTGTACATATATTTATAGGATTTGGAAGATGTTTACCACTTGGAAAAACAATGTTCGTTTTTCTAACACTACAGCTAACAGGTTGAAATGTCAATTGCACTATGTGGTTTTATAGTTCATACTTTACGTACATACTAGTTTGACATAAATAGTGATAATAGGATTTGGCCTTTAGATCACTTCTGAAAAGACCACTAAACTGTAGTGTGTAATGAGTCCTATTTCTCTTTACTTATTATTTTCCCTTTTAGCAAAATATATATCAGCGATGTTAAATTAAGATGTGATTTCTAATGTATAAATGAAAAAAGTTTTTAATTTAGTCAAATCGTTCCATTTTTAGTGTGATTTAAAGTTGGCAAACATGCTCTTTTTAATGGACCTTGTGCGTTGTCGAAAAAGTCTGGAACGACTTAGATTTAGGACGTCACGCAAGGGACTTGTCAATGTAAAATTTATATTCCAACTACGTTGGATAACGTCTGAATTTTGCTAGAGCCAGACTTCGTACCACGACGTACAAGGTCCATTGAAAGGCAACTTTGAACATGACGATTGACGGTTTGATCAATTTTGAATTTTTTTTACGTTAGAAATCACGCCTAGTTTTCATAACGCCAATAAAAGGGGAACTTTAACATATGACTCTTGATGACATTTTACATGTAGTACGCATATAAATACTTGAGTATCAACATGACTCTTGGTTAAGATTAGAAATTATGACATCTAAACATTGACAGCAATTTATAAATGTACAAGATCGTTGTATCTCTGTCATAGGCATGAGCCTCAAATTTAATAACTATAGGAATCTTGTTTCTCCGTTCTAGGCAATTTCTGAAAGAATCACTTCCAATAGCAGAGGATACCTTACAATCATCACTTTTCAAGATTCAAAGTCTCTGTGAGGAGAAATTTAGTAGCAATGCTCAGAATCTTCGTGGCACAGTTATGTTTTTCGATGAATCATTTTACGAAAGAACATTCACTTTGAAGGAGTTTGTCACGGAGATTTCTCAACGAGTGAATCACGTGAACACTCTACTTGGAAATCTTCGTTCCCAATGTCTGTCGATCGTTGTTGAGGCTTGTCTCGTATGTATGATGTCTCATGATAACCAGAGCTAGATATGTTCCCATGCTAACCCGCAAGTTTGGTCATACCTTGTAATATTAAGATCCTAGCCTTATTTAATTCTATAGAAATCTGTTGTCGTTGTAGTGAGTAAACCGAGCACGAGGACGACCAAACTTGCGGTCTGGCTTCTAAACTTGCTGGCTGGCTTCTAAACTTGCTGGCTGGCTTCTAAACTTGCTGGCTGGCTTCTAAACTTGCTGGCTTGCCTCTAAACTTGCTGGCTGACCACCAAATCTGTAGGTTCTCCATGCCACAGAAACATAACCTACTTCACTCTAATCAAATTATCAGAAAAAAATACATAAATCATGTTTACCATTCTTAAAGGAGATATGATTTATTAAAAGAATTGCGAAATTTCGCAAATGGATGTCATTATTTTATATGGGAAGTTTTTCTTTTAAACATTCTTCGATGCATTATTTTTTTATTTTCTTAGATATTAATTCAAGAACACGAAGGTTTATTGCCTTGGTTGTTGTCTGATCAAGAATATTTAGGTGAAATATTTGCTTCATGTAGCTACATTGTTGTTGTCGGGTAGTGATAAAACGAGGAACTGTAGTACAGAATGCTGAACGGAATGCAGAAGTGAATTGCACGAATGGGAATAAAACGCGCAAATGGGTCAAAATGATAAGGAGCCAAAAATCCTTAATGATAATTCAAATAAAGTATAAGTTCTTAACACTATAGCAATTTGCAAAAGAGGTGTGACATTCAGTTTTGAAAAAAGACTAACTACGTAGATAAGATTTACTAAATTATAAAATAGTTATAAATAGAATTTATAATGAAGATATATAACTCCCAGAAATCAACTATAAAGTTGGATTCTGCCAGCTACTTCATTACAAACATCAACATGAACGTGACCATTTGGGCTTTTAAACTCATCGTTTTTTGCTCAATTCCGCGTTTTATCCTCCTTTGTGGGATCTGCTTCCTGAATTCGCGTCTTATTTATATATGCGGAATCTGTTTCCGCCATTCCGTTCCGCATTTTATCTTTACCCGGTTATTGTCATCCTTTTAATCGTGAAATAGTAGTTTAATTGAGCAGAATTTTACATTCCTTTTTATGTAGCTGTTAAACCAACGTACATTCACATTACCCAATGGCGTGCCCTCATCAACAAGCTGTACAAATTTGTGAGAAATGTCGACTTTGTCATGCTCAATTTGCTACGTCGTTTGGTTGTGACAGCTACTCGCACTCTATTGGCGATGTTTGAAACGTCGTCAACAAACGGAAATTCTGACCAGACTAACGTTCACGTTGCTATGGAGTCATGTATAGATGATCGTTTCCAGTCTCCTCCTCTGTTGATAATTGAACTTATTCTCACAGTTCCCGAAATTGTGGAGGATATAGCATCTTCAAATGGCGATAGAGGTAAAACCAGTTGTTAGTAGATGCGCATTTGTAAAGGTTTATTTCCTGTTTGTGTCTTTATAATAATCATGAGTAATAATGATTAAATTTGGGAAAATATTAAGGGCTTGTTACTTAAATACCAAGGTATTTTTCAAAATTTCCTGCCAAACTAACCAAAACCTCCAACCAATTGGCTTCATTCACTTAGTTCGAAAAAGAAGTCCCTTTTTTGCTCTATCGATTTTAATTTAAAAATGATTCTGTGATTAGTGTTTCTTCCTCTCGAAGAAAGACATTACAAAATAGCTTTTCCATTTTTAGGTATCGCTGACGCCCCAGAAGACAGTTTTGATTGTACGTTACACGACAGCACTGTTAGTCTAAGTCCCACAAAGGAGGTATGCATTTCAAACCATTGTAATGTACTGTTTAGTATGTTGCCTACCGTTAAAGGAGGTTTTGGGAGGGAAATGGTATCAATGAAATGTTTTTCAATTTGTATTTTGATTGTCAGATTTGAGTTGACCCTCACTGTCATTGTCTTACACACGTAAACTAGGCATTCCTTCATCTGGCGACAATTCCATAAAGTATAAAATAACGTAACCTGAAAAAATACATCTTGTAAACTCAAATTTAAGATTATAAGTCAAAATTGAGTTTACAAGGTGTATTTATGTTTTATTAAAAGACTAAACATATTGAAATATATGGAGAATGGATATGTTTATAGATATAAAAATGAATATGTTTGAACTAAAGAGCAGCGTTCTCGACTTCCTTAAATGTTTCCAACTTTGTTGAACACAGGAGTTCTTGTCTAAAATAAATGATGTGATCATGAGTTTTCATCAAGTTGCCGCATCATTCAAAAGCTTGTTCTTGGATGATCGTGTCAAATCATTGGTAACTCCACCTTCCAGTGATCTCGTTCATTCAATCCGACAAACCGATCTATCTGAAAGTGTTTCAATGCCTGAATCTTGGCCTGACGTTCAATTAATCTTCGGGCAAGATCCTGATTATCAGAAAACTATCAGTAAATTGATGGTGTTGATTAAGAAAAATGTTCAACGTGTCGAAGTTTTTTCTGAGGTAGAAATAAAAATGGACCAAATACTCACTGAAAATATCAATGATTGAGCTTGCTTTCATTTCAGAACTATGGAAAGTTTTGTAAAATGGTTGATGTATGTCGTAGAGTAGATGTAGATAAATCGATGAACAATCAAATTTGGGGTTTTAGCGAATTTAACTCCAGTTTGTCGAGGCACTCAAATCAGGTCAGTTTATCGAAGGCTCGGTTTTTTTTATCAGTTTACAATAGAATTGAACGTACTTGTACTTGTAGTATAAGGCTTATTTCACATTGTAGGTTAAATCAATGAATGAAATGTTCCTCAAAAAGAGAATTGGTTTCATTGAGATGGATGCAAGTTCATTTTGCGCATCATGTGTCCCCTATCCTACTGATGTATTAAAATGCGTCCATCATCATTTGCCTATCGTCGCCGCTGAAGCCAACAGTGATTTACTTATTGTGATTAAGGTATGATGCATTTATATGTTGACTTGTAAGCTTCATTACAGGGATGGATTTGGCTGGTTGCAGTTAGCCAGCTCAGCGTTTCTTTAGATCAAAAAATGCAATTGATTAACTTCCATTATTTCAGTTGCATGCAAAGTAAGATATGCGTCATACAAAAGTTTTCAATAGAATCGGGACTACTTTTTGTAGTCTATACTGTGGCCGAGGCCAGGAGAAGCGCTTGCATCCACAGTAAATCCACCACTGTTTGTAGTCTATACTGTGACCGAGGAGAAGCGCTTGCATCCACAGTAAATCCACCACTGTTTCGTCAAATACGTGAATATGTACTAACTTTACATCATTAAGGACAATTTAAAGAAGTTTTGGCAATATGTCATTATTCATAACGAAAAAAGACTGACATTCGTAAATATTTGAAGTTCCACTTAGGAAGTTGTGATAATTTATGACTATCCTTCTTGTAGTCATACATTTTTTGTACTTATTATCTTACGTATATGCGTTATCAAGTGTCAAAGTGATCACTTCAGACTAAATAATACAATTTGGACGCCAGATTATTGCGAAGATTGTAATTTGTTCGTGATCGGTAATTTTTTATTTCTTGCAGCGATATTTCAACAATTTGACGAACTTTCCCGTTACTGTTGAAGAATTCATGGAACGCTTGAACATCCAAGCACGTGTTGCACGTGAATTGACTCAACTGGAGCACGATTTTGTGAAAGTGAACCAACTATACTCTCTCATTACAAAGTTTGAAGTGTGTGTCGTACCTGAAGAGATGGCTTTGTATCAAACACTAATGCCCAGCTTTCAAAACTTAAAAGTTAGTACTGAAGTGTTGCATGTTATGAAATGTTTCATGTTACAGAATGTCGAATATTACAAAATGCTGCATGTTACAAAATATTGCGTGGAATTAAGGCGTTATGCCATTGTAGAATTCATCGAATATGGGGAACTCCCTTTGGTTAAAATATGAGCTACGAAAACTAAACTTCTCTTTTTGTTTCATTTTAATCATACTTGGCAATATTTGTTGAGCTTTGTTTTCCTTTCAAAGTTTTTTCACTGAAAGATGACAAAATCCATCGACTGCATAACGATTACCCTCAACTAGCTTATTATTACATTTCATTACAGTCAACGATACTGTTTTCAAATGATTTCTATTACTTTCAGTCAACATTGCTGTTTTGTGAAGCCAAGAAAGACGAGAACATTATAAAGTTCAGTCACGATCTGGATGCTTTGATTGCCACCGTCTACCAAGACCTGCATGTGCTGTCAAGCAAGATACGAAGTTCTTCTTTGACTGGTTCAAATAACGCGGCAAAGACCATCTTGGACACGATAGGTGTTTTAGGAGATGAACTTGACGAGATTTCCAAAACAGCCCGCAAATTTGCCGTCTATCAGGATAATTTCCTTGCAGCTTTGTCGAGCTCTTCTCGACGCATGGCAATGTACGCGGATTTCAGAGCATTTTTTCTTTCACTGTTTGATTGTTTCTTTCCCTGTGAACCATTCAGTAAAGTAATTGATGGATGTGGATATTTCCAAACTTATGTTCTTTTTTTGTCAGTTACATGGTTTTTCTGACAGTCTTGACTTAAATGATAAAATAATGTGAACGATGTCTATATATATGTATAAGTCGTTGGTATGTTCTGCTCAGATATGAAACAATTAATTCATTGCATCAAATCTTCCAACTTCTCTAGTATTGCTGGGGAAGATCGTAGAAAGAACGATAATGCTGTGTCATTACTGAGAGACGTTGCTGATGTTGAACGTGATCTCTCACTACGAAAACTTCTGTGGGAGTCGACTGAACAATGGGCACAATGTGTGAAAGTATGGAAGGAAAGACCGTTTAAACTTCTTGACGTTGATGAGATACAAAAAACTGTCACTAAATTGATGCAAACTGTTTTTCTTTTAGAGAAAGGTATCGCTCTCTTTAAGTATTCGTCTTTCATGCCTTTAAAGAGTTGGTGACATTGTAGCTAATGACTGTATTTACAATTTCAAGGAATACCGAATAATAGCATTGTTAGTAAGCTGAAAGATGAAGTGATGTCATTTAAAGAAGGCATGCCTGCTGTTGTTGGTTTACGTAATCCTGCATTTAAATCCCGGCATTGGGAAGCTGTTCAACAGTTGATGCAGCAGACGTTCATTCGCGACAAACGTTTCACATTAGGAGTGCTAATGGAGAGGAATGTAAGAATGGCATTGATTTATAAAATTAAGTCTTGGATTTAAAATAAGAAAAAATATTAAGTTGTTCAAATCAATCGTTTATTTTATTTTGAATTATTTCTCATACTACCCAAAATGACTTTCCACCTTTAAAAACGACTTTTGATTTTCATGTATCCTTGACCTTGGCTATCATGTGCTTTGTCCTATCATGTTGTTTTGTGCATTGTATGTGTAGGTGTTCCATTATAAGTTAAAGATAGTTGAAATCTCATCTCATGCGACAAATGAGTTTGCGCTGGAACAGATGTTACGAAAGGTATACATACATTTCATTGTTTTCTTTGATTTGTTTTGGATCATTTTTCATTAATCTCGATGTTTCAACAGAAAATGCATAAACAAAACATGAAGAGAGTGTTTTTAGTACCTTTATCTTTGCTAGGTAATGGACTACTGGAAACGTACAGACTTTCATCTTATAGCTCATAGTAGCCGCGATATTGCTATTATAAATGGTGCGGATGATATAGCAAGTGCCCTTGAAGACAGTATAGTAACGTTGGCAAATGTCAAGAGTTCAAAATTCGTTGCTCCTATCAAGGTATGAATCATAAAACACTCTCCTTTTTTTTTGTACCATCGATCAGGTACATTATCGAATTCTTGAAAAACGAATTGTTAAATTTAGACTGATTAACAAGACTAAACATTAAAAATAAACATAACAAAGTTAGAAATGAAGTGCAACGTAAAGCGCGTTTTTGTTCTCATTATCTATCAGTCGCTTGTTGAAGAATGGGACAGAAAATTGTTATTGTCCTCTTTAACTTTGGAGGAATGGTTGATATGTCAACGTCATTGGTTGTATTTAGAGTCGATATTCTCCGCATCAGACATCAAGAGGTACGCTTTTATAGAGTATATTATCATTAAGTTAACATTTTTCATTCTTTGGCTCTTTTCTGTTTCAGGCAACTTCCGAACGAGGCGAAGCTGTTTTCTCAGGTTGATAGATCTTGGAAAGACATCATGCGAAGAACTGTTGACCGTCCAAATGCTCTATCGGCATCAACTGCACCAGGTGAAGTTATCATATCTTACAATCATATTTACCAACTCCTTTTATATAAACTGTGTACTTTGTTCATATGATATCACAGATTTTAGCTTTAGCATCCCTTGCAAAGTAATTGGCAAAATAAAGTACAGGGAAACTACGAATATCTGTGTTAAGTTTTTGGTCTATAAAAACCGACATCCGGTATCACATCTCGCCTGAAAAGATACTGCACTACAATCTGTTTAGAATTTTAGAATTTTTTCTCCCAATAAAGTACGATTCATCATCACATCATTTCTTGTATGTATAGAAACTGTAAGAATACCAGTTTAAATATTATGTCTTACTGACTCTAAAGATACCACGTTAATGTTTAATATATATGATTTTTTATTGATTTTTAGGCGTCCTGGAAATCCTACAGACCTGTAACACCCAGATGGAAAAGATCCACAGATGTCTCGAAGTATTAACTCCTTTTTAAACATATTGTCTTATTGGGACATTTTTTATGATTTTTTTTATTTGTGTTTAGGATTATCTGGAAACAAAGCGATTGATTTTTTCAAGATTCTACTTTCTTTCCAACGACGATCTTATTGATATCTTATCCAACGCTAAAGATCCGTACTGTGTTCAGGTAGGAATTTATTGTAATTTCATGCTTTGTTTTGCATATAATACTTGAAGTTGAAAACGAGAGAGTTCAATTATGAAAGATATCAATTAATCAAAAATGTATAAAACAGGTTTTTGTATAAAACATGAGAAACAGTAAATTAGAGAGTTAAATCAGAAAGATATAAACTAATAATAATTGTATAAAACATATATCAGGTTTTCTTAAATTATAAGTGTCAGAAAAAGGCACAGTGTAAGAAGAAGTTAATCGAAACATTTCTTGGTTTATTTTTTAGAAGAACCCTTGTAAACAAAAAGATAAAATTCGAAAGCAAAAAACCCCCTTTTCGGTCCATGTTTCCCGATAAGGGTTGAAAGTGGGGCTCAATTTAGAAGATACAAATTGCTTGGCTTGTTAAATGCTATCTTTATAAAAACTATTATAAAAAAATTAGATAATCCCTTCTTTCCATGAAGCCCATGCTTTTGTTCATGATGAGAAAGTTTTATTGTACCAGGAGGCTCTCGTTCATCACGAGAGAGTTACATGTAAAAAACGTATGTATAAACATATAAACATGTTCACAGTTGTTTTAAATTATAAGTTTTTAAATTTTTGAATCTTTGCAGTATCCTTGGATGTTCTAGTTTCTTTTATGAGATAAAGAAAAAGATAAAATTCAAAAGCAAAAAAAACCCGTTTTCGGTCCATGCTTCCCGATACCTTCTTAAGCGCAAGGCACTAGAACGTCGCATGTTAACGTTTCGGTAGGAGATTTCGGCCCCTCCACGCTATCCTACTTGGGAGATGCAATAGCAAGCTTCCGCCCATCAGACCCCGAGATCACCTGCGATAGGCTTTGCTCGGGGTACGCAGGGAGAGTGCGGTCGCCACCGAAGTGTGGGCCCCTAAGCCACTGCATACTATATCGCACCCAGCTTCCACTGCTAATTGACATCTACTATACATAATATTGGCTTTATATATATATACAAAAATTCAAAGGCTTACGAAAGTTGTGGTATTATTTAAGTCACTACTGCGCATGCCCAGATGATTTCTTTGATAATTAGCGACTAACTGAGCTACTTGCCCCAAATGTAGTGCAAGTACATATACTTAGTCGTTGCCATGACTGTGAACAATTAGTTGAGTGGACTGCGCATGCGCTCGAGCATGCGCAGATAATTTCTCTATTAAATTGTTACTAAGCATGCTATTTACTTCAAAATCTATGCTAGTAGATGCAGTTGGTGTTGCCATGACCATGAACTTGGGCAGCTGGTCAAGTCGACTGCACATGCGCAGATTGTTTATCTGAAAATTTGTGACTTAGCTAGCTAATTACTCCATAATTGGTACTAATACATACAGTTCGTAATTGCCATAACTATAAACTCCAAAAATTAATTAAGTGGACTGCGCATTCTTGAGCGGAGTGCGCATGCGCAAATAATTTCTCTAATAAATTGTGGAAGCAAGCTATTTACTCTAAACGTTCCCAGTGCAGCCAATTTTTTGTTATAATAATCATTATTATTATTGTAGAACGATCCTGTTCCTGTCATTTTTGTTGTGTTCATCAAAGTTTATATAAGTCTATAAGTATGATTTCTTTGGTTAGAAAATAGTTTTGCTCTCTTTTAGCCTCATCTTAAGAAATGTTTTGGTAATGTTCGTAAACTTGGTATGAAACATGATTCCGGTGCTTTCCATGTTCATTACATGGTCTCTGCTGAAGGAGAATGTGTTGCATTGCACAAGTAAGTTTGTTAGAAGAAAGTAAGGTAATTTGATGGAAATGAAGATATAGCGACTAATTAAACACTATTATCAATTTTGGAAACACTAGTATCAATGCACTTTTATCATTGTGATTTCGTGTGTATGAAACCTCTTTTGCAGGTCTATAAAGATTAGAGGCGCCATCGAATCATGGCTGACTACTATTGAACAAGCAATGTTAAATGTTGTTACAATGTAAGTTTATGCACTTTGTAAATTTTTAATTGCAAGTGTGAAACTCTATTGCAAGTGTGAAACTCTATTGCAAGTGTGAAACTCTATTGCAAGTGTGAAACTCTATTGCAAGTGTGAAACTCTATTGCAAGTGTGAAACTCTATTGCAAGTGTGAAACTCTATTGTCAATTGGTATTGACTACGTACCGTATGTTTGGGAGGTTTTTTTTGAAATGCAATTTAATGTGCTACACCAGAGCTTTTAGTTCTATATTATGTCAACTTAATGGACATTCAGTGAAGTTTCGCCATGAGATGAGCAATTTTAATATATTTTATTCAGGCATTTCAAGCAAGCTCTTAGCAAAGGAACGACGTTTTCGAATCTTGGGTTTTTAGGACACCGGGACAAGTTGTTTTAACTGTTATTTATACATTAGTATATAGTCTCGTTCTCTTATTGGTCCACGAATCTTGGGTTTTAGGTCACCCGGGACAAGTTGTTTTAACTGTGGTATTTATACATTAGTATAGTCTCGTTCTCTTGGTCCACGAATCTTGGGTTTTAGGACACCCGGGACAAGTTGTTTTAACTGTGGTATTTATGCATTAATATATAGTCTCGTTCTCCTTTGGTCCACGAATCTTGGGTTTTAGGTCACCCGGGACAAGTTGTTTTAACTGTGGTATTTATACATTAGTATATAGTCTCGTTCTCTGATTGGTCCAAGAGCACCGTGTATGTAATTCTCCATATTTGTTACTTATTGTATAATTTGGAAGCTTCCGAAGTGTTCAGCATATGATAATTGTTTTATTTTCATCGAACCTCTTCGAGTAATATAACAGTTATTGAGTTATACTGTTATGCACAAACCCTGGTGATTTAAGCAACTGAGATCTAAATTAAATAGACAATAAAGTTTACGTTTATTTTTGTTCCATGTAAAAAATTGCTGGATTTGGCTTTTGCATTCTGAGTTTTTATTTTAGTCCCAAATTTTATTCTGTCGTCAAGTTGTCGAGTGTATGGAAGATGAAAATAAATCGCTTCAATACCTCAAAGATGAACAATTATCAAAGCTGAATACTTTAGTACAACTGGTTATGTCGCAGTTGCTATATCATCAAAGACGATCCATCGAATCCTTGCTAACGATCAAAGTCCACGAGCGAGATACCTTACAGATGCTGATTGATGAAAATATACACGACACGGAAGATTTTCAGTGGAAACGGTATTTACATAGTTGATGCATTTGGCATATGTGGTATTTCACATGTTTTCCGACTCTACTAGCAATTTCAAAAAAAATGTATTGTAATCAGGAAAACTTTAGCTATGTGTTTTCCACACGCTAATATCCACGGTGGTATCTTAGTGAGGTTCCTTTTCCACCTCTAGTTTAGAAACACGTGCTATTGTGCTTTAGTCAAAAGAGAAAGCTCGCAGCGGTAACTGCTGTTAATATTTTTTTTCACTAAACTTCGCATTCTTATTTGTTTCTTTTAGAAAACTGCGCTACAGATGGAATGACAACAACAGCACTTGCCGTGTCCTTCAGCATAATTCGGGTTTTGAATATGGTTTTGAGTATCTTGGTTGTCCTTCGCGCCTGGTTATCACACCTCTTACAGATCGGTGTTATCTTACGTTAACTACAGCTTTACATCTTCATTTGGGTGGAGCACCCTTTGGTCCTGCGGGCACAGGCAAGACTGAAACCGTAAAAGATCTTGCCAAGGTAGTTTGATTTCCTTTTAAAACTATTTTGCTGTTTTTAGCATTTGTTATTCATTCCACGTGAAATCATTGTTAACGAAATCGTTGTGTGGAAACTGAAAGTATTCCAAACTAAACATCAGACAACCTTTGATAAATAAATCATTCAAAATCACTATAAAAAAACTTCTTTTCAAAAAAAACTCCTGTCAAACTTATTAGACGAACTGCTTTGACTAAAACTTTTAATTACTTTACGAATGTACTTGTGAAGAGAGTTTTAACTTCGAAGATTTTACTCCAAGAATATTTTATTTTACATAGGCAATGGGTAAGCAATGTATAGTCTTCAACTGCTTTGAGGATTTGGACTTTAAGGTAGAATGCTTGCTGTGTAAATTGTTTATTTTCAAATAACTTAATTTGATAAGATTATCGCTTTATGTTTGATATCTCAGATGACCGGGAGATTTTTCTCTGGAGTTGCTCAATCAGGATCCTGGTTCTGTTTTGATGAGTTTAATCGAGTTGACGTCGAAGTTTTGTCAGTGGTAGCGCAGCAACTCTACGCCATTAAGACAGCTAAAGACAACAATTCCCCATGGTAAGTCATCCGTCGGGGGGCTTCAACTTACACGTGTGTTATCACAATGTAAAAAGTGAAAATCCTATGACGTATACCTACTCTAGGTTTCTTTTCGAAGGACGAGACATACGTTTACGTAGTTCTTGTGGAGTTTTTATAACAATGAATCCAAGGTATGTATTTTTGTGAGATATAAAGCTTGGTTGAATTTTAAGATTTGCGTAGTTTTTGTGTGAATTTTAGAATATTAATTCAAGCCTTTCACCTGACATCGATTGTTGTTTAACTACAAGTTTTAATTACACGCATTTCAATATCGTGTTCATGTTGAATTTCAAGAACATTGTAAGCTTTTACATGAGATCATACTATAGATGAAGACCGAGATCCTTATGAAAACTTTGGGCGGATTTTAAACTATTATATTTGATTGTACAGATACGCTGGACGTGTTGAGCTGCCGGACAATGTGAAATCTTTGTTTCGTCCATTTGCAATGATGGTGCCCGACCTTATTTTGATAACAGAAATCATTCTTTACTCGGAAGGTTTTGTCACAGCTGTTCCGTTGTCGAGAAAAGTTGTCAAGCTTTATGAACTTATCAGTACGCAACTTTCGCAGCAGGTACACTGTCGAATTCATCAAAAGCTGTATTTAATATAAATGATGAACAGTTGACGAATCTAACTTATTTTTACTCAAAAACAATTAAGATATTGAAGTTATACACTTTCGAAAATTTCAGGATCATTATGATTTTGGACTTCGGTCCATTAAATCAATGCTGGTATTGGCTGGTCAGCATAAGAGATCAAATCCAAGGTGAACAAGTTGTATCACAATATGTAGTCTGTTGTCCCCTGGTGCTCTTGAAGTACAATCATTTTCAAATATGTCTTTGGTAGTGTGTTCATTTTTACAAAAACGAATAATGAAAAGTTCATGATTCAATTTTCTTTTTTCCGTCTCTTTGACACGACATTTTTGCTTTCTTTTCCATATTAATCTTCCTACTTTATACAACCATGCGGTTATGACTTTTACTTATTTAGACCATCAGATAAGTTTGATGATATAAAGCTTCATGAAGCCTCGTTATTACTGAAAGCAATTCGTAATTCAAACCTTGCGAAGTTCATTACAGAAGATATAGTATTGTTCGATCAAACATTGACTGATCTTTTCCCTAATATGACAAAACTCTCTCAAAATGATAAAATCTTTCAGGTAAACATGATATGACTACATTTTTTTATCATTTGTTTTGATCAGAAAATTTGATTTTTGTGTTCTGTGACAAAGCTTTTAAGCTTAGTGTTTAGTGGTGAACAATTTACCAGTGTGGCTCAATATTGTTTGACCTTGATATGTTTAAAACACAGCAAATATGTACCGTTGATGGAATCTCTGACCCATTCGAAAAAAGTAGTTCTTTCTTTTCGTTTCTTTTAGAAAGCAATTGAACTTGCTTTAGAGGAACTCTGTCTACAATATAGTCCCTCACAGGTGGAGAAAGTTTCGTATTTACACGAAAATCTTCTTGGACGTTCTGGAGTTGCGCTTGTTGGGAAAACTGGAGGGGGGAAAACAGCTATGATAAATATACTTAAAGAAGCCATGTCGTTTGAACCTATTTTGCACATTTTGGAAGACAGATGTCTTGCTCAAACTGACCAGATATGCAGCGTTACTGAAATGACCAAGAATGAAATCACTTCGTCCAAGGTAAATTGAAGATTTAATAATACCCAAATAGATCTTTCAAGATCTTGCATGAGTAAAATTTTGGCATTATATTGGAAAAATCTTGTTAGATCAATGCAAGATTATTCAAAAAATCTTGCAAGATCCTGCATGAGCAAGATTTTTTCAAGATCTTGCGAAGATCTTACTCATGCAAGATCTTGCAAGATTTTATACGTGCGTTGATTAATAAGGTTAGCATTGTTGAGGAGCAATAGCATTGAGATTTTTTGTAGTGTTTTATCCTTCCCGTGAAGACCTGGATTTCCCAATTCGTTTCTGTTAAACTTTTATTTATAAATTGAATTATTTAAAAAAGTAAACACATTGTACGTATACCGTTCATGCATGCATATATACACTTCTTATGAAATAAATACAAAGAATGAATTATCATCGTCAATGTTTTGTTTGTTAACTAGTCAATGACTATCAACTGTCTATCTTTTTAGGGTCAGCGAGCTAACGATTATACACTGTCTATCTTTCTATGGTCAACGAACCAATAATTATTCACAGTCTATCTTTCTATGGTCAAAGAACCAATAACTATTCACAGTCTATCTTTCTATGGTCAACGAACCAATAACTATTCACAGTCTATCTTTCTTTCATTCAGCATGTGATCGGCAAGAAGGCACAAGTCAACGTAGTCACAATCAACCCAAAATGTCTAAGTCTTTTAGAACTTTATGGAGAATTCAACTTTACCACAATGGAATGGAAGGATGGCTTTTTATCGTGTATGTTTCGAAAGTTCTCTGACGACAGCAACAAAGATGTTGTTCAATCTAAATCACGAAATGATAGTAAAGAATCTTACATACTGACCTTAACCGGTAAGAAAAAAGCTTGAATTATTGAGGTAGGTTTTTGTCGCGTTCATGCTGAAAAGCCCTTCTGCATGGGAGTATATAGATCTACAATCACAATTAATATTGCTTTCATGCAATTAAATCTTACAAACCTATGTTATAATGAAAGAAATTATTTGTTTATTGTTTTCTCCTCTATGTCATTAATTGTTTTGATTATTTAAAGATTGCCATGAAAGTCCGACATCAGTATCATCTTCCTTCGAGAATCCTTCACAAAAAGAGCAAATAAATGCTTGGTACTGGATTGTTTTTGACGGTCCTGTTGATACGTCGTGGGTAGAGAATCTCAATTCTGTTCTCGATGATACTCGGGTAATTTTTTTATTGACTTTATACCCTCCCCCTCCCCTCCCCCGGGATATTGCAATTCAAAACGTGTATGTCAAATTATATCGTTGTAATTTAAAAGCTTACGTCCGTGTTAAGCGTAATTTAGAAAAAGCTAAGTTTGTGGTCCTTTTGGTTTGAATACTCGGTCATCAAATTTTGTGATCAATGAAAGACATTTTTTTCAGGTTCTGTGCTTAGCCAGTGGTGAACGTATTTCTTTTGGTCCTGGTATGAAACTTATTTTTGAAGTGGATCATCTTGCTAATGCTTCACCGGCCACAGTCAGTCGCTTTGCTGTCGTTTATGTTGTATGTTTATTTACGAACGTTTTAGTACTCTCAATCAACACTGATATAATACAAGAAAACTGCAGTAAAAAGCAGAAAAAACTTTTTATTTAGGATCAAAATGATTTGGGTTGGAGACCATGGGTAAAAGGTTGGCTTGAAAAACTTATAAAAGAAAATAAGGTATTTCTGACATCAAGAACAAGCAAGACTAGTGTGTTGTGCATTAATACTTTGGTATTGCGGGGGGGGGGATCAATTGTAGTATGCATATGTAAATACCCCCCCAAATTACCGATCTTCCAATGCCCATGGCTGCCGTTCTTTCTTTTTAATTTTACTTAATATGTAAACGTTTTACAATCATTTTGTCCTTGTGTCTGTTTATAGGTTCAACAAGAAGGCTTTGATCATTTACAGTGGTTGTTTGATTTTACTGTCGACGAGGGTTTACGATTTAGAAAGACTAAAACTTCCTCAGATCAGCTATATCAGACGTGTGATTTAAGTATCGTGAAATGCCTCTGTGCTCTCATAGACGCTTTATTGAATCATGTTCATCAAGACGACGACGCTCGTATACACAGTCGTTCGTCTGAAGCATGTAAGTTTTATAATTTGTTTGTATGCGTTATATAATCTACGTTGTTTTTTATCATGGATTCTTACTTTTTCACTATCTACCTTTCTTAAATTCTTTTTCTCTATCTATCTATCGAACTAAGGAACTATGCTACAAAACTTACCATTGTTTGCAGCGAATTTTATTTAACTTTTAATTTGAATTCTTGCCAGCCGAAAATTTCAGCTCAACGCAAGTGTCATTAATCAACGAAGAAGACACGCTTCCATCAAAACAACAAGTGGACAATATAGAACTTTTGACTAAAATTTTCTTGTTTTCTTATACGTGGTCTGTTGGCTCTACGTTCGTCACAGCGGAGGAGGATACAGACTTTGCTTACTCTCCATCTGCAAGTCATAATGACATCAGCCAAGATAAAACGCTAAAAACACTTTACTTTGAATTGGAGACTTGTTCAAATCCTTTCGACTTTTTCATACGTCGCATTTGCCAAAATCATCTTGTCCTAAAGAAAATGCTTCCCCCTATTTCCTACACCGTGTTCGATTATTTTCTCAACTTGGACACGGGACAATTTCTTCTGTGGTATGAACTTGTCCCTAGAGCTGATGTCCTTATACAATCATCACTCACCCAAAGTTTAGGTTAGTTCGCATCGATTCCTGATTGGTCCTTGGTAACGAGCATGCATTATTAATTGTTAAAGCTATGCATCTAATGAACCAGTTGTTTGACGTTTGATTTTAGACGATGAACCCAATTTGGAAAGAGAATTAACTCTAGATGATAGTAAAGATCAAAATCTAGTACCTACGCGTGATACGATCCGTTATGGCTTTTTAATGACGTTGTTGTTACTTAACAATCAACCCGTATTGCTGGCTGGGGGCATTGGCGTGGGGAAATCTATTCTTGTTGAAGATGTTTTGTTTCAATTATCTAAAGACGTTGGTGAGAGCTATTTTATCTATTTCCAACTGTCAACGATTTTTATTCCACAATGAATCAACATCCATACTATATTTTATTGTTTAGTTTCAACAAATGGTCTGAAAAGCATTCTTGATAAAGTATTGCATTCCCGCAGTGATTTAAATGAAAATTGGACAGATTTCCAGAAGCATCGTGCCAATGTTTTGCCTTCATTGCGTTACTCTACACTACAATGTTCTGCAAAGCTCACTCCCGCGCATGTGCAAGCTTTGATTGTGAGTAAACTTATGAAAAGAAGAGGACAAAGTCTTGATACACAAATAGGAGGAAAGGTGAAGACTCTACCTTAAAGTGAAAGTTGACTATATTCAAGTATTATTGTGGTCAATTCTTTAATAATTCTCTTGTATTTAGATGGTTGTTTTCATGGATGATCTCAACATGATAGAGCCTGATGAGTATGGTTCCCATCCCTCCCTGGAGTTGTTACGAGAATTTATGGATCACGGAGGGCTCTATGACGTAAAACGGCTGCAATGGACTGATGTATTTGATGCTACAGTGGTAGCTACTTCCGGTCCGCAAAATGGCGGGAGATATTCAATCAATCCTAGAGTTTTGAGACATTTTAAGTAAGTTGTTAAATGCTATCAAAATGCTATGATATGAGTTTGAAAAACTTGAATGAGGAAGATCTGCTGTTTCACGATATCTCCAAAACTGGAGAATAAGAAGAATGATTGTGTATTCTTTCATTTCAGTGTTCTTTCCCTTTCTCCTCCTGCGGTAAGATCCCTTAATCGCATATTTCAAGTACGCCTTGGTCGACATCTACGAACTCCCGATTTTAGCCATGATGTGCGAGTGATGAACAATGAATTGGTGTCTGCAACGCTTGCTGTTTTTTTTGCAATCTCTTCGGAGCTGCTACCAACTCCTGGCAAATCTCATTACATCTTTAACATCAAAGACGTTAACAAGGTAACCCAACTGCGATAATCAATAGCAATATGTTGTTAATGCGCATCCAGTTTTCTTGCTTTTGACAAGTTTTCCCAAAACATTGTTTTAAGTGCTTGAAGTGAAAGGGATTCGTTGTTTGATACACGTATCTACTTTCTGTGTTACAGCTGTTCTTGTGTAGCAGGGGGGAGGGGAGATAAATGGCTTCTACATCATTTTTGTAACACTTAAGGTAATCATGGGCCTCATTCAAGCCAACAGTGCAAATGTTTCTAGCCGGCAAAACATGGCGTTACTATTTGCTCACGAAGTGACTCGAGTTTTTCACGATCGTCTTGTTGATGACACTGATCGTACGTTCTTTAAGAAGGTTTTGTACGGGAATATGGATGAATGTTTACGATATAAACTACCTGACGATATGCTAACTAATAACACGTTAATGTTTGGGGATTTTGCTGATTTAAATAATCCTACATCGGATCGAACTTATCAACGGATTGAAGATGTTGACTTACTGTCTCGAAATTTGCAGGTAAACTTGTTAATGTTTTGCCATTGTGCTGCTTTAAATATAGCTGAAGAGCATGGTAAATATTTTGAATTGCCATGATTTGAAAAATGTTTACGAGTCTGCACATTTTGATATCTATAAGAGATTTTATTATAACTTTCTCATATGTATTGTAAGGAATATCTTGCTTTGTTTTATTTCGAAGGAATTCTACGATCGCCTTCGTTCGACAGATGAGAGGTTTGAAGAGCCTTTTGTGTTCTTTCGTCAGGCAGTTGAGCATCTCTCGCGTGCTGCTCGTGTATTCCGACAACAGGGTGGTCATATGCTATTGGTTGGTTTGGGTGGTACGGGAAAACGTAATGTGGTTAAACTTGCTTCATATTTGGAAAATTGCGAGTTTCTCACGCTACGAACTATGTCCAACTATAACACAACAGAATTTCACGAAGATGTGAAAAGTGCTCTCTTTTCTGCTGGTCTGGACGGTCTTAATACAGTTCTGTTTTTGAGTGATAGATGTTTAATTAAGGTAGGATGAGTCGAGGGAATAGGAAGGATTTGGGGGAAGATGGGGAATTTCATGTGAAATTTAGGTTGATTTTGAGGAAATATAGTTTTTGTACACCACGCTTTTGACATAAGTGTCAGATAGTGGCATGAAGATACAGGGAGTTTTGTCTCCCTTTTGGTATCAGATTTTATTGTGTGAAGCTATTGAAAAGTTTTAAAAGGTTTTAAAATACGATATGTTTGGATGGATTAAGAACATATATTCAAAGCAAATCATGGCCTTGCATAGTTGCTTAATTTGCAGTATAGACGTATGCATGTTAATCGAGAAGGAAAACAGGAATTCCTATTTTTTTTTGTAGGAATCATTCTTTGAAGACATCAGTAACATGTTGCACGGTCGTGAGGTACCCAATATGTTCAGTATTGAAGATAGAGAACGTATTTTCATCCGTTTAAGAAAGAATGCAGACGAAATTTCCAATGACAGGCTCACTGTGTTTGATTTATTCAAACAACGTGTGAATAAGAACATTCACTACGCCATTTCTATGACTCCGTCAGGAACATTGTTTCGGCGACGCTGTCGTGTTTATCCGTCTTTGATTAATTGTTGTGCCATTGACTGGTATGATGAGTGGCCTAGCGATGCGCTGGAGGCTGTTGGAAATGCTATTTTGCAGCCTGTTAACCTTGCAGGTTTGTTATGCATACATTCATGTAATTTATATTTAGCTTCCTATGTACTATGATCATATCAAATGCAATTGAAATATTTCCTCACGTCGTGTATAATTTGTATGACGATCTTTTGTATTGTTCATTTCCTTAGTCTACTACGTATGTGAACTTTTCAATAATATGTACTCACAATTTAATATGGTGTTATCCTTACAATCTTTGAAATTCTACCATGTACTTTATGTGCTCCTTAATATAATCTTTACTCCTGTCTTTTAAAGAGTGTCAACGACTAACCCATCTTTCTGTCGACATTCATCGTATCAGTCAAGAGGAATCTTCTCGATTTTGGAAGGAGCTGTCGCGTCGTTGCTATGCAACTCCAGCAACATATATAGAATGTATTGAAATGTTTGTTAAGATTTACTCTGAGAAAAGGCAAAAATACATAAAATATAGAGATCGTTTGACTTCCGGCATACAGAAGTTAGATGAATCCTACGATCTAGTTGGGAAAATGCAGGAAGAACTTGTGGAACTTGCTCCTGCTTTAGAACGCAAGACTAAGGTATGATCAGTAAGATTACATGGAAATATCTTTCGACACTGCAACAGCTGCTATGTTCTCTGATTGTTTTTATTCAGGAAACCGAAGAACTGCTCATCCAGCTGGCAAAAGAACAAGAATCTGTTGATGAAGTACGTCGTGTTGTGTTGGATGAAGAGGTTCAACTAAATGAAGAGGCGAAGCAAGTTCAGGAGATTGCAAATGAAGCTCAACGGGACTTGGACCAAGCATTGCCAGCACTTATTGCGGCTAACGAAGATCTTAATACTCTTGATAAGGCTGACATTGCAGAGATAAGAGTGTACACGAAACCACCAGGGATGGTGATGACAATCATGGCTGCAGTTTGTCTTATTCTTAATGAAAAGACTGATTGGGTTAATACTAAACAAGTATTGGCAGATCCAGGATTCTTAAAGCGACTCATCAACTTCGACAAAGATAGCGTTACCGACCGAGTGTTCAATAAACTCAGACGGTACACTGCACATCCTAGTTTTACTCCAAAACATGTTGGAAAGATTTCTGTCGCATGTCAGTCGATGTGTCGCTGGGTGATTGCAATTGATCTCTATGCGGAGGCCAATAGGGCTGTTTTACCTAAACGTGCTCGTTGTGAAGAAGCTTTTAGAACACTAGTTGAGGCAAAGGTTTGTAAATGTATGTTTTGTTTTAATTGATTTGTGAAAATTAGGTAAAGATTGTCTTTGTCAGTCAACTAAGGAGGGATTTTTTGACTTGGGCTATTCATATTCCTCCATACCCCATACAGCCTGTAATTTATGAAAAAGTCAGAGGTTCTTTCAATTCTTTTCTTTACAAATTCTTTTATAAAACAGAGCACGGTTAAAAAACTGGCTGTTTATGTCACTGACGTTATAGTGTATAAGCTAGTTCATTACATAATTATACTAGCATGTGTACAATATAAATCATCAATAAAATCAATCATCACAAGCAATGGAATATGTCTGTGTTTTGACAGAAAAAATTGGATTTGAAACGAGCAGCTCTGGAGAAAATTGAGCATGAAGTGAAATTATTACAAGACCATTACCAAGAAAGTCTTTTAGCATTACAGTCCTTAGATGAGCACAAACGTCAGACAACATCGCGTCTTGAACGTGCATCCGTCTTGTCTAAAGCTTTTGCAGACGAACACCGGCGATGGACGGAGAGTGTTGTAAAACTTGACGAGAGCTCCCGAAGTCTTGTGGGCGATGCTTTTATTTCTGGTGCGACAATTGCATACCTTGGTGTTTTTAGTCGGAAATTTCGTGAACAGGTTGGTAACTATCTAGGATATTCGTGTTTTGGCTTTCAAAATGCAAAGACAAGGATTTGAATGATACATCTAATAATTCACAATCATTCTACACAATAAGAAGTAATAAGAAGTTTCGTTTGCGCATTGCTTGAAACCTGCTTTTTGTTTGAACGTAATTTTCCTTGCTTGAATGTTGTGATAACGATTTGAAAAAAAATACTTGGGGAGTTTTTACCAAGTGATGTTTAAGCTAAATTTGTGTCAGTCATATCTCACGTTTCTTTTTATACTCATTCTATCACTAAGATTCATCTTTTAACTTATAATTAATTGCCTTCATTTTGTACCAACAGATTTTCTCTCGATGGCTCGAGTCCTGTAAAGCGCGTGAAATTTCTCTAACTCGAAAATTTGATTTCACTCAGTTTTTGACTGAACAAGGAAACATTCAAAGATGGTTGGCAAACTCATTGCCTGATGATAAAACTTCCATAACAAGTGCTGTTCTTTTGCGTAACTCAAGGAAATGGCCACTTCTCATCGATCCACAAGGACAGGCTTTGAAATGGATTTCCGACATGGAGAAGGAGAACGAAGTGACCTTCGTGAAGTCTGGTGACGTAAATTGTCTTTCAATCATTGAAGGAGCTGTACAGTTTGGGAAGGCTGTTGTTATCACGGTATGTGATGAGAAATACGTGAGGTTTGACTTAATGTACAGTTTGGGAAGGCTGTTGTTATCACGGTATGTGATGGGAAGTACGTGAGGTTTGACTTAATGTACAGTTTGGGAAGGATGTTGTTATCATGGTATGTGATGGGAAGTACGTGAGGTTTGACTTAATGTACAGTTTGGGAAGGATGTTGTTATCATGGTATGTGATGGGAAGTACGTGAGGTTTGACTTAATGAACAGTTTGGGAAGGATGTTGTTATCATGGTATGTGATGGGAAGTACGTGAGGTTTGACTTAATGTATAGTTTGGGAAAGATGTTGTTATCATGGTATGTGATGGGAAGTACGTGAGGTTTGACTAAATGTACAGTTTGGGAAGGATGTTGTTATCATGGTATGTGATGGGGGGAGGGGGATATGTGAAGGCTGTTTTAATGAAGGCACAAATTGTAGTAAGGAAAATCATGAGAAATTATTGTGTACAAAGTATGTAAAGGCAAAAGTTCAAGCATAAAATTGCATGAATCGATGTTATGTATCGACAATTCTTAATGGATAAAAATCTTTTCTCGAAAAGATCATTTCTAAAAAAGAAATTATCACACAGGACTGTATAGACATGAGTTTTTATAGCCAACTTGACTGTTTACTTAACGATTTTGGACTTTTCTCAATTTCTCTTTTCATTCGTAATCTTACAGCCATTCATCTGATGTATTTTCGCTTACCTTTCAAGGAGGTCGGTGAATGTCTTGACTCTCGTTTAGAGTCAGTCCTACTACGTCGTACAACTTTACGTGGTGATTCCATGATGATGAAAGTGAACGAAACTGAAGTGGAATACAACAATAATTTTCAACTGTATCTTGATACACCTATAAGTAATCCTCAGTTTTTCCCCGAAGTTTTCAACCAGGTCACTGTGATCAACTTCACAGTCACCTTTGAAGGTAAATTATTTTATCGACTTCCTCTTGTATCTTTTACTTGTACTGATACCATCCACTAGTGAATTTGATTTTATGAATTTTACCTCTTGTTCTAAACATTTCGTTTTAAAGCTAATTAAATAGGACAACTGACCTTACGAATACATTTCAGGTCTTCAGGATCAACTCCTTTCAAAAGTTCTTTTTAAAGAACGACCAGAGTTGGAGAGTAAATTCTTTTGTCTGATGGAAAATGTTGCCTGCGATCGTTCCAAGATAAGAGATTTGGAGGACAAGTGTCTAGATCTTTTGCAATCTTTCGAAGGAAACATATTAGATGATGAAGAACTCCTTGCTACTTTACAAGACAGCAAGAATACCGCCGATAAGATACAACGAAAACTGCAACAATCAGAAAGTAATAGCAATGGAGAAAAATTACTTCTATAACTTAAAAGAGAAGTTGTGGAACATCATAGCAAAAGTCCAGAAATTTTTACCTTTAATTTAGATTAAATTCCTAGTCTTAGTGTTAATCGTTTGCGTGATAGCTGATAGAGAAATTCAAAACGTTTTGGTGTCACACCTTGTTCTATCTAGATGATCAAAAACACTTCATATGAGCTTTCAAATGAGGGTAGCAAAAATACCTTGAAAATGACGCGTTGAGGAGGTTGTTTCACCTTACATTTCTTTTGTAGTTGCTCGTAACGAAATGCGCATGACCCGCCAGCATTATCTTCCGGTTGCAACACGTGGTGCTATCATCTACTTCACATTGGTCGATTTACCAAGTCTTAATGTCATGTATCACTTCTCCTTACAATGGTTTGTTAACATTTTCACGGGATGTTTACTTAAAGAGACCGGAGCGACAAATGATGATCAAAAGAGAGCAAACTCACCTTTATTGGGTACCCTTCAAGCAGGTAGCTGCCATATGGAATGTTGTGGTTGTATGAAAATGAAGCTCTTTCACAGACTCGTCATCCTTTCTTCTCGTGACATTACAAATCTCCTTGCGAAGCATTTTCAACAATTATTAAATGTGCAACAGGGAAAAGGGAAAATGAAAAATTAAGTTTGAAAAAAAATGATGCGGGTAGGGTCGGTTTGGATCTTAAGGCACCAAGACATCATGTTGATAAGATGTTGTTCACGAATACGCTGATAATCACACCCAATATAATATGCTACCTTTAGTTCAATGATTTCATTAATGTGCTGTACGTCTATTATTAATTATATTTAGGAACAGTTCAACCTTTGTACCGAATGAAAAAACGGAGACACAGTAGCGGCGCTTATGAAATGTTAATTAAAGAGAGAAAACGCCAAATGAGTTCGACCGACGCATCCAAAGTAGGATTGCAAGCTCATCTTGAGAATATGATTGATACAATCACTGAAACTGTGTGTCATCACGTAACTTATGGATTATTTGGCAGACATCAAACAACATTCTTGTTCATGTTATGTTGTAATATTATGAAGCGCACAATCAATCCAGATACTAGAGAACCCCTCATCACTAAGACCGAATGGCGTTTGTTCATTTCGGGTGCTTCATCACCAGTATTACCTCAAAGACACGCTTCATTAACATCAGGTGACAATGGTAAAATTGACGTAAACAACTGTCATAATGGTATTTTTTTGCTTTTTATTTTGACGTACGTTTTGAATATGATCTGTGTATTGTAGGATTTGACAAAGAAATGAAAGATGGACATAAATCACGATCACATAAACCACCACTGAAATGGATAACAATGAGCATGTGGGAAGAATGTCTCTTTTTATCCTCGAAAATCCATGCATTTTTGGGTTTCTGTAAACACTTAGGTGTAAATGAGCGTTTTTGGTTGGATTTTTCCGAAGTCAAAAACCCTTATGTTTATCTTGCGATGAACGGCAACGCATTAAAACTGGGTAAGAGAGGCATAACAGGGACTGCTGAGAATATTTTGTACTGAGGGGGGGAGGGGGTTATCGATCGCTGTACTTGGGTGCAAATAGGATTGGTACGTAAGAAATTGCAATAATTCACGCGATCCCTGCACATCTTATACTGTTTACATTGTTCTGCTGTTTTCTTTTGCAGATGATTACGGCAACAAAAATGAGTGGCAAGTTTCGAATCTCAGTAATTTTCAGCGTTTAATGTTAGTGAGGACACTTCGTCCAGAGCGGTTACTTCATGCTGTTGGCAAATTTATCAAGGAACATTTTGGAGAGCAATTCATGTCGACTAAGCCGCTCAACCTCCACGAAATCTTCACTGAATCAACCCCTAAAGTTCCTCTTTTATTCATCTTAGCTCCTGGTAAGTGTTTCTAATTGTTTTGAAATTATATTTGTTTTGTAAGGATGTTGTCAAACTCTAACTCGGATGAAAATAAATTGCTTAAAACATTTGAATAATAAGTCATTGTCATTCCTGTCTTATCTTCTTAAATACTATCGAACAGTAAAGTTACATTTTGTACCTTTTTCAGGAGCCGACCCTGCATCACAACTGATGCGATTCGCCCGCGATATCCGAGGCAGTTCGTGTCAGTTGGATATGATCTCGCTTGGGCGTGGTCAGGAGGTGCATACCGAAGAGACTGTGACCAAGGCATATCGACATCGCGGGCGCTGGGTGTTTCTGCAGAACTGTCATCTTGCATTATCCATTATGCCTCGTCTAAAGGAAATAGTTCGAAAGTAGGTTCTTAATGTTTTGGATGAATTTAAAACATGATGTGACGTCTTTTTCCTTACGAGAGAACAATGTAAATTATTTCAAAGCAGTAAATATATGTTAAGCATTTAAATCATTGTTGGCAAAACGTTTGCTAGCAATATGTTTTTTGTGCTAATGTAGAATTAGTGACCCCACCGTCGCTGTTGAACCTGCTTTTCGACTTTGGTTGAGTTGTGCACCCCATAGTGAATTCCCAGTTTCTATACTACAAGAATCAACAAAGGTTAGTAAATGTCAGTGCAAAGAACGTGGTCTTTTTTGGAGTTTGTTTTTAGCATTCCGTGTTAGGCATGTATATACATATGAACCTGTTATTTTTAATGCTTGTTAATCTCTCTGCTCAACTCTTAACTCCATATCAAACTATTACGTTAAGTCGACACATTCAGATATGCTCAAAATTTTCCTAAGACACAACTGCAGTTTTCTTTTTATTATCCTTGCCGCAAATGAAAGGTATGAAAGGTATTTCTTATGAATGATCAGGCGATCATACAGAAGATCGCTCTGAAGATTTCTATTCGGATCATTAATTTGTACAATTCAAATTAAGTAGTTTAGTGTATGGCCTCCAAAATGATTATAATTTTGACTTCAACTTATTTGTAGATGGTAATGGAGTCTTCATTAGGTGTAAAAGCGAATCTTCGTCAATCATTTGCGTGCGTGGGTGGTGCAGTATCTCCCGGTATGTTTGAGGATAACAATCCTGGATTGCATTGGAAAAAACTTGTCTTTGGATTATGTTTTCTTAACGCCGTCATCCACGAAAGACGAAAGTTTGGAGCTCTTGGTTGGAATATCCCCTACGATTTTCGTGTAGCTGATTTAGAGGTTTATCAAAATTTTCTTGCATAAACGTGTTCTCTACGTATGAATGCATGATGGAGTAAATTTTGTACACATTGAATAAACCGTGTTTTGCTGCTATTTTTACAACCTTTTATAACTAGCAATATTTCTCATATTTGTTCTTTTCTTGCTTAATATAAGCTATGAAAATTGTTTTTGTTCTTATTCCTATTTCTTTATTTCATTTTATACGAATATCAAACACTCACCATTGATTCTCATCTATACTTTCCAACAGGTATCAATTTCGACACTTCGTATGCTGTTGATCGAGCATTCCCCTGTCCCTTGGCACGCTCTATTGTTTCTTACCGCTGAGATAACTTATGGTGGGCGCGTGACGGATAAATGGGATAAACGGTGTTTACGTAGTATGGTAGAGAAGTATTGTTCACAAGAGTGTCTTCAGGATGGATTCACGTACACGAGTAAGAAGGTAAAACCGAATAAGAACTAATATATCTATATATTATAGTAAACTTTTTATTATTGTTTTTCCATCTGAATTGTTTTTGATTTGAAAAATTTGTAATATTGTGCTTGAACCATTGTTGCGAAAGCTGATCTTGTTCAACAAAACATGTTTAGTTAAACAGTAGCTCATTCAAGCAAATCTCTCATACATTAAAAACATTTTTTGTGATGGTGGAGTTGTGCATTGTTTTTGTCTTTTCCATGTGATTATTTTCTATCACAATATTCAGATTTATTATCCACCATCCAATGACGTGTCCTTTTCACGTTGTTGTGAATACATCGAAAGCTTGCCTTCTGTGGATCATCCGGAACTCTTTGGTATGCAATCGAATGCCAATTCTCTTTTTGAGAAGAGCGAGGCAAAACAGCTTTTGGCTGATCTTCTACTGGTTCATCCACAAATCGACAAAAATGTTGGGTGGGTGTTATATTACATGCTATTTAAAAAGTTCGAGCCTTTCTTCATGTTATATATCACACACCCTTTACTAACTATTGGTTAGCAATAGCTGCAGGACTTGCAGAAGTCTTTCTTTGTCATCTATTAAAGCGTTTAACAAGAAACAGTCTTAAATCGTAGAATCTTGAAGCGTTATGAGAAATGCCTTAAAATTGGTTTTTATGTAGATGTGGAAAAACGAACGAAGAAATAGTTATAGAACTCATTCGGGACATTCAAAAACTTCTTCCCCTCAAAATTAGAGATGTGAATTTAGAAACATGTGCCTCAACACAGACAACTGTCTCGTTATCGGCGATGTATACAACCTTAAAGCAAGAAGTGTCTAGATTTCAAAATCTCTTGGATGTAATACACTCTTCACTAGTTGCGTTACAACATGCCATTGAAGGACGTCTCTTACTTACTGCTGAAATTGAAGATACACAAAAATCTTTGCTGCACAACCAAGTTCCCAGTGAATGGCAGGTTGATATTAATTATTTTCTAAATGAATCTAATCAGGGCGATATATTTTTATCGTGTTGATCATTCTCGATCATGTCTCGTGTTCTATAACAAATATAGAGGAAAAATGGATGACCAATGAAACTTACAATATGTGAGTGACGTCAATCCATGATTTTTTGTGGAATCATTGATAAATCACAAGATACCCAAGACGAAACACGTTTAAATAGCGGGCGATTGAAAATTTAATCGTTGTGTCATTGAATGGTTTTGACTATATTTGAGAAGAAAACAGAAGTCATGCTGCTTGTTAACATGTTACCTTTTACTAAAATATGAAATTCTCTTTTATTTTTGTTCGTAGAAAGTAGCTTATGGTTCTACGAAGTCTCTTGCATCTTGGCTGAATAATTTGCGTCAAAGAATAGAATTCTTTTTGCGTTGGTTTAAAGAAACCCTTGCCCAGCAAGAAGCTTCAGGATACTCGGTTCAATCCCAAGATTCTACGTCATCAAATGGCGTGCTACGATCTCGTGACATGCCTCGTGCATTCTGGATCTCTGCTTTCTTTTGTCCACAAGGTACGTTTAACAAGCTGCTCATAATATCCTAAGATCGATAGTTATGTTTAAGATGTATAAAGTGGCAATTTTCCGATTTTCAACTAAGATAATGGTGCCATTGAACTTCGTATGCAACGATCCTGTATCGTATCGAATTCAGCGTGCTCAATTTTAAACTTTCCTTTATTCAGGGGAATCGTCTTAATTTTTTGCATGGGATTTTTTCTTTTACTTTGTTTCTATGAGGTCAAGGTAAATTTTGTTCAAATCTCGATTTAGCTTAAATTCTGGAGTATATAATAGAAAATTTCAGTTGTTTCAACAAAAAGCTAAACATATTTAAAGCCTAGAATCATTTGTGTAAGTGCAGCTTTGTTTGATTTGTTTTTGTAGGTTTCTTTACATCAGTCCTTCAACGTCATGCTCGTTTACATCAAGTTTCCATAGACTCGCTGATGTTGTTTTATGACGTCACGGAACGAAAATGGCTTCCCGAAGATTGTGCTCACGAACATGACGTAGACATGACACAAGTGGCATTTGGTGGCTCCCCCCCTGATGACTGTATGCGTTTCTTTGGTTTGTATCTGGATGGTGCTGTTTGGAATGCTGAACTTGCATGTTTGCAAGACTCAGGTTTTAATGAAAGATTTACAGCCCTTCCTGAAGTCAAGATACTAGTGATGGTATGTAGAGTGTGAATAAAATTGTTTTATCAGTTCATCTTGATTTTAAGTATTGAAAGAAAAATGAAGTAGAACTATAATTACTAATTATATAAGAAAAAAAATTATAGCCAACTGTAGTTTTATTCCGATTAAAACGTGTAGAACATTTTCTTCTAGAACCACCTGTAATGTCATTAGAAAACCATTAATTTTTTTCCATAGAACGAAAACATCTGCATCGCATGACTAATATATATAATTATATGACATTGGTGCATGTTCGCAAATAAAGATGAACTGCATAACGACACGAGTATATCGTCGTTTTTACCAGTCAAATTATGTATCAATAAAATTTTTTTATGTCAAGGAAAAACAACAAGAAAATGTTGACAACAGGCTGCTATCCTACGAGTGTCCCGTTTATTGTACACCTGTTCGTGGGAGATCATTTGTTACTGCTATTCGTCTTCCTTCACGACATCCTCCTAAGCATTGGATCATGCAAGGCACTGCTCTGGTTACACAACATCCTGAATAGGCAATCCTCTTGTCCGTGAGTTTGTGGTTGTAATATCACACGTTTTTTATATGATTTTTCATCAATGAATATTCATCTGTTTAATTCGTTTTGTGATAGATGGTATTCATTTTGAATCGAACGTTTTCAAAGTTTGCAAATATTTTTTACATATTTATTTGTGTACATTTGTACAGATGAAACTTTTATTTGCTGTGTTTTATTTCAAATTGGAGTGGAATTTCATGAAAAAATCTCCATTACAAATGTGTGTGGAGCACTAAAATTTGATTCACTGCGCATATATATGTTTTCAAACACTTTATATATATATATTGCTGTCTTGCGAATAATCATATAATAAAGGTCCCAACCAGCCATTTGGAAATGCACCAAAATCAACTTCGAACAGAAGTTGGAATGGTGTAGTGTTAGACCTGATCCGAACTGTTATGCATGCGGTCAAGATTACGTAGTCAAGCTTGGTCATGTTGATTGCTTGCATCAACGATAGCAAAAGAAAGGCCAAACATTATGGTATATGATGCTGACATTCATTGGGTGAAATTTACTGATTTTTGTCTGAAATTAAGTATATATTTATCATCATGATCCATCCCTCTCGAAATTTTTATTGAAAATGAGAAGAGAACAAACTTCGATCCTTTTCTTACAAGTGATTTATGTTGCCATACGACATGCTTAACATTTTGTGTTAAATAACCTTTTATCGCGCGATATGCACAATATAGTAACCATAAATAAATAGAAACCTAATCAAACTTATATGAAAAAGTAGCTGGCGTTACGAAAGGTGATAATGAAAATGATACTACTGATTCAAAATTGGGTATTGCATATAGGAGAGCACAGTTTTATACTTTCATGTTTCAATGTATGTGCAATGTGTAGAAGTGATTTTATTACGTCTTCAACACTTCATATTTGGGTAAGTTTTGATTTGTATTTTTTTTTTCGTTGAAGCCGTCCCGGTTTTTATTAAATTTTCACGTTAAAAGATTTGTCCAGTTAATACTTAACGTCATATAATATATATAAGTTTTTTCCCCAAAATTACTTAATTATTTGCATTGCAAATTTTTGGATATCTTAGGCATTTCTGTGTAGAGATTCTTCTTGGAAAACAACGGGACAGATCCTAGCGCGAAGAATAATGCGTATTTGAAAGTGAAAGAAGTATTTTATGGCGAGTACAATGTGAACAATAAAATTTACATATGTACACAGATATGAACTAGAAATGCCATTATTAATGTGAAAGTAAAAGCATTTTTACATGGAAAAGTTAAGCTAAGAAATCTTATCATTAAACAACATTGATAAAGGGCCATCAAAACAGAAAAGAAATGGCAAAACCTAAGGTAATGAAAATATGTTAATAGTATGTCGCATAGTCAATTATAATAATTGCGTACATCTTTTCCCTTTATCTTTAGTGGTTTTATCAGCATATCTCGGTTGCTCTTTAGATTTCTATTTTCTTATATATATAGCGATTCACTATAGTTAAATCATACAAGCTCTTTGCTCAAAATTTCTTTATATATTTTCGGTAACTCGTTCAAATACTGTTCTCATTTTCTGTGATTTAAGTCAACAGTTTTATCACACACAGCAAACACTATAGCGGTCGTCTTTCTTTTGCATTTCTGAGTTACAAATACTGGTCCTTTCTGCACCATGCATCGAAATTTAAATAACTCTACCAACAAACATTTGAAATTAAATAAATGTTTTATCAAACGAGCTTCTCATTCCTTTATATTCTCGAGTGCAGAACTAACTGAACATGCATGATGGAACTAAAACAACGAAGTTATGATATGTATACTTTCTATTAAAAAATCTTCAAGAAATTTTGTTGACCAAGTGCCTGAACTTCTATAATATTTTAGGTGTTTATTTACAATGATGACTACAACGCAATGTGTACAGAGGTCTTTCGTCATCAACACATTGAAACCGGTGGAAATTTATTTGGATTGTGGACAACGATGGGAAACGCAGTTCTTCACGTAGTGCTTGGTCCTGGTATACAATGCAAGCGTACAGAAACGTCGTTTCATCAAGATATTGACTATCTGCAACGAGTTGGTCGTTTGGTTAACGACAAGTATATGTTATGTCACATAGGTGAATGGCATTCCCATCATTCTTTTGAGTTATCAAAGCCCAGTCCTGGAGATGAGTCAACGATAAGACGAAACTTTCCCAATGGTGTGTCAAAGTTTTTGCTGATCATTGCAAACATCAGGGATGGAGGTGACAGGATAGTTTTGTCGCCGTATTTTTTCACTAATGGCGGACGAAATTACGAAAAAATCGAGTATGTAGTCCTTGAAAGAGGCAGTCCATATTCGTCTGTTGCTGAAATTCAGTGTGAAAAAGAAAATGGAGCAGAGAATGGCGAAAGCCGTGAACGTGAGATGTGTTCAAGCCATCCGACATCTAATGATACTACAGAATCGTCACTTTCTCTTGTTCAGATTGATAAAAATATTGGAAATGGTGGTCAACGAGATCCTGATGTGGCAATGGAAAATTATTCTTTACAATCCCCTGAGATTGCTGCTGTTTCTGTTCCTGCTGAAAGTTGTGTCACAAATCGTTATACAGCACAAACGCCAAGAGAAATTGTAATGAAGCAGTTACACGATTATCTTGTGAAGGAATTTCATGATCCGAAAGTTGAGATAACGAAGAGGGAAAATAGTGTCGATATTGACATGATATTTAAGCTTAATCGGAATTTTTACTTAGTTCGATTTTGTGAAAATTTTCCTTCAACACCTGCGTTACTTTACTGTGAAAAAGAACGCAGAATGTTATACCAAAACTCGCAGCCTTGTGTCAAACTTGAAACGCCTTTAAACACTTTCAGCAACATTTTGCTTTCTATTAAGAAAAATTGTGACGTAAGTTGGCAGCATTTCCAAAAAATCGATGAGACAGTGTTAACCAAGTCTGATAGTCCTTATCGCGTGGATGATTTCATTAAAGCCTTGTGTCAAGAGATTCAAATCACTTTTAATACCCAGGCAACCTCAAGTAAATCGTTCAAAGAAGGGTGTTTTGAAATTTATTTTAAACACTCTATGCTTCATTGGTATATTGAAATCCCCGAAGAATTCCCAAGCAAACCTGCCGAAGTTTTCAAAGCATATAGAAAGGATGGCCATAAGATAAGTATTAGTAACTCAAGAAAACATCTGGTGGAAGCGGATCACATCATAAGCGCCATTAAACACTACTGTATTTTTTAAAATTTAGAATCAATGTAGCTACAATTATAGTCTTTCGCATATCTGATCTATATAATCTTAACAATGAACTTAATAGTGACTTTATTGCAATGGCATAAGAATAGCACAATATACCGCATTGATAGTCAGAAATAAATAGAAAAGAACAGAAATGTTTGCATCAATGATTTATGATTTGGTATCTTTCATTTGTATGGCTAATTGCCTGATGTTTGTCAGGCAACTTGCAGCTTTTTCCTGAAGATCTGGATCATTGGAGCCGACCATCTCAAGTAACAACTGAAACAGATTTATCCAAGAAACTTTATTTTCATCTGAAGCCAAGCAGTAGTTGCATTTTTACATATATACATTATTTAAGAAATAAAAGATGTTTACTGTGTTTCTATGGGCTTATGCAAACCAAGGAGACATTTGGGAGAACTCGAGAGCAGATCAGTGTAAGCCCGAGACCGAACGTCGAGGGTTGCACCTGCTCAAGAGTTCTCACAAACGTCTCCGATTTTTGCATAAGCCAGTGCAAACACGAAAAACATCTTTTATTTCTTTTATAAAGTAACAATAATGCAAAAGACAGACATTTTAATTTTTCCTCTAAAATGTATTCATGATCAACTTGCAAATTCTCTTTGACTGATTGATTGTTTTGACTAATTTGATTGGGTGAGCTCAGATGTGTTTTGCACAGGCTAAAGCGAACACATCCCTAGACCAATCAGCGCACGCGTTTCATTGTGTTTATTTTATAAAAATTATGTAGCGTATCATGTTTCCATGACATTAACATTTTAATATAGTTCACGATATCTTACCTTGACGCCACCATTTTTGTGAATAATGACACAGTTTGCTGGATCACGTGATAAATGGTACAAGGCTCGAACACTTGCCTCTTGTAGCAATGTGTCTTGAATGTGAAGATATTTCACTATCTTTGATACAACTCCCAAGTTGCGGAATGCTATTGCATTACTTCCAAATACACTGCAACTAAACATACATATCTGTATAGTAAGTATCCTACACGCATGCTCGTTCATGTCATTTCTTATCCTTATGCTTTATTCTTTATTGTGTCGTTTCCCCTTTTCTTAATTCATCCATGTCTGTATGGTGTTCAATTTTATATCGTATGCATGCCCTAACATTTAATTAAATATGCTTTTTTGCTAAGTAACATTTAATAACTAATTCAAAGCAGGCTTACGACAATGTTTTTGTTTCATATATTTTTGAAGTTTCTAGACATAGTACCTTGCTATCGCTTCAGCGAGATAACGTTTCACACCTTCATCGTTCTAGAATTAACAAAATTTTTCAGCACTCTTTGTTCAGCTAATCTTAAATGACATTTTTTATATATTTTATTTGCTTTATGTGTTGGACGTGGTTTACAACAACTATTTATTACTTCATGACTATTATTTTTTACTATGACCATTAAATATCGGTGCTAAAGTCGTAGAGACAAGACAAGTAGCTATAAAAATTGTTCACTTACAATATTTGTCAGTTTGGCGAGCAACGGAGCAACATCATATTCGGATATAATACCAGCATTTTCATAGTTCATTGCGACTTTTGAAATAACAGCACACACTGCTGTTAATACCTGAAAGCATAGAGTATTAAAATTAATACGTAAAACATTTTGAGAAATAATCATGTGATGATTTTGTTTGAATGATATGAAAAAATTGATAAAACCTTATGTGATATGCAGCCTTCATATTCTTTCCTCTTACTGATTATTCCCTTTTATTTATGTATTGATGTATTTACTGTCTCAAGTTGTTTTATTATTTTATATTTGAGCATTCATATTTACTCAATGATTTACATCAACTTTTAATTTAAATTTTTATTTAAAGTTCGAGGTTGCCTTAAAATTTATATACGAACCTCTGTGCTCTCAGATTTTAATAAATTGACGAGAACCTCAAGGCCTCCCACAAATGACCTGATGTTTTCAGCATCGTTCTAATGTACGTTTAATTCATTTCATAAGAAATTTATCAATGATTGGTTGAATTTAATGTATTTATTGGTCATACTTGTTCGTCTTCAATAAGAACATACAAGGCCCAAGCAGCGTTTACAATGACCTTTTAAATAAGAATGTCTTCATAGTTACTATACATGATGAAAGTGTATGCCTAAGTTTATAATTTACTAAGATTATAAATACTTGCTAAATCTTGGTTGTGCTTATAATCAATAAAAATTACAAGAAACGATGTGTCACCTTATCGTCAAATGACTTGAGCAACGTCCAAAGCAGCCTTATCGCATCCATTTGCTTAAATTTTCTGAACAAATAAAAACAGCTTTATTTTAGTGTTTTAAATCCTTTGAATGGGAAATGATCTGATTGAAATCTAGGTACCTAGCCTACTTTCATGGTGTATTCTAATTGCATGTGCTGGTCTGATGGCATTCTTAATGCATGTCCTTATTACTGTTTAAGTGTGTTCTAATTATACATAATCACAATTCTTTGATTTGTCAAACTGAAGTTACCATGAAGATGAAGCATTCATTTGTTATAACTCATTGGCAATGAAGTCAAGTTCAAAATTAGCTTACATTTTACATTGCTCGTCCTCACTGCTGTTGTATATTGCTTGAGCAATTCCCTTTAAGATTTCTTTATTTGGATGCCCCAGCATGCTTATCAACGCCTCACAGCCATCACAGTTGTATAACTCGGAGCTACCTTGAGACAGTCGTGTCAGTTCTGCGACTGTTCCTACGGCATGTGCTTGTATCTAGTTACGTTACAAAGAATCTAAAATGTCATGCAAGCTGTATTCTTTTTTTTTTTTAATTTCATTATGTTTTGTGGGGCTATCTGATGATCTGTAGATCATACTATGTTAATGCTTTTGTATATTGTTATGAAACGTGTTCTAAGAAAGGTCTTGTTTTAAAGCAAAAGTTTTTTTGTGCTGTTGAATGTTTCTTAAATTTTTGAAACCGTATTTCTTATCCAGGGATGTTTTAATTTGCAAAGCCTCTTTTCAGCGTTTTTTTTTTGAAACCATTTTTTTTTAACTTGTTTCGAGTATAGACAAATAAAGGACACTTTATCATTGTATATAGAATAATAAAAATAAATATAGAAGAAGATCTCAGTGAAAGTTTTCTTTTTGTCAATTATACCTCATACTTCCATTCATCGTGCTGGATATAATTTATAAGTTTGTGCATCACATCCAGTTGTAGAAATCTAGATGAGACATATGCGAAGGTTTGAAGGGCATTTTATTATTACGAAATGCTATATTATGATAACCTTTGTGAGTCAAGTTATATCAAAGCCAATTTGTGAATTTGTTGCAAAAACAGATGCTGTAGTAAAATGTAGCAAAGCTATAGCTACATTTTAGATAAAGTACGATGATAAGGAGTTGGCTTAAGAAAACCTTTTTCTTTCTTTATGTGAACAACGCCCAATGACCTTCAATGTTGTACTGTCAACGTACCGTTTAGCGTTCTCCACACTTCTTGCACATTTCCATAAAGCTCCAGTTGCTGCAGTCAGAGCTTTATTTTCCTTCAATGTAAGCATATCCATTAATGGTAAAACGGCATCGCCTTGGAAAACAATATCTCGCGTATTCTTTTCTTCGCCACACTAAGAAACAACAAGTCTATGTCAATGTTGATATCGGTAATTTAATATTAGAATGCGTATATTTTTGAATGGGGGCCGAATGCTACGTTTTTTAAAATCTGTTTTACTTAACTACAGCAGTATACTATTCTTAATTCTTTGGTTTTCAACTCAGCTACAACAAAAACCTATAATTGTGATAGTTCGTGGTTGATGTAAAATAAAATATAATAAGTGTATTAAAGATTAGTTTCTTAATTGCTCATGTTCCTATACCTTGAAAATAGCGAGTGCACAGTATGTCTTCAGCTCAAGATTTTCACGTTTTAAATGATTGACGACAGTCTCGATAACACTCGTATGTTGAACTGCCTTTCGAAAGTTTTTCTATAAAACATTGTATTATTTAATTTTAAATTGTAGACATTAATTTTTTTAATAATACTTATGACGTTTACCTCAATACAACATTCCTGTATTAATCCTACTACAGGAACTAGTAGGCTCTCATCATCAAGGACGACAAGTTTTTCTAAATATTTAACACCTCCTGTCTTAAGCAATGCAATGCGACATCGTTTACTATAACGACAGCAGCTCCACAACGCTTTCACTGACGATGTAGCCACGTTTCTTGCGAGAATCGTTTTACTTACTCCTCGAAACGTTTTTTTGGAATGCAGCATGGAAAGTTGTTTGCTTTCATCGAGGTCCAGTAAATTTACCTAAAACAACAAAAGATTATTTTATTGTGAAGCGTGCATTGTTTATAATAGTTATTTCCAAATTAAGTTGCCACAAATCAGAAACTTTAAATATTTTAGTGAACTTATGAACGTTGCACAAACATCTTTTTTGACTTACGAGTTTTCTTATTCCATCTTTTTGTTTCAAAATGTTTCTTGCCAAACTGCATTTGCTCATGTTAGCCATGACGATTGCTGCCCAACCAACAACATCTTTGTTGTCACTCAGCTCTGTATGATCCACAAGACTGTGCATTGCTAAATCGTACAACCAATGAAAGTGTTACTGTCAAAATCTCGTCTTTTTTAGTCTTTGTGTTAGGCCTTTACATACGTACAATTCTTTCTAAACGTTAGCAAAAAGAAGAGTAACAAGTAACTGTAAGTACAACTCGTTTTTAAAATACTTGCTTTAATTGACTATTTTTGTTCACCGTCATAGTTTTTATCCTTGATTGTAGATATAATGTCCACATACTTAGCTAGTTACATACCACCAGCTCTTACTAATTCTCTTCTGTTGTATTTGCTTTTGTCTGTGAGCGGTTCCAACAATTTCATTGTTGCAATCTAAGAATTTATGAAAAAGCCTTCATGCATGTGGGTAAAAACAAACTTGTAATTTATACTCTCATCTGTATAATTCGTTCGTTAACATGTCTTGGTACATAAGAAAAGACATTTTAATCTAACAATATACGCAGATCAGTATTCATGAAATTTTTTACCTTGCATTTGTCGTGGTCTGTTCTGAGCATGTTGGTGAACATCGTCAGACCATTGGCATCACGAACAGCCATCTGGCAAACTTCAGACCGCATATCAAAATCATTAAGGGCGCACAAGGCAATAAGAGTTGCTGTCTGGTTACCAATCTATGGTTGCCAGTGAAAAAAACAATTTGACTTTTGACAATTTTGGATGGTATACAGGTAATGATACAAAGTAAGCTGGCTGACTACGCCACTCAGTTATAGACTTGAATTTTACCTTTACAAATTTGATAAGTCTCTGGATTTGCCAAAAGTCCGACGTGAGTTTGGATGCAGGCAACTGAAATTGTTGTATGCTTGTGTTAGGATAACAGGACTTTGGTAAAAAAAAGATGTGCAACAGCTAAGTTGATTTGGTGAAAGACATTTCTGTTTTTAGTGCTCTTGTGCTAAAGAGGAGATACATGGTTTGACGTATTTATGTAAAAAAGGTATGTTTTTAAAGTAGATAGAGCATTCCTTGAATTTGAATTCATGGATTTAAGATAATGTGTGTGTATTTAAAGACCCTCTTCGTACTCATAAAACTTATTTTTCATGCATTGTACCGTAGCTAGATCTATTTTTCTGTCATCCTCTTCTTCACTCTCCGTTGACCAATCCATATATTGTGGTTTTGTTGAGCTTTTTGACTTGTTTTGTTTCACAGACTTTCCTCTACAAGTGCGGTTTGTGTCCATTTTTGATGAATATCTTTGACCATCACTGTTCCAAATGCTGCTATCAACCTTCGTGCTATTTTCTTCATAGAAGTGTCGTCATGTAAAAATACTTTAAAAAATCATTTTAAACAAAGTATATGTTACGTTAATGTCGCTAATGCAAACTAATAACAGATAAACACAAGATTGTTACAGCCAACAATAAAAATATATTGAGAAAGTAAACTCTGTGCTTGACCACAGAATTTGACTTGTTTAACACCACGTAAAAAATCGTTCAAACAGATTAATTTTTCATCTTGTTTCTTCTAACACATTCAATATATAGTAGAATCGACAGATAGATCCTGATAATTTTGTGTATAAGGTTAAAAGTAAGTAAAAGTACATGTATAAAGGAATGCCTGTTTTACCTGGCTAATGTTCTTGACTTAAGAAATCGAACCAAACTACCAACTTGTCTAAATGATTGTTGCTAAGAATATTTTAACTGTGCTATTATTGAGTAGTAATGTAGTGAATGAAGCGAGTATGTTTCTATAGTAATAGTTATAGCTCAAGAATATTCATTAACACCTGTAAATTAGAACAGGTGTTAAGAAGTTGTTTTATGTATAAAACAACGTTGTATAACATAGTGCATCCTCAATCCTAGCTGTAACAGTTTTATTAAAGAAATATTTTTAGTTGAATCAGTTTTTCAAAATTTCATTAAATGATATAGAAAAGCCTTCCAGGAAGAAAAACTCCCACAACTTAAATAACCACGAGCGTAGTAACGCTAAGACGGCATAAATGCCTGCATGCCCGCACCTCAGGGTCAAATTCAGTCAAATGTTACAAAGTTATTCTAGCAGACTGGCATGTGGTATTATTTGGATAATACATGATTATGTATTAATACTATTATTGCCAAAAATATGATGGGGTCAAGTTAGAAAAGTATGCGGAAAAATCGTTATGTATGACACATCACAAGGACAGCACCATGGCTTCAACCTGGATAGCAGAGCAATTTCAGAGCCTTTGTGAATTCGAAAGCGAGGTTTGTATCCATTTTAACATTTAAATATTTATTGTGTTCGTTTGACAGTTGACACGTTTTCATAAACATATAATCTAGTTAAAACATTGAAAAGTTCTTTTTAGTGTTTTACAGCTCAATTTCTTTTCGTAATTAGCTTACTTCTGTCAACATCTATAATTTAAATACTTCATTTCCGTCGAAGTTTTATTCACATCAACTGCAATTGAAAAGTGCAAGTTTTCGAAAATTGAAAGTCGTTTTGATTGTATTTTATTTAAATTCGCCAATAACTATTTTGATTTATGCAAGAGTTTACAAGTTATGGTTATTCTCATTGTTTGGTGTTTAGGCGCTTTCGGAGAGATTTGTTGTTTCTGCTGACGTTTTGAAGAATATCTTTGAAGTTCTTTCAAGTTCAACATCAGTCGAAGATGATATTAACTTGGCTCTTCAGTGTCTTGTTAAAATAGTGCATCAGTTACATTTCTATCCAAACTTCATAAATCAGGTAAAATGTTTGAACCAGAGTGTTTCCATTGGTCTTTGCTTGGTGCAAGTCTTTCTTTAGCTAACATTATTGCCAACCTACCTACCTTTGCTTATAGTAATTGTGATTTTATTGATATTTTTGTATGGTTCCCATCAAGAATTGTGATGTTGATCTCCCAACAGTGTTGTTGCAATATCTAGAACTGCTTGAAAAATGGTATGCCTGTGTTTTTTAATTGTATGATTTCATTGTTGGGTTTACCTATAATTGTAAGCTCTTCCATGTGTGGTGAGCTATCAAGCAAAGTTCATTCTCCTTTCCTGCTGGAAGTTTATGTTTTAATAAAATGCATTTAACCGCACAACATGTTTTTAAAAACTTGTTTGATAATTAGCAATAGCCAAGAAAAACATTTTAGCCCCAAACAATGTTGGCCGACCTATGGAGTGGATATAATTTTATTTTAGGACAATGCAGTTACCAGATACGAAAGTCATAATTTTAAAGTCACAGCTACTTGGTATGTATAGAGCTTACTTATTATGCATGAGCTGTCTAAACATGATTCTGGAGGATGATATTTTATTTTTTATCATGTTACAATTACTGGGCAGTATGGTAGGCAAGTATGTGTCTTTCATGCACAAAATAAAAAATGCTATGTGGATGTTAATTTGATAACAAGTGTTATGCTGCTTGTGCCATATGCTTGGCATGCAAATAGTAATAATCAAGACCTGATTGCATGTTACACCAAATCAACAAAATATTGCACATAGCAAATGAATCATGAAAATGTTTTATCCTTATCTCACCACAAACAAAGTTGCTTCCAACCAGTTTCTGAAAAGGTTTAAATGAATTGTTTCCAATAAGTTTTTATTCAGTAATCATTTAACCTTTTAACCTGATATTCTTAGGTATTTACACTTGCGTGGTTGCTTAAATTAAAATATTCATACCAGTTTTGCAACTCTAAATTCTAGATACTATATGTCAAATGCTTGAATGTCATGACAAGCCAGCACTTCAGGTATGTCACGACAAGCCAGTTCTTCAGGTAGGTCATGACAAGTGCAGAATGCATGTATTTCATAATTAAGGTTTCACAGCAACTTCAATGAATAATACATTTCTCATTTCTTATGGTTTCTTCTCTAATCAGGCTGTGTTTCTTGGGCTAAGCTACTCTAAAATCATACTGCTCAACTTGAAACTAATTCTTAAAGTGGACAAGACAACATTAAAGGTACGATTAGCATTGACTTTTGTGAGAGATACGTATAAAAATGGAATTGCAATTCTTGATCATATTTCTTGGTAATCATATTGCTTTTAAAAGTACTTTACCTTGATAATAGTTTGCCAACCTTGAATTATTTTTTAAGTACTATACACACCTTATTTAGGAAGATGATCTGAATAGATGGAACCAGTTGTTGTTTTCTTCATTTCGCACCTTGCAGACCTTACTTAGAGGCTCCAGTGTTGCCAAGGTATTTATTTTTCACTTAGAATATTTCCTACATATTGACATCACCATAGAGATTCTTTATAATATATATCCTAACACGGTTTTTACATGCACATGAAAAACATGTGACTTGGACGAGATATGAACTCGCACCTTCGAGATACTAGTCCGCCGCTCTACCTGTTGAGCTACCAAGCCCACAGGGATTAAAACTACATATGGATGAAAAGTTCTCGCCACAATAGCAGTTACTGGATGGCACTGTGTTTCGACTTTATTCCAAAGCCATCATCAGAGAGATAATACATAATTATGTATAATCTCTCTGATGATGACTATGGAGGTTCTATGATACAACAATAATATACTGAAAGCAGAACATGTTACAGCTAGTATCTTAGTACACATTCAATAAAACTGCATTAATAATGTATTTCAGGAGATGTTTGCAGAGTCAAAAGGCTACAACACTGTTCGAGATTGTCTTCTACAATGGCATTCACCTTCAAAAACAGTTATATGCAGTCTACTTAAATGGGTAAGGTCTACCTACCATGGTCACTGTACATACGCTAATTTTTATCAATATGCAGCAGCAGTTTGCTTATGTAGTGATAGATTAGGAAGAGGAGTGGGGAAAGATGTGCAATGCTTGTGAAGTTTTCATGTTGACTAATTGTCTTTCTTCCATTCCATGATTATTGCAAACACTTTTGTTTCAAATAAAGATGATTGGAAGCAATTTTGAGGAAGAAACGCTTGAAATTGATGATGAAAACCTTGTGCCAATTTTGATTGATTGGATTCCTTGCATCGACAAGGATTTACAAAGGTTTGCCATTTTTGCTTGTTTGCTTGTATTAATTATGTTTAATAGTGTCCTTAAAGTGTATAAAAGTTTTTAAAACGTTGTCGTTATTATCTCCTTGATTGAATTTTATCAAAAGAATTGAATTGATCTTTTTCAATACATTTTTTATACCTGCTTTGACCTTCGTTACCTCACTATTCTCTACTTTTACCAACGTTGTCTCACTTAGAGCTGTGTAAACTCTGTGTAAACTCTGTGTAAACTCTGTGTAAACTCTGTGTAAACTCTGTGTAAACTCTGTGTAAACTCTAGGGGGTTTACACCGGCTCCGATTGAGAAAACTCCGACACCAGCTAAAAAAAACTCTGGCTTTTGCCAAGAAGATTCGGCTCCTAGTAAAACAAGTTTCAGCTCCTGTAGAAAGTTTAAAGTTTTTACTTTTTCATCATCAAAAACTTCGTATGTTTGCTGTATTTTTTGTTCGAGTTTAGACATTTACGAAAATCTCACAGCCAGAGTTTTTCTTTTGCTCACAACTCCGTCCCTCCAGTGCACAACACCAGCATATGTCGGCAACAAATCATGATAAATCAATGAAACAGCGTCTTTGTGTTCAATAATCGTTTTCTTTCTTCATTTTAATCAACAGTTGTTTAATGTTTAGATTTTTATCTGATGGACTCAGAAAGACGTTAACATTTTCATCATATAATTTGATGGTTTGTTCAAAAACTGGAATAATGTCAATTGTCCTCAATCATTTGAAGCAACGAAAACGTTTTCAGGACGATGTCCGAGGTATACGTCATGTTCTTGAAATTTAATAAACGACATGTTCTATGTGATCTGAAATCATGGAACTCTTGAATTGTACTCTATTTCGTTTCCAAACATTGGTCAGCCTGAATATAATTACTGTATTTTTACTGTTTTTGAAACGAACTTCTGTTGGTAGTCAATGGACATTCATTGTTTAATATCGAGTTTCCATTTCAACTTGGAGTTGTACACTTTTTCACTACTTTTTGCTCTTTATATTTTAGCTTATGAGTGATTGCATTTGTGATGAGCCTGTTTGTAGGTTTTTCCTTGCAAGTCTTTATCTGAGTGTTTGCCCGAGGGTCGTAATAATAGTCTTGTAGGAACTGAAAGAGACATGGCTTATTGTCAATGAGTATATATTATAAATTTTAACAACTAAGAGAATCTCTTTTTTTCAGAGAATCTTTTAGTTATGTTTGAAGTGCTTGCAAGTGTCTCCATGTCACCGATGGATTTTCGTGAGTACATAACTTTGATAAAACCCTCTGAAGATGGTGCAGAAGTAAGTTTATAATGTATTTTTAAATTTGACTGTGATTATTTATAATTTGTTTTCGCTACAATTCATTTTTTATTTTTTTTTTATTTTATAGATTGATGACTTTGACCGTCTTTTGAAATCATTGATCAAAATATCAACTTACAGTCAACAGATTTCTAAACCGCTGTCTTATTTTGATCTGCGCTACCAGACAAGTGTATGTAATTAACAAGTGTGCATTCTTTAGTACAACATAGCATTGTTATTACAAAAATCACCCATGAATACAGTTTCCATTGTGTGTAAGGTGCGTTTGCTTTGATGATTTATATAATTGACTTCATACTACGTAGCAATTACTTCTTTACAGCTGATTGCACCAAGAGCAAAGTTTCGTTTAGTGTTCTAGAGTTTCGTTGTCTACTAACTGGCTTTTAAAACCTAAAAAATTACGTCACGTTTAGGGTATTGGAGTACCTACGATAGAGAAGTGGGGTGGCTCAGGATTTACCTTTCATGCTTGGATTTGCTTACAATCTTTACGAGAGGACGATGATATATCATTGACTGCAGATGAAGGTGATCAAGTGTCGTTCTCCTGGCCTTATCGAAGACAATTATACAGGTACGTAGTGCATTGTAGTATGAAGTCTATTGGCAATGTAGCTTAATGTAAATATGGATTTTGAAATTTTCGACATTTTAATGGTTAGTTTGTGCAAGGTGTCTTGCACAGTTTTTGTTATTTATGATTGTGATGGAAGTTTTAATTTTTGTTTAAAATATTTTATGACAAACTTATGTTTTCGTTTGTAGCTTTTTGACATCGTGCGGTTCTGGTTTTGAAGCATTCTTTACGCCTGAAGGACATTTGGTCGTTGCTGTTGCTACCAAAAAAGAATACATCACAGCTCCGTTAGTGGATGTCGTTTTAGCAGATGATCAATGGGTGAACATTCTTAAACACAAATGAAAACATTTACTTTCACAACCACGGACAAAATTTTCATGTTTGTTTTTCTTATATAGCATTCATTATTAATAATTCATTCTCAACATCGTAAAGGATTGGCACGCAAGGATCAGTTATCCGTGTTGATTGATGGTAATATGAAATTAGCGATTCCTGTAAAGGTTCCTCCAACGTCAGAGGTTAGTGAAACTATGTATAAGTTAGATTTTACTTAGACTTCAAAAACGGGCATTCCGAATTATTTCTCCAGACATAAGTATAACACATGAAGCTTTGGAGAAGCTAAATGTTCCATCTCTATACAATCGTAGATATGCTATAATCGGCTAACGACAACGACATAGGTAGTACGAAAGCCATTTTTCCTCTGCATTCAATAGCTCGTACGGTTTTCAAAATGTCTAAACACTAAATACATCTAGATAACACGTGCCTCTCGAAAGCTTGTGCCCGTAGGCATAATCCTACTTAGACTACTGAATAATCCGCCACTCATGTCTGTTCGCCGTTCTTGCATTTTCAACATGCATTAAGAAGTTTATATTTTTTTCAGTCGTTTACTTCATGTAATATTGGCTGTGGTGGACCACAGACAATTTCTTCTGCGCACGATGTAACGATGTCAACGATAGGAAACTTTTCTGGGCAAATATCTTCATTTTTTAAATCACATTTGAAAGAAACTTCTATCCATCCAGTTCATCACACGTCATCGACGTTTTCCAAGTTTCGAACTCATGTTCCCATTGGTCAACAAGACGATTTTTGGGGCACCCCCGTCTCCATGCAGGGTCAACTTGGGCCTGTGTGCGTTTTTAACAATGCTTTAAATGAAAGACAGGGATTGGTATTAAATAATGTAGGTCAGTATTCATATCACTTCTAATTTCACCGATTTTGAATTGTTTTATTGTTTCTCTTGTTTTATCTGTTTCATTTAACTTCGTATAAACATGTCTGCATATCTGTCGTTACCATCAAGTTGTATACAATAAAATATGTATTAACCTGAATGATAGATAAAGAAATATGCGAGGCTACACGTTCATACGTATACTGATTTTTTATCTGTGCTATTTATACAACAGGTCCTTGTTGCGTATCTTTGTTTCAACCATTGGGCTCATTAGATGATGAAAGTTCCACCGTTCAGGCTGATCTTTCAACTAAACTTGTTTTGTATTATTCTGCAAAGGTAGTTTTTGTTGTTTATCTTTATGAAATTTTGACATTTTTTAATGAATCAAGTGAATGTGTTAATGAATTAGACAACTTTATCTTCTATCGTTTCTCATGAATAGACGATAAACTTTTTTTTGTCTGTTTAGGCTTGTAAAAGTAATAAATGTATTGATCTAACTCCAAACCGTTATGGGCACAAGAGAATTGATGGCCGGTAATGCCTCTCAAAACTACAAATATTTTTTTCACAATTTGTATCACAAAGTATTTTTTCCTTCGCAGACTTACAGGAGAAGTTTGCACTAGTTGGGATATAAAGGTCAGTGTGTTTGTTCTGTGAAACTATACCATCAGTAACTTTGATTACGCATTTTCACATTTGTTGAAACATAAAAAGGTTCATAGGTTTTATTTAAGCGAAGTTTACTTGCGTTTGAGGTAGCTCTCTGAGTATTTAACAGTGCCTGTATGAACTGAATACCTCTGAGTATTTAGAACTGAAGAGATTTTTCTTCTAGTTGATATCATTAGTTATTGTATCTATTATATTATACTATGTTGCTCTTGTATACCTATGTCGAACTGTGAAAGAATGACATTAATATATGCCAAAATAAGTAAATAGACTTAGTTATCCTGGCGTTAGTTTTTAACCAATTTTCTCATTTATTAGAATGTCATCAATAGCGTTGGTGGAATGGAGGTTTTTCTACCTTTACTGGAGCGAGTAAAGCATGACGTTGGGGAGAACTACGAAGAATCTGTTGCAAAAAAAGAAGTGAACGCGATTACCAATGAAGAGAAAGCATTGAGTTGGTTAGTTTATGATGTTTTGTTGTTATAGCCATGAAGAGAAAGCATTGAGTTGGTTAGTTTATGATGTTGTTATTGATAGTTTTTGTCTATAAATTGGCTTCTCCCTAAAGATATTATGTCAAAGAAATTGTTCAAAATATATTTGTGTGTTTAGTGTTAAGTTAATTTTATGAATAAGTATATCAATGCAGATGTCTGATTTGTGTATTATAAAAAATATTTTGCCTTTTTCTTCAGCGAAGAAGAGAGTGTAGAAAGTCCTACGTCTCCCGTGGAATCATGGGTAGTGGTTGATGAAGAGGAAGTGAAGAGACAACCGGATACATTCAGCAAAACCATTTGGCTTGTCGACGAGATGACACGCGAGAACAACAACGGTGTTACAATCATAATAAATTTGCTTCAAAATATTCTCAAAGGCAGTACGTTATCACGTGACTCGTTTTTAAGATCACGTGAGTTAGCTACCCTGGAGTCGTGTTGGCAAAATTGATGGCCGTATTATAGACGCTCATGTTCTTATGTCAATACAGAACCTATATGAGACACTTCTTGGTTGTAACGAGCTACTAATGGCTTGCGTGTTACAGTATATAATATGTAACTTTTCCATTTGGTCAAGATGCGATTTTGGTATTCGAGTTGGCCATGTTCAATATTTGTCTACTTTAATCAAAGACAATCCGACCTACTTTCGTGCAAAGTTTGGCACCCAATTTATTTTGGATGTAATCAGGACTCATTATCTTTGTGATTCTACTACAAAGGATCCTACTGAAATGATGGCAAAAATCAGTGATGACGAAGCAAGGATAATACGTGGATCTTTATTGGGTATGTGTCAAATTAAGAATAGAATATTGTGAGATAAGTGGAATGGTATTCTTTTATGTTGAGTTGATCAAGTATTGTAATTTATTGATAAACTGCTGTCGTGAATAAGGTTTAGAAAGTGCTTAAAATTGCTCACTAGCGGAATGTAATCTAATTGATATCAAATGTATTTAATTTAACCCTTTGTTGCATGGCGTTGCTTCAGAGCAACAATCACCAAACACGTTGAAGCTCGGTCAGCGAAAAAATTCATGCAACAAAGGGTTAATATAAATCTAATCCTGATCTAAAATTCTAAATCATAATTTTCCACTCAATCGTTAGCAAATACAGTTTATAAAGTGCAAGATGAAGAACTTTAAATTACGTAGCTAGATGTTGAAGCATATTGTTACATGCGTTGATAAATCAATATTTATGCATTTTATTGCAATAGGAATGATCAATTTTTTCCTGAAAGTGAAAGTATTTCCTCACGATGTGACGGCTTTGATGGATTTTATTGCCTCAGTAAAATATTCTGATGTTTTAAAAGAAACGCTAGACGTCATTTATAGTATTTGTAATGGACCCACAAATGTTCCTTTTATGGAAGAAATTTCCCGTAAGTAGCTCCTATTCATTTATACTGGCTCCTATTCATTTATGACTTTGAGGAAGATGTGTTTTAAACGTTTTCGAAACAAAGCATTACGTATTACCCTATATTTACATCTTGACTACTTTTGTTTTTGTGTGTCAATCACCTGCCTTTGCATAACATGAAAAAATGTTCAGTTAAACGTGTTGTCAGACGTTGTTCGCACTTAGTTTAAGGAAAAATGTGACGAAATCAAGCGTAAATTGTATGTAAGGTTTGAGGGTTGGAACCCCGAGGGAGAGTTTGATTGTAAATTGTCGATTTAGAAAGCTAGGTAGATAATTTAAGTGTACTTTGCACTCATGTAAAAGATGTGAAAGCTCTGTTATTCATAAAGCTTATAACAAGCTTTATAATGCTTGAAACATGTACTTTTGTACTTTTATGGAAGAGAAGCAATTACTTTGTTAATGTTCTGTATCAAGTGCAATTTAGACTGAGAATTGCGATGTTTTTAATATAAATATGGATTATAATCACCTAGAGAAGGTTTAAAAAGAACACAATAAAAACACAACAGAAATTTACATATGATCATTTATTGCAGACAAAAGACACCTTACTGTTCTTTTGATGCTTATCAAAGATCTTCACGAATTAAAGCTCCGTTGCAGTGTCATTCAGATTCTGTCAAGTATTTTGGGCAATGGTCTGATCTCCAAGACATGTCAAAGCAATCTAAATATATGTGGCGAAGTGTTTGTCGGCCTGACGTCAAGTCTGAAGCATGCAGACTCTGATGGGTATGCTGAAATAGCTTTGATAGAGCTAGGATTAAGTAGCTCAGAACATTTGAGAGATCAGAAGATTCTGGAAGATTTCACGTTTGTTCTTCCGGTCATTGCATTGTTACGAAATAAGAGCACTTCTGTCAAATTACATATTTCCCAAACGGTACGTTAGCTGTTGTTGAAGTCTAAATGACTAGGTCGATATCTTTAAAAGTTTTGTTTTTTTCACTTTTGCTTCATGATTTTATGTCGCTTACATGCTTCTTATGCTTCTTTTAAGTTATTAAAATCTCTGGAAGGATCAACTACAAGCGCCATTAACTGCGCTAAAGAGGTTGCATGGTATGATCCAATTTGGCGGTTAATTTTAAAGTCTTCGAAGGACGACTCTCATGTGGACGAACTTTCTCAGGAACTGTTGGAGACTGTTGTGAAGTGTGTCTTCTATATACTCTGGTTTGGTATTGAAGGAAATGATCATAGTGCCTGGAAGGTAAGGGATGTATAAAAGATTTATGAATACATTGAAAGATAAGATTTGGTATTGAATGTAGTCACGTGATAATGAAGACTAGAAGTTATATTAGTATAGAATAAACTCGCACATAAATCGCATTCTTCATTTTATCGATGCCACAAAGGCTTCAATGTTATTTTAAAGTTTTCCTGTTCTCATTGCAACATGTTGAATGATATCTTTGTGTGGCGACTACTTTTTTTACTTTCCAACAGGTTCGTGGTGAAGTGATCGCTTCTGTAAGCACGATTAGTTCTGTTGACGATTTTATTGTGCCTTCCCGTGAACTTGAGAGGCGTCTTTTAGAGTTATCGCTTTCCCAGGTTTTGTGTGATATCGAGAAATCTGGAGAGACTGGGGCAAAGGAAACTATGAGTGCTCTCGAGGTTATAAAACTCGTTGATGATTTTATATTCACATCTGGTGAGATTTTGTTTTTAGGAATTTGATTGTTAGGATTTTTAAAAATGAAATTTGTGTTTATTGTTTAGGCAACATTGCTGGATCTATAGAAAATGATAGTTTAAGTACTTGGAGTATAAAGGTAATAATTTTTCTAAGCTTGATATTTGACGTGAACTAGTGCTACATAAACTCCTGTTGACAACATGTCGAAAATTATATTGTAAAATAATCCAATATGCTCTGTTTTTATAAGGATAGATGTTGTATCGAAAGGATAAGGATAGCTCTTTATACTGTAGTCAAGTGATTTTTTAGAGTGGTCGTAATGCAGAACTCGAGTGCTGATCAATTGTGATCTGCATGCATTGCAGCTATAGTATTTGTTAGTTACTAAACTACTGCATAATGTACGTTTTAATGGCTTTCAGCTCGTTGAAACAATGGTTTGTTTGCTTGGTGACCTTAATGTGTGGGCGAATATTGATGGCAATCCAGGATGGCCTGAGATGGCTGAGATTGGTGATAAAGTATTACTCGAATTTTTACTCCAAGATAATGCGGAGTTTTGTGCCTATGCATCATCTATGGTTTACGCAATCTGGCAAAATCGTCTTATTGATTCACAAGAGAAAGTCTGCTATCTTATCGGCAAGGTTTACGAAGCTTTCAAGAATTCGAAACGGAAAGGTAATATTGTGTATAGGCAAAATGTGTAATTGAATAAAGTCTTCTTTTATCAATCATGCTGATTATTGAAATTAAAATATTTAGGTGCTGATTCAAAATACACATTTACCCTACCCTTACTGCGCTATATTTTGCATCAATATGGACATTTTGTTCCATTGTCAACCTATGTACCCAACTTTCCCACGAGACACACTGGAAATGCCGATTATGAGGAAAAATTCCTGCAATGTATTGATAGCGAGGAGTTTGCTGCCTTGATTAAACAGCAAATTCTCCCTAGCCTCAAAAAGTACGAAGTCACATTGTAAGTACGAACTTTTAGTTAAATGACTCTTTTTCTCATTTTCTATTGCATCGTTGCTTATTTGTGTGCGTGGTTTGTCTTGTTAGTACATTCAAAAAGGTCGTATTTTTTACATCGCTCTGATTTTCGTAAAAGTTTTATGTTAGCTAAAAATTCTCATGAATGTGTAAACGTTTTTAAAGCATCTTTTAAACATGATGAACTTTTTTACGAAATGGCTACTTTTTACACTGTCATGTTAAAATAATATTTTTTACATCAGATCAAACTCGTCAATTAACTCTGGGCGTTTTTGGATGGAGTGCTTGAATTCTCTCACAGCTAGTCTGCAGCAACGCGATGAAATTGAATGCGAAAGCAAAAAAAAATTTGAAGAGCTTGAGTCTATGTTCACACAAATAAAGAAAGAAGCTCTTGTTGACTATAATACTCGCACTATGGAAGAAAGAGCTCAACATAATCGCGTTTTCCAACAATGGCTTGTGATGAAAAAAGATTTGTACAGCGAAATTGGAGTGTGGAAAAAAGTTAGTTTCATTGTGAGATGGTTATGATCAAAATTTATATTTACTTTAAAATGTTTTGTCTTTGTTACTACTTTATATTTACGTGTAATTTAGTTGCAGTAAAAGAGTCAATTTCATTGGTGACATTTTTCCAGGATTACGTCATTCTTCCAGGATTACGTCATTCTTCACAATATCTAGCTCGTGGTTTTTAAGTTTTCTGGGAAATTCCTTAGCCAAATAAACTATTGCATTTAACATTAGCAAAGTAATTATTGCATTCTTTACGCCACACTAGATCGCTCATTTATCAATCCAGAATGTTCCAGTTTTTCCAATTGAAATTTACTTTATAATTCTTCAGATCCTCTGATCAAAATCATTGGAAACTGTCGACACACGAAAATTTCTCTCGAATGAGACTGAAATTGACGCCAAACTATCAGTACAACCCACATGTTGAAGCGAGTAAGTTACGTGACACGGGTGAAATAAAGACATTGAAAAAAGAGGAAAAAGTGCTCTCGGGCGATGTTGCTGATCACGTGTTGTTAAAATATTATGCCGCGGAGAGACTGGGAGAGACTGAGCACGTTCAATTCCCAAAAACTTTGGAGTGAGTTTGATGAAAGTGTGCAAATATGTATCTTTATCACTTTAACATCCAAATTTAATTGCTTTTCTTGTTTAAGATCTTCGTCAACGGACGTCACCGAGGGTGTTTCAAGCCTTTTCGACTGTGAGTTAATAACGCTTATGGAAACGGTACCCGGTCAAGTTAGTGTGTCTTCGAGCTGTGTTAGTTTTACTGCTGCTAAAGAGTCAGCGGGTGGCTCTTCATGGGATTTCAAGATAGCGCTTAACCAACTACGAGAACTTCATTTAAGAAACTTCAACCACAGACGAAGTGCCCTTGAGTTTTTTCTTATTGATCAAACAAACTATTTGATCAACTTCACCAAAGAGGTTTGCTGTTTTTATGCTTTAAGTATACTACTCTACCCACCATCCTCCATTCTTGAGCTGTTTCTGCTGTTTTTTTGTATTTTGACATTGAAATTAATCACGTCATCCATTTTTTCAGAGTAGAAACGTGGTTTATCAAGCCATCATGTCGTACAATCCTGTCAATCTTTATTATGGTGCCGTTAGATCCCCTGCGGAACTGTTACAAGCATCAAGGCTGGTGAAAAAATGGGTTCGACGTGAAATCTCAAATTTTGATTATTTGATTCAATTGAATACAATCGCTGGTCGAACCTACAACGATTTAAGCCAATATCCTGTGTTTCCATGGATACTTTCTGATTATACGTCATCTGAACTGGATTTAGACGATCGCAGTGTGTATCGTGATTTAACGAAGCCTATTGGTGCATTACATGAGAAAAAAGCTGTGGAACTTAAGACAAAGTAAAGAAATAGATAGACGACAATTTAGCCCTGCTCAATTTCTTTTTCATCCTTCGAATTCCATTAATTAGTGATCCCTAAATAGGAGTGATCTGTGGTGTAGCCAGGGCGGTGATTTGGTCCTGCTATGTCTAAACTATATGTTCAAACACATTAAAACAAGAGATAATAGATGTTTGATAAAATGATCAATTACAACGCACTAAAATACACATTGCAGGACTAAAACGTTGGGACTGGGGAAGTCGTGCACGTTTATGTTAATTTTTAATTCATTACTACCCTCAATAACACACGTAATCTTATTCTGTATTAAAAAGTGCTAAAACTCGTTGTTTTTTTTTGTTTTTCATCTAACTTGTTGAATCTTCACTCTTAGGTACGACAATTTCTGTGATCCCTCAGGTGCGACTCCTAAATTCCACTATGGCACTCATTACAGTACAGCTGCAGGGGTTTTGCATTATCTTGTGCGTATGGAACCATTTACTACACTTCATATAAAACTACAGAGTGGACGGTTTGACGTTCCCGACAGACAATTTCATTCTTTTCCAGCAACATGGCGTTCGATCTACGAGAACGGCAGCGATGTTAAAGAATTAATTCCCGAATTTTTCTACCTTCCTGAATTTCTTATGAACATGAACAACTTTGACCTTGGCACACTGCAAACGGGTCAGCGAATTAATGACGTCATTTTACCTGCCTGGGCAAGCTCATCTGAAGATTTTATCCACAAACATCGCGAGGCCTTGGAATCTGACTACGTGTCTGAAAATCTACATCATTGGATAGATTTAATATTTGGTTATAAGCAGAAAGGACAGGCTGCCGTTGAAGCTATTAATGTGTTCTATTATTGCACATACGAAGGTATCCAGTTAATGTTTTATTGTCATTTTTCTTCAGTATTCTTTTACAGTTTTTAAAAACCATCATCAGAGAATAAGAATTGCAATCATCGAGTTGTGTAAAGAAGTGTCGTGTTAGACTCCTTGAGTTCTCCATGTTGGGGTCTATTGTTCCCTGTTTTACTTCTAACCAATCACAGTGTTAGACTCCTTGAGTTCTCCATGTTGTGGTCTATTGCTCCCTGTTTTACTTCTAACCAATCACAGTGTTAGACTCCTTGAGTTCTCCATGTTGTGGTCTATTGCTCCCTGTTTTACTTCTAACCAATCACAGTGTTAGACTCCTTGAGTTCTCCATGTAGTGGTCTATTGTTCCCTGTTTTACTTCTAACCAATCACAAACAATGTTCATGTAGTTGCATACTAACATTTGCTAAATGAAATTTCATAACAGGAGCTGTTGATCTGGATGCTATCACAGACGCACGTGAGCGTGCTAGCTTAGAAGGAATGATCAACAATTTTGGACAGACTCCAACACAACTGCTAACAGAACCTCATCCCAAACGCATGAACCGCGAGGAAGCTCGGGAACGGCGCATGCGTCACAGTGTTATTCCTGGTAATTTTGGGCAAAGTGTGTTTTGTGTTGAAGAGAAATTGAAAGCTCACTCAATTCAGGTAGAATATCTGAATTATTTTTATACACATACGCAGCGATCACAGTTTTATTTTATTTTATTTTACCTTTGTCCATCCTACCTTAGTTATTTCTTTGAATTCTATAAAATTGCTTAACACTCGTCAGTCGTGTTTTTGTATGAAAACTGAGAAGTTTATAAGAACATGTATCGCCAAACATGGTAACGACTAAATGAATAAAATATAAATATTTTTAGGTGTATAAAAACGAGAGTCTGGTGTTTGTCAAAACTGGTCGTACACAGGGTACGACGTTCATAAATCTAAATCATGATTCGCTTATTACAATCAGTGATAAAGGGGTGATTGGTGAACATCAATGGTTGTCTAGAACCACGTCATCAAAATCATTTACGTTCAATGTCGACGCAACAGTGACCAATTCAAATCACCAAAGGTAATTCCACCAATTCCTATACTTAATGGTTTCAGCTTTTGGTGATATAGAGAAAAAGCCAAATCATCATTTCGTAATTTACTACAACTTTTTAACGCTAAATTTTCTTGATGTTGCCAACTCTTCTTGTCGAAACTAATCATTTCTCAAACTTTAGATGTATGGCAGCGCCTTTTCACCAGATCTTGAAGTTGGTCCTCATTTATTTGCACTTACCCTTGATGCTAAGCTCGTGATTACCGCTGGACACTGGGATTTTAGTATTCGTGTGTTTAATGCAAAAGCCAAGTTGTTACAACGTCTCAGTTATCACAATGGTGAGTACCACAAACCTATGACAAATTACCATACTTACATTTCATTCTGTTTCGTGATCTACAATGTCAGTTAAAGGGTTTAATGAATCGCTCTTTGTTTCTAACTGTTAAGTGTCTTAGTGTAAGAGATTATACATACCAATTTCTACCCACCCACCCACCCCCCTACAGGTTTCAACTATACAAAACTGTACACATATAAAAATATCTTCTAGATACTGTGACTTGTGTGAACATGGATAGTGATGGTCACTATTTCATTAGTGGATCACGTGATTTTACGTGTATGGTGTGGTCAATAAACCACCAGTCTGGTACAGCTCATAACGTTTGTAGTAAACCGCTTCAGGTATTATATGGTCACCAAACGTACGTCATGTGCGTTGTAATGAGTTGGGAATTTGATATAGCAGTCAGTGCAGATAAGGTAAGAGTAAAGACTACTGTCGTCTATTGCTTTTTGTTATATTTGTTAAAACTATGAATATACTTGGTGAACCTCACCCTCTACACTTTCATCTTATTAGAATGGTCGTTGCATTGTGCACACAGTTAGAAAGGGTCATTTTTTGCGGGTGTTGGAGCTGGCTCACACACTTTCGATGACATCAATAAAGTTAAGAAATCTTAGGCTTTCAAAGTTTGGCGACATTGTCTTTTCGACATTGGACGAAAAAAAAGTATCCCGGGTGCACAAATACTCTGTGAATGGAAAGTTATTAAAATGCGTTAAAGATAAAGATGAGGTATCAGCTTTGTTAGTTAGAGGAGATCATGTTTTAATAGGAAAAGTGAATGGCACTTTATCTATCAGAGGATTGCAGAGGTTTGTACAAAACTAAAAATATCATTTCAATAGAGAATAGTTTCTGTTATTTTGAATGCACAATATGAACTTTAGTATGGACAAAGGTATGGTTGGAATTGAAACTTTATTTATGTGATTATCTTTTGCACTGTTTTTAAAATTGAAAATCAGAAACATTGAACTTTGTTTCCTCGCAGTAATATATTAAGTCTTGGAGTCATCGTCTGTTTAAACGTGCATTATAGTAATCCGCTTGAAGATATCTCTTTTCATTTATTCAGTTTGGATAATATACGAAGTTTGGAAGCAAGAATAAGTATTTGTACAATCAATATGGAAATTGACGACGATTCACGTATTTTCATTGGTGTTGAAGATGGTCAATTACTTGTATTCTCTACTAATACCACGGATTAGAAATAAGATTTTATTAACCACTATGTGAAACTATTTAATATTTCGTACGTCGTAATCATATTTCTGAAATATTTGAACTATTATAAGCGTACTCAAGTTATAGCTGCATGCACGTTAAAGTTTGTATGAAAGCATGAAAGTCTTGAATATAACTGAAGCATGAAATTCTTGAATATAAATCAAGCATGTTTTGTGCGTAGGGCAAAGATAGTGATGAACGCAAACTGGAATAAGAAAACCATTGTTATATAGAAAATGTGTTATAAAAAATTGAAATGTTATGATGCTACGAACCTACAACTCGTAAAAACGAAGTTGCATGCGTTGTATGTAAAGTATTACAATACAAGAGATACTGCTCATAACCATTCGTAACACGTTGTTAGTGGCCAGGGGCCGGTTGCACGAAGCCTGGATAGCGTTATCCATTGGATAGCAATATTTTTCAAGCTTTTATAAAACCTTTTAACAAGCAAAGAATAAAAGATTCGAACTGAGCAATTACTGAAATAAAATATTGTTTCAAAGATTATGAAATTTCTTTGTCGTAAGAAAAATATAAACACTTTTTTGCCAGTTTGAAAATTTTCGCTATCCAAGCTTCGTGCAACTGGCCCCAGGACCCCAGTTTCATAATTCAATATGGCGTCCAATTTAAAGCTTTTGGCTTTTGCTGAGAGTGTAAAACGTTTGGCTACTTGCCGCTTATTGTATGGTAGTGCGTGTCGCTCTAATATGAACTTAGCAATGTACAACAAACCAGCTCTCTTAGCATTGTCTCCATTTAGAGGTCTGTCAACTGCTTCGAACACAGACGTGAATGAAAAGTTGGCAATTGTGTACACTTGTAAAATTTGTGAACATAGATCATCGAAAGTTTTTAGTAAACTTGCTTACAAGAAAGGTGTTGTTGTCGTCAAGTGCCCTTCTTGTCAAAGTCATCATCTTATCGCTGATAATCTTGGTTGGTTTGGTGATAAAAATAGGTATGATTATGTGTTTATAAGCGTAGTGTGTTAGAACTAGTAAGTAATAAAGCTGCTTATGTTAAAGAATATATTCATGAAGGTGTTATGCTTCTGTGACAATTTCAACAGTAATAATGAGGCTAGCATTAGAGGCTGCATTTTTATGTCCTTGGATAAGTTGGTATATATATGTATGACAAGAACAGAATGCAGCTAATCCAGTGATTCTGGTCTAGAATTGAAGAGTGATTGGCCAATCGATTTTCATGAGAAATTTGATTGTGAAATATAGAAGCTAAAAAATGTATTAGAAAACTTGACCGATGATGGCCTGAGTAACTATTGTCAAGCTTTGTTGAAAAGTTCAAATGTTTGTTTCTTGTTGCATAATAATATATGAAAGTTGCAATTATCACCAATGAGAACATTAAAATTAGACGTTTTAGAATTTACAAAATTAAAGTATATTCTTTTTTGAGCCATTGCTTGTTCTCTTTGTCTTATTAGAAATATCGAAGACATTTTACAAGAGAACAAAGATGCTGTGAAAAGAGAATTGGACGATTCTAGTTTTGAAATTTTAACAAAATTTTTATTCGACATTAAAACGTGAACATAAATATAATGAGCAAAATGTTTGTAACATGAAAAAGTTTGTTATTCAAACATTATTTACATCAAAAAGTTTTCTATGAAAAAAGTTGTTGTCTGTGTTAAGGAAAGCAAATGTTTGCCCAGAAAACTTTTATTTGTTTACTTGAAAATATTTTGTGACACATCTCTGTTTAAACTAAATCTAGTGGTAGAAACATTGGTACCAAAATCCGCAATTTTGCTTGCTGTTGTCATGTTTATCCTAGGGATCATGACATATAATTAAATGTTTTATGGTTGGATGCTCTTTTGACATCAAGAACAAGATGCCTAGCATCGACTGTAAAGTGGAGAAGAGGGATCTTGACCACCTACCCTGTAAAGGACAAAGGTCATAAAGTGTAGTCAAAGAAGAAGGGGGATCTTGACCACCAACCCTGTAAAGGATAAAGGTCATAAAGTGTAGTCAAAGAAGAAGGGGATCTTGACCACCAACCCTGTAAAGGATAAAGGTCATAAAGTATAGTCAAAGAAGAAGGGGGATCTTGACCACCAACCCTGTAAAGGATAAAGGTCATAAAGTGTAGTCAAAGAAGAAGGGGATCTTGACCACCAACCCTGTAAAGGATAAAGGTCATAAAGTGTAGTCAAAGAAGAAGGGGGATCTTGACCACCAACCTTGTAAAGGATAAAGGTCATAAAGTGTAGTCAAAGAAGAAGGGGGATCTTGACCACCAACCTTGTAAAGGATAAAGGTCATAAAGTGTAGTCAAAGAAGAAGAGGAAGTCATGCTTACTCCAGGGCTGATGCCAATTGACCCCAACTTTAAAGTGTCAAATTTTCCTTACCTTTTTTTTGTTTGGTAAATTGGGACACTGTCTGTTCTGACCAATGTCATATCTAGCATTTAGATCTGCCAACATTAAAAGAGCTAAAAACTTAAGATCTCAATTTTTCCTCTGCAAAAAACTGGAGATAAGACTGTGGAAAGCAGAAATATATAACCATGGTCGCAGGGGCGGATCCAGCAATTTTCGTGACTGATGCACCACTGCGAGCACCAAAGGCGCTAGCTCTGTAGGGGTCTGGGAGGATGCCCCTGAAAATTTTATATTTTAGACCGTCGAAATGCGATTTCCTGCGTTTTGACAACTGAATTTAAAAAAAAATTGTAAATGAGAGCATACACTCAAAAAAACATCATCTTGTAAACTCAAGATTCCAGTTATAACAGCAACAGAGAAGATTCAAAGCAATATTTCAACTTCATATGAAAGTCATTATCAAGCTAGGTGTGGAAGAAATAATAAGGAATTGTTGTGGCTGAAATAATATGTAATTACAGTTTGCTTTGCTAAATTTCAGGGAATTGACAATATTAGGCATGCAATTTGAAAATGAAAAACTCTAATGAATAACATGGTTGGTCCAGCATAGCTCTTACATTCAACACATTGCATAGCTCAGAAAGTTAGTATTTATAAACAAGCAAAATGTATGAAAAATGTGCCCTCTCTGTCTGTCACATTGAGCACATATTACAACATATTACATGGAATATTTAAATATCTATGAAATATCCTGAAGTAATGTAATATTAAATAATTAGCTCTTATTTTTTTATGTATATTAAGTAACTTTGAAATCACAATATCCATGTGAGCAGAATTAGAGTGGAGATTTCTCCAGGATGTACGTAGAGACTTCTACCTGTGACTTTAATCCGAAGAAATCTCCAGTATAAATATGCAGGATTACCCAAATTCAAACATATAGTTGTGAATATAAAATGTTTTGTGATCTTATGTTACATGACATTTTATAAACTTGGCACAACAACATGCATAATTATGTGCACACTAGTTATGGCATAAATCCAAAGCATTGCATTATACTACTGGCTAAATTTCATTGAGCCAACAATATTGGACATGGAGTTTGAAAATTGACATTGTAAAATAGAATATAGTAAATTTCGATTTAATAGGTTAATGCAGGTCAGGATGCTTTGAAATTTAAATAAATTCAGCAGGGAATAAACACCCCATGTGCCCCTTCCCATCATATTCCTAACATTAAAGAGAGTAAGCCATAAGCATTACATAAAAAAAGTATAGACCTATAGCTATGCATTACAATGTCAAGCATAGTAAGCAGTAAGCACTTCAAGCTACTTTAAAGCCCGCCAATTATCTCCCATATGGTTAGGGATAATCAACTCTGCGTTAAGATCTCTCGCCAGCTTTCCTTTCCGAAACAGGTCTGTTTTAGTCGGAATGGCAGTAGAGACTTTGCTTCATAATCCTTTCTTACAGAAGAAATCTCGCTGGTTTTACTGTCTTGAATCAATGAGCCAAAATCGTATATATGCCTACTTTCAGCCATTATGACTTCAAGATATAAATAAGCAAATGCCATAGTCATGTAATTATAATTTTGAAGGTTTGAAGATTTATAACGCTGGCTCAAGTGCACCAGTCAGAATGAAATTTTGGTGTTCGTGGGCACAGAATAGATACATATGTATCTATTCTGTGGCTTAAGTGCAACAGTCAGCAGCGATTTCCCACCGTGACGTAGGCTAAAAAACAATGAAATTCGTGACGTTTAGGTGGTTCACTCGGCCAAAGAGACTCGGGACTGTTGCACCAACTGGTGCACTTTTTCCCCACCGTGACGTAGTGATTCACTCATTGAGTTCTATAAGACCATTCTATTCACTATCTAGCCACCGTGACGTAGTAATACAAATTCAGCTCAGTGTAGCTGGATGATGAAACAAATTTTCGCTAAAAATTTCGACACATAAAAACGCCATATTTAGCGACGCATTTTTTAATTATGCGGCTGTAATCAAAATGATACTCACATTTAAACAATCCAGGAAGGTTTTTAACAATATTTCTCAATCATCAATGTACATTTGTTGTCAATATATTGTCAGCGTTAAGGTATTTAAAGCATTTAGAAACTATAAACGTTCCAATCTGATATATTTCTTGCATTTTGCTCGTATTGATTGTAAGTTATAATATGTTGTGAAAGATTAACTATTCAATTTTATGACTGATGTACTTGCATCAGTTGCAACAGCCTGGATCCGCCCCTGCATGGTCGTAAGAACATTTTACTAGAGAGGCACTGTAAGTTTAAGTTTAAAAGAGTGAAGAGAATGCTCACAGTGTTAAAGTGTTTACAAGAATGTTTTAGAAATATAAAGTATACAAGTTTTTGCCTGGCAGGTTTAAAGGTAGACATGTACATAAAGGTAAACACAAAGGTAGGCCTAACTAAACGTAGACGTAAATGTCGGGAAATTCAAGTTGCGAGAAAGGAAATTCAGGCTGTGGTTGAAACTTGAAAGTGATCTATTTTTTAAAGATACGTGTGCCACGTCAGCAGTCATTATCATATCAATGGCTATATGTAAATTCACTGCAGCTGAGCAGTTACAACAACAAAAAATTACTCGAGTAAATTTCATGGTTTGAATTGAAAATTTCATGAGCATTAGTGTTTTTGATGACAAAATAATGCTTTAGTGTTGAAGTAGTGTTGTTTCTGATCGTACATCAGCTAAAACGTCTTTGTAAACATCTGTAAAAACAGACGTATTTACCATATTTAAATTGTCAACATCCGCTTATCCCAAAACCTCTTCGATCATGGCAATTATATTATTAGCTTGATGAGGAAGTGTTAAGATTCCTTGGAATTGTCAGGATCACTGTTAGCAAAATAGATCAAAGAATAGATTTTCTGTGGTTATATTTGTATTCAAGTGCGGACGTTTGAAGAATTTTGGATGCTTCTGAGTCGAAGCTGTAAAATTGGCCCGTCGGTAACAGTGGCAATTTTGTTCTCCTTGTTTAATACACTGATTATTATTGTGTATTTAGGTACGTCTTTTTATTTAATACTAGAAAGTATTATGTACGTTGTTTAGTTTGACTATATAGGTTTATGTTTTGCTCAGTTACGAAGTTTTTAACGAATTGGTACACCTAGTAGTCCTGACAATTTGACGTGCGTGTCATTGTTTCTGTTCATTATTAGTAATGCCAATGAAGTTGAATTTATTTTTACTAATATAATGAACAAACGAATGAATGTTTGAAGATTAATAATTTCTCATGTAGGTATACATATTTATCCGTCCTGCTACTTGTAAACTTCATGCATTTTTAGGTACACTTCATTACAAAGATGGGAGTTTAAATCCCGGTACTTTGCCTTGCCCTACTTCAAACTTGATGAGTCATGGAGAAGGTTACATTATATATATATATATATATTTCTTTCATTTGGCAGTTCTTTATTTTCTTGCATCATTCAAATGAACATACAACGACATGCTGCTGATAACAAAACTAATGGCAGTCAATCCCCATTCATTAGTTAGGAGTTCAGCTTCATGGTTTGACATGAAGACCACTAAAATGAAACTTATTGGCGAGCCCGATTTGTTTCTACTTCAGCGAGTCCAATAAGCTTGTTTTCACTATTTTCTTCTACTACAAAGATTTTTTGAATGAAATTATTTTTTTGAAGAAAATAATAGTATTTTTAATTGTACCATAAGATGCATTGATAACTAGCGAAAATCAGTGTATTAAATTCAATAAATAAATAAATAATAGTGTATTAAATAGACATATATAATATATAACATGGAAACTTAATTTACAGGTGAACAACATTCTACCCAAATTAAAGAAAAAATTCAACAAGTATTGGTGGTGAATCAGAATGAGTTAGACTCATTTGGTAAGAGTTGTAAGTACATAATGTAAAGAAAGAATACCTAAAATTATCATTTTGTGTTGAATACTATTCAAAAGTATAAAAAGTATTTCCTGAAAAGTATTTATTGAACAACTGATTCAGTATAATTAATTGCAAACATGTTGAAGAATTTAGACTAGAAAATATATGACAATGTGAATTTATACTTTAGTCTACAGGTCTTTCCAAGGAAATAAGCTTCAATTGATAACTTTATGTTTGATGTTTAAATAAAGATATCAATTTATTTATTCATTCTTGCTTGTTCATTCATTTTTCATCATCAGATCATTGATTTTTAGACTTTGTTTTATTTTTCCAATTATAACAAAATGTTTGCTAAAATCTTACTAAATTAATGACCTAACTTCATTGCTGTAATGTATTATTTTCTTGCATCTTAGTCAATACAGGCTCAAAATAATGACTTATCAAAATTACTTGTTGACCAGCCAATTTATTAACCTGTTGGTGATTTTCACCATCTATATATTCAAATCTTCCCCCAGATTACCATATTAAGGTGATACAACAGAATGTAATGGATACTTTGAGTATCAAATATGAGAATCTGTATTAAGAAGAATGGTGTTTTCATGGTACCTGGTGCAAGTCACATGTATTAGTGACTGCTCAAAAACTGATGATGATTGAGCTGTAATGAAGTTGACCTGTCTTCTTGATTGCACACATTTTCTCTGTTATTTTGAGTCCGGCAATATTTTTTCTAAATGATATAGTTCAACTAACAATCTTATCTTTTCCCAGAAAAAGAATTCAAGGAAAATAATTCAAACAACAACCGCACAGTGAAGACATTGTTTAACTTAAGTAATAAAGCAAACTTGTTAAAACGTAAAAACAATCTTCAACATGCTAAAGACAAATTAAAGTTTAATGCCAATCTAATGAAAATGATTGGGCACAGTCCAGTCAAACCTGGTAAGTCAAAGTAATATGCAATTACATAAAATGTCAATACATGGACGTTATGACTACTGAATACATGGATGTTATAACTTATTGAATACATGGATGTTATGACTATTGAATACATGAACGTTATGACTATTGAATACATGGATGTTATGACTATTGAATACATGGATGTTATGAGGATTGAATACATGGATGTGTTATGACTATTGAATACATGGACATTATGACTATTGAATACATTGACGTTATGACTATTGAATACATGAATGTGATGACTATGGAATACATGAACGTTATGACTACTGAATACATAAATGTTATAACTATTGAATACATGGATTTTATGACTATTGAATACATGGATGTTATAACTATTGAATACATGGATGTTATGACTATTGAATACATAAATGTTATAACTATTGAATACATGGATGTTATGACTATTGAATACATGAACGTTATGACTATTGAATACATGAACGTTATGACTATTGAATACATGAACGTTATGACTATTGAATACATGAACGTTATGACTATTGAATACATGGATGTTATAACTATTGAATACATGGATGTTATGACTACTGAATACATGGATGTTATAACTATTGAATACATGGATGTTATGACTATTGAATACATGGACGTTATGACTATTGAATACATGGATGTTATGACTATTGAATACATGGATGTTATGACTATTGAATACATGGATGTTATGACTATTGAATACATGGATGTTATGACTACTGAATACATAAATGTTATAACTATTGAATACATGGATGTTATGACTACTGAATACATGGATGTTATAACTATTGAATACATGGATGTTATGACTATTGAATACATGGATGTTATAACTATTGAATACATGTATGTTATGACTACTGAATACATGGATGTTATAACTATTGAATACATGGATGTTATGACTATTGAATACATGGATGTTATGACTATTGAATACATGGACGTTATGACTATTGAATACATGAACGTTATGACTATTGAATACATGGACGTTATGACTATTGAATACATGGATGTTATGACTATTGAATACATGAACGTTATGACTATTGAATACATGGACGTTATGACTATTGAATACATGGATGTTATGACTATTGAATACATGGATGTTATGACTACTGAATACATGGATGTTATAACTATTGAATACATGGATGTTATGACTATTGAATACATCGACGTTATGACTAATGAATACATGAACGTTATGACTATTGAATACATGAACGTTATGACTATTGAATACATGAACGTTATGACTATTGAATACATGGATGTTATGAGGATTGAATACATGGACGTGTTATGACTATTGAATACATGAACGTTATGACTATTGAATACATGGACATTATGACTATTGAATACATGGACATTATGACTATTGAATACATGAACGTTATGACTATTGAATACATGGACATTATGACTATTGAATACATGAACGTGATGACTATGGAATACATGAACGTTATGACTACTGAATACATAAAAGTTATAACTATTGAATACATGGATTTTATGACTATTGAATACATGGATGTTATAACTATTGAATACATGGATGTTATGACTACTGAATACATGAATGTTATAACTATTGAATACATGGATGTTATGACTACTGAATACATGGATGTTATAACTATTGAATACATGGATGTTATGACTATTGAATACATGGATGTTATGAGGATTGAATACATGGACGTGTTATGACTATTGAATACATGAACGTTATGACTATTGAATACATGGACATTATGACTATTGAATACATGGACATTATGACTATTGAATACATGAACGTTATGACTATTGAATACATGGACATTATGACTATTGAATACATGAACGTGATGACTATGGAATACATGAACGTTATGACTACTGAATACATAAATGTTATAACTATTGAATACATGGACATTATGACTATTGAATACATGAACGTGATGACTATGGAATACATGAACGTTATGACTACTGAATACATAAATGTTATAACTATTGAATACATGGATGTTATGACTACTGAATACATGGATGTTATAACTATTGAATACATGGATGTTATGACTATTGAATACATCGATGTTATGACTAATGAATACATGAACGTTATGACTATTGAATACATGGATGTTATGAGGATTGAATACATGGACGTGTTATGACTATTGAATACATGAACGTTATGACTATTGAATACATGGACGTTATGACTATTGAATACATGGATGTTATGACTATTGAATACATGGACGTTATGACTATTGAATACATGGACGTTATGACTACTGAATACATGGACGTTATGACTATGGAATACATGAACGTTATGACTACTGAATACATAAATGTTATAACTATTGAATACATGGATTTTATGACTATTGAATACATGGATGTTATAACTATTGAATACATGGATGTTATGACTATTGAATACATAAATGTTATAACTATTGAATACATGGATGTTATGACTATTGAATACATGGATGTTATAACTATTGAATACATGGATGTTATGACTATTGAATACATGGATGTTATGACTATTGAATACATGAACGTTATGACTGTTGAATACATGAACGTTATGACTATTGAATACATGGATGTTATAACTATTGAATACATGGATGTTATGACTACTGAATACATGGATGTTATAACTATTGAATACATGGATGTTATGACTATTGAATACATGGACGTTATGACTAATGAATACATGAACGTTATGACTATTGAATACATGGATGTTATGACTATTGAATACATGGATGTTATAACTATTGAATACATGGACATTATGACTATTGAATACATGAACGTTATGACTATTGAATACATGGACGTTATGACTATTGAATACATGGTTGTTATGACTAAACATTGACTCTTTTTGTGCCCTTAGTTGACATTGTTATTGGTATTCCGACGGTAAAGAGACAATCAGAGGAATATCTTACTTCAACTTTGCGTCAATTAGTAAATTTTCTAAATACGGACGAAAGGAAGCAATGTCATATCGTAGTATTTACTGCAAACCGTGATGGCGATGGCAACGAAAGAACGGCCGAGTTTATAAATCAACAGTTCGCGAATGAAGTTGAATTGGGTTTAATACAAGTCATCAAACCAGACAAGTCGTTTTATCCAAAATTAAAGGATCTGCCTTTGCTATGGAAAGATAAACCAGATCGGGTGTATTGGCGTTCAAAGCAATGCATCGATTATGCCCTTTTGTTTCTTTATTGTCGAAATCTAGGAAAGTACTACCTCCATTTAGAAGATGATGTTTCCATATCTCCATCTTATTTCAGGGAAATGAAAAATTTCATTGTTGCTCGCGGTTCTACACGCTGGTCAACTTTACAGTTTGGTCCGGGTGGCTTTATCGGCATGCTTCTTAAAACAGTTGACCTGGATCGACTGGCGCTATTTGTAAAGATGTATTATTGGGTCTTTCCTGTTGATATGCTTTTCCGACATTTTAACGAAATTTATTTGTTTGGAAATAGTCCCCGTAATGTGTATAGTCCCCCTTGTTTCAAACATCTTGGAAAACAGTCTTCTCTAAAAGGCCAAACTCGTAAGATCGACGATGATATCAGTAAAATTATGAAATCAAAGCCAAGCAGAAGACAATATACTAATGCAGAAAATCCTAGTGCGTTCCTCTCTACAAGTATTCGAACCGTTGAACAAAATACGATAGATCGACCATATAGGAAATTGAACGTCGGATATTTTTGGGGTAGAAATGTCAATGTTAATGATTTCATCTTACTGGACTTTGTGAAAAAAGTGCGCCTGGCTCGAGTGATTTTCGATAGCGGAGCCTCGTTTGCCCCGATCGACATTTTAGCAGATGCAAAGCTAGAAACTGCTCACTCAACGGTGACAGATGACTGCTTAGCTGAAGGCTCCATTTTGTTACCAAGATCCATCGCGAATGGAATTGTGGATTCTGGCTGGTTGAAAAATGTAGAGTATTCAGTGAAATGTATCAAAATGACGATAACAAAACTGAATTTGGATGAACGTGGTAAGCCAACATTGTTGCTGATAAAAGAGATCGCGGTTTGGACGAAATGATTTTGCTGGAATTAATCATTAATTGTGATTATTTATGTTTTTTTACTATTTGAAATGTGTATGTTATTAAAATGGGTTGTTTTAAACAGTAATTTTTGATTTTCAGTTGCTTGAAGCAGGCAGTGGCCTAGCAAACTCGTTAATTGTGAGGGCACAAATCTGTTGAAAACAATGGATTTCATAGGAACGTAATGCGGCAGAATATATGAATATGAATATATGAATACCCCAATTAACGAGTTTGCTACCTCACTGGAAAGAGGTGGGAAACTTTTTGACTGTGATTTCTTGATTTTCTTCTCAAACTTAAGTAAACAGTGAGAAACACTCTTCATATGAAGAGGATTACCAACCAGGTGTCTCTATTGGGAATTGAACAAACTAATTTCATAAATGCGATCCATTGTAAATCCTGGGGCTTTTTCTCCGATAGTTATTTGTCCCGGTCGTAGACTACCCGGTTAATGCCAAAGCACGCAAAGACGTGTGGGATGTCCTCTCTCATCTCCTCCATTCCAACCATAGATATAGGCGTCCAATGTAAAGCTTTTGGCTTTAGCTGAGAGTGTAGCCGAACGTTTGGCTACTTGCCGCTTATTGTATGGTTGTGCGTGTCGATCTAATATGAACTTAGCAATGTACAACAAACCAGCTCTCTTAGCATTGTCTCCATTTAGAGGTCTGTCAACTGATTGGAACACAGACGTGAATGAAAAGTTGGCAATTGTGTACGCTTGTAAAATTTGTGAACATAGATCATCGAAAGTTTTTAGTAAACTTGCTTACAAGAAAGGTGTTGTTGTCGTCAAGTGCCCTTCTTGTCAAAGTTATCATCTTATCGCTGATAATCTTGGTTGGTTTGGTGATAAAAATAGGTATGATTTTGTGTTTATAAGCGTAGTGTGTTAGAACTAGTAAGTAATAAAGCTGCTTATGTTGAAGAATATATTCATGAAGGCGTTATGCTTCTGTGACAATTTCAACAGTAAAATGAGGCTAGCATTAGAGGCTGCATTTTATGTCCTTGGATAAGTTGGTATATATACGTATCACAGTAACAGAATGCAGCAAATCCAGTGATTCTGGTCTAGAATTGAGTGATTGGCCAATCGATTGTCATGAGAAATTTGATTGTGAAATATAGAAGCTAAAAAATGTGTTAGAAAACTTGACCGATGATGGCCTGAGTAACTATTGTCAAGCTTTGTTGAAAAGTTCAAATGTTTGTTTCTTGTTGCATAATAATATATGAAATTTGCAATTATCACCAATGAGAACATTAAAATTAGACGTTTTAGAATTTACAAAATTAAAGTATATTCTTTTTTGAGCCATTGCTTGTTCTCTTTGTCTTATTAGAAATATCGAAGACATTTTACAAGAGAACAAAGATGCTGTGAAAAGAGAATTGGACGATTCTAGTTTTGAAATTTTAACAAAATTTTTATTCGACATTAAAACGTGAACATAAATATAATGAGCAAAATGTTTATAACATGAAAAAGTTTGTTATTCAAACATTATTTACATCAAAAAGTTTTCTATGAAAAAAGTTGTTGTCTGTGTTAAGTAAAGCAAATGTTTGCCCCAGAAAACTTTTATTTGTTTACTTGAAAATTTTTTGTGACACATCTCTGTTTACACTAAATCTAGTGGTAGAAACATTGGTATCAAAATCCGCAATTTTGCTTGCTGTTGTCATGTTTATCCTAGGGATCATGACATATAATTAAATGTTTTATGGTTGGATGCTCTTTTGACATCAAGAACAAGATGCCTAGCATCGACTGTAAAGTGGAGAAGAGGGATCTTGACCGCCTACCCTGTAAAGGATAAAGGTCATAAAGTGTAGTCAAAGAAGAAGGGGGATCTTGACCACCAACCCTGTAAAGGATAAAGGTCATAAAGTGTAGTCAAAGAAGAAGGGGATCTTGACCACCAACCCTGTAAAGGATAAAGGTCATAAAGTGTAGTCAAAGAAGAAGGGGGATCTTGACCACCAACCCTGTAAAGGATAAAGGTCATAAAGTGTAGTCAAAGAAGAAGGGAGATCTTGACCACCAACCCTGTAAAGGATAAAGGTCATAAAGTGTAGTCAAAGAAGAAGAGGAAGTCATGCTTACTCCAGGGCTGATGCCAATTGACCCCAACTTTAAAGTGTCAAATTTTCCTTACCTTTTTTTTGTTTGGTAAATTGGGACACTGTCTGTTCTGACCAATGTCATATCTAGCATTTAGATCTGCCAACATTAAAAGAGCTAAAAACTTAAGATCTCAATTTTTCCTCTGCAAAAAACTGGAGATAAGACTGTGGAAAGCAGAAATATATAACCATGGTCGTAAGAACATTTTATTAGAGAGGCACTGTAAGTTTATGTTTAAAAGAGTGAAGAGAATGCTCACAGTGTTGAAGTGTTTACAAGAATGTTTTAGAAATATAAAGTATACAAGTTTTTGCCTGGCAGGTTTAAAGGTAGACATGTACATAAAGGTAAACACAAAGGTAGGCCTAACTAAACGTAGACGTAAATGTCGGGAAATTCAAGTTGCGAGAAAGGAAATTCAGGCTGTGGTTGAAAGTAATCTAATTTTTAAACATACGTGTGCACGTCAGCAGTCATTACCATATCCATGGCTTTATGTAAATTCACTGCAGCTGAGCAGTGACAACATCAAAATATTAGTGTTTTTGATGACAAAATAATGCTTTAGTGTTGAAGTAGTGTTGACTGTAAAGTGGAGAAGAGGGATCTTGACCACCATTCCTGTAAAGGATAAAGGTCATAAAGTGTAGTCAAAGAAGAAGCGGGATCTGTAAAAACAGACATTTACCATATTTAAATTGTCAACATCCGCTTATCCCAAGACTTCTTCGGTCATGATCAATTATATTATTAGCTCGACGACGAAGTGTTAAGATTCCTCGGAATTGTCAGGATCACTGTTAGTAAAGCAAAATAGATCAAAGAATACATTTTCTGTGTTTATATTACTACCGTGAAATTGGCACCACATTGGGCACCACATTCAACACAACATTCATCACAACATTCATCACCACATTCAACTAAAATTTATCATTCAAAATGATAAATCAAAAAATCGTCTTTAAAACACGTTTTCCATCAAATACAACAGTAAAAAATAATTCTTAACTGTTTATTACTATTTTACAGTCCTTAAACATCAGAAAAATGTATAAAAGTCAAGAAATTGAAGAAAACACTAAGATTTATATTACAGTGTACTTTCCATTTCTCTTAAATAGCCTATAATTTAAAAACTACACGGTAGAATTTTTTTAAACTTGGCCAGAATATAGATAATTATATTGTCTAAAATATATCCAAAATCTGGAGGTGGCACAAAAATAAATGATAGAAAATCATCGACAAAGTCGGATGACACGAATGCGCGTAATATAATCTTATATATTTAAGTTAAGAATTCCGGTTCTTTAACAAACAAAGCCTTATAAATAGAAAACTACACGGTAGAAATTTTTAAACTTGGCCATATTGTAGATATTCTTATTGTCTATGACATATCCAAAATCTGGAGGTGGCACAAAAATAAAAGGAATAATATTCCTTGAGAATGTACTCTGGTATTAACCGTGAAGTTGGCACCACATTCGACAAACAGCTCTATAGCTAAAAAACTACACGGTAGAATTTTTTTAAACTTGGCCATATTGTAGATATTCTTATTGTCTATGACATATCCAAAATCTGGAGGTGGCACAAAAAAATAAATGATAGAAAATCATCGACAAAGTCGGATGACACGAATGCATGTAATATGATCTTATATAATTACGTTTAGAATTCCGGTTCTAAAACAAACAAAGCCTTATAAATAAAAAACTACACGGTAGAATTTTTTTAAACTTGGCCAGAATATAGATAATTATATTGTCTAAAATATATCCAAAATCTGGAGGTGGCACAAAAATAAATGATAGAAAATCATCGACAAAGTCGGATGACACGAATGCGCGTAATATAATCTTATATAATTAACTTCCTATATCCATGTAATTTTTCAAACAAAGGCCTATAAATAAAAACTACACGGTAGAAATTTTTTAAACTTGGCCAGAATATAGATAATTATATTATCTAAAATATATCCAAAATCTGGAGGTGGCACAAAAAAATAAGTTGTAGAAAATCATCGACAAAGTCGGATGACACGAATGCGCGTAATATAATCTTATATAATTAACTTCCTATATCCATGTAATTTTTCAAACAAAGGCCTATAAATAAAAAACTACACGGTAGAATTTTTTTAAACTTGGCCAGAATATAGATAATTATATTGTCTAAAATATATCCAAAATCTGGAGGTGGCACAAAAAATAAATGATAGAAAATCATCGACAAAGTCGGATGACACGAATGCGCGTAATATAATCTTATATATTTAAGTTAAGAATTCCGGTTCTTTAACAAACAAAGCCTTATAAATAAAAACTACACGGTAGAAATTTTTAAACTTGGCCATATTGTAGATATTCTATTGTCTAAAATATATCCAAAATCTGGAGGTGGCACAAAAAATAAATGATAGAAAATCATCGACAAAGTCGGATGACACGAATGCGCGTAATATAATCTTATATATTTAATTTAAGAATTCCGGTTCTTTAACAAACAAAGCCTTATAAATAAAAACTACACGGTAGAAATTTTTAAACTTGGCCATATTGTAGATATTCTTATTGTCTATAATATATCCAAAATCTGGAGGTGGCACAAAAATAAAAGAAATAATATTCCTTGAGAATGTACTCTGGTATAAACCGTGAAGTTGGCACCACATTCGACAAACAGCTCTATAGCTAAAAACTACACGGTAGAATTTTTTAAACTTGGCCAGAATATAGATAATTATATTGTCTAAAATATATCCAAAATCTGGAGGTGGCACAAAAAAATAAATGATAGAAAATCATCGACAAAGTCGGATGACACGAATACGCGTAATATAATATTATATAACTTCCTATATCCATGTAATTTTTCAAAGAAAGGCCTATAAATAAAAAACTACACGGTAGAATTTTTTTAAACTTGGCCATATTGTAGATATTTTTATTGTCTATAACATATCCAAAATCTGGAGAGTGCACAAAAATATAAAAGGAATAGTATTCCTTGAGAATAAACCGTGAAGTTGGCACCACATTCGACAAACAGCTCTATAGCTAAAAAACTACACGGTAGAATTTTTTTAAACTCAAGTATATTATAGAATTTTATATTGTCTAAAATATATCCAAAATTTGGAAGTGCACAAAATATAAATGATAGAAAACATCGACAAAGTTGGATGACTCAAATGCGCGTAATATAATCTTGCATAAATAAGTTAAGAATTCCGGTTCTTTAACAAACAAAGACCTATAAATAAAAAACTACACGGTAGAATTTTTTTAAACTTGGCCATATTGTAGATATTCTTATTGTCTATGACATATCCAAAATCTGGAGGTGGCACAAAAAAATAAATGATAAAAAATCATCGACAAAGTCGGATGACACGAATACGCGTAATATAATATTTAATAATTAACTTCCTATGTCCAGGTAACTTTGCAAACAAAGGCCTATAAATAAAAAACTACACGGTAGAATTTTTTTAAACTTGGCCATATTGTAGATATTTTTATTGTCTATAACATATCCAAAATCTGGAGGTGGCACAAAAATAAATGATAGAAAATCATCGACAAAGTCGGATGACACGAATGCGTAATATGATCTTATATAATTACGTTTAGAATTCCGGTTCTAAAACAAACAAAGCCTTATAAATAAAAAACTACACGGTAGAATTTTTTTAAACTTGGCCAGAATATAGATAATTATATTGTCTAAAATATATCCAAAATCTGGAGGTGGCACAAAAAAATAAATGATAGAAAATCATCGACAAAGTCGGATGACACGAATGCGCGTAATATAATCTTATATAATTAACTTCCTATATCAATGTAATTTTTCAAACAAAGGCCTATAAATAAAAAACTACACGGTAGAATTTTTTTAAACTTGGCCAGAATATAGATAATTATATTGTCTAAAATATATCCAAAATCTGGAGGTGGCACAAAAAAATAAATGATAGAAAATCATCGACAAAGTCGGATGACACGAATGCGCGTAATATAATCTTATATATTTAAGTTAAGAATTCCGGTTCTTTAACAAACAAAGCCTTATAAATAAAAACTACACGGTAGAATTTTTTAAACTTGGCCATATTGTAGATATTCTTATTGTCTATGACATATCCAAAATCTGGAGGTGGCACAAAAACAAAAGGAATAATATTCCTTGAGAATGTACTCTGGTATTAACCGTGAAGTTGGCACCACATTCGACAAACAGCTCTATAGCTAAAAAACTACACGGTAGAATTTTTTTAAACTTGGCCATATTGTAGATATTCTTATTGTCTATGACATATCCAAAATCTGGAGGTGGCACAAAAAAATAAATGATAGAAAATCATCGACAAAGTCGGATGACACGAATGCATGTAATATGATCTTATATAATTAACTTCCTATATCCATGTAATTTTTCAAAGAAAGGCCTATAAATAAAAAACTACACGGTAGAAATTTTTTAAACTTGGCCAGAATATAGATAATTATATTATCTAAAATATATCCAAAATCTGGAGAGTGCACAAAAAAATAAGTTGTAGAAAATCATCGACAAAGTCGGATGACACGAATGCATGTAATATGATCTTATATAATTACGACTTTGTCGTAATTACGACTGTGTCATCCGACTTTATCGATGATTTTCTATCATTTATTTTTTTGTGCCACCTCCAGATTTTGGATATATTTTAGACAATGAGAATATCTACAATATGGCCAAGTTTAAAAAATTTCTACCGTGTAGT